CTATGTTGCAACATTAATAATACCTTTCCAATCACTTCCAAAACTCGCTGCAATTGTTGGCATTTCTACAGCAACCATAATTCTATACAGTGGTACCTCAGGTTACATACGCTTCAGGTTACATACGCTTCAGGTTACACACTTCACTAAGCCAGAAATAGTGCTTCAGGTTAAGAACTTTGCTTCAGGATGAGAACAGAAATTGTGCTCCGGCGGCGTGGCGGCAGCAGGAGGCCCCATTAGCTAAAGTGGTGCTTCAGGTTAAGAACAGTTTCAGGTTAAGTACAGACCTCTGGAATGAATTAAGTACTTAACCCGAGGTACCACTGTAGTGGCATGCTGCGTGTCAGTGGTTCGTTGAGGTAGATTATCAGAGATAAAATCAATGTGTAGTTTTTAGTAGCCTTATGGAAGGTGTAAATTCAGCGGGTTAAGTATTATACGCCACTTTTGTGAGCACTGGATTTCTGTGTATTGATTAGGCCCGTAGGGACAGGCTCCTTGACTTGACTGTTGCATAGAGACTGGAAGGTGCATATTATACAGGCAGTCATCCAACTGCGAAGTGTTATGCTGCATGACTATAGTTCTTCTTGAAGAGTTACTTTGCAAAAGAAAAATGGCTTTGTAAAGCACCTACCATGAATTAATTGTAGCAGAGGGACTCTACAATTTATCATCAGTTTGTTGGACAGCAAATTTTGGGAAATATTCAGCCCTAAGGAGTTCAGTGGGGCTTACTCCTAGGTAACCATTTATAAGATTGCAGTTTTGGTTGAACTGCATTCCCATTGAAATCTATGGGACAAGTTACAGGTAGGTAGCTGTGTTGGTCTGCAGTAGTCGAAACAAAATAAAAAAAATTCCTTCCAGTAGCACCTTAGAGACCAGCTAAGTTTGTTATTGGTATGTGCTTTCGTGTGCATACCAATAACAAACCTAGTTGGTCTCTAAGATGCTACTGGAAGGAATTTTTCTACGGGACAAGTTAGCCATGGGAACTGAGTGCAGCTGAGTTGATCCTGGATTTATACGTGTGTTTATTTGATTGGCAACCAGGAATCTTAGATTTTATACAGGGTTCTTGGAAGTTGAGAACTTTGTCCTTTCACATTACTGGATTTGCAAAGCGGGGGAAAGGCATGTTTTAAGAAACTCAGCGTGGTTTGCTAAACTGGGGAATTGAAATGCCTTGGTGAATCATGGTGGTATTTGTTCTGCGGAATGGGACGCGGGTGGCGCTGTGGTCTAAACCACTGAGCCTAGGGCTTGCCGATCGGAAGGTCAGCGGTTCGAATCCCCACGACAGAGTGAGCTCCCGTTGCTCACTCCTAGCTCCCGCCCATCAAAGTGCAAGTAGATAAATAGGTACCACTCTGGCGGGAAGGTAAATGGCATTTCCGCATGCTGTTCTGGTTCACCAGAAGCAGCTTAGTCATGCTGGCCACATGACCCGGAAAAACTGTCTGTGGACAAATGTCAGCTCCCTTGACTTGAAAGCACGATGAGTGCTGCAACCCCAGAGTCGTTCGCGACTGGACTTAACTGTCAGGGGTCATTTACCTTTTTTTACCTTGTTCTGTGGAGGCTATCTGTTGGATCCCTGCCAATTAAAGTGTGGGAAATGGTGTTGTGTTTACAATGTAAAACTAGAACACCATCCAGGATACTCATTAAGAAATGAAGAAGAAAAAAGAAGCCTTGCTCACCCTTAAAGAGGCCAGGCACCAGCTCAAGGCCCACTCAGGCAAATACTGGAATACAGCCACTGCCAGCACCACGACAACTGATGTGTCTCAGCAGAGTGTTGTCACAGACTGAGGGGATGGATGAGCTGCAGTTCCAGGTCTACATGGCATGCCTTAATTTGATGGTTACACCGCTCAGTGGCGCTGGGCCCAAGGGAGGCACTGGACAAGAGGCCTGATAGTGGCACAGAAGACAGCCCTTGCCCCCGTGCTCTGTCCTCCCAAACACTGCCTGGAATCAAGCTGGCCCACCCTGACAAATGGGCACCAGAAAGTGTTGCTGTAATGGTGCCACTGGTGAAGACAGATATTTAGTTCTGCTCACAGCTCCGCTACAAACTGGCAGGCATGGCATTTCCATGAGCTCTGGTTTCCGTCACGGTGTTCTGTTGCACCAGAAGTGGTTTAGTCATGCTGGCCACATGACCTGGAAAGCTATCTGTGGACAAATGCCGGCTCCCTCAGCCTGAAAGCGAGATGAGCACCACAACCCCTTTACCTTTTACCTTGAAATAGCTTGTGAACCTATAAGTGATGGGGAGTGGACAAAAAGCACCAAAATTTGGAGCTGGGCCTGCCTTTAAGCTTCTTTAAGGGACCACCGCCTATTCTGGCTGCAATTCTATAGCTGCTTACCTGGGAGTAAACCCCACTGAACTCAGTGAGACTTACTTCTGAGCAGACATGCAGAGGATTGTACACATTTGGATGCTATATAGAAATGTGAAGGATTAATCAATGGGATTTTTCTATGAGCACCACATACAAACATGTATCAGTCAACTGCTCGGACACCAGCTCCCCTTGCACTGTCCTCTCCCTGAATTGTTTCCAGTGCAACTGTAGTTTTAAGAACTGGCGCCAGAGTTTGCTTGCTTTGTTTCCACACACACCCGGGCCCATCTTGCAATTAGGACAGTAAATCAGCTGGAGGGACTGTTTTATTTGTCATTCATCTTGTGTAAGCTGTTCTGTGGGTGTGGTCAGCTGAAGATAAAGCTAATGCTTAAAAATAAATAAATATGTAAGAGAGAGTCTAGAACAGCGGTTTTTAAAGTGTGTTCCAAGTAACACTCTGCTTCTTGGAATTGTATGAAGAGAAGGGATGGAGGAGTCTGGTTTTGCTTTGAGTCACTTAAACAAGCTTTTAGTCATAAGTCCAGTCTGTCCCATTTCTGCACTAATATGCAGGGTTTCTTTTTTTGGGGGGGAGGGGGACCCTCTCAAACTACATACAGTGGTACCTTAGGTTACAGACGCTTCAGGTTACAGACACTTCAGGTTACAGACTCCGCTTACCCAGAAATAGTACCTCGGGTTAAGAACTTTGCTTCAGGATGAGAACAGAAATCGCAATGGCACAGTGGCAGCGGGAGGCCCCATTAGCTAAAGTGGTACCTCAGGTTAAGAACAGTTTCACGTTAAGAACGGACCTCCGGAACAAATTAAGTTCTTAACCCGAGGTACCACTGTATACATATCTGAATATATATTTATATGTGTGTTTTCTCTCAAAATATGTATCTCCATCCACATTTTACGTGTTTAAACTGCTGAGAACTACACTGCAACATTCAAAAAAGTGCAAGATCTGTTGGATAGCTAAGTTCTTATCAGGATGTTAGTCTGAGAAGTGGAAATTCACATATGAAGTCACAAAAACTGAATGCCTCAGCCATTGCTAATCAGGAGTTCCTCTCTGAAGAGCCAGATTGTTTATGTCGCCGATCTGGGATGGGGCAACCCAGAGTTATTGTTGTTGTTGTTGTTCTGTGGCCTGGAGGTAGACTGCATAATCATATACTGCATTTTCACAATTCACATACTGCATTTTCTACAACTACGTTGTGCTCAAAGCAGTCCAGAGAACAGACAATTTAAGCGCAATGGCCATTAACAAATAAAAATGTGCTACAGTGTACCATTGATATTTCAACAGATACCTCAGATGTGACAACTAGACATGATCCAGGTGGTGTGGATCCCTGCACAGTTACAAACTGTTTACCTGTTCAGCATCATACTTAAACTAGGCTGGTGGGTATAGCCAGTATCCTTCGCAATACATATGCAAAGACATTCTCTAGCAAATGGACACATGTAGAAAGGGTTTCCTAAGGCTGCAGTCCTAAAACTTATCAAACATCTGGCGTGGGGGGAAGGAACATACTTGTGAGTCCCTTCCTTCGAGAACATCAGTCTTAGGTTGGTGTGATTGCAAATTAGGGAGGTTCACCTTGGAAAGTGAAATGAATCCATTTCTTCCTCATTCCTAAGGGGAATCAAATGTTCCCCAATGAATTGCACTCTGCTGGCTTCAGAGATGTATTCATCTTTTCTTCAGGATTTCTTCAAGTAGGAAAGGTTTTGAGGAGGGCGGTGATGGAGCAACTTCGGGTGTTCCTGGATTACACTAATTACCTAGGAAGAAGGCGACTGTGAGCAGGTGGATCCGGTGTCCAGAATATAGGCCGGTAGCCTGTTATTCAAGGGGTTTCACTCCCTCTAAAAGAACAGTTATATAGCTTGGGGAAACTGTGGGATAGTCTTTGTTATTAGAGGTCCACATGACCTTGGTGGTTAGGGATCCCTATCACCAGCTTTGTTTTTTATGCCGACCATGTTTCTATTGGGACTGGGATCACTTGACCACTGTACTCCATGCACTGGTAACATTGAGAATGGACTGTAATGTTCTTTATGTGGGACTACACTTGGACCTGGGCCAGAAGCTCCAGCTGGTGCAGAATGCAGTGCCTAGACCATGGGGGGGGGGGGTAGGGAGAGATGGTGGACCTCTTTGCTAAAATATCTACATTGGCTGCCCATATGCCACCAGGCCAGGATCAAGATTCTCATACTGATATACAAAGCCCTGAATAACTTGGTTTCCATGATACCTTAAGAACTGCCTGAGCAGTTGTTAGTTGTCCCCCATGTTACAAGAGGGGGCCCCACTGGCCTCCACTAGAAGTTGGGCATTTTATGCCAACGGATCCATGCTGTGAAATATTGTTCCAGTAGAGATTCAGCAGGTATGCTCACATTTGACTTTCAGTCAGGCCAGCCCACCCATGAGGCAAGGTTGAGGCAAATGCCTCAGGCAGCAAGACCTTCACTCATCGCTTTTTCCCTGACCGGGAATGGTGCATTATGTTGTTTGTCGCATGTCTTAGAATCATAGAATTGTAGAGTTGGAAGGGACCGCCAGGATCATCTAGTCTAGCTCTCTGCAAGGCAGTGGGAATATTCTGCCCAACATGGGGCTCAAACCCACAACTCTGAGATGACGAGTCTCGTGCTCTACCGACTGAACTACTTGGGCTGGCCTTGACTTACAAGCATCTGTTGAAGCCCTTTTCATGTGGACTGATGTCTGCAGCTGTTTAAATTGCAGGCACTTTAATGATTACTGTATAGTTTTTGTTTTATGTTTTACTGTTGTACACTGTCCCAATCCAGTGGTAGCTCGGAATATAAACACTTCGGGTTACAGACTCTGCTAACCCAGAAGTAGTACCTCGGGTTAAGAACTTTGCCCCAGGATGAGGACAGAAATCGGGTGGCGGCGGCATGGTGGCAGCTGGAGGCCCCATTAGCTAAAGTGGTGCTTCAGCTTAAGAACATTTTCAGGTTAAGAACAGACCTCTGGAACGAATTAAGTTTGTTTGTAACCAGAGGTGCCACTGTACTTTTATACAAAATAACTAACTAAATTTGTGTAGTTCCTCTTTTTTCAAGCTTGGAAGAAGGAGGAGGAGGAGGAGGAGGAGGAGGAGGAGAAAAGCAGCACTGTGCTTCAATAGGCAGGTGAAATTTGAAATGTCTCAAGGTAAACAGACTCAAGTGGAGTAGAGGGCTGACTATACAATCCGAACAAGTACAATGAAGAGGCCATTTCTGTCACATGTTTTGAGTCACGTAGCTCATAGGAGTAGCATGCAAGTGTGGAAGAAAGCCAGACCTTTGGGCTAAAACATAAATACATTGGTGGCAATTAAAAGTATTATTTATGAACCCCAAAGCCACTTCCCCAAGTGCATCTGAGATGTTGTGCTTGCTCACTGCTCTCCTACCAGCAATTAAAATTGAGGCTAGCAAACCATGCTTATCCGCTTCATGCAATCTGTGGTTGATGAGGAACAGTGTATTCCAGTTTATGGAGAACCTCTGGCACCAAATGATTTCCGTTTGTGGCTACTCGTAACCACCACTCAGTCCCATGGCTGCCGGCGAAGCTTTCACCCTCCTGCTTTGGAAAACAGATTCTTTGGGACAATGCAATGACAAACAAACTTCTAAATAAAAAGGTAAAGGCAAAGGACTCGGACAGTTAAGTCCAGTTGCAGACAACTCTGGGGTTGCGGCGCTCATCTCGCTTTCAGGCTGAGGGTGCTGGCCTTTGTCTGCAGACAGTTTTTCCGGGTCATGTGGCCAGCATGACTAAGCCGTTTCTGGCGAAACCAGAGCAGCGCACGGAAACGCCGTTTACCCTCCCGCCAGAGCAGTACCTATTTATCTACTTGCACTTTTTGGCGTACTTTCGAACTGCTAGGTTGGCAGGAGCTGGGACCGAGCAATGGGAGCTCACCCCGTCGTGGGGATTTGAACCACCAACCTTCTGATCCGCAAGCCCAAGAGGCTCAGTGGTTTAGACCACAGAGCCACCCGTGTCCCAAACTTCTAAATAGCATGGATGAATTGGTTTGTGTTAACCTGATGCTGACTCGATAGCCATAATGATATATTTTTTTAATGACTTCCAATAATAACAAAGAAGAGAAAGGTCTGCATTGCTGCTTCACAAAAGTTCTAATTTCAATTTTGGATCAACCTGTCATATTTTAAAATATATGCTCCCTCCATTCTTGATAATATGATCTTGGAGTTTACTATAATCTACAGGTGTGCAGCAGCAGAGTTTAAGTAGAGCTGTTCTTGCATTTAAAAATCTGCCGGCTGCAATGCTATGGCCACTTACTTAGGAGTAAGTTCGTTTTAATTCTGAGTAGGCATGGTTGGGATTGAAAAAGTCAAGTAATCACATGGGCATAGCTTATAGTGTAACACACATTAACCTAAAAGCAAGTGCCATTGAACTCAAAGACTTACTTCTGAGTAGGCCCTTTGTTTTTTATTTATATATAAGTAACAATCTTAAAAGAGGCATTCTCACCTGTGTGGGAGAGATTGGGGGAGCCTTTAAAAATAATAATGCTTGCCACCTGCAGCTTTTATAAATATATGTATTAAAAGCAGTTCTTTTAAAACTGCTTGACAATTAATTGGGGCACTTTTATGGTCCACCAGTAGATTTCAGAGAGATTAGCCTAACCGATAAGTTAGTTAAAGCTGCAGCCCTGAGTTTAAGGTTTCATGTATAACTGAAACTTGAGCAACATAACTTGCACAGATCATTTTATAGCTATGTATCTTTTAATAATGCTAAAATAATTGTGGCAGGCTGTGTGAAAGGCAGTAATTTCCAGAAATGAGTTTGGCAGTTTGTTTGTTTTTAGCAATCCAATTCATTCATTTCCCTCCTGGGGGGGAAACGGCTGCCAGCACCATGGCAGGCCTTGCAGACTGACTCATTCTTCGAAATAGTGGTTGTTTGGCTCCACGCTCTGGAAGATCTTAGGGCAGTCAGCATAGAGGACTTTCAACACCAATAGTTCTGTAACTGGCAGACAAGAATTGGGTGCTGGAAGGATTTTGGGGCTCAATCTCATTTTTAAAAAAAGTAAAAAAAGTTTAAAAATTGGAACTCTTTTTTTCTTTACTGGAAAAAAAAGACACCAACTTCCTGAATTTATTTATTATTAGAATTCTGCCATCTGGTGGATACTTCCACAAAGGGAAAACCATTCAGTTGAGCGATTATGTTAAGGATGTGTAACTTTCTCCCCATCATACAAATATCACATAACAACTCAGGAAACCTCTTTTCCTGCTGAGGACTGCATTAACTTGGAGGACAGGAGTACAGTGGTACCTTGGGTCCGTTCTGAACCTGAAACTGCTCTGAACCTGAGGTACAAGTTTGGCTAATGGGGCCTCTCGCTGCCGCCACACGATTTCTGTTCTCATCCTGAAGCAAAATTCTTAACCCGAAGTACTATTTCTGGGTTAGTGGACTCTGTAACCTGAAGCGACTGTAACCTGAAGCGTCTGTAACCCAAGGTACCACTGTACTCTCAGAGACCACAGACTGGCAGTCAGTGAAGCCAGTATGGAAAAAGAGTTCAGATTTAAGGCATATGGAATAACAGACTGCCCTTCTTCAACTTTCACCATGCCTATCACAGACTCCCTGAGCTCATGGGGTCTGCTTAGACGTAAGCCCGGCTGGTTTCAATGAGAATACTCTCAAAAGCCATGGAAGGACCTGTCAATGTTTGTTCTCTGTTTCTCCTCTTGCCAATGTCAAATTTGGCTCTACACATTTTTGTAGCAATTTGTGATTAATTTCTTTTTAAAATCCTCATGACAATTCATCAGTGTTTGGGTGTAACTTTCTCCTAATAAACACATGCATTGCTATTATTTGTGCAAATGTTTTAATTTCTCTTCCTTCCCCCTTTTGGTGTTTTTTTCCTCTCTTTTTTTGGGGGGGGGGATTGGAATGACTTCTGCCTCTTGAATTATGGAGAAAAGTTTGAAACCACTGTTACAGCCCTCATTTAATATATAGGCCAGGCCTACACATTTCTCTTGGGAGGGAATGACTCATTCCTGAGGTGCTTTTCTTAAAATAAAAATAAAAAAGAGGAAGAGAAGAAGAAAGGTTTGAATAGCCACAGCTGCTGGGGAAATTCCATTCTATCTAAAGTTCGCCACCAGACGGAAATGCAAGGTCTGTGCACCTTTTAGGAAGGAAAGGGTATAATCTACATCAGCTTCATGTCTCCTTTGTGAGCAGGAGAGCTTGGTCTGGCTCCTGAAATATTTGAGTCATTTTCTCCTCCTCCCCCCATTTCTTTTTTTCCTGCTTGACCCAACACATCATGGGTGAGATGGGGGAGAAATTCAATTCAGTTAGCATTTGTGCTTTCTGAAACAATAGGTGAACTGAAACATGCAGTCCTCATTCAAAACTCATGCTTCTTCAAATTTTGCATTGCAGTTCTCCAGCCATGGAATGGGTACAAAAATGAATAAAGGTAAAGGTAAAGGGACCCCTGACCATTAGGTCCAGTCATGGCCAATTCTGGGGTTGCGGCGCTCATCTCGCTTTATTGGCCAAGGGAGCCAGCGTACAGCTTCCGGGTCATCTGGCCAGCATGACTAAGCCACTTCTGGTGAACCAGAGCAGCTCACGGAAACGCTGTTTACCTTCCCGTCGGAGCGGTACCTATTTATCTACTTGCACTTTGACATGCTTTCGAACTGCTAGGTTGGCAGGAGCAGGGACCGAGCAATGGGAGCTCACCCCGTCACGGGGATTCGAACCGCCGACCTTCTGATCAGCAAGTCCTAGGCTCTGTGGTTTAACCCACAGCGCCACCCGCGTCCCACATACACTAGGGTAAAGCATACTATTTGCACTGTTAGGGGGGGAAATGTATATATGTAGATCTCGCGCTTGCTCTCCTCTTAATGGGGCAAAATATACTTGGGGGGTTGCAATTTCCATTTTGGAAAATGGCGCAGCAGTAAAGCGACAGTGTTCTTGCATCATGTCCTAATACGGACCACACACACCCAGCTGTTATTTGCAAATATGTAAAAATGGGTGAGTTGCATTCAAACATCTCTGTTGCCAGGCCTAATTGGCCTTTGGAAGATGTTCAGAATGGGTATATAGAAATTTGTAGGCGGGTTTCAGATAAAGGTGCTGGGACAAATCATAATATTCTTTGAATGGTAAGAAATTTCACAGGTAATTTATATAGGATCCATCTTTTCATGAGGAGAGAATACTGGAGAATAGTGATACCTTTTTAAATAAACTCTTTATTTACATATTTACAGGCTGAACCGATTTTATAGGCTGCAACAGCATTCTCAAGTGACCTACAAGGAGAAATAAAACCATGTGAAATTCAATAACAATAAAAACAAAGAAGTAACAGAAAGCAAAAGTAGCTTAAAGTTAAAACAGATTAAAAGGCCTAGAAAATAATATTAAGGTTTTTGACTAGCACTAAATTCACTCCAAGGCAGGCACCAACCAGCCAAGCCACTCTGGGCAGGGCATTACGCAGCCAGGGTGCCACCACTGAAAAAACCCACTCTCTTGCAGTGATAAACAAACACATAAACAGTGCTGGTCTGCAAGCAGTATCGTTTCAGCACTTTAGAAAGAGAGCTGTGCTGAATATTCCCGAATTTTGAATTTTGGATTGACAAATCGATTTTCTTTTTCCGCCAGCGAAAGAAGAAAGATTTCATGATTATTTGTTTTGTTTTCCTGAATTAGTGTGATCCCATTCAATGAAGAATTAACTCAATCTTTTTTTAATCCATGCCTCCTTTTCTTTGCTATACAAATCTCATGCTCCTCTTCAAACGAGGCTCCTTTATTTCATTTGAACTTCTAAAGAATTTAAATATCATGGAAGCACTCATATCCTCCTTCCCTTTAGATCCTCATACACCCCTCATTGAGAGACACTGGATTATGAGAACAGAAGTCATACACTTTGTAGCCAATCCACTATTTGATGACACCAACGAAAGCATGAGGTGAGCAGAAGATCAACTGAATGTATATAAACCAGTGATCAGGAAGGAGCCTGATTGCTATTTTCTTACACCATTTATTTTTTGTTCAATCTTATCAGCAGCGGCACGAAAGCGAAGGTCTCTCAGTGTGGTGATCAAAGTCTTATAAGCATCTTTCATCCCATGTTCTTGGTACCAACATTCCAACAGCTTTATTTTCTGCTCAGCACCATCATTTGGATTATCCTTCATGATCACATCTATGCGATTGGACGTCACATTCAGTCTCCGAACAAAAGCCATGACTTCTGCGTGCCGCATCTCCTCTGCAATAACAGGAATGTGAGGGAGCAGATCAATATCTAGAAAGGAAAAATGGGGGAAATGTTACACACCATCCAAATCTCCAAGCAGAGAGAGAATTGAGGGGTTCCAGGTGCTTCCCAGGGTTGGCTTCCTTGGAATGAAGGTCAGGTGTCTTTAGGATATATGGTTTTATTTATGCATATATACAACCTCGTCATAATATGGAGGGGCTCAGAGCATTATTGACCCCAAAGGTCTTCCTTCTTCATTCATCACAGATTTGGATCCAGCACAGAGCAAGCATGTTCCAGCTCCCAGCCTGCTTCTAGCTTAGCTCACACCCAACTGTCCCCCTATCTCTCTCCTACATAGCAGCTAGGTGAGGGGGGTGGAAAAAAGGCTCGTGCATTAGTCAGGAGGGCACCACAACATTTTTTGTTCTTGCAACCTAGCTCATTCTTTTGGGTTGCTGTTGAGGACATTTAATTGGCCAGAGAAGCTCATTGTCTTGCAAAGAACCTTGTCCAATGAGTTCAGCAACAGATTTTGGCCTTCACTGTGTGTGGGGACCCAAGAATTAGAAGGTACTTGGGTAACACCCAGACTGACCCCCTAAACCCACAACAACATATTATCTGCATAAACAGGTAACTCGCAGCTTATGCACATTTAACTTGCACTTATTCATCTTTAAGTGTTTACCCAAAAAATTGTGTTTGTTTGTTTGCTTTTTAAAAAAAAAAAAAGTAGGGAGAAAGGGGGCAGGTTCTGGGGGAAAAGACTTTGTCAATCCCACCTGCCATTGAACCTAATGTGTTTTGACTATACTTGATTTTGGCTTTACATGCTATCCCCAGAATGTAACCCCCACATAAATTGAGAGTTGCCTGTTTAATATTTTCCTCAATTTTACTGTCATTTACATATATGACGCCTATGTAAAGCCATAAATATGTCATTCCAAGGAGGTACTGTCTTCTCATGTGACTGCTCCACCTCCATTTTTACACAGCTTGGTAGTGAGTTAAAGGTAAAGGGACCCCTGACTGTTAGGTCCAGTCATGGACGACTCTGGAGTTGCGGCGCTCATCTCGCTTTACTGGCCGAGGGAGCCGGCGTACAGCTTCCGGGTCATGTGGCCAGCATGACTAAGCCACTTCTGGCGAACCAGAGCAGCACACGGAAATGCTGTTTACCTTCCTGCCAGAGCGGTACCTATTTATCTACTTGCACTTTCGAACTGCTAGGTTAGCAGGAGCAGGGACCAAGCAACGGGAGCTCATCCCATCGCGGGGATTCGAACCTTCTCAGCGGCAAGCCCTAGGCTCTGTGGTTAAGACCACAGTGCCACCCATGTCGTATAGTGAGTTACACTTGCTTAAAAGTGTCCCTATAACAAGAATGCTTTCTCCAAGGCGATACATTTTTTTCCTCTTGCGGAAGTGTGTTCTTTCAAAGCAAACAACTACCTTTGTAAAACCTGGGTTGATTCAGCAATGCTGTTCATCCCCCCCCCAAAGAAAGAAAGAAAGAAGGGGGGGGGAGATGGTTACATATGTCTACCATGCGACATCTAGCTCACTTATTAAAATTTTACATGAGTTTTATTATTAATTTAATCAAAGTGAGATGAGAGAAAAGCTGACAAGGGTGCTATAGAAAATTTCATAGAAGCTCCCTAGACAGCTTTACAAATGAAAAAGAAAGCAATCAAGTGACCAAAATATAGCAAGACATGTAGACCTGTCTCACTAGAATCCATATCTAAATATGTAATACTAAATCCTGGCCGACAGTGAGTGGGCTTCATAGAGAAGGGAAGCCAGTGCCGCATCAACAGCCCTGGCACTTGTGCTGATCGGTTGGAAAAATGTCGTTGGCTACCCCAGTTCCCAGATTGGGCCACTTCCTATCATGTGATGGCAACAGAGTCCAGAGAGGGTCCATTGCTGGCCCTATTGCACTCCACCCATCAGGCTTCAGCGAATCCGATCTCTCCCCCTCACACCAGACTGCCAGTAATAGATAGATAATAAGTTCTTACCAATGTCTTTTAATCATTGTTCACAGAGAGAAGCTTAGAAATGTTGCCTCTTGGGGTAATGGCATTGCTCCAAATAATCTCCTCCCCCTTCCCTTCTTAATCGTCAACAGCACCACCCCCTTTATGGTGGCTGCTTAAGGCCATTTGCCTCTTAGCTTTCTGCTCTCCCACTTTCACTGCTCGCTGGGTTCTGGGAGAAGGTGGGTCTGGAATGCTTTCTAATGATAACGTGTCAGCCAGCTGCTCTGGCTCTGCTCCTCCCCCCCCCCCTCATTATTTCTCATCTTTGTCCCTCTTCTATCTCTGAGCCATGACCTTCTGCAAACCACTGTTGTAAATCAATACTATCTTCCTCTTCTCTGGAAGGTTCAGAAGGAGGGGGAGGCGGTCTCCAGCATTCCTCCTCAGTCCAGTCCCTGACAACCACTGAACTGTCCAATTCTAAAAAGAATGGTCTTATCCATATAGTGGAAGACCATTAGAGAGCCCCTGCTTTCCTCTTCTCTCTGGAGTTTCATAAATGATGACTACCAATAAGGTCCTCTACCTATTCCTGACAATGTAGAGGAAACACATAGGAGGCCTTATTGCAGGTTTGCCTGTAAGGGGTCCTTCAGATAAACTTGCCCCAAATGATAAAGAGCTTTAAAGATCGCCACAGCACTTTGAATTAGGTCCAGAAACAATTGGAAACCAGTGCAGTTCCTAACATGCTCCTAAGAAGGCAGCTCCAGTTTATAATTTAGCTGCCACATTAGGAACCAGCTGAAGTTTCCAGACTCTGCTAAAAGTAGAGCATACTGCAAAAGTCTGTGCTGTAACTAAGATGATACCATGGCCAAATCTGTGCTATACAGGCAGTGGCGGAGCAAGCCGATCGGGCGCCTGGGGCTGCGTGTGCCCTGCACCCAGGGGCGGGGCCAGCCACCCACAAGACAGGACGAGCCAGGCCAGAACACTCCGTGAGGCCTCCGGAATCTGCCTGCCTCCTCCCACATAGTCGCCCTACAGCTGGGAGGAAGGCAGCGGGCGGACCGTTTGGGGCAGACGGAGCCAGCGGGTGCCCAAGCTGCTGTGTCACCCCCTGGAGAGACGCTTGGCTCGGGCATGCTGCAGGCCCCGCGGTGAGTGCCACCCGGTGTTTTGTCACCCCCCTCAGTGGTGACACCCGGGGCATCCTGCCCCCACAGCACCCCCTTCCTCCACCCCTGTATACAGGCCAACATGCCTATGCCCTTTTAAAATGTGGTGGTTTTTTTGGGGGGGGTTATTGGGTTGTTTTTATTTTGATTATGTATTTTGTGCTTTTATATTTTGATTTTATTCTGTGAACCACTCTGAGACCTCCGGGTATAGGGCAGTATATAAATTCAATAAATAATAATAATAATAATAAATAAATAATAATGAAATCATCATATATATATTTCCATACCTGGATAACGGAGAGGCTCCATTTCCTCTAAGGGCAGCTTACAACATATATAAAAAAACAAAACATCGAACATTAAAAACTGTTACGGCTAAAAATTGGCCGCTGTTTCTTTAATGCTAAAAGAACTAAGTCAGCATGTGTCAGCGGCCTACAGTGACTCATGCAACCTTTCACCAAATTGTACTTGTATATATAGAGTGGCCAATGTTAGTGTGGTGTTGGGTTGGTTGGATGGTAGAAAGCTGGTTGTGTTTGATGTGTGTAAAGCTGTCGATCGTGGTTGGAGGAGACTTTTTAAGAATAAAAACAGCATTCTGCAAAGTACTCTTTCTTAAGGACTCTTTGTGCCAACTAAGGTCTGAACACTAGGCAAAAGAGTAAAAAGGAGGTCAGAATTTTTTCTTTTTTCAAACACTGTCAAAAACAAAATATCCTATACAAGCAACAAACCAATAAATCAATAGAAACCACTAACTACAACAACAATAAACAGTGCTACTGGAAAGAATTCCCCCCCGACCCAAATTAATGTAATTAATTTGGGTCGGGGGGGAACTAAACATTTAACCAACACCAACCTGACAAAAACGAAACAGAGGAACCAAAATTACAACTGTTTAAAACATTTTAGAACATTTTAGCCATTTGTCCCAACCCAATAATTGTTCCAGCAATGTCCCAGTGGCCTCCCAGGAGCCTCTTTTAGCGGTTCAGGATGAGACTGGGCCCCACCACCTAGGCCAGGTGCAAGGCCCCTTGTAGCAGGGACACAAGACCAGGCACCTTGTGTCTTACTGATACATCATCTAACACAGGAATAGCCAATGTAGTACCCTCCTTTCAGCCCCAACAAACACGACAAAATGGTCAGGGATGATGGGAATTGTAGTCCAGGAACACCTGGAGAACACCACATTGGCAAGCCCTCATCTAACTAACACAAGGTTACTCATGGCATTTAAATACCATTGACTTCAATGTGATCTAAAGAAGCAATTAAATACATCTATGGCCAAATGATGCACAGAGGTCCATCTGATTGTTCCATCTTCTAATTAGATTAATAGTCAGTTTGTGATGAGGTTTGCAAAAAGGCATGCATGCTTATCGAGCCCAAGAACAAGGATTATTACAGGACAAACTGTACCTGCCGCATTATGTAATATATGGTTATGTTAATATCTTCCTTTATACTGATGTCAGACTCTCTTCATTTCAGTGCTTGTATGAACTTTACTATCATTATTTAGATCTGAAATAGGCCTTCAGGTTGGGTAAAAGTGGGGGGGGGAGGGATAATAATAATAATAATAATAATAATAATAATAATTTATTTAAATGTCACCCATCTGACTGGGTTACCCCACCCACTCTGTGTGGCTTCCAATAAATTAAAACATAGTAAGACACAGTTCAGTTCGTTATTTTTTTGTTTTCAATACGCAACTCAATGTACATTTTATTTTATTTTTTGCAACTAACTATAAAACTCAATTAAAATAAGAATGTGAAAAAGACATACACATATCTAGATCAAAGGACTTTGTTATGTGGCCAGCTGTAATATGCTTTGAATTTACTGTAGATTTTGGTCTAGGCCAGTTTGGCTATTTCATCATTGCCTGCACATAATAGGTGTCCCAAAGATAAGCAAAACTATTTTTCATCTAAGGAAAAACATTGTCCCCTGTTTTCTTTCTTACAATATTCCTTGGGTTATGTTTATATATTTATTTCATAAAATTTATATACCATTTTATTGTAAATGCCATGCACTGTATTCAAAGTAAGAAAGGATACTCACCATTCCGTTTGGCTCCTGTTTGACATTGTACTCTGCGGTTTTCTTCTTTTTACGCACTGCAGCCACACAGAAAAGAACTATGGTTTGTTTGTTTTACTACATTCATAAAACAACAGGAGTAGCAATAGGAAGGGACATACAATTCTACATCACTGGCTAGAAGCACCCATTAGGGCTGTGAACCAGATTTGACCAAAGTCCATATCCCAAATTGTATCAGGCTTATTTGGGTGGATCAAGGTTTGGGCTGGATTGCGATGAGACAGTGCCAGATTGTCTCGAGTTGGGTTGGCCCACCTGCAGTGATCTGAGATGGTCAAAAGGTAGGGGGAGTGATGGATTACAGGGGGAAAGAAGGTGAGATAGGCAACCCCTGAAAACAATAGCATGAGGCTGTCTGCAAAAGGGCTTTCAAACAGCCCTGCACTGCGCTGTTCCCAGTAACCTGCTTCCATCAGGTGAACAGGTCCGTGCAGCCAAATTGAGCAGTACTGAACCCTCTGCTCACCAGATGAGTGGGTGGTTGGATCCTGATTGCTGCAGAGATCTGTAGTCATGTGGGGACAGGGTGGGAGGTGAGGCGACACAGCACCTCCTTCTCGCACCCCCTCCTGACTATATGCTTAATCAGGGTTTTAAAACCTTGATTAAACAAGTTGTTGGGTGGAGTTTAGAAGCCCATTTCCTGAAGTACAAAGACTACACTTCCTGCTAGCCCCATCCACCCTTGGATTCAAGCTGGGGACATAAAAACAGATTGATGGAATACCAGCTCAGAACTACATCATGTAGAATTTAGTGGTGCTTACTCCCAGGTAAGAGGGTTTAGGCTTGCTACCTTAGTTCTCTAGAAGTACGTTCACATGAACCTTGAGACAATCTCTCAAACTTTTCTTAAATGTGGCTGGGCATGAAAAGACCCATGTCTATGCTACGTAAGCCTTAAGTACAACCCTCAAGCATGCATTGCAGGTTGTGGAATATTTTAGAACATAAATAAGGTAGTTTAAAGGTGCATCAACTTACCACACCACATTACCCCAATGACAATCACCGCCACAATGACTATGATGACTACAACGGGTGCAACAATTGAAGCTGTTTTATCTTGTGCAATCTCTGTTAAGTAGAACATTGCAAAGTTTCATACAGAATATGCAGATACTTTTCACCAATAAGCATTTTAGACTTATATGGCTCACATGGCAGGTCTCTGCTTCATGAGGCTCAGCTTTGACACAAAGACATTTTATGGGTATAATGAACAAATGAAATCCAGCCCCACCACACTCAGTACAAAATGCAAACATCCCCTTAAATATAGTCAGGTTGAAAACAACTGACAGCCCATTCACACAACTGTTTGTTTCACTCTGTGGCTGTTGAGTTTTTGAGCAATCGATGCCGACTTTCACTTCCCACCCACCCCAAGGCAGAGTGGTGAGCGCTGTATGTAGGAGAGGTCTCAACCCCACTCCAACCAGTGACCAGTGATAGGATGGCCAAAGTTTGGCTGACTGAAAACTGAAGTTGTCATGCATCTGAAACAGCAGACCGAAAGCCAACTCTTCTTTTGTAATAATTCCCTTGTTTAAGGTATATTTCAGAGCTAAGTCAAAGATCCCAACAGTTACCTGTTCTGTCACATCTGGTGTTATTGGTTTGGGTGCAATTTTCTAGAATTTTACCACCTTTACACCTGTGAATAAATTATTTGAAAACAATGGAAAGATTAGGTCATCTGTCAAGGGAACAGAGCAAAATAGTCAATTTCCTCAAGTTATTGCTTTTTGAGTTTCTTATTATGATATAGGAATTTTGAAGTTCCTTTTGGAGGAATGTATCCTCCAATGACATTGTCAAGCTGGACCTCCCAGAAGCTGCAGTCCAGATCTTTTGACTTTCCAGCTCAGAGTCTCTGATATCAATGGCCAGAGCTGGAAGCTAGAACTTTATGTGAAACAAATACCGGTAGAAGGCACTGTTCCACAGGCTAGGCCAAGGATATGGAATCAGTAGCTCTCCAGCTGCTGTCGGGACTCCAACTGCCATCAGCCCCTGCCAGCATAGAGAATAGCCAGGAACGATGGGAGTTGAAGTCCAACATCTGGAAAGCCACTGATTTCACATCCTTGAACTATGCAAAAGCAAAAGAGTGGGCTCTTGGTATTTATATACCATGCCTGGAGTATCCAATACTTATTGCTAATGATGCACACCCTTATTACATTCTGCTCCAGAAAATGACTTTGAAGCATAAGCATGTGCACTCCTCAGTAGCTTTCTAGGCTAGGTTCAGGTCCCTGTTTAGGTGAAACTTAGAGTCCATTACGGAGAAGCTGGAAAGTGTGGTTATGGTTGTACATCGTCCCTCACCATTGGCCAAGCTTCAGATTATGCTCCACTCCAAAACACACCCAGAGAATGGTTGGAAACACATGGAAGAAGAGCAAAGATGCCACCTAGTGTTTGGAAATTATTGTGCATTCTCTTCCTTCTGGATTTACTTATTTTATGGTAGTCCATAATGAGTAGCCTGTGATTTGGACAAAGTTTCAAATCAGACCATCGAGGGTTGCATTCCTATGAATACAGAGCAGGGGTGCAAAATCTGTGGCTCCCTAGAGGTTGATGGTTTGCATTGCTCAAATTCGGGGATCTGTATCTTTTATGGGAAAGTGCATACAAAAAATGCAGATTTTATGGGGGAAATACATAAAAACAACTATTTTGCAGGGGGAAATATGATGTGCAAAAGGTGTGTTTCAAGAGCAGTGCCTAGAAAATCATACAAAAATGCATATTTAAGAAGCAGAGTGTTGTAAACTGTACAAAATGTGCACTGCAGGGAATATCACATACAAAACTGTGTTCAATTTAAAGGATTCGTGCATCCCTAGTCAACCCTATCTCATCAAAGCAATAGATGTTTAGAGCTATGGGGTGGATACTGTATATTTCCGAGACCACAGATATTGGGAGCAGGTTCAGAGGTTCAAATGCAAGATCTACAATTCAAAAATGCTTTAGATCCTGTCTCCGGTCCCTGTTTTTCATTCAAATTGCCCTTTAGTCAGTAACTGTGCAGGAGACTTACTCATCGCATGGATCGCAGTGGCGGCATGGTTCAGAAGAATTGCAGAAGTAGCCAGACCTACATCTACATTTTATGTTCTGGTGGATGGTACAATTCTTTTCAACTTCAAAACCTAAAATAAATAGAAACATTTTATTAAATTATACACACACACACACACACACATATATATATATATATATGAATGAACTGGTTCTTTTTATAGTGGGCAGGTTTTGAAGACTCAGATGAATTGGACTGAATCTGAAGAGAAACAAAGCTGATTCCTGAAGGACTGTCACAAAAAAGAGGTCCATTGGGATTGTTGTGTTAGGTTTCCTGGTTATAATGCTAGTACTTCTTCCCCAGTTTCTAATGTTCTGTTTACACTGCATTACCTATTGTGTTATGCCACCAAGGTGTGCTAAATTTCTTTCACACCAGTGGACTTTATCAGACTTGCTGCTACCCTCCCATCTGTCATGTGTATGTGTGCTTCTGTTCCTCCATGGAAATAGCAGGGAATAACTGCATGCTGGCCTACAGCCCAATGATTTTCTGGAGAACATTAGGAGACACTTCTTAATGGTAAGGGCAAGTCAACAACGCAACCAAGTACTGGTGGTCTTCAAGCTGGGCAGCCATCTGTTAGGGGCTGCTGTAGCCTTGTATTCCCTGCAAGGAAACAGATGATTGGCAAGGCCCCTTCAGCTCTGTGATTCTAAATGTTCTTGAAGTTCAATGAAAAGCCAAAGGCTTGATCATATATTTAAGAGTCTTCAGTTGATGAAAATCAGGATATAAGCATGTTTTAACTTCTATATTGCACCCATTGTGTTCTGTTTTGTTCCATGTGTCTACATGTCTTCACCACAGCAACACATAATGTTTAGCTGTTTTAATAAATAAGAGTCCTCTTCTGTTATTTGGTTCCCATCCCCTAGAGGTCAGTGTGTGCAATGGCTGCCACCACCACCTTACCCAGCATGCAATCTGATGCATATACGGAGGAACATGTGTTGGGAGACAAGAAGCCTTTTCTCTGTGTTGTAGGTGGATCATGCACATGCTAGGCTTTCTGCAAAGACATGCACTTAAAACATTTCTCTCTAATGCAATATGCATAACAACCAATAGTTTTAGATTGCGAACATACCATGGAGAGTGTCACAGTGACCACATCGCAGACATTCATGGTGATAATTATAGTTATCCATATACTCTTCCCCATCTATGCATTTTTTACAAAAAGTTGTAGGATTGTCCTTTGTGCAACCTTTCCGTTTAGCAAAGGAACCTATTTTTAAAAAACAAAAAAGCAGTTTAAACATTAAGATGGTGTGATTCACTTGAATGTCTCAGATTTCCTGAATCACCTTTTCTTGTTCAGCACCACCTAAGTGCCAAATCATTGCAGGAACAATGCTAACCAGATAGTGATTAGGTTAAACAGGTATCCATTTCCAAACTATTTAATAATGTGACTTAAGTGGAGCTTGACAGAGTAATATTCAAACGCTTTCCTTTTAGATAACCTTATGAGAATGACACATGAAATGTGATGGTGATGGCAACAGAGGCCAGAGTTAGCACACTTATCTCGGCTATAATAATAATAATAATAATAATAATAATAATAATAGTTTTATTATTTATACCCCACCCATCTGGCTGGGTTTCCCTAGCCACTCCCTCATGGGGACTAGAATGCCTGCACAGGGCTTCAATGTGTTTCCCCATCTGTATTCTGCTCTAACTGGATGAGAGAGAGAGGGAGCATCAGTCTGGTTGCCTTGGCAATGAGAACCTAATTCATTTCCCTCTAACATTTACTGCCTTGCAATCAGGTTCATGCAAAAACAAAGTATAAAGCTGCCTGGAGAGGCTGAGTGTTCCATAGGGGTGAGCATGTTCCTAAAATGCGCCCGTGTTTCAGCTCTCCACTATTGAAAATGGAAATGCTTCTCAGTTATCTTACAATCATACCTACCGGGCTTACAACTATCACAGCAAAGATCTTCAAACAGATATTGTGTATCATTCTGACACCCGATAACATTCCGCTTAAAAATACTTTTCACTGGCCCAGGTTTCTTATGTGCTCTGGGCGTCATAGACATAGACACATTCTCATGCAATGGTCCAGGAGTAATAAAATCAAATGCCTATATGAGAGAGAGAGAGAGAGAGACTATATAAATATTGCATTTCAATGCATTATGGCATTTTCCGAAAAGACAATAGTTCTCTTTGGATTCTGATAGGCAATAAAGACAACCAAATTGCTCCTTGTCAAGTTTTATTCATATGAAAATAAAGAACAAAGCAGATATACTCTGATGACAGAAGGGTGCACAGAAGGGACTGGAAGTTCTGAGTTTGTGGGGGGAGGCTTCCTTGTGGGTAATTTTGAGAATCACTCTTGGCTACTGGTGTGACCCCAAGGAAGATGTAAGCACCCCAAGGACATAGCTTAAATTTTCCTTTCTGTGAGGAAAAATAGAAGAAGCAGCTGTTGGGATGCTGTAGGCCCTTCCCCGTCTGGAAACCAGAGTACTCTCAGCTGTGGCTCCTTTGGTGTTTTTAAGGGCATGCTGTGTCTTAAATGTTATTTTATAGCATAGTAACCTGTCTGGTATCATATTGAGTGTCCTTGCTTTGCAAGTTAATGTTGCCATTTCATTAAAAATCTATCTCCCATCAGCCCCAGGCAACATGACCAGTGACCAAGGGAGTTCTCCCCTCCTGAGCAGAGTAGTGAAGGAAGCAAAGGAATCCTGGACCTTTTACAATCATCCCTGATTACGCAGTTAAGAAGGCAGGAATTTCCGTTCCGGCCTGTCCTTGTCACAATCAGTGCAGCTTCTGTGCCACTGCAGTTTAAATTCTGCCAGATACAGTGTTAGAAATCTAGTGCACCTGGCATGCTTCCATACCTCCCCCAAAACAAGATTTCCTGTTTCTGTTATCTCTTGAGCTTATCTGTAGCAAAACTACTACATAATGCTTAGTACAATAATAAGAAACTGATAATAATATGCTGCATTGTACTAAGGTGAGTGAAACAACAGAATTTCTAATCTTCATCATGTTCAGGGCAAATTCACACGATAGAGTCCAGCTGAGACTACCCTCCTTCAAATTGCTAAAGATGAGAAATTTGCATCTTTAAACGGTTCCTCAAGTGAAATGTGTCCATGTGTCTAGAAAGTTAGCATGACAGGAAGATCTAGAATCTTGTCCCTAATGCGCTAGTTTAAAAGAAAAAGGGGGGAAAAGACAGGGACTTTTTCTACAGAACAGAGCACATAAAAATACCATATCTAGCATGAGGTGGTGGTCCACAGGATGGAAAATTCTGTTATATTATTCTATTACATGAATACAATAACACTTAATGACTCATAGGTACTTTCTTACTGACTTGAGCTCAACGGCATATGCCCAGACTTGACAGTTACCACGTATCATCTCCCTCTTTGCTTCAAGTTTTTCTTGGGACTTCCCTTTGATTAATTTGTAAAGTAAAATAACTCAGTCAACTATAGCTATTAAAGTGCATCGTGATAAGAGCGAGAGATTTGTTGCTTCTCTGAAATATATTTGTGAATAATACATTCAGGAAGAAAGCTGAAGTCCCGACCAGTTGACAACAACGACCAACTTCCTATTGACACAACTCAGCATTGCATTATAATAAACTAAGTATCCAAAGATTTTAACTTACCTAACCTAGTCGTTTGAGGGAAGGAAAAAACCACCATCATGTGCTGGTGATAGTTGCATAGCCAGATAAGAAAAGGAATTTACTGTACAGGCTGCATCCAATAGTTTATGAATTAATACTTTTAATTTGTGGTTTTTTAAAAAAGGCTTTAATAATCTTTATTGAGGTGCAAGCTTCTCAACGTACCTTCTTTTCAGCTACACAAGAGAAAAACAAACTGTTTCTGGGTCACACTGTTCAAAACACTAAACCAAACCAATCATTTGGGATACCGTTTCAAACTCTCTGACTACCATTTCTCATGCAGCCTTCCTTCAGAACTGTTGGCAAAAACTCTCAAAACAACAGACTGACAGAATGCTTCTGAATAAGAATGTTGTGGCTAGTAACAGGTATTTCAATGATTACAGGGAGGTGATATGTGGGGAAAAAATAATACTTACCAGACACAGGGTTAAGAGGCAGAGAACAAGTTTCTTGGCCATGTTGTTTTGCCGGCGCATGTAAAAAGAAAATGAAAGGAGAGCACTTCTGAGAAACTCCCTTCCCCTTATCGTCAGCAATGTAAACATGGCTTGAAGGGCCGGTGACACACTCTGCTTTGGAGAGCTCGTGCTATTTCAAGATAAGGAAATACCCTTCTGTGAACAGCTCAAGTCAAACGGACTTTGTCATGTCATTCTTGCAGTGAGCCAAATGAATCTTTAAAGCATTTGCTGTTACTTGTGTCTTTGCCACTAGGTGTCCTGACACCTCAACTGTCAAACAAATGACCATTATGGTAGAAAGAACAAGGCTTTTTGAAAGCTCCTTTATTCTGGGGGTGCGGTTGCACTGTGCGCAAGGTGCACAAAATAGTGTCTCCAGCTTGCAAATGCGTACAAAGGCCCTCAAAGTTTTCCTGTTTAGGAATAAGAATTTGTACAGCTCGAGATGCAGCGCACGCTGAGCATCTTTCCCCCACAAAGGTTCTCTCTGGTTCAGAATGCAAAATATTGTTATGAGTTTGGGGGAGTGGTCAGTCTGGATGATTCCTTATACTCTTCCAAACCTGTGATCCTATGCGTGTTTGGGGTGGCTTCCAATTATTGTAATAGCCAGGCCAGCCTTCTGATGAGGTGAGAACCAAGGTGATGAGCCATTAAGGGGGCTTAAGAGGCTTGGTGAAAGACGTCAAATGGTTGGGGGGCCCTCCCTCAACAGATAAATCCAGAAAGTTGAGTTTGTAGTGATGTGACTTAGAAGTAACAAGCTAGAAAGCAACATTTGAGAGGAAGTTTAGTGACTGTTTGAATCAAAGGTTGTGGCTATGGGAGAAACAAGAACTGAGAACTTTTTGGGGTGTTAATGCTGTGTACCCCTCCATCACAGGCTCAGGTTGTATACATGTGTAAATAAACCATATTATATAAAAACACTGCAGTCTTCACTGTACGTAATTCCCAAAAGGAAACACGAACCCTGGGAAAGAGCACAGAAACCATAGAATCTCTCAGAGATTGGAGTGGCATGCAACAATATATTATCAAGCTGCACAGATTTTGCTGTCGTTTACTCTTGCTGTGGATTTTTCGAGTGCAACAATATGTCAATAAAACCATATGTCCTAAAGACACCACAGTCTCCGTTGACCTTCATTACAAGGGAATTGAACCCTGGCTAATTGACTGAAACCCTTGGAATCTCTCACCACTTGGAGATAAGGATGGCGTGTGACAGTATGATCTCCCCATCAGTCAGAGTGAGGGCAAACTGAGTTGGTTTGGGAGACTAGACATGCACAAAAGTACTTCAGTGTTAACTCCTTAGCCTTAATAAAACTCTTGTTGAGTGTTGTGATCTATATGACTAGATCATCTAACAAAGCAGCCTTTTTGTTTGGTTAGTGTTATATCTCTCTTCGGGTTTATTGTTTCTTGCTAACAATGTTTGCATGTGCTATGTAAAAAAATTGTGATGTGGGAGAAACTGTGAAGTCGGTCATCACTTCTCTCATGATTTCTGCTACCCCAGTTGCTCTGTGCTATAAAATAACAGTTGTAACAATATGTTAAAGGTAAGTAAAAATGTATCGGTTTTAGCCCCCTAAGTCAGGCACCCCCAAACTTGGCCCTCCAGATGTTTTGGGACCACAACTCCCATCATCCCTAGCTAACAGGACCAGTGGTCAGGGATGATGGGAACTGTAGTCCCAAAACATCTGGAGGGCCGAGTTTGGGGGTGCCTGCCCTAGGTAGTAGCAGTTGCCAGAACATTACCCAGTTCACCTCTACATAGTTCCATCCTTATTTCAGATATTGTGATATATCGGTATACAGTGGTACCTCAGGTTACATACGCTTCAAGTTACATACGCTTCAGGTTACAGACTCTACTAACCCAGAAATATTACCTCGGGTTAAGAACTTTGCTTCAGGATGAGAACCGAAATTGTGCTCCGGCGGCGCGGCAGCAGCAGGAGGCCCCATTAGCTAAAGTGGTGCTTCAGGTTAAGAACCGTTTCAGGTTAAGAACAGACCTCTGGAACGAATTAAGTACTTAACCCGAGGTACCACTGTATTGCAATGTTTAGCTGGTGATATATCACAACACTGAAAACCAGACATTGCTCAGCCCTAGACACCACCCAAAGTCTCTAAGGTAAATTGGGCTTCAGCTACACAGCTCCAATCTCTTCCTGTAATCTGAAGCCACTCAGTTTGAGTACCCAAGCAGCCAGCACAGCTGAGAAACCACAAAAACCATTTTGCCCTTAAATGGTTCCTTTGGGGGGGTAAGTAGTAGGTGATTAGGTCGAAAGACTCCTGCTCACGATGACACTGCAGCAGCTGGAGAGAAACTAAATGGAATATGTGTTTCACATATTATTATGTATCTTGTTTTAGCCATAAAACCATATGTTGAAAATTGTCATTGCATTGTTCACAGTAGAACCAGCATTTCCCCTCAAATAGCCCAAGCATTCCCTTAGACTGGAAAAACAACAACAATTTGGCTTGATGCCTTAGTGTGCTCACAGCCAATCACTGCAACGTTAGCCTTAAATGTAAATGCCTTTCCATCTCAGAGTCTTTATTTTAGCCACAAGGCTCCCATGAATGTTCAGCTTAACAGAAAGAATCCCCTCCTGGTTTTCCCTAGTGTGAGCTTTGTACTACACTGTTGTCAGTTCTGAGGTAATTTTCTATCAGAAATGTAATGTTTTATATGTTGTTTATTTACTTATTTGAAACATCATCATCATCATCATCATTAATTTCCCCACCCTTCATCCTTAAACTCCAGGGCAGATTACAAGAATTAAAGCACAATAGTTCAAAACAGTTTTTTAAAAAAAATTACAATCACAGAAATAAGGTGGATCTTGAAGATATACAGCTCAAGTGTCAAAAGCAGGGTAAAGAGGTATTTTTTTTAATGAGAGCTATTTAAGAAGATGCCAGACGCACCGTTGTGGAGAGGGAGTTCCACAACTTAGGGGCTGCCCCAGAGAATGCTGTGTCCTTGGCCACCATCATGCTGAGCTTCTGAGGGCTGTGGGACAACCAACAGGGCTCCCTATGCTGATCTTGGCATCTGAGGGGGGTCTGTAAGGAAGGAGTGGGATTTATTGGGTATTATCAGGAGTCTCAGTCGTTTAGGGCTTTAAACGCTAGTGTTAGCTTTGAATTGGACCCTGGGACAAACTGGCAACCAGTGCAGCTGCTTTGAAACAGGGTTTATGTGAGATCTGAAAGACATACATAATTAGAAAACACAAACAGTTTTCATCTGTTCTTAGTCTATTGTTATTTTAGGATTCTGAAAATTTTAAATTAGTCTTGTTAATTTTTCCTAGTGATAATTTTATTGTTTTATCTTTTTTTGTAAACCACTTTGAGGTGTTTTTTCTTTCTTTCTTTCAATCAATCAATCAATCAGGAGGTATAAAGTTTATGAAATAAATAGATAAGATAAAGTAGAGGGATATAATAAGAGGACATTTAGGAACATAGGACCCTGCCTTGTACAGAGTCAGACTACTGGCCCATCTAGCTCATTGTTGTCTACAGTGATGGGCAGTGACCCTTTAGGGTGTCAGGCAGAGGGTCTCTCCCCACCTACTTGGAGATTTAACATGGGGCTTCCTGCACGCAAAGCAGATGACCAACTTCTGAGCTAGCTCAGGCCAGTGTGATCGTCCCTTGCTGGTTCTTGCTTTTTATCCTACGTGACACGAGGGGAATATTCATCCTAGACATCTGGCAAACCACAGTTTTTAGAAGATGGCAGCTGGGAGTAATAAAATGGCGGCCAGTGTCACTATCTATAGCCAGCAGATGTGTGCAGTTATTGTCTGAGAGTAGTATTTCAAAATCCAACTGCCGTTCTCCACATGACTGAACTACGTAGGTGCTGAGTTTTGAAATCATGCTCTTGTTTTTCTAATTCATCACAGGATGTGCAGTTGGGAGGGGGGAAGAAATGCACAAAGTTCTAAAAAAAAAAAAAAGGCAGATACTGCTAGCAAGTTGTGGTGACTGAGAAGCTAGTATTGCTTCTCGTGTACAATAGTACAGCCTAACAAGAACAGCAAAGGAGCATTTCCTTTTTCTGCTTTTTCAACCCTCCATTAATCCTTGGGGTAGTTTGCATCATTTGTTAAAGCACAACATCAAAAACACCAAAACAAAACAAAAAAAGCCTAATGGCACAGTCCTATGTATGTCTACTCAGCAAGAAGACTCATTGAATTCAATGGGACTTGCTCCCAAGTAAGTGTGCATAGGACTGCAGCCTAAATCTCCAAAAATGAGCCAGGCCTTCTGTATTATCTCTTATGAGATATTAATAGATTCAGGTAGGTAGTCTTCATTTCTTCTTCAGGTATCTGAAGAAGTGTGCATGCACACGAAAGCTTATACCGAGAACTAACTTTGTTGGACTCTAAGGTGCCACTGGACAATTTTTAATTTATTTATTTCATCTGCGTCAGACCAACACGACTACCTACTGGACAATTTTTTTAATTTTGAGATATTAATAAATAACTATAACAAGCCCTTCAAAAAATACATCCAAGAGCTAGGATTGCTCACGACTTCAGTGGCAGTTTGATCAGCAGATGCTAGCTGGTGATAAATGTCAGAAGAAATTTCATCTTCTGATTTCTGTAGACTGCAAGATAAGGAGGCAGTGAGGTCTGTGGAGCCCTAGGTTGGCACTGGCAGAGTTGTCACCGCTGATGTCCAAGAGCTTCCCCCAACCCCACTACTGCCTTGCTCTGCCCCATCAAGAGGAGCACAGCGTTGCCACCACTGGGAAAATGCCACTGTTGGCATGGTTTGTGCTCTCTTTGTAGCACCTAATAGGGAAAAACAACTGAAAAGTATCCCCTCCCAGTTGCTATAAAGGAAGAGCATTTACTGTATGTGAAATGCAGACGCTCCAAGTGTCCCTATTTTCCAGGGATGTCCCTGATTTAGAGAAGCAGTCCCAGTTTCTGATTTGATCCCGGAATGTTTCCTTAGGACGTCCCTATTTTTATTGGAGAAACGTTGGAGGGTATGGAGTTATCCAGCTCTTAAGCTGTCTGAAGAAAATCCTGTATAGGGAAGTTTTTTTTAATGTTTAATGTATTATTATGTTTTTTATATATGTTGGAGGCTGCTCAGAGTGCTGGGGCAACCCAATAAGATGTGTGGGGCAGAAATAGTGAATTTATCATTATGGAATGGGACGTCCCTATTTTCATCAGAGAAATGTTGGAGGGTACGGGAGTGAGGAAGTCTGAGACAAACTTCTGTATGTCTCTTTCCCTCCCTCCCCGCACCTTCCTCTGGATGTGTATCTAGTCTGCAGTGCAGCTTGGGCTTCCTTCCTTTTTGTCAGAGAGTCTACGTTTCCGTTTATACACCTTGCATTTGTGCTTTGCAGACACGCTAAACTATACGACAGTTGCAATAAATCAAGCTGTTAGGAGAGTCTCTTCCTCTCTCCCTCCCAAACTGTTCTGTGTCTCTTCTAGCCATGTTTTAATAAGAACCTTGGTGACTTATGGTGAGGCAGCTGCATTTGGAAATCCTGTCAGCTAGCAAAATGACACGACACTTTCTAAATCAGAAGGGAGACAAATACATTTTTAACAGGACCACCCAATTTCAGCACAAAAATGATCCTTGCATGCACACAGCTGGCTTCCTTGCCTTATAAAGCAAAAGCATGTGCGTATTTTCCTTTGGAGGAGTGCAGCTGTTTTTGCTTCATAAAGCTGCGCGCCATTTTTTTTTAAAAAAGTTTTTTTTACTACAGAAGCCTATTATTTTAGCCATGTAAAGTGCTGCAGTATGATGATGATGATGATGATGATGATGATGATGAATGATATAATAACACTGCACACTGGGCTTTGTGGGGTGTTGGTGGATGGGTATCAACTCTGATGGGGGACACATTTTGCTCCTTCTGGGATAGATTGCTCACCTTTGGTACCCCACCCTTTACTTAGTTTTCACCTGAGGCTCAAAGAAGATGTCAGCAGGTGACATCTAATATGGAAATACAACTCTGGGGGAAGCTTCACCAGTTCATATTCAGTCTGGAAGTCATTTTATGACATTGTGGTGGAAGAGGGCACGCATTTGCATTTGATGAAGCATTTAAAGAAATTGGAGTGGGGGTATTTCCTTGGCTTTGTGCATGTTTATTTCTCTCTACATGGTTTGTGGACGCTGAGTACTTTCCCATCCTCACCTTACCTTCTATCTTTGCAACAACCCTGTGAGGTAGGTGAGACTGAGTAATTAATATGCGTGCAGCTAAGCAGCATTTGGTAGCTGCAGTTCGTGTAACGTTAGACATGCAGACCCTGAAATGCTGAAATATATTCTTTTTGGGGTGCAGTCCTATACACACAGCTTCTTCAAGCTGAGAATTTCTTGATCCAAATCCCACGACAAAAGGGAACTCGGCAGGGCGTTTTCCTGTCCAGGCAGTAGCAGCTCTCCTCACGCCCTGTTTGTCAGCTGCCTGCTTTCTAACAAGGACACTGTGGGGTGCATGACTGAAACATGCACTCCTTGCCAGAAGCTGCCTGTCACTTGTGTGCTACCCCAGTAGTCTTTCAGCGGCTATCCTGAAATTTAGCTGTGTTTATATTACCGTGCTGCTGAAACCTCCCTCCTGCTTTGTGAACAGCAGAAAGGAATGCAGACTGGAGGAGACCAAGGGCCCTGCGAGGCCACCCAGATCAGAGAGTTTTGTGCAGAAGCCCCTATATGGCTCTGTTTGACAGAGAGATGGAGATGGAGCTCTGCTCTGCTCCTTGTTTGGGAAGCTGGTGGGAGGGGAACAGGCCAAGGAGCTATATAAGCCGAAAAGGTTCACTTTGTGAGTGCACCACCCCAGAACAGCTCTTCCCCAGCCAAGCGCTGACAGGTAAGAGGCAGGGAACCAAAGAAGTGATTTCAGGATTTGCCTGATCAGTTTAGATAAAGAAAGAAGGGGGGGGGGAGAGAGAGACTTTCTTTGCTGTTTCAATCCAGTATATTGGTGGCGCCTAGGAGAGCTCATCACACAATAAATGAGTACATGTGCAATAATCCACGCCCATTGAGCTTAACTGGTGTTTGCTATTTTACTTCAGTGGGATGTTCCATGTACTCTTAGGTCGTGCTCCTGCTGTCTGATGCACTGCACATTTACTTGGAAGTAAGTCAGTCTGAACTCAGTGGAGTTTAATCCTAAGTAACTGTGCTGCAATTCTAAGGAAACATTCTTGGATGTGGGACTTATTTCTGAGTAAACAAGCACTGGATTGTGCTGTTTGTCCTGATCCAATTAAGTATTTATTTTTATGAGAGGATTTAAGCACATGCCTTACTCTTCCAGTGAAATTGGTGGGGCTTAAAGAAGGATACTATAATTTTGCCTCGATTGTGCCATTGTCTTATTCTCTGACCCTCACTTTTGCATTTCCATTTCTAAGATGAAGCTGGTATGATGTTTATAAGCAATGTCATTTATAGCTAAGCCTCTGTAAGCCTTTCTGCCAGAGTATTTATTTCTCCTGCTGCATTGCTCTTCAAGCACCATCCTTGCTGGGAAAGGGTCTCTCTCTCTCTCTCTCTCTCTCTCTCTCTCTCTCTCTCTCTCTCTCTCTCTGTTATGATTCAGATTTGTTCCCAGTGTGTTCTTGCTCTTTAGAAGCTGTGTGGATATTAGGCTTTGCATGAATCTGTACATTGTGAACCTGAAAGGGATTTCCCACTTCAGGTTTTTGACAGCTTCTTTTCACACCCTCACTGGGATTCTCAAGCTTGGAATGAACTGGTGGATTGAGACCTAATTGAATGTGTGTGTGTGCACATTTTCACATGGAACCCCTTCGGTTGTTTTGCCAAATGGAAATCATATGCATTCACTTCTAGTCATGGCCTTAAGTTCGGAGCAAGAGGAGATATGTAGCAGAAACTTGTGTTTTGCTTATGTTGTGGTGTAAAGTGCCATTTATATACATTGATAGTGCTGCATAAATAAAATTACTATTACTACTTCACGTGCTGCTATTACTCCTAAGTAGTGCCTAGAGGAAATTACTTAGATGCAAGCATAAAAGCACAAAATTAAAACTCTAGTGAGTCATAACTTCACTCTGTCCCTTGTTCTGTGTAAGTGTTGATGTTAACTAACAAGGGTAAATTAAATTATAGAATGTAAATGCTGCAGAAAAGCATAATCCAGGGTGGCTAGATGCAAAAGAGGACATGGTTCTGCAAGTTGCATAGAAGTGGGATATTCAACAGGTGTGGCTTGTCATGCAATAAACAACTGTTGAAATCCTATCTTCTTTCTGTTCTTTGTCCCATTTTGCATCTTATTCTCCTAATAATAGCTGCAGCCTAGGTTCTCATGGATGCCCTGTACCCAGTTGGGGCTTGTGGGTAGTCCAATGCTCGTATGTAGACCTGTGCCAGTGGAGGGTACATGCACTAGAATCCCTCCAGTCACACTGGCTCTGAGCATGGTCCTCTCCATGCCTCAAACACATAGCTATCCAAACTGGAGTGGCCAACATTTGTTGACATACCACAATATTTACTGTAGCATTTCCTCAGTATACAGTTGCCATTCTTCTCATGTATATAATGTACTTGCTGAACTCTGCCTATGATAATATATTTGGACATTTAATTATTAGAACACACACACACACCACTCACTCACTGGGGAAAGCCCATTTTTTGCTTTTCCTGCATGGGTTTTTTTGTCAGTGTCTGACACCCCCACACCTGAGCTTTGCCTGCATTGAGGCTGCAGGTCATCAGGACAGGCCAGCTGCTTGTGCCCTTTCCACCTGCAGTCCAGTGCTTGTATGTGAGGAGGGGCCAGTGGAGAAAAGAGCGCAAAGCCCAGGGCCTTCTCCATCGTGACACCGTCCCTGCAGAATTCCCTTCCGAAAGAGCTTCATATGGCCCACTCCTTCCATGGTTTTCTAGAGGGCAACTCTTCTCTTTATAGCCCAGTCTAGCACCTGCAAGGGACAGCGATAGTAAATCTTCACTCAGAGTTGTGTTGTTTAAATTCTCCTTGTGTTGATTTCTGTCATTTCAACTTATAATTACTATAGATATTTACTTGCACAGCTTTGTGAGCCTGTTTGTTTGGAAAGTGGGAAAAAATAGAAGGATCCTCCTCCTCCTCCTAATATCTAAATAAGCAATAATCTGCAGACAGTATATTTCAATGAGATTTGCCTTTCCTGTAGCATACCTGGTATGCTGGGATGCCTTTTAGCTCTGTCCAGAAGCAAGAATTAGCAGACAATTGCACATCTTAGGACAGTTTTCCCCAAAGTGCTACTGCCCTCCAGATGATGTTGGAATACAAATCCCATCAGCCCCACTTAGCATCACCAATGGTCAGGGATGATGGGAGTTGTAGTCCACCAGCAGCTGGAGAGTACCAGGTTAGGGAAGGCAGCCTCAGGCTGCAATCCTGGTCACGCTTTTGCTGGCAGGCAGTCCCTTTGAACTCAGCAGGGCTTACTTCTCAATAGACATCCATAGGATTAAACTATTAAAAGACAATCCTATGTATAAACTCCATTAGATGTACTGGGGTTTATTTTCTTAGCAAACATGCATAGGATTGCTCATGAGAGATGCACATAATGGGTTTGTTGCAGGTTTCTGGGTTACATTAGCAGCTGCAGTTATCACCTTAGCACTCTGGAGCATCCCAGGGGCCTTAGAGCACTGCTTGCTTCTCTGTCACTAGAAGACACATGTTAAAATCTGCTTGAATTTATCCTAGTTACTAAATATGGTTTTCATTTAGAGTTCACCCTGCTCAGGCAGAAATGTAGCATTCCGCCTCCCCCCCTCCCTCTTAGGATTTTTGGCTCAGTTGGCTTGAGTTTGAGCAAACCACCCTTGACCTCTCCAGCTCTGTTCCAAAAACAGACATTTGAAAGACTTTGTTTCCTAATTAGGAAATCGTTTGTTCCAAACAGGCTAGCTAGAGGCACTCAAGTTAGGTAAGGTTTCCTCTGTGCTTTGGAGTAAAATGCTCAAGTATATATAGCCACTAGCTCCCCAAAATATGTGCTATTAAACATTTCTTTTCAGTAAAACTAAATATAAAAAGTCTTCTTCTACTTGTTGTTTTAAATTTAAGGTTTAATTCCCACCCCCTCCCTGAGCGTTTCAGAAGAACTATATTATACCCTCATCCACTTTTTATGTGAAGTAACCTGGACAAAGAGTGATTTGACACATCACGTTCCTTGAGGTGATGTGTCGAAGATGTGTCAAATGCAAAATGTAAATGTGACAGATATAGATTTGCAAATGTGGGTTTATTACCACCCAGGGAAGAGCTAAGGTTAGCAGGAGCTCTTTGCTGAGCTCACTCATTTTGGGACAACCCCAGGTTTCCCCTGTGTGATGTGTATAGAAGTGGCCTCTCTCTATATTTATATTTTGGTATAAACATTTCCTTAAAGATCTCTTATCCCAGGTTGAGAAGGCATTTGAATTCGGTTCCCTCTCACACCCAAAGCAAAGGCTCACTGGCTCACAAAGCATTTCCTTTGAACACTGCCTCACAGTTCCCATTCCTGAGTCCCAGGGTGTGTTCTGAGGGCACCATCTTGTATGTTTGGGACTGGATGGGAGGCCACCTGAGAATCCCAAATGCTTCACCTTGAGTTCCACATTGGAAGAAAATGAACTAAATATTAGTGACAGCAGATACCAATGGAAAGGCACAGGAAATGCCATTCTTTGTTTCTAAGAGGCATTTAGAGCCTATGCTCTTTGTATTCATGCTAGACATCTCATTTTTACCTTCACCAGTTTGAGCTTTCATGCTGCTGCTCTCATGATGAGAACATCAAGTGCTTCTAGTTTCTTAATTAAGGCCTGCAGTGCTTGATCTTATCTGCCTTGTTAAAATCCAGCACCGCAGGCCTTAATTAAGAAACCGGATAACAGTATTAGGTTGGGTTAAGTTACACTTGAGTTTCCTCATGACTAGCAGAACTGCTTGTACCCTGTACTAAATCAAACTGAAATCTCGCATCCAAACCCTACACACACATACACACACACACACACACACACCCCTTCTGAAACCCTTGGAGAAATGATGGGATAAAAATTTAAGTAAGAATTATATTGTCACTATTACGATAAGAAACATTTGCTTTTTAAGAAAAGTAAGCTCAGATTCTTAGGAGGGTGAATTCTGTACCTAACAGCCACATTCTGTCGCTTTATCTTCACTCCCACTGCATCATGGGGGAGCGGGGGGTAAAATAGTAAAGGTAAAGGACCCCTGGATGGTTAAGTCCAGTCAAAGGCGACTATGGGGTTGTGGCACTCATCTCGCTTCAAGCCGAGGGACCCGGCGTTTGTCCACAGACAGCTTTCCGGGTCATGTGGCCAGCATGACTAAACCGCTTCTGGCTCAGTGGGCAGAGGCGTACGAAGTAGGGGCGGAAGGGACGGGTGACCCTGGGTACCACTCTGGGTGTGTGTGACAAGATGGTCCCTGCCTCCCCCCAGCTGTAGAGTGGCTGAGGGTGCACACAGTCAGTCAGTATGGGTGCCACTCACACAGCATCTTCTCTGACATCCTCCTCCATCAAGGATGGAGATGGTAGCAGAGAGGATTAGAGTATCTCCCTCCTTCTCACCCCTTTGTCATCCAGAAGCATTGCAGGGCAGAAGAGTGTTGGCCATTGGGGCTACTTTCAAGGCAATTACAATGGCAGTGGCCCTTTGGAAGCCCACAAGTCCCAAAGGCCACCACTTTTTAAGTCATGAATTGCTGCTCTGCTACATGTCAGGACAATTGAGAGAGGTGACAGGGATTCCCCTTTTGCTACTTTTACAAAGTTTCTTCTAATTGGAGCCAGACCCCATTAACTCTCGAAGCTAGCCTTCCCCTGCCCCCAACCACCACCACCGCTCCTGGGAATGTTTTCTGTTATTAAATTGATACTTCCATGTTCTATTTATAGGTCTGTACTTGTGTGGAAGGTCTGAGAAAGTTGCTATAGAAGATGTGTGAGGAAGAGGACAGCACCGCACTGGTTTGTGACAATGGCTCAGGACTGTGTAAGGCTGGCTTTGCTGGGGATGATGCTCCGAGAGCAGTTTTTCCATCCATTGTGGGACGTCCAAGGCACCAGGTGAATAACTGGCTCAGCGACTGAAACACTGATTGGTACAGAAGCCAAAGGATTCATTAGCAATAATAACATGGACCTCAAAAGGAAGAGTTTTGTTTCCCCCACACACTCCCTTTACAATGCCACAGTCCTTATCCAATTTCTTTTAGATCATTCCTGTTGATGTCAATAGAGTTTTGCCATGTAGCATGTTGTGGTCCGATTTAAAATGCAGTTTAAACTCTTGAGCAGCCATATTGGAAGAGAGTAAACTTTCACCAGAGGCTGGCAACCCTATTTCCTCAGCCAATTTCTCTAATTTGGAAAAATGTGCATTCAACAGTGCTTTTTGGTTTTGCGTTTGCTGAGGTAGAATGGGAGAATGATCAGCAAGTAGAATTGACTAATAAAATTGACTAATCGGTTGACTGATTTAGAACATCTTGTAGGTTGGTAGACTAACCATAGATTGCTATAGAGATGAGTTTTAAGAAAGTCGGGGGGTGACAAATATCAAGTAATCATAGCAAATCAAATATCACTAGTCAGATACCTCTTACTAAGGGCCCCTCAGGATGTCATTTTTATTGCACATTCATGATGATTTGTGCTCATGATTTTATCAGGGCAATAATATAAAGTCCTGCTTTTAATACTGTTTGTAGCTTTACATGCTTTGGGGTAGCCACACTTCTTCCTTTTCAGTCAGTGTATATCCCACAACTTCCTGCTGATATCTAGTAACTTTTTATACCACAAATGTTCTGGTTTCTTTTGTTTCACTTCGGTTCCGCTATAGCCTCTCCAGACAGCAATAATGTGATAGCACTGGGGAAGCATCACAGAACAAGCTAAACCAGCTAATCAGTAATGCACTTTCAATAGCCATGTCATTAAACTTCAGATTCACAGCCTAAAATGATCCTGAAACTGTTGAGATATCCATAAGCTATAGACCTGAGTTGGGAGGCCCTTGTGTGTCCAGTCTCTGCATGTCAGATCAATGGAACTGTGGCTTGTATCAAATAATTATTGTGACCCAACAAGAATGGAAAATGCACGTATTCAAGTCCATCAAGATAGCTATTGTAACACACTTCTAAAAAATGACTCTTTTTATTCCCCGGTTAAAGCTGCAATACTATTTATCTGGAAGCAAATCCAACTGAAATACCTGAGGCTTACTTCCAAGTAAACATGGCTGAGGATCAGGCTGTAAATGTGAGCCATGGAAGTGGAGCACTTGAGAAGAGTGTGCTGTCCAATATTTGCCACTAGATGGCTGTTCACTCATATTTATAGCATGTACCAGGAGTAAAGATGGCCATCAACCTGGATGACTTCAAAAGAAGATTAGACCAATTCATGGAGGATAAGGCTACCAGTAGCTGCTAGCCACAATGCCTATGTTCTACCTCTACTGTCAGAGGTGGTATGTCCCTGAATACTGGTTGCTGAAAATCACAAGAGGGAAGAGTGCTGTTAAGCTTGGGTCCTGCTTATAGGCTTCCCATAGATATCTTGTTCGCCACAGTGAGAACAAGATGCAGAACTAGAGGGGCATATTCTTTGCATGCAGAAGGTCCAGTCTCTGGATGCAAGGGTTTGAGGAAGCACTATTATTGGGTCAGATCCCTGCCCAAGACTCTGGCAAGCTGCACTCCATCTGTGTAGGTGATGCTGAGCCAAAGGGACCAATGATCTGAGCCAAAATAAAACAGCTTTCCTATGTTTCTATTCCATTGGCCACTTTTTCCTATTACGTTTGTTATAGTTATGCTCCGTGAGGAAACAATGAAGGCTGTTTCCTCAACCTTTTATTTAAAAGTAAGATAGAAGGTATGGGTCATCTTGTTTGCTTTGTTTCATTTCTTTCTTATGAGCCTGTTGTCATCGTCACCTTTTCTCCCTCTCTTACTTAGGGTGTGATGGTAGGGATGGGCCAGAAAGATAGCTATGTAGGAGACGAAGCCCAAAGCAAGAGAGGGATCCTGACCTTGAAATATCCAATAGAGCATGGAATCATCACAAACTGGGATGATATGGAGAAGGTATTTAAACCACAAATTAAAATAGAATATAATGTAAAATGAATGATAAGCAGAAGCAGGGATTTTTACTGTCTTTTTTTCGGAGGGGGGTGGAAGGTTGTGTTTTGCCTGTGTCTTTTTGGTGAGAACAATCTGCATATCTTCTGTTACTGGGATTTTAATTTTTTCCCCAATAAGTTCATGGTGTTTGGTGTTCCAGTAAGGACTTCACAAGAATGCATATTTGCTGCTATGATTTGGAACTACATAAAGACTAATTAAGAAGTCACAGAAAGAAAATGCAATTAACAAGTTCTGGAAAGTGGTGGCTAGGGCTTCCTTTATCTGGAGTGGGCGTGGGTGCTTCTCCACCACTGCTGGTAATGTATACATCTTCTGCCCATGGAGGTTATCCTTACTCACATTGTGCTTATTGGGAGCTGTTTCTCCTCATTGCTCTCAGTCATTGCAGCTGCAATGAATATTGCATTCACATAGGTGACACCACCCCCTCTCATAGTTCTGAATCAGACATTGCTAGTTTGGGATGGAATTATGCAGTCCACTTAGCCACATGGGCAGAAGATATAGATCAAGAGTGGGCAGAGGAGTAGATTGGGATTTGCAATGGTTTGAAAATTGTGACGATTAAAGTGTTTTCCCCACCTCCTGTATTAGGCTGCTGAAAGCTTGGGGGGGGGGGTAGGATTATTTGTGTGAGAACAGATTTGTGTGCAAGCTCCAGTTTTGTTACTGAAAGCATGTGCCTGTGGCGTTTGTACAGAGCCCCCAGTCGTTTCACGGACTATTGACCTGTACACCACTGCTTTATTCTTCTGCTGCCACCAACCAGGTTTCTTCTGGTGAAATACTGAGTCTCAGTCAGGTTGTAAAGTCAACATGAAGATTAAAGTTTATTGAAGAACAAACAAGTTTTAAATATGTTCAGAACAGTTTCTCAAATGCGCGCCCTTAACTAGATGTGGCACTATCTCACACTGTCACACTTCTCTCTCAGTTCTATCCCTGTCTCTCTCTGTCACAACCGCTATATTCATCTTTTACTCGATCTGTCTGACTCTGACTCTCCTATCTTCCAATGGTAAAGCCCCTGGGCTGAGCCTCAAAAACAGATAGGCTCCACCTCTGAGCTTTCTCACTGGTCAATCTACATTAACCATTCCCATCCCCCTGTACAAACATAATCACAAGGAATGGGCAAATGCCACAGTGCTCAGGAACACTTCAGTCCACAATGCTATGTCTGCCTTCTTGAGCCATGAGGGTCCAGTAAATTATCCAAGCCTAAAATCTGCCTACCCTTGATGTAGAAGAGGTTACCTGGGCTGACATGGATGAAACTATGGAGATATAGCACTTGCAGTCTAAAACATTCAGTTCTAATGTCTCATAAGTGTTCTGTAGCTACTGGAGGTTCAGAAATATTGTCAAGGTGGGTTGGTGGCCTGTGGCTGTTTATTATAATATTATAATAAAAATTCACTTTGCTTTTTATTAATACAGATTTGGCACCACTCTTTCTACAATGAGCTGCGCGTTGCCCCCGAAGAACATCCAACTCTGCTTACAGAAGCACCTTTGAACCCCAAAGCTAACCGAGAGAAAATGACACAGGTAAACAGCCTCTTCTTAGCATTAAGGTCCTTGAATTACTATATATTTATGTATTTCTCCGTTAAAGTTCTATACGGTGTAGATGCCAGCTGTATTTCTGATTGTTGATGTGGGTTATACACTGGTTTTGGTGGTTCTTTCTTCTGAGTTTGTAGGTGACCTTTATCTGTATTGGACTCTGTACTTCAGGACAATAAAAGGATTAACTCTTACTTTTCATTGAATGGTTGGGATTTCAGTTCATGTTGTTAATATTTCATGGCACCACATATATATTGGTGTGAAACCCATTTCAACTACCCTGGTTTCCTGAGAATTGTAATTTTCTGAGGAATGGAAGTGACTATTAATCCTGCTTAGGTTTGTAAACATCCCCTAGCTGCATAGTACTGATTTTTATTTCCTTAGAAAAGATGTCATGTTATACATTAACCCTCTCTAAATTAATGGAAACTTCTGTTGTTAGTCATGAGTTCTATTGATCCAGTTAGTGGAACCTGCTGTATTTGCAGGTTCTGGATGCATTGATTAGGATTGTGGAAATCATTTAAATTATGTGCTGTTGGTAATTAATGGTTACGACCCTATTGCACAGAGTAACAAAGACAATAGCACAAACCCGATACTTTCATTTTGTTTGTTTGTGTTTAATTACTTTTCAGATTATGTTTGAGACTTTCAACGTCCCAGCTATGTATGTTGCTATTCAGGCAGTTTTGTCCCTCTATGCTTCTGGGCGTACAACAGGTAAGAAAGTGATGGGAGTTTTTGGATTTGTGAAAAGGAAGAAGAGTACATAGATATCAGGATAAATTCTGCCCGTTTTGTGTTGTATCTAGGGATTGTGCTTGATTCTGGGGATGGTGTCACCCACAATGTGCCAATCTATGAAGGCTATGCACTGCCTCATGCCATCATGCGCCTGGACTTAGCCGGCCGTGACCTTACCGACTACCTCATGAAAATCCTGACAGAACGTGGCTACTCATTCGTTACTACTGGTAAGAGAAATACTTAGGATTGAGATTCGCTGAACATACTTTTAGGAGCTTTACAGACACGTGGTTGCTTTCAGTAATGGTGAACAAGTTTTTCTATTAACACATCTTGCCTAGCACTATGTCTCCTGACCCCCTGGATGTGATGTGGAGACAGATGGGCGGCGGGTGAAAGCCCTATTCTGCTAGTGCTGGCTCCCGCTAGTTCAATCTGGCCCAAAATGTTTTGCAAATTCGTAACATTTGGGGGCTTCCTGCTGGGATGTGTATTTATTTATTTTGAACACAGAAATTTGCAATTTTAAAAGCAAAGCAAGAGTCCTGTTTCATTATCATGAATAATACTGAACTAAAGATAAGCAATGCAGTTCCTTTCTTTGATTGCCAAAATTCTTTGGCAATCACTCGTAGCCGAGTAAGATCAATCAATCATTCTTTGATTGCTGAAATAGTGTGATTTACACAGTACTGTTTGTAATTTAAACACAAATCTTTGCTTTGAATCCCATCTGCAGCTGAACGTGAAATTGTCCGTGACATCAAGGAGAAGCTTTGCTATGTTGCCCTGGACTTTGAAAATGAGATGGCCACGGCTGCTTCTTCATCATCCTTGGAAAAAAGCTATGAGCTGCCTGATGGTCAGGTGATCACAATAGGGAACGAACGTTTCCGCTGCCCAGAGACACTCTTCCAGCCCTCTTTCATTGGTAAGATAACTTGCACTGTTTATTGGCCAATTATATTATTATACACCTGCAAGAAATTCAGTCACCTCGCTCTAAATGGCTATACCTACTTGGTTAATAAAAATGGAGAACAAGTAGTCCTCGGGATGTCATTAGACTACAACTCCCATCATCCCTGGTAATGATAATGGATGCTGAGCTGATGAAAGTTGGAGTCCAACTTCCTCTCGGGGGCTATAGGTTTCCATAACTGCTTCTACGCCAACACAACCAACGATCCTTGAACACCCATCCCTCAGTTCACTTCACTTTCTGATTTGCTTTATATGCTAGAGGTGATGTGGACATGTTTTGTCAGGAGCTGGCTCCCTGACAAGTGTACAAAAATAGCATAAACTAAGGCTTAAGACAGCAAAGTGAACTTGCTGCCTTAGGGTAAATGCATGTTATTGTTGGCAGCTGTAACATTTGGGAAGAGTTGTTTGAGAATCAAATTTGGATATAGTAGCAGCATTCCTTGCCAGGGAGATGGTCCAAGCAGTTACATACCTGTGAATTCTAGATTCAGGTAGGTAGCCGTGTTGGTCTGTCACAGTAGAAATAAATTAAAAAATTGTCCAGTAGCAGCTTAAGAGACCAACTAAGTTTGTTCTGGGTACTGTATAAGCTTTTGTGTGCATGCACACTTCTTGAGATACACTGAAACAGAAGTCACCAGACCCTTATAGATAATGGGAGGGTGGGATGGGTTTTTTTCCAGAAGGGTAGTAGGGGATGGGTGACTGACTCAATGGTAAAGCTGTTGACGACTGTTAATAACTGCAATTAGTCCTAAAGGAAAAAGCAAGGGATAGTATGCAGATGACCAAAAATAGCTTTAGCGTGTGTAATGAGACAAGAATCCAATATCTCTATTCAGACCAGGTCTCTGAATGTCAATTCATATACCTATGAATTGACATGTTTTGAAAAGCCCAACTCTAGCTGGATATGTAAATGTTGAATAACTGTATTAGGAATTCTTAGCCTGCATTGAAAATTGTAAAGGTGCCTCTATTCTTCTTTCAGCTCTGTCATTCCCTTTATAAGAAACATTTTAAGAAACCAATTATTGCACTTCAAATAACTTTTGCCTGACTTCAACCTGCCACAAGATATTGGGGATTTTTTTCTAGTTAAGTGTGCACACAGTTAATTGACTTCTATATGCTAGGCTTTGAATAACAATTTCTCTCAGCCTTGAATTAGTTTAAGGCTACAGTGGTACCTTGGTTTTCAAACGTAATCTGTTCCGGAAGACCGTTCGACTTCTGAAACGTTCGAAAACTGAAAGCGGAAGCCTCAATTCAATAGGGAAACTCAAAACGGAAGCTGTGTAGTATGTTCGGCTTCCAAAAATTATTTGAAAACCGAAGCAGTTACTTCCGGGTTTTTGGCATTAAGGTTCCGAAACGTTCGCCAATGGAGACATTCAAGAACCGAGGTTCTACTGTATTTCATTAAGGTTCATTCTAACATCTTGTCCACACCTTCACAGGTTGGTGGCTACTGGGTTCAGTCTTCTCAGTTGTGGCACCCACAATTCTACTATCCTAAGGCATGATTAGAATTTTAGGATACCCTCCCCAGGCAGATCCATCTGCCACTTAACATATATGGCACCAATTTAAAACTATTTCATTCTCCGAGGCCTTGACAGTGGGTGCATTTTGAATTTATTATTTTGTTGTTGCATGTATTTAAGTTTATCAATTGTTTCTGGTCCTGTTTTCTTTCTGATTGCCATTTTCCTAATTATTATAATGGATGTATTTTAACACTTGACTATAACCCACACTTGGAGAGGCAGCTCAAAAGTTGGAAAGCCAAGGCAAATATATTTTAAATAAATAATTTCTCAACCATCACAGGCATGGAATCTGCTGGCATTCATGAAACCACCTATAACAGCATCATGAAGTGTGACATTGATATCAGAAAAGACCTCTATGCAAACAATGTACTATCTGGTGGAACCACTATGTACCCTGGCATTGCAGACCGAATGCAAAAGGAGATCACTGCCCTGGCACCCAGCACTATGAAAATCAAGGTACTGCATTATTTGATTATTATCTAATTTATAGTGGCAAAGTAGGCCAGCATATTTTAAGGTGACTAGCTAGCTTACATATTTTAATGTAACTAAGATAAGCCAGACAGGGATATGTAAAGCCCTTAATAAAATCTTGATGCAGAAAAGATTAAAGCTAACTAAACAACTTATCCCACTCCCAAGCCAATATAGGGAAAGACTGAAGAAAGTAGAAGACCAAGCAGAGGGGATTCCCAGCAGCACAGTGATTCTAGGGCGAGTTTACACCATTTAAAAAAAAATATTGCAAGAAAATATAATTAGATTATTTTATGATGATACTATGGTTAAGCTCCTGTAAGTACCCTGGTGATCTTCCCCAAGGTTTTGCAGGAAATCACCCACCCAATTTAAACTGCCTTTAAAAACAGGGCAAAATATAAATCTGATCACGTAAGAGTGCTTTTGCAAGAATACTGAATTGCCCCAGGTGAACGAAACCCAGTGTTTACTTTTCTCCTGTCAAAAACGATTGCATAAGCACTTATTTAGATAGGAAGACTTTAGAAGCAGCTCTTACCTGCTTGTGTCAGATACACAAGTATGGACAGATAAAACTCTTTTGTTTACCCATTTTTGCCATAGGAATGGCTTGCATCACTCCACTGAATTAAATTTCTTCATGCAGTTCATTTTATCATTGCATACAGCATTTTAGCTACATCCATTTCTCTTTTGTACAGATTATTGCTCCCCCTGAACGCAAGTACTCCGTTTGGATTGGTGGTTCTATCCTTGCCTCTCTTTCCACCTTCCAGCAAATGTGGATCAGCAAACAAGAATATGATGAAGCTGGTCCATCTATTGTTCACCGCAAATGCTTTTAAACTGCTTCTCTCTTTCCTATTTTTTTTCTCTCTCTCTCCTTTCCTCTCTCCCCGAGCACATTACTGTGAATATATTCAGGAATAGCAATGTTTTTATAACTCCATTCCACTTATCTTAAGAACAATGGCTCTGGCTATGTTTCCAGTTAGATTCTGTGTATTTTGGGGGGTAGGGGTGGGGATAGAATAAATTGTAAACATGCTACCAGTTGGGTGCTTGCAATTTTTCTTAATAAAAACACCTCCAGTTGTTCTTACTCAGCTGAAAAACTGCAGTTCACAAAAGTCATGGAATCTAAGACAGAAAATTCAGATGCGCTGTAAATGTTCCATCACTGTCACTGTTTCAAGTCCACTTTATTTTCATAGTATTTCAGCATAATAACATATCCTGATTGAATGCCACCATGAACTCTATCATGACAGAACAACAAAATAACCTCAAAATGGGAAAGGGCAATAAATATCAAATTATTAAATCTAAAATGTACAAATATAAAATGTCAGTAACTTTTGGAACTGTAGGAAAATCTGGCAGCCATGTTCTCCTTTGGGCAGCTGTTTTTGAGGTGGTTTGTTTTCCCATCCACATCACCTCAGGTCCAATACAGTTATTTTTACATCTTTCCCAACGACGTGTTTACATATCTGCAAAAGAAGTCGCCAAAATCAATCACGGATATACGTCGGTGAGGAATCTGCTGCAAGAGGCAAATTGCCTCTGAAGTCAATCGAGAACATGCTGTTTAAGAGACAGCAGATCATGAAAACGTTTCTGTTTGAAAATATGGTACTTCTCCTGGAGGTTAGTGCTGGCTCAGAGGAAAAGAACCATGGTGCCCATAAAGCAGCATTCTCCCTCCTCATCCTTGCCTTGCCATCTCTTGTAACTCACACATCAAATTGGAGGCAGTAGTTCCCCAGTCTCAGGCTGCCTACATTCCATACATTTAAAGCACATGACTTCCCCCAAAGCATTCTGGGAACTGTAGTTAACCTTCACAACGCACAATGCCTAGCACCCTTAAATAACTACAGTTTCCAGGATGCTTTTTTGTGGGGGGAGAGGGGACATTTTATATGCTTTGAATGCTGTGCATACAGCCTAAATCACATCTTGGTCAATGTAAGACCAGTCACATTTTTTTCCTGCAGCCTTATGAAAGTGGATGTTTGGTGTCTGTGATGTTGGAAAATTAGTGCTTTAATTGTGACCAAAAAGCAGGAACAATGGGGTGAAATGGAAGAGAGTACACTTTAACTTAGTTAAATTTAAAATTAGTGTATTTTAGTTCAGAGCAGCTGGGCTGCATATATAAACCTATGCAGTTTACGCTTCTTCCTCACCAGGCAAAAATAAACATTTCCAGTGAAGGGGAAGGAGAAGGAGAATTCACATTTCCTCTCTCCCACTTTCTAGATGAGTTCTGTATACTCCAGAAACAAATAAAGAGAACACCCAGAATGACAGAGCACAACTCTCTTTTGAGGAAAGGTTACAGAATTGGGGGCTTGTTAAATTGGAAAAAGAGTTACAGGGGCATGATAGGAGAGAGTGGATGGGGAGAAGCTTCTCTCCCTCTTGGAGATTCAAGGCAGACAAAAAGGAAGTGCTTCCTCACACAATTATGGAATTCACTCCTGCAAGACATTGTGCTGGACAAACAAACACACAGACAGACAGACATACTCAGCCAAACTGTTGAGAAGTAATGCTTACATTAAATAGTCTAGGATCCTTGGTATGGGGATGAAAGCCCTTCTTTTTACAAGCAGAAACTTCCAACATGCCAGCATTAGTAAGTCTGAAGACTCCCGTGCTAGAAAGCAAAGAAAGTATTATGTCCAAGGAAGCAAACAGAACAGAGCAAAAAATTAAAAAAAAATGTACGTCTCAATAATGTGTGAAAAATCAGATGCATGAGCAACTTTAGGGAGTTTGCCAGAGGAGCATTTCAATTTAAGCTCACACCTGAGGACTAAGACAAGGACAGCTCAATTCTATGCAGCACCAGTAGCAGAAGAGGTACGTATATACAGCAACTGTAACAGCTTCCTATGAAAGAAAAGTTGCTTAAGATTAATCCAGCTCTGCCCAACTGTATTTATAAATGATGCACCAGCAGGAGAGCGGGTTCCTTCACCAGAGAAGAGGATACTTCCTCTCTCCTAGTGATGAAATGGGTCATTTCTGTAGCACATTTGCATCACATATGTAGGATTGTAACTGCTGCCTCAAGTATTGGACACACATGATGCAAATGATGCCACACTGCATCCAGTGTGACATCATGAGCAGAGTAATATCCAAAAAGTAGATCTTGCTGTGGAAAATTCTGAACTTGCCTAAACCAGACTAAAATAATTGCAATTGATTAAGCATTTAATTTTTAACTTAATCCATCAAGGTTGACTGCACCTGCACATTACATGTTAAAAAGACTCAAATTTAATCTCCAACTAGAAGGATATCAAGTAGCAAAGCTGGCAGAGATGCTTGCTTTGGAACCTATCCCTGGAGAAGCCACTGCCAACCACATGAGATCACACTGGGCTACATGGTCCAATGCCGTATTTTGTATGTTCAAGTTTTATGCTCAACACTTGAAATAAAGTTCATCTCCTTATTTCCCTTTTTCCATTCCCCACAACAGTAAAGCAAAATTGCACCAAAAAATAAATATGCCTACAAATTAACATTCCCACCAAATAAACTGAGTTAAAAAAACAAATGCCTATAGCACAAAATTACCCAACGCAGTAACTTGCCTCCAGTGAGGAGTGGATGAGGATATGCATGCATGTGGACCTCTATGGACTCGAGTATAAGCAGACCCAAATATAAACCGAGGCACCTAATTTTACCACAAAAAAACTGGGAAAACTTATTGACTCGAGTATAAGCCTGGGGTGGGAAATGCCGACAGCGGCAAAGGCGGCGGAGGAGGAAGGAGCAGCCCCAAAGGGCTGCCTTCGGGCTGCTCGTTCCTCTTCCCCTGCCAGTAACAGCCTTTGCCGCTCGCAAGGGCAAGCACAGGAGCCACGCTTGGCAGAGCGGCAGTGGCACTAGCAGCGGCAGCAAACAGTAAGTGGGACCCAAGTATAAGCTGAGGGGGGGGGCTTTTTCAGCATTAAAAATGTGCTGAAAAAGTCAGCTTATACACAAGTATATACACTAATCAAAATCTTTAAAAGAAAACAGGGACCCTGAAATTAAATTGCCACTTAAAATTGCCAATATGAATTAACAATAAGAATTAAGTCTAAGTTGGGACTTCCGGGGTGGCGCCATCGGTAATGGCGCACTCCCTCTGATCTGGAGGGACTGGCTCTACAGAAATCGGGTCTGTTCCGCTACGGCGAAGCGGGGACCCTTTAAAAAATCACAGGCGGGTGAAGCCTGTGACCGTGGGACTCGGCGGGCACCTTTCGCGCCCCCCCAATTTGTAAAGGAACCCAATTACGGGCTCCGGAGCGAAGCGGGGCAAGTGGCGCGGTGCTGAGAGTCAACTGCTTCTTCTGTGGAGTGAAGCCGCACAGCCGTTACCAGAGAGCGCTACCTTTTTCCTGTGACAATCTGGCTACAAAAACAACTACCCGTGAGTAGGTTAAATTTGGACAATTGGACTCTAAACAACGACCCGTGAGTAGAACGGAAAATTGGACTAAGAAATTCTTTTTAATTTGGCACTGAAGCGGGAAGGTCTAAACAGGAAGTCAGCCTTCCGCTTTTTGTAGAAAGATTAAAGCAAAGACATGGCAAGCTAGAGTTTAGAAAATCGTTTGTAAAGGATCAACTTTCATCATCTAAAATTTACTGAACCCCCTTTGGAAGCAGGAGAAGAGGGGGAATTTTTTCTGGACTGTTTAAGCCTGCAGAAGAGAGGGTAAAGAAAAGCAATTTTCCACCGTCTTGAACCTGGGAGCGGGGTGTCAGGACAGACGTTTTCGGGAAGTTCATTGACTATAGACAAACGTTTTTGACAGACAGTTAAAAGAAGAGAAACATAGTGATTCCATTGTTCTCCTTCGCAGCTAAAAGGAACAAAATATTGACAAAATATCTGAAAAAGGAAACTTTGTTGTTAGATCTGCTTTAAAAAAAAAAAAGAGATGGATACAAATAGAAGTTCTTCCCCTAGAGGGAGCTTGTGAAACTGTTGTTAAATTTGAAATGGGGAGCTTTGCAGCTGCAATAGATTAAGATCGTGGGATCAGACTTTGACCTTGCACAACAATGTACTCGGAGGCTCTGGTGCGTGCTTTCTGCAAGACAAGTGCTTTATTGGAACAGTTACATGAGAAGACGGATTTGATGACTGTTGCGATCAGAAATTTTGGACAGGTAGTGGGTATCTATATAGAACCCACTCAGGAATCAATTCAGGAGTGTGCTCTGACAGATCAGATGAGGGAGGAGGTTGTGGCTGGACCTCGGGAGGCAGAGATGGAGGGAACTGTGGCCCAGCAGGAACATGAGTTGTTGGATCTGACGAATGAACCTGGAAAAAGCCAGATTTGGAGAGATAGAGTCTTGTTTGGCTTGGAGATGGGGGGCTGGATAGACCCCCCTATGCAGGGATGTTTTGACTTTTCAAGTCTGGCGTTGGGCCAGGAGGAGTTTGGAGTTGTGGGGGTCCTCAACTTTGGAGGGACCTTGAAACATGCTTTTAAATACCACATGGAGTCCAGTGTGGACTATGGAAAATGGGCTGATCTGTCGAGAAGGGACAAAAATATTGTCAAGCTGGAGTCTCCACGAGTGAAAGGAGTAGAAGACAAAGTAAAGTACAGGTATAAATATGAAGAACATCTGCGGAAGGGACATGGAAGAGACTTAAGGGCCTCGGACATAAGGTTACCAGGTTAATGAACTAGATGGATGGGATAGAAAGGACTGACAAAACCCGAGACCAGGGAAGAGACGTTGGATGAGGATTGGAAGAAAGTTTTTAAAATTCTACTTAGGAATGTTTTGTAAAATTAATGAGTATTAGAAAAATGTTGGAACAAAATTATTTGGCTTTAGCAGAAATGTTAAAAAGAACTATGTAAGAATATGCTATGGTTATGAGAAATTGGTATAAATAAGATTTAAGTTTTAAGTTTTAGGATTTTTTATGGTAAGATAAGGTTAAAATAGATTAAGGTAATTTAATGACAGAATATTATGAAAAATGGAAAGGATTTGCTGTGATAATCAACAACTAGAACACAAAAAAGGGAGATGTGAGGAGGTCGATGAAATAAGGTAATGACAGTTAAGGATTTGGGAATATTGGATCTGTTTTTAAATCTTTGTGGTTTATTTTTGCTTTTTGCTTTTGATGCGCTATGTGTTTTGTTTTTGCTTTTTGATTTTGATTTTTATCGATTTGTATTGTTTAATTGCGATTTGTTTTTTTCTTGTTTTTTCCTTCTTTTTCTCTTTGTTTTTTTTCCGTAATTTTAAAATTTTCAATAAATATCATTTTTTTAAAAAAATAAGTCTAAGTTACAGTCCAAGTTACAATACAGTTCCAGTCCAAACCTGTACTTCAACCCTGTACTTCAATTCTTCACTTTGTCTGTAGTTCTGTAGTTTGCTGATTACAGAGACATCTTTCTGAACATTGCTGATGGATGGAGTCAGAGAGAGAGAGAGAGAAATAACTTACTCGTTATGTTTTGGTGAACAAACAATTGCAATAGCCTCCGGTAGCATTAGCTGATAAGAACAATGTGTATGAAGATCAACACTGGATAAGAATGCCGTCTGTGTCGGATGTGTCTACAAAGAAAGAAAGGAAAATGTCTACTTAGTGGATGGATTTTTTTTTTTTTAACAGATCAAGGTCAAATACAATCAAGGAGAAATCATAGTTAATCTGAAGGCTTGTTGTATGATTTTCTAGCAACCGTTTATGTTATTTCCTTCACCCAAACAGACAGCATGACAATTCTCATCAGCAAAGAGGGTGCTTCAAAGTCATAGCAAAGGTACCTGTTGTAAGTTACTCACTGCACCATAGGTGGGCTGGTAAGGAAAGGGAAATTACTGAAAGGAACAGAAAACTAAAGCCTTTGACCATGAAACTATATCAAAGAAATAGGGGCAGAAAATGACAAACTACTACATGGAAAATTTAATTAAATTGGCAGGTATAGGTATATAATTTGCATTGTTTTGGTCAGACATACAAACGATTGACGGGGATGTAATCTGTCTTTCTTGTTTGTAGCTGAAAAAACAGTGCACAGTGCTAATTGCCTGACTCCTATGACAATCACAAAACAGCCTCCCCAGAGGAATTTCCCCCTTGACTGACTGAAGTTTAAACTTCACCCCCAAAATGGGATGGGAAGTCCCCAAGCAAATGTTTTCTTGCAAAACTTTTCAAGGCACTTGGGGGATGTGGGAGGCAATGCCTGGCACATACTGAAGTGATTATTTAATTGCTTTGGCACATGTCCAACTGGCAAGCTCACCTGAGCCACTGTTCAGGACATTTCTTTGGCTTTGAGGTTGAACGTGGCATGAGCTGAACATACTTCAGCGGTCACCGTTCAATTTCTGCATGTGCTCTGTTCTGTATGGATCCCTTCAGGCAGCACACAGCACTCAAATATAGGCCTAACATTTGCCAGCAACACTAAGGGCAGGTATGAACACTGATAGCATGATAAAAAAACAACCCCAAAATGCTGAGCGACAGGTCTGGGAGCATGTGCGCCCACCTCTACTCAAAGGAAAGTGAGACATATGGAATGGGAATGCACATTGAAAGTATATGCCAGTTAGTCGTATTTACCAGGGCCAATTGGGGGCGGGGGTACATTTGCAAAATAATACCAGCATTTTAATCAGGAACGCTGTGTTGGGGGAAAAGTTAACGTCTTCTCTCCCTACAGTCCTGGTCACTGTTTCCCTGTGACTGCTATTTAAATTTTGAAAAGATCAGTGTCTATACCTACCTAGAGTTGCTATATATATTCTTGCAATGCCTTTTTTTTTGTATGGCTGCAGCATTTAATGACTTATTTGTTAATTTGCCTATTTGTTAATTTGCCTATTTAACAACAGTTGCATACCACTTATTTATAATAAAACATCTAAACGGTTTCAAGGTACATCAGTAAATCAGTTTAAAATAATGACAATTAACAGTAAGAAAGATTAAAACACATAACCATCTCCGTGTCTGGATAGAGTTGCCTAAGCAAAAATATTTTAAACAAATGTTTTAATTAATTGAATTAAAGCTCAAAACGTGTCCTGGTTTATGGTATCCTAATTAAACTGGTAGAATATATATTTTTAATGCATCATTATCATTATTAGTAGCAGTAGTAGTAGTAGTACTTATAATGTCTCCTAAAGGATGCATCTGCCTCTTTCTATCACACAAGAATTTTTTTGTTAAAAAAATGGGATGACAATATGCCCTGCTATCATAAGCACTTCTGTGTAGGCATAACAAATCTGAAGATCTAGTCAACAAAAGTAGACAGACCTGTACTTGTTGAAAGATTTGCAGTGCCCTAAGGGGCTACAGAACACTTGGTACATGTGGGTAGCAGGAAGGTTAAGGAGGAATAGTCTAGGGATAGTGCTTTCATTTTGAAAACAAACTGAATGCACTACCTTTCACTTTCCATTACGACAAGCATAAAACAATAACGAATGTGAAAAACAAATGTCAGTGCATGTGTCATGTTACAGGCAGTAGCAGACAAGATGGGTCTCCACTGAAATCCATGGAAAAATTAAACCAGAGTAAAATGGAAATAAACCAATGCAACTAAAATGAAGATAAAGCAAAAAGGACGTCGGCTTAAAAACAAAACCAACCCCCCCCCCATTGCACACCCTTAGAATAGTTTACCAAAAATATTGTTTCTGTAAGGAATGTCTTCTGCCTATTTCTTCACTGAGATCCACAGCATATTTATGTATATACGTACATGGATCCAGCCCAGAGTGAGGAGATCGTGTTGGTCTTGAACACTGAACAGCTCTTCCACATTCTCCATGTCGCAATAATCTGGCCCCGCAGACTGTTTTGGCACTATCACATGAGTAATAGTGAATTCGTTATGGGTCTGTAAAATAAAAGTGTGGCAAGATAGCTTTGGGAACAAGCACTGAACGTCGACCCCCAGAACCATCACCATTACCAACCAGATCAGTTTTTAGTGCTCTTATCATAGTTGCTGTGCTGATTTACACCAAGCGATACTCAGGTTCATCACAGTAACAGACAAAGCAGCAATGGTGGAGGTCAACATTGATATTAAAATACTATATACATGGACAAGCATTTAAAGGGAAGATTGAAAGTTGCCATATTAACTGAGTCAAAGCTTTAGTCCATCTAGCTCGGCATTTTCTACACTGACTGGAAGCATAGCTGTCAACGTTTCCCTTTTTTAAAGGGAAATTCCCTTATTCCGAATAGGATTCCTCGCAAGAAAAGGGAAAAGTTTACAGCTATGACTGGAAGTGACTCCAAGGATACAGACAGCACTTTTCCACAACCCTTACCTGCAAATGCCTGGTACTGAACATGGAACCTTCTGCATTAAAAGCACTGAGCTACAGCCAGTGTGCGCCATGCTTATGTAAAGATACGGCAGGAAATGCTACCTTTTCTTAGTATGAAATCTTATTCACACTCACTTGCGAATGGAATTTACTTCTCAGTAAACATAGATAGGGTTGGGTTTCACAATGCAGTATTTTTTTTTTAATCTTCTTACTAGCCAGAATATATATTATTTTAATATCTGTGTATGTTTTCCCCTGTGTGCCAGGTTGAGTACTTTCTATATCAGCCGTATTTCAAATACCATTTCGCAGTTAACTATTGGTGTAAAGTGAACATTAGGCAACAGTGTGCATTATTTATCTAGGAAGCAAAATCCAAGCAATAATAGCTAAGTGATATTTGCTATAATTTCTCTCCACTCATACATACACACAAAATCTGATATTCAGAATCTGATATGCCACAGCATTAGCTCCCACTATATTTAATATTGGTTTTCCTGCAACAAATTCTCATTTGTGTTTCATGAAAACCATTACAAAAAATCCTTTAGTGGAGGTCTAACTTCACAGCAGAATGATTTAATAGCATTACATGCTTCCCATTGCCTAAGATCAATGATTTATGCTCCTCCCCCAAAAGGCAAACAGCAGACCACAGTTCAGTAAGAATTTCTGAGAAGTAAAGTCAATTATGTAGCACACTTACACTCCACATCTGCTTTTGCTCTGATATCAGTTCATTACAGGAAAATACAGTACTATCAAAAGTGCCTTCCCCATACAAATGTGAAGGTTCAACTGTACCAGTTTTCCACAGAGAATTCCACATGTCTCTATTCCTCTTACTGTATTTGCCTCTGCTAGCAGCAGAAATTTGTGGCAAAGATCCTTGGGCAGAACCACACTTCGCAGCCCTTCAGCCACATTGTCTAAAAAGAGAGAGAGAGTAAGAGTGTCATTTATGCAGAGATAAAGGTAAGGTAAGGGATGCGGGTGGCACTGTGGTCTAAACCACTGAGCCTCTTGGGCTTGCTGATCGGAAGGTCAGTGGTTCGAATCCCCACGATGGGGTGAGCTCCTGTTGCTCAGTCCCAGCTCCTGCCAACCTAGCAGTTTCTGTCACGGTGTTCCATTGCATCAGAAGCAGTTTAGTCATGCTGGCCACATGACCTGGAAAGCTGTCTATGGACAAACATCCCTCGGCCTGAAAGTGAGATGAGTGCTGCAACCCCATAGTCGTCTTTGACTGGACTTAACCGTCCAGGGGTCCTTTACCTTTTTACATTTATGCAGAAGTCTACAGTATTAAAATGCTCTTATACAATACAATTTAAAAAGTGCTTGACTGACTTGAATACATGTACAAATTCGGAGGCTAATTTTTTAATAATTTATTTTGCATTTATTCATTTATTTTGGAAATTTATACACTACCTAGCTACAGTCAGAATTCAGGGTAGATATAAAGACACTGCAAGTGACTGTCCCATTTCTAGCAGTGATTTTCTTCTGCGCCTGTTTCTGTTGCCCTCTACTTATGGCAAATGGCTTATGCAACAAAGAGAGGCTGAAATTTCTATAAAATATCACAAGCTATATAGGTTGGACAGCTACTAGAGTTGCTGCAGTCTCACTTATTTGGTGTGTGCATTTTAGGATTTGAGTGCCAGTGTGATGTAGTGAAAAAGCTGGTTTGGGATCCCTGCTCAACCATGAAGGTCATTAGCTGACCTTGGGCCGTTCGGCAACATTCCAGGATGAATGAGCAGTTATTAAACAGAATTTATTGAACTTTTGGAAGCATAGTTCCAGAATCAGGGTTTCAAAGAGGTTTGAGTGAATTAAAAAGCTAAAGGTAAAGGGAAAGGAGTGATGAGGAATACAGAGAAACAGCTTTATGAAGGTAAACTAGAGGCATGGAAGAATGCAAGCTACGTGAATGGAAGCCTGAAAGAAGGGAGATCTGAGACTCAAATATTTCTCTTGAGCAAACCAACGAATAGGGTATACTAGAAGTCAGTCACAAACACACAACTTAAAGCACACCATGACTTCCATATCATGAGTGAGGTATTGTCTTGGATACCTTCGTTAGGTTGAACTGCCAATTATTTATTCATGGCTTTTCCTTTTTAGGGAAAAACCACTCAGTTCAAATGGAGGTCTGAACGAGTAACTGGGCAACCTTTACAGAGCTCCCCATCCAGAACGTGGAAACACATTTCTAACCAGATAAAAGATACCTATGTGTGTATCGAAGTTTCAGAACATGCTCTATGCTGTAACATTTCAACTGTTTGAGATTTTAATCATTGGCATTGTGTAGATTTTTAGGTGAAATCTTTCATGTACATTAGTACCTTGGGTTACATACACTTCAGGTTACAGACGCTTCAGGTTACAGACTCCGCTAACCCAGAAATAGTACCTCGGGTTAAGAACTTTGCTTCAGGATGAGAACAGAAATCGTGCTCCGGCGACGCAGCGGCAGCAGGAGGCCCCATTAGCAAATGTGGTGCTTCAGGTTAAGAACGGACCTCCAGAACGAATTAAGTACTTAACCCGTGGTACCACTGTATTCCAATTTATATTGGATGCCACCTGTTGCGAACCTTAGCCACACAGTTGGCTATAGAGTCTAACAGTGCAATAACATGGGAAGAAGACAACAACAACAAAATTGCTCTCTTACTCTGAACAGCACTTAGAGTAGCAGCTGGCTTTAAGGCCCGACTTATGGGAGGAGACTGTCCATCACTCTTGTTTGCAATTGTTGTGGGGAAAGAATTATTCAGATGTGTTGCAGTGCACGACGATAACGTGCTCCCATCAGTCTGCTCAGATGTAATTGAATTATCCTTAGTTTTCTCATCACGGGCTCTTTCTTGCTTCTTCAGTTGATCTTCAAAGAACTGAAACTGTTCTGTTTCCAGCTGCTGTTGACGAATCTGTGCAATCCGCTTCTTCTCTGCTTCTATCAGTTTCTGTTGCTCTAGCTTCTTGAGTAATTCAGCTTTGCATTTGCCCTGAAAAATATATTACATGAAAAAATCCAATGTACAGCCCACAGTGGTTCAAACCACATTAGATATGGCAGATCCAATTGTTTAAATGCTTGTTCCATTCACATATAAAGTGGAGTACAGTGGTACCTCAGGTTACATACACTTCAGGTTACATACGCTTCAGGTTACAGACTCCATTAACCCAGAAATAGTACCTTGGGTTAAGAAATTTGCTTCAGGATGAGAACAGAAACTGGGGGCCCCATTAGCTAAAGTGGTGCTTCAGGTTAAGAACAGTTTCAGGTTAAGAATGGACCTCCGGAACGAATTAAGTACTTAACCCGAGGTACCACTGTACTATTTAATGGCCAAGAGTGTATGGGGATGGGGAGAATGATTGAGCATACCTTCAGTCTGTAGCTTTCCCCCTGCAGAGCTTACTTCTGGTACTGGACCTTAAGAAACAGACTTCTGGGTAAACTGTCCAATACCTCGCTCCTGGCTGCATAGCTCTCTGACCCTTTCAGTTGCACCACCCACACTTGCTTTGCAAGTGATGGGTCTGCCACCATCATGCATATTCTGGGCTTCGGAAAGGATCCTTTCCTCTATGAGCACGAGCACAGGCAGTGAATACTGGCAAAAATAAATACAGTGGTGCCCCGCAAGACGAATGCCTCGCAAGACGGAAAACCCGCTAGACAAAAGGGTTTTCCGTTTTTCAATGCGCTTCGCAGGACGAATTTCCCTATGGGCTTGCTTCGCAAGACGAAAATGTCTTGCGAGTCTTGAGATTTTTTTTCGCTCCCCCCCCCTTTTTCTAAGCCGCTAAGCCTTTAATAGCCTTTTAGCAGCTAAGCCGCTAAGCCTTTAATAGCCGCTAAACCGCTAATAGCGCTAATCCGCTAAGCCGCTAATAGGGTTGCTTCGCAAGACGAAAAAACCGCTAGACGAAGATACTCGCGGAACGGATTAATTTCGTCTTGCGAGGCACCACTGTAATGTCAAGGAACTGACACACGTTTATTGCTGGATATGATTCTTGGCCAAACTCTTTGGCAAGGAATAGTGCAGTGCAGAATATGGCTGCATTGCCTGTGGGCCTTATAGTTCTTGGCACCCATGTTGTTTGGGCATGGCTGCCTACTTGTGTGTTGCCGGGGGATGGAGGAAGGGTTTGCATCAATCCAGTGGAACACTTTCGTGGATCAAGAGGTAACAAAGGACTTTGGTTTCTCAATAGATAGCTGATATGTTAGTGTTCAGTTTCACTTTTTGTTCTTTTTTAACATTATTATTATCATCATCATCATCAATAGTAATAGTGTTACTTACCACCACTACCCACAAAATGTTTAAAAGCTAAATAAATTATGTCATTCACCTATAGGGTTCCTTACTAAAGGTTTATATATTTGCCAGCCTTGTTATACAGAATATTGATGATGGGGTACACATATAATTAAAAACACATACAATATAAATGTTCTGGTGGATTTACCTTGTCTTGCATATATTCCCGATATTCTGCATTATATTTCTTTAACAACTCCTTCTTCAATTCATCAGTTCTTGGAAAGGCTATGTCCTTCAGTTTCTTTGTTAGAGAGAATTAAAATAAATAAATAAATACGGTAAGTGCATGCATGCATATAAATACTTGCTTTCCTCCCATTCCAGATCACCATCTTGATCTCATAACTAATTCATCTATTAGTATAAAATTAAAATTAAATACAAAAAATTTAAGGCTCAGAACTATGAACCAGCCTCTATTGACATGGCTGTTCAATGGCCTTAACTGCCCTTGTGTTTGCTACTGATAGATTTCAAAGGTCATGATGGCACTGCTGCCTTGGTAAAATGGCTAACATAATTTAATCATGAGAAAATGTATAAAGTCTGGTCTCCATAGGAGAACATGGCTTTCAAGCCCAGAGTTCATACTGTAGCCCTCAGCACCGATGGAAACATCAGCTTCTAGAGCCCAAATGCCTTAGCAGAGCTGGTGGTGCTGTTGTTATTGGTTCATGAAAAGAAAAAGAAGTCATTTGAAATGCCCGATTTCATTTTTTTTATTATTTTTTTAAAAAGCAACTCTACCTTCATGATATCCTGTTTTTCTGGAACTGCACATTGCTGGTAGTCTCGATGACAGGGCAGCTTTTCTACAAACAAACTAGAAAACGAGACACACACATTTTCCACCTTGCATGTCTGAGAAATATCCACAACACCATTGTTCTCCTGCAGAGACAAAAGCTGGCTGCATAAATCATATGAGGCTGGACCTAGTGTTCCTTTTTTTGATTCACAGCAGCTTTCTATACCTTTGGATTTGAAATTACAACACTGCAGTTCCACAGTCGGTTCTCAGTGCACAATTGGTTTACTATTTACTATGCTGTAGTGCCACTCATTCTCATGCAGCTCTTCCAGAAAAATAATGCTTCTCAATTGCAGTCAATGCTATGTTTAGAATATATTTGTAAACTATAGGTAATGAATAAAACAAAGCACTAGAACTATCCTTTAGTGTACCTCCTTTGTTTGTTGTAACTGACAATGCAATTTTACAATCCTTCTCTTCCCTCCATTTCAATTCTTCTTGCCTCTTTCCTCGGGGGTACTAGCCCAGGACTGAATATTTCAATACTTCAACTGAAAACAACTTCTCAAAACTTAGGCAGGTGTCCCAGTCTGAATAGTTGTGAACATTTAGACTGAAGGACTGAGGCTGGGACCTTCTGAGTGAAAAGCTTATGACTTACCACTGAGCTTCAAGACTTTCCCATTTAACTTCTCACATGGCTTTCCCCAGAACACCTAGTTGCTGCAAGACTTCTGTTTCCTTTTCTCAGATGTGAGTGTGGGGGTGGGTGAATGAGAAGGCAGCATGGAAAGCAGCTTGTCTGCATCCATAATGCAGCCTATTGTGTTAAGGTAAGTCTGGGAACAAAATTGGGCTTGAGGAAGGGAAAAAGACTCTGCCAAGAGAGTGCCAGAAGCAGGCACAGGTGCACAAAAGGAATTCAAAAATGGCATAGCGAGCTCCCACTCACTCACTCGCAGGTTAGGCGATGGATGTGTGGCAGGATTAGTGACTCAGCAACAGAAGCAGGTCTGGCAGCCTAGTTTATTGACTCTATAGGAAACACTGGCAGGGCTCCCTATCCCCATTTACTGGCAAAATACTGCAGTTTCTAGTTAATGGAGGTTGCTTGCTAGAATGAAATTAGTCGTTGGCATGGCGATAGTGGCCATTGTAATTGCTGGCTGCTTATTAAGGTATGCATTGGTTATTTGTACTGAAGATGCATGACAAGAGTTAAATAAAAAGCTGCTGTGTGTGTGTGTGTGTGTGTGTGTGTGTGTGTAGGGTGGGAACACAGCTGTATTCAAAATGTAACATGCAAGAAATCCCTCATCTCAGTTTGAGCCCTAGCTTTGTGATGAAGCAACAGCAGCCACATAGTTCATATGTACCTCATCTCTGCACTTTCCCTGAGTTTTTACAACCATCAGTTTTAGCAAAATACTAGCTGAAGGCAGGGGTCAACTCCAGCAATGCATAGTGCAGCCAAAGCTCACACATTCTGACGAGTGGTGGCCTACTGTCCTGCCTGATGAGCCTGTCTCATCTCAATTAAAGGAAAGTCTATCAGACTCTTCTGCATTTGAAAAGGTCTGGAAGGTTGCAGACTGATTCCTTTAATTTTGACTGTGAAACTGGGATGTATGGCAAACATGAGGCAACCCATGAAAACAGCACCCTGTGTCTTGTTTCTTCCCTATCCCCTTTCTCAAATGCCAGATAGCCAACACTGTGCCCTCCAGATGTTCCCAGGCTACAAGTCCCAACATCCCAGCCTGCATGTGATATTCCATGCATAATATTATATCATCACTCTCTGTATCCATGCAGATCATTGTCAAGGAAGGTTACACAGTAATGAAATTCTTCTGTATGTTGAATATCCTTTATCATTATGGACAGGAGAAGGGACACAAAGCTGATGTTTAAGATGGTGGCCTCAAGTTTGCTGTAACATCTAACTCCTGATTTTTGAGTGCTCCATCTTTAAACATTAAAAAAAGGAAAACTGTCTGTCCCATAATTTAACACAATGGTAGAGGCATCAGGTAAGGATGAAAGGATGTCTATTTCCAGTTCATGTAATTTTTGCATCGAGTCTATTCAGTCCAATTTCTTCATGATTCTGCAATTTCTTTTTTTTAGAAAAAAAATCATAGGAAAATGTGCATTTTCTGTACACATTTTACCGTAAAATACAATTTCAATAGGTTTTTTTTTTACCTAAAATACACATTTTAGCCTAAAAGAGGCAGTTGAATACACATTTGAGCTAACAGCTATATCACAAAATTCAGAGAAGTGTGAAAACGGAAAAATAACTATGTTCTGATCTGCATATTAATCCAAGAAGTGTGAATCAGGTTGCATCACTTAAAACATGGCGTGAACAAAAACTGTGAAAATCCCTAGCACCGGGTGAGGGTTGTGTTGTTTATCACTACTAATGTTAACATACATTTTCTACCAGGCTCTGTGGCACTAGTGCAATTGCATTGCATGCAGTATTCACGTCACAACTGACACGCTAGCTGGGAGAAAGATGTATTTTCCAGGTATAAAAGTAATTACTGTTCACATGCTTGGAAAATACAGAATTTTGGAAGCAGAAGTTAGGAAAGCCTTCTGTGTGCCCTGTAACAAATGAGGGCATATTTGTTGAGCTCCAAAGTCATTGCTTAACAAGACCCCTTTTTTCAGAAACGTTTGGAATCATTTGCTAGCACTCCACCGGCTTAAAATTTCCGTTTCTAAAAATTAAGATCAGGTTGATATCCATAACTCCAGACCAATCCTTACGTTATAAACTTATTATAGAGAACAAAGGCATTTTCAAGATTTCCTTCTTCCAGATATACAGATGCCATGCGCTCCATCTCCACTCCAGATCTGAAGTAGCGCCGTGGAGTAATGTCTTCATTTATTGTGATGTTACAACCAAGTTTGCTTAAGGCACGTACACGCTCCTCTGGGCTCAGTGAAACATCTGTGTGGTCAGGTATAGCTGCTAGCCTTTTCTGTTAAAACAGACAGCACAAATTGCATTTCACTTTGGTTACTGAACTTATCCAAGGAACTCAAGCTGAAATCTTGAGCCACAATTAGCAGTTGCAACCTACGGTTTCAGCAAGGTTCGATTTTGCTCCATCAGAGCTGTTGCAAAATAGTGGAGGGGAAATCCCATTAAACCAACCCCCAGCTACTCCATGCACATGCACACAACCACACTTTCAAAACCACACAACTTTTCAAAAATCATTTTGCTTAATGATGCAAGAGATGTGCACTTTATGCCCATTATGATATATTTTTCACAGCTGCTGTTGTTCTGAAATGTTGTCTTTCACATTTGCATATATGCAAGTCAGAATCATAAAGCTTTCAGTCGCCACTTTTTAAACCAACCGGAGCCACTCTGTTCAGCCTCTTTCATAAACAGGATGCAGGTGGCGCTGTGGTGTAAACCACTGAGCCTTGGTTGGCGGTCCCAGCTCCTGCCAACCTAGCAGTTTGAAAGCACACAGTGCAAGTAGATAAACAGGTACCGCTCTGGCGGGAAGGTAAATGGCATTTCCGTGCGCTACTCTGGTTCGCCAGAAGCGGCTTAGTCATGTTGGCCACATGACCCGGAAGCTGTATGCCTGCTCCCTCGGTCAATAAAGCGAGATGAGCGCCACAACCCCAGAGTCATTTGTGACTGGACTTAATTGTCAGGGGTCCCTTTACCTTTAGCCACTCTGTTCAGCCTCTTTCATAAACAGGAATGTAATATGGGAAGTTTGAGACATGATTCAGGCTTAAGCAAAGACATAGTGAGAAAGGAAGACTGCTGAAGAAAACAGCAGTCCTGCATGTCTGCCTCCTCCTCACAATTTAAGCACATGGCATCATGCCACCATGCTGAGAGTTTCCCTGTGTCCCCAAGTGGCAGCCACTTAAATGTAGCAAAGATATTCTCTCACTGTGATGATGTCTCACCATACATTATGTATTAGTAGACATTATGGAGGGAGAGAAAAGAGGAGAGGATGGTCCTATTTTTAGCAGCAGCCCCACATCTTCTGTCATGTCTACCTCAAGCCTTAAAAGTTGTGATTTTTAATTATGTCTGGGCCTACCAAGGCTTTAAAGGAGTGGTTTAGGATAACTTATCAACAATGATATGATTATCAGAGGAGTTCAGTAAAAGTAAAAAGTTATGGACCAGATGGAGAGTAAGAAGTAGCATTCATAAACTTTTTTATTTTATGCCAACTCAATACATTTTGGAAAGATGGACAACATGTTCCAGGGTGTATTTTGAGCTTGAGTGGGATGCTTGCTTCACAAAAAAGCAGGCTCAAGCCAATATCCACACCATTCAAGCAGACATGTCTGATAAGCAGCTTTCCATGCATCATGAAGCATCAGCCCTTAGCACTTACCAATGAACTTACAGTGAATGGTTGTTCCATGTTACTTTGTGCTTGCAATCCAAGCTTACTGTTCCTCTCCAGTCCTTCCATCTAGCCACAAAAATAGAATGGGAAAAGATACAGTGCTCAACAGCAGTCTCATCCAACATCTCACACCAATGACAAAGTTCCAAGGAAATATACTGACGATGCTGTAACCAACCAGCATTTGTCTCTTGAAATATGAATCATGAATCATGAATCCATAGATTGGTACTTAAAGCACCATGGCTTTGCTGACCTGTATTTCAAAGGTAGCCATATCTTCTGGATATATACCTACCAACTGCCCTGGAAAAATTGGGACATCACATTGTTTCATGTGAGATCATGGTGGCCATTTTGAGTGCCGCACTCTCACACTGCGCTCTTGCCCTCTAAAAAGTGCTGGGGGGGGTCGTGATTTCAGCAAGGCATTTGACAAGGTGCCCCATGATATTCTTGTAAAGAAGCTGGTAAAATGCGGTCTTGACTATGCTACCACTCAGTGGATTTGTAACTGGCTGACTGACCGAACCCAAAGGGTGCTCATCAATGGTTCCTCTTCATCCTGGAGAAGAGTGACTAGTGGGGTGCCACAAGGTTCTGTCTTGGGCCCGGTCTTATTCAACATCTTTATCAACGACTTGGATGATGGACTCAAGGGCATCCTGATCAAATTTGCAGATGACACCAAACTGGGAGGGGTGACTAACACCCCAGAGGACAGGATCACACTTCAAAACGACATTGACAGATTAGAGAACTGGGCCAAAACAAACAAGATGAATTTTAACAGGGAGAAATGTAAAGTATTGCACTTGGGCAAAAAAAATGAGAGGCACAAATACAAGATGGGTGACACCTGGCTTGAGAGCAGTACATGTGAAAAGGATCTAGGAGTCTTGGTTGACCACAAACTTGACATGAGCCAACAGTGTGACGCGGCAGCTAAAAAGCCAATGCAATTCTGGGCTGCATCAATAGGAGTATAGCATCTAGATCAAGGGAAGTAATAGTGCCACTGTATTCTGCTCTGGTCAGACCTCACCTGGAGTACTGTGTCCAGTTCTGGGCACCACAGTTCAAGAAGGACACTGACAAACTGGAGCGTGTCCAGAGGAGGGCAACCAAAATGGTCAAAGGCCTGGAAACAATGCCTTATGAGGAACGGCTAAGGGAGCTGGGCATGTTTAGCCTGGAGAAGAGGAGGTTAAGGGGTGATATGATAGCCATGTTCAAATATATAAAAGGATGTCACATAGAGGAGGGAGAAAGGTTGTTTTCTGCTGCTCCAGAGAAGCGGACACAGAGCAATGGATCCAAACTACAAGAAAGAAGATTCCACCTAAACATTAGGAAGAACTTCCTGACAGTAAGAGCTGTTCGACAGTGGAATTTGCTGCCAAGGAGTGTGGTGGAGTCTCCTTCTTTGGAGGTCTTTAAGCAGAGGCTTGACAACCATATGTCAGGAGTGCTCTGATGGTGTTTCCTGCTTGGCAGGGGGTTGGACTCAATGGCCCTTGTGGTCTCTTCCAACTCTATGATTCTATGATTCTATGATTCTATGATCTCAAGCTTTCCCTGCTTTGGGGGCACATCAGGGGACTAGGATAGTTTTAAATCCAAGCCATTTCCTGGTCCTCCCCTAGCAGAGCCCCAAGCCCTCCCAGGGGTCATAAGAATGCACCCTAAACAAAGAAAACAACTATACTTTCATGGTAGGCTCCTTCCTAGCAATATATCATACGTGACAATGCACTACAGCAAGAGCCAAGTTCTCTGTTTTACTGCACAAAGTAAATAAGTAAAGTGTAAGAAAGCATTTGTTCCTTCTCTACTTTTTTCCAGGCAAGACATACACTGTTATCATGCATTGGTAGACGGTCTTTAATACACCATACCTTAGGTCTGTTGACATATCCCTTTCACCATATAAATAACAGTAGGACTAACTACTTTTGGGGGAGCAATTCGCAGCTCTACTGAAATATACCTGTACCTGATTCACATAACCTTAACTCAGCAGAAAAGCCCTTGAGATCTCTCTTCATATAAACCAAGGTCATTATCTCAGAATGTCAAGCATGGAAATGTCAAGCATGTTGGAGCTTGATTCTGCAAAAAAAAACCCTGTGAGCTCAGCAACAACACCCCCCCAGCCTCATGAACCCTTTGAAGACAAAGAAACAAAACACAGGGTTTGAAAAAGGAACAACGTGATTAGTAACATCAACAGGCAAGTTTGCAAGCCTCATTGGTTCTTCCACCTGCACCCTGGTAGATTTAGAGAAGTGACAAAACCAGACATCGGAAATGCTATCTATAGATATCTTAGCCAGTAAAAATAAGCATATGCAAAATGCTAACTCAAATTTACTAGGACTGTGAGCTACATGCTGATAATGTTCCATATTCTTTAAGAGGTGAAAAGTTCCAGGAAAATCACCTCCCAGGTTTTGCTTTCCTTTGGGGAAGAGATTTTTATACTGTTTGGCTTATGTACAAATATGCAAGCAGAGCATACATGAAAGCAGTGGTTGTCCTAAGAGGCAACATCTACTATGCCACACCAGATCCCTGGAAAGGCACTGGCACTTCAAGATGCTTCCAGCCTTTCATTCACAGCTTCTCTCTTTGTATCCTGCCCTGTTCCAAAAGTGGTTTCTTTTTCTCTCTTCACATGCACACACAGCAGCACATACCCCTCTTGCATCAGCTGTCTTCCCCCTTAGCAGGGCTGGTGTAATGCTCCCAGCTCTGCTAACTCTTAGTCAAAACACTCAGCGTTCTCTAACTACCTCCTAACAATTAGCTCCCATTAATGAAAAATCTATCAACCGTTCTGGACCATTAAGCAGTAATTTCGCCTTGCAGCCATAAACAGCATTATCACTTGATTATCCCAAGATGAAAGTAAGGTTTATTCCAACTGAGCAATTCATATGCACTTCAATAATCTTCCCAAAATTTTGGAGGGTGGGCTTGAAAAATATTTTGCTTTGTTGTATGCAGTGGTGCTTACTGGTTGTTATCAGCACAGTGCTATCAAGCTGCTGTACTATCATGTTTTGGAATTCTTGTGATGCAATCTCACTGCCATGCTCTTCACTCTGAGGAGCCACAGAAATCGTGGCACATGAACCTATATTCTTATTTTCCAAAATAGCATCTGACAGGATCAGGCTAAGGTGGAACTGTAGACCGTGCAAAAATAGCTCTGCAAAGTTTCTGAAAAATCTTTTTAATAAGCATTCATCTTCTATCATCTTTTAATAGAACTGGAGTATCTAACTCCAGCACTCAGCCCCCTTCATTTCAACAAAACTTGCTCTGACTGCCTAACTGGCTTTGGCAAACTGAGGTGAAGGATAGGCTATTTATAGGTTGTTCAACAATACTTTCAGTAGAATGTATTTACATCATCTCTCTCTCCTAAACAGAAGACATCTGTGTCTATAAATCGACACATTATTTTCAAAACCAAATAACAATTCAAGTCATTCTGCTATCACAACGCTGACATTATCCAATTATCTCACCGTGTGCCATCTTCCTCCAAAATAATAAAAATACTGAACACTCAGTGTCCAAATAATCTGATAGCAGAGAAAAAGCTGAGTTGGAAAAGAGTGCCCCCAAAGATCTCTCATAATTATTTCATCACCTATTCTGAAAACCGAAGTTCTCTCAGAGCGTACAGAGCCTACAGGAGGCTGACTATATTGCTGACTGTTTCAGAGCACTTGATAAAACCTCACCACATCAAATGCAATGGATTTAGTGATAGTCCACTGATAAACGGGAACTTGTGACTTATGTGAAATTGCTTGTGTGTGTTGCTCCCTATTGAACTGTAAACCTGTACTGTTCAGAGCTGGCAGTGCAGCATCCAGGTAGTAGGAGAAGCTAGGATGGGGTGGCTAACTGTCCCTTTGGCATTCTAATCCAGGTCCTCTAAGAAAACGTTTCTGATCCCCCCACCAATACTCTACTGATTTTGGCGACTGTGGCAAAAAAAAAATGGGGGTGTATGGAGGCCACCTCATCATCAGACTGCATGGATCAGCTGAGGAGGGAGGCAGTGTGCCTTTGGATGTGCATACAAGTGTGTGGAGCAGCAACACCTGTTCCAGAGGATTGGTCAAGAGTGAATGTGGCCCTTGACTGAAAAAAATAAAAATGGTTAGCCACCCTTGAGCTAGGTCATGTGGTTAATAGGAAGGTAAGAGCGTGGAATGCATTTAGAAGGAATTACAGGGCAAGTTGCAACTTAGCATTTGCAGGGCTCAGAAATAGAGCCTTTATTCTCTGTCATTGTTACAAAACAATCTCATAGTATACAATAAAAAGGTAGGCATTATTTTCATGCATGAAGTAACTGATTGAAGTTAATTGACTGTTCAGCAGCCACTGTTTGATCAGTCAATTGTCCCCCATGTCTGTCCTAAGCAGAAAACACAAATTAGCTTTGGCATTCTGGTTTGGGAGAGTTCCCTTGGCAGTGGACAAATTTACTGTCCCAGAATATTATTTTTCTCAAGTGTCTTTATTGAAGCTGATTGTCCCCTGCACTCTTGGCCCTGTTTCTATTAACTTCTCCAGTTTTATTCTGCTTTGCACCATTGCAAATTTTGCCTGCAACAGCTGTCATTACTCAGAGTGGCCATTTTATCTTCCTAATCCGTCTGATTTATGCATAGAGAAAGCCCAGACATCCCAAGCACCACAAATCTGAGGAGCCTTGCTTACTTATAGAATTGCCACTTGGGTCAATTGACTGATCAAATATTGTCAACTAACTGTCCATTATTAGATGCAGTCAACTGGGAAACACTGGCCTGCGAGCGCTCCAATTGGAGAACAGCCTTTACAAAAGGTGTCATGGGTTTTGAAGATGCTTGAACTCAGGACAAAAGGGAGAAAAGTGCTAAGAGGAAGGCATGCTTGGCAAACCCTCACCATGATCAACTTCTGCCCAGAAACCTACTGTATGTCCCCACTGTGGAAAGACCTGTGGATCCAGAAATGGCCTCCACAGTCACTTAGAGACTCACTTTTAAAACCGTGTTTATAGAAGACAATCTTACTCGGCTGCAAGTGATCACCAAAGAAGAAGAGAAAGATGCAGTCAAATATGATCAAAGATTCCATGAAGTCAGGGATGCCACCACACAGGTGTCAGCTTAATGCCATAATGAAATTAAAGAGGTTATAGAAATTGCAGGAATGGAGATTCTTCCTCCTGGCCCTGCAGCAATTAGGGGCAAACTTGAAGGAAAGGAAAGTTTTTTCCAGCTGGCCACCTAGAGTAATTGTGGGTGGTTTTCAGCCTTTTTGAGTCCACAGTTCCCTTGACCAACTACATTCTTTTTGTGGCACCCCTGTGGAGCTCAAGAGCCCAGTTATGTCTGCCCTTGCCTGCAGAGCTGGCAGCCTCTCACCCTTTTTCGAACACCCTACCTTGTGGAGTGTTCCCTCAGCATCCTCTCCCTCTTCCCTCTCCCCTCTCCTTGGGAGTCCTCCAGGCAGCAGCTGCTGCCCCAAGGAGAGGTGCCTCCTCACACTGCCCCACAGGGGCCTGGGAAGCACCCCCTAACCAGCCCCAGAGGCACCATTTGCCTGGGGAGCTTGTAGGCAGGGATGCTGCAACAAACAGCTGTGCAAGCCTTTGAGAGGTAAAGATGTGTGAGGGCATTAGAGGAAGGGAGGGAAGGAAAAAGGAACAAAGACCAGTGTTGCCCCTGGCATCCCTGACCCCAGGGTGCCATGGAAGATTGGTTGAAAACCACTGGTGTATCTGAACAGGAAATCAGTCAGTTATCAGTGGCAAAGACCACTGCCAAAGAATACCTATTATTCTATCTTGCTTGCTGCAGGAATGAGAATTACCTCTGTGATATCTGTTGTTAATTTATTTTATTTTAAATAAATAAAGGCTGGCCCTGATGCTCCAGGATAAAAGTAAAAGAAGAACTATTTGCAGAATAGTTAGCATTTATAGCAGAGCTTTCCAAACCGTGTGTCGCAACACATTAATGTGCCGCATGAACACTCCCTATGCTCCTCCCGGAGCTGGAAAGGGGTTAGTTTAACCTAGGCATAGGCAAACTCGGCCCTCCAGATGTTTTAGGACTACAACTCCCATCATCCCTGACCACTGGTCCTGTTAGCTAGGGATGATGGGAGTTGTAGTCCCAAAACATCTGGAGGGCCGAGTTTGCCTATGCCTGGTTTAACCTCTGGTTTGCTAGTAAAACTGAACTACTGTGTCGCGAAATGATGCACATCTAAAAAGTGTGTCACCAACATGAAATGTTTGTAAAGCTCTGGTTTATAGAAACCCTACCTAGCACTGTTTAAATTTATAGCAAGTTGTCTAATGACTCCAGGCATGATTTGAGGGCACATGAGACAGCTGCCTTGGTTGTGCTACACAGGTCTGTGCCTGGTCAGTGTCTACCTGGGAAGCCCATGTATGCTGTCTTGAGTTCCATCACAGAGAAAAAGAGGGATATAAACATACGGAATAAATAAATATTTTTTTAAAAGTGAATTTAATTGTATCATAATGTTAACTAATTTGTTTTCGTAATTAGTATAAGTTTCCTATCTGCTCATGACTTTATTGTTTTAACAGTTAATGTATCTTAACATAGTTAATATATTTGATCAAGTGCCTATCCCTCATCTTCCAACCTATATTGTGGAAATTTGTTTGTCTGATTGCTATGAATGTTATAAGCAAATTTTGCATGATGGTTCCTGCGATCAAGTAGCAGGCTTTTATCTGTGTTTGGATACAAATGGATGCCATTTTGGCAGACTGAACCTTTGAAAACTGTACCAATTTGTTGGTTTCTTAGAATTCCTGAGCAATGTCAACTAGGTGGCTACAGGTTATCTATATAAGTAACTATATAAGTATCCATATAAGTTGTTCAGAACTGGGGATACTTTTTTATTTTTTCACTGTTGCAGCTTCTGAGTTTGTAAATAGTCCCATTGATGACTAGGCAAATGACTAACAGAGATAATTATTTCCTTTTATGCTGCCAGGGCACACCAAATTTCTGATACAGTGCATGTGTAGGAAGGTTGGCTAATAATAATAACAATAACAGCAACTTAGTAACTGAAGAAAGTAGACTACATGTCAAGCCAAATCAATAACACAAAGCAAACAGAGGCACACAAACATTCAACTGATACATATTCGCATCAAATTATGCAGAAATGTCAAACATTAAAATGGCAGCAAACTGCATTTGAATGTACAAAGTGAGCTCTAAGATTAGCTCCATGAAAGCTTAAGCAGTTACATTATAGATGACAACATGATTAAGATATATAAGCACTTCTGTCGGTTGAAAGTACTGTAAAATCTTATTACAATCATTTAATATGTCTGCTTTCTAACAACAGTTTAGTTGATTTTACAATGCAATGCTCTGCATACTTATTCAGAAGTGACTATGGGCTGTGTGTGTGTGTGTGTGTGTGTGTGTGTAGCAAAATCATAATAAAACAGATCATATAGAGGGAACTACTTCAAGAGGGAAGTAGTTAGATCTCAGGTTACCCTGGTTGTTTATTATGTGTAGAAAAGATACTGACGAATGCTGCCTCTGTATCAAGGTAAACCATTCCATTGATTTTTAAACTTGACTCAAAGGTATCAAAAGAAGGTGACCTTCAGCTCATGGAGAAGAGTTCATTCCATATGCTTGTTTGCTACAAACTTCTTTAAGGTCAACTGGCATGATTATTCTAAGCATCCCATTACTTCAATACGCTCCTAATCCGCTCATAGCTAGCAGACTGGTGTATCCTCTAATAACACTCATGTGAGCAATGGGATTTTAACCAATGGCCTGTTGGTAGGCAATACCCTTATTATAACACAAAAGTAACATGTCGTTTGGGAGGTGGGGGAAGTTCCCCCCATTTTTAAAAGGAACAGCTTATATGCAGTTCTGGTTTGTGAAACAAATATATATATATATGCAGTAGATACTAGTCCATAAAAAAAACCATCTAATTTATTTATTAGATTGTATTCCATCCTTCTTCTAAGGAGCCCAAGGCAACATGCCCAAGACTTAACTGATATCATCCTCACAACAACCTTGTGATGTAGGTTAGATGGAGAGAGCTCAAGGTCACCTAGTGAACTGCATGGGTCAGCAGAAAATTGAACCCAGAAATTTCCCTGATCAAAATCTAACATTCTGATACACCGGCTGTCAACAGTTACTGACATTTGGGGCACATCAGGACATCACGTGAAACCAGGGACCACCAATGTTGTGCCCATGCAGCCATAAAGGCCTTCCCTGGTGCGTACCAGGTCCTATCCCCTCTCCACACAGATTTCTCTCTTGTAGCCGATAGAATAGGCTGTGGTGTATGCTTGGATGCACCGTGTGTGTGTGTGTGTGTGTGTGTGTGTGTGTTTCTCTAGCTTGCAAATGTGCTCACAGCCCCTAAAAGGTTGGCAGCCTTGGTGTTAGATTACAGGTTAGAATTATGCATGCACTCCATAATGAGCTGCCTCAAACTCTGGGCTCACATACTCTCCTGCTCCCATCTCATGCACCCAAGAGAAGAAGTTCCAAAGTGCTTGCTTTTGCTTAACCAGAGGCTGCATTTGCAGTCTGGAACTGAGATTGGGTTTTTTGTTCTTAGCTAAAAACTTAGTCTAACATTCAGCAATGATTGTGTGAAATCAGCCTGTTTGAAACTAACAATAGTGTTTGTTAGGTATTTAAGAGCTACTGAAAGAAAAACGGACATTATTCATGTATGCCACCACAGGAGCAAGAATCTTAATAGCACAAAACTGGAAGACTGGAGAAATACCATCAAAAGAACAATGGCAATAAAAGTTGATGAACTATGCAGAGTTGGCAAAGTTAACTGACAAATTGCGTGAAAAGGACAATAGTGATTTTGAAAAAGAATGGGAACCTTTTACAACATACAGTATTTGCAGAAATGAGAAAACAAACATGGACTCCCTGGCAGGTTTTAAACAAACATTTACAATTTTATTTACAGAGAACAAGAAATTTAACAATGTGACAACATAGTACTACATACAACCAGCAGGATGTAACATTTGACGGAATAAACCAGAAATGGAAGCTGAGGGAAGTCAATAGGGAGGGGGGAAATTGGAAAATGAATGTTATTGATACTGGATATTTCTTATGAGAAAAAGAAAATTAATTTAATTTAATTTTTATTTTTTTAAAAAAGAAACTAACCATAGCGTTAACCATTTTGCAGGTCTGAACTACATGACAAAAGCACTTACAGAATAATAGAATTGTAGAGTTGGAAGGGACCCTGAGGATCAACTACTTCAACCCCCTGCAATGCAGGAATATAATGCTGTCCCATATGGGGATCGAACCTGCAACCTTGGTGTTATCAGCACGAAGCTAAGGTATGAGGTAGAGACAATGAGGGGTGTGGCCTGGCCAGAAAGAAGAGCCTGATGAGCCACATTTGGTCTCCAGACCTGAGCATAAGAACTCTGGTTTAGTGTGCCATGCAAACACAGCCTTTGTCTTGTATTATTTTTCTAACTCTTTTTAAATTAAATATTATGTGCATAAATGATTTGCTTTTAGCAGCTAAGTTCCAAATGTGAATGTGATCCCTGTCTAGATATATGCATGGCCAGCAGTATGTTTCCCATGTACTTTTCTCCACTTTTGTATGTATCTAACCCTGATGTTGGGAAGTATTGAGGGCACAAGGAGAAGGGGACGACAGAGGACGAGGTGGTTGGACAGTGTTCTCGAAGCTACCAGCATGAGTTTGAACAAACTGCGGGAGGCAGTAGAAGTCAGGAGTGCCTGGCATGCTCTGGTCCATGGGGTCACGAAGAGGTGGACACGACTAAACGACTAAACAACAACAAAACCACCCAACAGATGGCCACTTTGCAAAGCCTGACAGCTCAGATCACCTGCTCGGGTTTGGAGGGGAGGCCTAAATCACAGATCCTGTTCTTCACAATGGGTAACACAGGAAGTAGCAAATGAATTATATTCACTTCCTCCAAATGAATGTTAAGTGCTTTGTACAGTAAGTGCTTTGTACAGTAACCAATCCCACATCCAGAATTACACAGAATCTAAACAGAGGGATCCAAAGCCAGAAAACATGCACACTGTATACTTTTGAGCGCATAATTTCAACCCATGCAAGAGATGCGTACATGAGGTTTCTTCTGTACATGCACCACCCTTGTTAAATTGAAAATATATGCAATTACGAATTAATTGTATAAACTACTGTTTAATAGAATAAAAACTTTTTACTTCCAATTAGAAAACAGACAGTGCTAGCTGCATTAAGTTCCACTTAGAAACAAGAGGACAAGTTACTAGGCCAGGGGGAGAAAAAGGACTGCTACCAACTCTCTAAAACGACTGTACCAAACTCAGTGCTTGCCAGCAGCAGTCACACTGCTCTCCCAAGTCAACTCATTGTAGGCTGAGTATTCTCTGAGGATGGTAACATGCTGAGAGGGTTGTGTGACTCAACTTTCAGTCACATTCAAAACCCCATCAGAATTCACTAAACTCATGATTTCACTGCACTGATTCACTGTGTAAACTGCTCCTAGGCTCTACTGAGATAGGTCATTTTTGAGTGAGCACATTTAGCAATGGAATATAATTTGTTAGGATCTTAAAATGTTTCCTGACACTGAACATTAGCATAGCTGCTAAAAATAAGCAAATATTGGCAAACCTTTCAGCTTTATATAGTCCAAACACCAACAGCCCCAACAACAAAAACTCCACATTCAGATACAGTATATGTTTTCTTAAAAAAGAAAAAGAAGAAAAAGCTTCTATCACTAGAGTCCCAGTTTATGACATCTGTAACTGTGGTTGTCTAGCCACATTCTTAGCAATTTAGAATCTGACAGCACTTTTCAACTTGGATTTCTGAATTTCTCAAGACCTAATCTATTCTTACAGTCGTATCAGTCCTATTAATTGCTAATCTTATGAATTATCCTTTGTCTGGAGTGCCAGTCCAGAAATGTGACATCATTATGCAATATTTTAAAATACAATCAATTTTACATCTAGTTGGCCTACTAAAATACATTACAGCAAGCTAGGTTAGGGTTATGCCAAGCCTTTATCTATTGAAAGGCAATACAAGATTCTAGACAGTGCAATTTCACACAGTTGTTGCTCCTTTCTCACTTTCTTAAGACATTTATTTTTCATATTCTGGCAATGCTATTTACGGGCAATATTTCAACATGTCCCTGGAGAAAGTGCCTGTTAGAACAAGAGCAATTACCAGGCTGAAAACCTGGTAGAGTGCTAATTGCTGTTCAATTTACAGTTGAACCCAACTAGGAACATAATCTTGTGTTAATCCTGACATTAGTAACTCTAATATATATAATGGTGTGGTAAATGATAAAGGTCATATACTGCACTCACAATAAAAAGGGCAAAGGAAAGAAGGAGAGCCATTTATGATAGAGAGAGGGTGAAAATTCTCCCTGAGCATCTTCTCAGTTCCACCTTATTGTCTTGATTGCTTCTCAGTATTTGTATTGCATTCAAGGCCATCTTGATGCAACCTGCAAGTCCTTGGGGAATCAATAACATAGCTGCGAAAGTGCTGAGGGCAGGCAAAGAGAAAACTGCAGCTCTGAAGTGAAGAATGAGTCTGAGGTACAGATGCCATAAAATCCCTAGGGCAAACGCCACTTACCAGGAAAGGGGGGTGCTTGGAGGCGGGGATGGGGTAGCAAATCCTTATGTGGATTTGCAAATCCCAGTGGGCCTGTTAAGGGGTTTGTGCAGTCTGCTTTTAAAGGGGGGGGGAGATCTATAATGTTGTTTTTGAAATGTGCACTCCTTTCCAATTATCCCTTTAAAAACAAATGGCATCTGGAAACGACTGAAGCTGCTGTCACATTTCAAAGGGGGTGGGAACTGCCGCCCGCCCCGTTGTCCAGATCAACTCCACCCCGATCATACAACCAAAGAGCACCTTTCCAGCACAGCCTGTTCCCGAGCGGCGATGCTCTAGGGAAACGCGGTATATAATAATGGCCAGGGAAAGAGATATGTCAGATCAGCCTCGGCCAGAGAGCACGTCTTCCCGATTCCCTAAGCTCGAGATTCCTCGCCGGCTGTGGCAGCAAGAGGCGGAACTAGGAAGACAAGGGCTTCGAGGCTTCTTCCCCCGCCCCTCGAGGCACACATGTTTGTCTGGCGGAGGGTCGGCGCCTTGTCAACGCGTCAGAGCGGGCCCTTTCGGAATGGGAGCGCAAGGTGCCTGCAGCCCAGCCCTGCGCCTCCGGGAGGGGTCGGCCAGATGCGCCTGGCGAACGCCGTGGGGCACGACGAGGGCGGCAGGCCCCCCCCCTCCTCCGACTGCCTTCCCGCGGCCCCCTTCCCCGCCCTCCATCTCTCTGCAGCAAAGCCATCCCCGTTTCGATACCTCTCCTTCGAAGAGGAGAAAGCGCGCCAGCTTACCATAAAGCCATGGCTGCCGGGAGAGTCGCGTCAAGTCCGCCTCGCCTGAGGGCTTCGGCTAGAGAGAAGTGGCGGCAGCCGCCGGTCGCCGCCGCCGCCGCCACAATGGCCCAACAATGAGCGGAGCCGAGCCCAGGCGCTGCTGCTGCTGCTGCCGCCGCCCGCCGCTGCTCGCCTCGCCTAATCCGTGACACGCGCCGGGGGCGGCGCACGCCCCAATCTCTCGCCGCGAGCGCCGCTCTCGAGTGCAATGCCGCCAGCAGCAGCAGCAGCAGCAGCAGCAGCGCCGCGCGGGCTCCGGCCGCCGTGGCTGAGCCAAGGGCCCGTTGCTCCCCTCAGCGGAGACAGCCGGCTGGCGCCGCGCGCGCGCTCACATGGACAGCGGTTGGGCGGGGCGCTAAGGAAAGGCGCGGTAAAGCTGAGCGGCCGCCCGCGAAAGAGCGAGGCCCCCGACTTCGCTTAGCTCTTTGGAGTCTGCCTCGGGCAGGAATGGGAGTAGTTGAGAGGCGGGTTGGTAGTATGAGCAGCAGTTAGGACCTTGGTGAGGCTGAGCCCTCGTGAGGCTGGACTGACACCTGCACAGTTGTTGTTGTTGGTTGTTTTTTTTTAAAGAAGATGTAGAATCATAGAATTGTAGAGTTGGAAGGGACCCTGAGCGTCATCCAGCGGTTCTCAACCTGTGGGTTCCCAGATGTTGTTGGACTACAACTCCCATCATCCCTGAGCTCTGGCCTTGCTCGCTAGGCATGATGGGAGTTGTAGTTCAACAACATCTGGGGACCCACAGGTTGAGAAAGGCTGATAGTCCAGCCACCTGCAATGCAGGAATATGCAGCTGCCCTATATGGAATTGAACCCGCAACCTTGGCTTTATCAGCACCATGCTCTAACCAACTGAGCTATCCAACCGATGCATGTGTTTTTATTGTTATTTTCAAGGAACAGAGCGATCAGTTTGCAACCGTGTCGATTCACAATAGCAGCAGTAATGAAAAAGAAAGTTTAGGGTTAAGAGCAGGAGAGTCTTAATCTCAGGGTCATGTGTTCCAAACCCATGAAAGATTCCTGAAGTGCAGGCGGGTTGGGCTAGATGACCCTCATGGTACCTTCCAACTCTACAATCCTATGATTCTGTTTCTAGTGTGGCTCAGAAGTCAGAGGAGGAAGTAGGGGAGGGCAGAACCTCGTAATTCATGTGTCATGGCAGGTGCAAGAACTACCGTGGAAATTATTGTTGGCTACAGTCACAGTAAACCAAAGCTGAAGCAGTGAAGAGTCTGACTCATATGTATGGGTGCACTGAACGACCTTTTTTTGATCACATGCTGTTTGCCTCTAGCACACTTCTTCTGCTCGCTCCTGCGAAACCCTTTACCAGGTCTGTGTTCTGAACAGTAGAATATTATTGCTGGTTAAGTTTCCTTGCACAGTTAAGGCACATACCTCACCCAAGTCTTATTTCCCATTGCTGTGAGGAAAACCCATTCACCCTGTCCTCACCGACTGTAATATAATGGTGGGTAGAATATTGTGTCCCCCAGTGGTGCTGCTCTGACAGGAAGTCAAAGAGCGTGGGGAAAAGGGGAAATTACGGTATCTCTTTACAGGTGTAGTATGTACAGTTCGCAGGAACAAATTAATGCCCCTTTGTGAATTCAGTAATAAATGACATGCATGATTATGTATAGGTCAGGTATGTTTGGCAAAAAGCAGACTACAGTATCCATTCATCTATTCATTATTTTTTTTAAAAAAGTAGCCTCCATGATAATGTCCTTGCAAGCTTTCAATAGCTCCCTGGCAGCATCATGTCATTCCACAAGTGCCACCATTGTTGCAATGCTGATGGAAGAAGCCAGCAGATAACAAGTTTATTTTCTATTTAGAAGCTTGTGTAAATCACTTTAATAACTTTAAAAAAATTCAAAATGGTTGTCATCTATAAAATTATTAGGTGTACTTATATACAATGTAAATAAATAAATAAAAATGTTTTCCCAGTAGCATCTTAGAGACCAACTAAGTTTGTTCTGGGTATAAGCTTTCGTGTGCATGCACACTTCTTCAAATACACACTTATATGCAATGCTTTGCAGTTAAGTTTGAAAACCACTCCAAATCTGCAACTCCAGAATCACTTGTTCCATGTTTAACTTACATTAAGTAGGAATACTATGGACTCAGGCCTGCAATTGTTCATGCTGTTGTATGCACCGATGCTCCCACAGTGATCTATACAAGGTAAATGGGAATACATTAGCTTGCTATGCTGAACAAATTGAAACAATTGAGAACAATGTCCAGGGCTGTGCAGATGTCTCTATCATAAACCTCAACAGCCCTGAAGTGTATCAGCTTTTAGAGTGCTTATCATGAGGGGTGTGATGTTTCAGTTTTTAAAGTCCCTTTCTGGATACTTTGCTGAACAAAGGAGACCAGACTAGAAGGGAATTTGTGTACACTCATAGTATTGCAATCTATTGAATTTTTATTTTTTTAAAAACACTTTAGACCAATAAAAGTCAAAACTAACCACTCATATAAGTGAGTATTCCAGGCTTTGCGGAACAGGACCTAAGCCGAGGGCATTTACTTCTGCTTTTCAGCTTTCTCTGTTCTTCCATCTCCTCTGAAGAAGGTCAGCTGAACAACCAGCAGCTGAACCATGCAAAGCCAACGTGGGCGCAATCTGGTTCGGAAAATACAGCCAGAGGCAACCTAGATACATACAAACAAGTACACATTTCTTTGTATGACTCAACAGTAAACATTGAAATGGCCTAAACCCTGTACATTTCAGATCTAGAATAGAATGGAACCACCAAAGGCAAGTATAGATTTTCCTGATCCTGTGTTAGTTGAGCAGCTGGGTTACATAGCAGAATGTGCAAAGGAACATGTGGCTGGACAGCTCCAGGTAACCTACAAATCCTATGCTGAAGCAGAGCATCACTCACAACAATATACTGTATCTGTTTGCAGTCAAATTACAATGGGATCAGGTGGAGGAGACTATGTGACTCACTAGCCTGTTTCCAGGCTTTATTTTATAATTGACTGGCTCAGTCTTTTGGTCACATTTAGATTCTGATCAATCAGACATGGCTCCTTGAAATGTATCCCATGCAGATGTTTCAGGTAGACAGAAGGTACTTGATAGAAATGTTCCGTGCTTTTTTCCTGGGTGCACAGTACCGGCACCTTTTTTTCCTAGAAGAAAAGCACTGGCATATGTTGAAGACAGTTCTCAGTTGGTTTTTCATGCTGCATATAAAACCACTTTAATGCACTATGAACAGTGAGAGAAAGAAGCTTATGGCCCCATATGCACAGTCTTAATTGGTTCCATACCCATACAATTGCTTCTAATATGAAAAATGTTGTTTAACAAGACTTTTGCCTATATCTGTGAAAACCAAAGCAACTGCTTATGGATATCTAGTTGCATACCTCACAATGGCCAGTATAAACTCTTTCTGCTTCCTAGTGAGTTTGGGGAAGAACATCTGTATAAATATATCTAGATATATGCCTCTATTCAATAGATTGGTGTCCTATAAATGTCAACGAGTTTAGAGGAGCATTCATTGTTTTGTTATTATTCCCTTTAACAGATGATCCTTCCTCCAAAGTATATGACACTTCTGAGTGGGTTATTTTGGTTTGATAATAAGTAATCTTTCCTCCCAGAAATGACTGTTTGGTTCCTTCAGCATGGATTTCTGAAAAATAAGTCATGTCAGACTAACCTGATCTCGTTTTTTGACAGAATTACAAGCCTGGTAGATGAAGGGAACACAGTGGATGTAGCCTACTGTACCTTGATTTCAGCAAGGCATTTGACAAGGTGCCCCATGATATTCTTGTAAAGAAGCTGGTAAAATGCGGTCTTGACTATGCTACCACTCAGTGGATTTGTAACTGGCTGACTGCCCGAACTCAAAGGGTGCTCATCAGTGGTTCCTCTTCATCCTGGAGAAGAGTGACTAGTGGGGTGCCACAGGGTTCTGTCTTGGGCCCGGTCTTATTCAACATCTTTATCAACGACCTGGATGATGGACTCAAGGGCATCCTGATCAAATTTGCAGATGACACCAAACTGGGAGGGGTGGCTAACACCCCAGAGGACAGGATCACACTTCAAAACGACCTTGACAGATTAGAGAACTGGGCCAAAACAAACAAGATGAATTTTAACAGGGAGAAAGGTAAAGTATTGCACTTGGGCAAAAAAAATGAGAGGCACAAATACAAGATGGGTGAAACCTGGCTTGAGAGCAGTACATGTGAAAAGGATCTAGGAGTCTTGGTTGACCACAAACTTGACATGAGCCAACAGTGTGACGCGGCAGCTAAAAAAGCCAATGCAATTCTGGGCTGCATCAATAGAAGTATAGCATCTAGATCAAGGGAAGTAATAGTACCACTGTATTCTGCTCTGGTCAGACCTCACCTGGAGTACTGTGTCCAGTTCTGGGCACCACAGTTCAAGAAGGACACTGACAAACTGGACCGTGTGCAGAGGAGGGCAACCAAAATGGTCAAAGGCCTGGAAACAATGCCTTATGAGGAACGGCTAAGGGAGCTGGGCATGTTTAGCCTGGAGAAGAGGAGGTTAAGGGGTGATATGATAGCCATGTTCAAATATATAGAAGGATGTCACATAGAGGAGGGAGAAAGGTTGTTTTCTGCTGCTCCAGAGAAGCGGACACGGAGCAATGGATCCAAACTACAAGAAAGAAGATTCCACCTAAACATTAGGAAGAACTTCCTGACAGTAAGAGCTGTTCGACAGTGGAATTTGCTGCCAAGGAGTGTGGTGGAGTCTCCTTCTTTGGAGGTCTTTAAGCAGAGGCTTGACAACCATATGTCAGGAGTGCTCTGATGGTGTTTCCTGCTTGGCAGGGGGTTGGACTCGATGGCCCTTGTGGTCTCTTCCAGCTCTATGATTCTATGATTCAGAACTTGATATTTCTATATTGTTTTCTCTCTCTTTGTTTTTCAAGCTTTACTAAAAATAGCTTTTTAAAAAAGAGCTTGATGTTTCTGAATCAGCAGTATCTTGTCTGGGATAACAGGAACCAAAATCTTTTAAAAACTTTTGTTGGTACTTAGAAAACCCCAACCCAAATCAAAACCCTGTTCTAGTTCCAGTTCACCTTGATGGTTTTTAACTTCTGCTTTCCCATGTTCATTTCTTACAATTTCTTTTTCTTTCCCATGAGTTAAAATTTAACTGCCTTCTTTTTTCCTTTCACTGTTGAAGTACTGGGTTTATTGAAATGTTGGTTTTTTACTTAGTTCCTTGGTAGTCATGTTTATTTAGCCGTTAAACCCCATGATGTATTTTTCAATGGAAAAGAACAAGCTGACCTTCTATCACACCATCTTCATAAAACTTTGTCTCAACAAATAATGACACTGCTGACCACACTTATGTGACATTTTCTCCCTCTTTTAAGAAATCTCTATTTCTGTGGAGAAAAAGCTGGGTTTTTATGTCAACAGACACATATTATGTTTTAATATTGCTTTGGGTCACTTTTGTAAGGAAAGCAGCTAATGACTATAATAGATCAATCTAATAGTAATAGTATACTCTGTTGGATAGCTCAGATGGTTAGGGTGTGGTGCTGATAATGCCAAGGTTGCAGGTTTGATCCCTTTATGGGAGAAATGCATATTTCTACAGTTGATGTTCCTAGATGATCCTCAGGGTCCCGTCCAATTCAATGATTCCACTCTGCAGAAGTTGGTGCTGAACTATCATAGGGACACCCACCCCGAAGCAGAAACCACTTCTCTTCCAAATAACCGAGTCAAACTTCTGCTCTTACATAACTTACATGTTTCTCCACAGCCTCAAACATTACAATTTGGTTGGTCAGCATTTTCAATGTGCTATATCCACCGCGGCCTCATGATCCCTTTTGTTGTCTGTCACCACCAATTCAGACCCCATCAGTGTATGTGTGAAGTTACATTTTGCCCTCATGTGCATTACTCTTACATTTAACTGCACCTGCCATTTTAATGCCCATTCTCCCAATATGGAGCTCTTTGCAATCCTCTTTCATCTTTACCACCCTGAATAATTGGGAGCCATCAACAAACCTGGCCAACTCACTGCTCATTCTCAACTTTTGTTTGCAAGGGGTTGCTCCAGCCTACCGATCATTTTGGTTGCTGTTTTCTGCACCATCTCTTTACAGATGCAATAACCAGAGTGGCACATAGCATTGTAGGTGTAGTCACACAGTAAATTCAAGGGAAGGCAGGGCAATCATGGCAGTTTTATTCTCTTTAAGATCTGTAACATAGAACTCAACTTTTATTTTTTATAGCTGCCACACGGTTGGTCAGAATTTTCAATGTGCTATATCCACCGCAGCCTCATGATCCCTTTTGTTGTCTGTTCCCACCAATTCAGACCCCATCAGTGTATGTGTGAAGTTACATTTTGCCCTCATGTGCATTACTCTTACATTTAACTGCACCTGCCATTTTAATGCCCATTCTCCCAATATGGAGCTCTTTGCAATCCTCTTTCATCTTTACCACCCTGAATAATTGGGAGCCATCAACAAACCTGGCCAACTCACTGCTCATTCTCAACTCCAGATCATTCATGAGTTTGTTGCATGGTAAAAGGACACACCACATATGCCCATATCCATCCCTTGGGAGGAAAAGAGGTGGTGGTATGCTTTCCATTCCTATTTCAAATCTAAACATCCCCAAATGACAAATTGTCATTTCTCAGCTTCACACTAGGTGGTGGTGTTCAACCTTTCGCCACTTGAAACCAAGAGAAGGGTTGGAGAATGCTTTGCCTGCTGTCTCCCTTCCTGCTTGTGACACCACAGACAAGAAAAGGAAAATAAGGGTTTTTTGGGGTTGGGCTTGGTTTTTGGAAAAAAAATGCATTTTGTGCAGTTGTGCTACATTTGCAAAGGAGGGGAGGGTGACTTCTCCCTGAGAAAACGCTGTGATAGGTCTCGGTTCCTTTGGGAGCTCCTCTTTGTGTAAGACGCTAGTGTGCTTGGACCAAGAAATCTGATAGTGGGACCCACACACCTCATTCTATGTGCTTCCAGTCCAGCCCACAGGTTCCTGTTCACAGGATCCCAAGCACTGCTACTCTGCAGTGCTACCCTAGCTAAGAAGACTAGCTAGGTTAATATAACAGCTGTCCTCCAGGTTGGCTTGCCAGTCTGAGCAATTTGGCAGTCAGAAGAGCTGACTAATGACTCCTGAAGCTCTGCCCTTATTCTCTGCATTTAGATGATTCACCGTATTTATCGCTCTATAAAATGCACCCAACCAGCACCCGACCATAAGACGCACCTAGTTTTTAGGGGAGGAAAACAAGAAATAAGAAGCCTCCTGAGCGAAGAGGGAGTGCTCCTCCCTCTTCACTCAGGAAGCTTTGCAGGGCTATCCCTGAAGCCAGGAGAGCAAGCGGGATCGGTGTGCACCAATCCCGCTTGCTCTCCTGGCTTCAGCGAAAGCAAGCCTCCTGGCTTTCCCTCGACCTCCCACTCTTTAAAGGGAGAGCGGCTCTTGGGGACTTTTCTGGGAGGTGAGGGAAGGGACAGAGCCGTGCGCTGTGTCCCTTCCCCCACCTTCCGCAACAGCCAGGGATAGCTGCGCGAAGCCTCTGCAGGGCAGCGGGATGAAGGCTCCCCGCTGCCCTGTGGAGACTTTGCGCGGCTAAGCCAGAAGCTAGAACAGCGAGAGGGAGCACTGCGCAGTGCTCCCTCTCGCTGTTCTGGCTTCTGGGATAGCCCGCGAAGCCTGCATTCGCTCCGTAAGATGCACACACATTTCCTCTTACTTTTTAGGAGGGGAAAAGTGCATCTTGTAGAGCAAAAAATACAGTATATACCATTCTTTGCACAACCCACAGGGTGTTTTACAACAGATTAAAAAAGAAAAACCCCACCATCCTTTAAAACACAGAACAGATAACTAAAGGACAATTACTAAATAGCAGCAGCAGCTTTTATTTCTTAGCATTGCTGCCTTTCCAAACCTCGCTGCCTACCTGTAAAATTTTATGTCACCTGCCTCTGGGCCTTTGCTTGCTTCCTTTGGAGCTTCACTTCATGCTTGTCCTGGGGCCCCTTTTATGCCCTAAGTCTTCTCTTCAGCTTGGACTCACACCCAGCACCCCTACACACACCTTGAAAATGGACCACTTGGGACCTGGCCCTGCTGGGCCTTCACACTTTGGTTGTAGTTCATACTCTGATTATGTCAGCAGCCCAGACCATTAAAGTATAGCTAAACCCCTTCCCTAAGCTACCGTACTTGAAATTGCCCAAACGTATCAGAAGATATGGGTGGTGCTGAAAACAAAACTTGCTCATGGATTTATGAGCTTAGCCACTCTAGGTTTTCCTGAGATTGAGAGTGGATTGGCAGGAGAGAAGCAAGCTGATCTTGCTTTGGGAACTGAGGTGCTCAGGGAGGCATGTTCTTCTTCTGCTGCTGCTGCTGCACCCCCATAATGCCTGATCTACTTGTACACTTTTAAATAAACAGATTCATACAAAGAAAGCTTTATCAGTGTAATCCTATACATGTCTATTCAGAAGTAAGCCCCATTAAGCTTCCTGGGATCTTCTCCCATGAAAGTGTGCCCAGGGCTGCAGCCTAAGCCTACAGACCTCTTTTCAAAGGTTTCCCCAACAGTATTATATGATGTGAATTTCAGTAGCATTACTATATGTTTTGGGACCTGCCTCTAATATCATTGTGTGCACACTAATCTCTGAGCAGTGAGAGACTCCAGGAGTGCCAGCACTTGCCCAGGGTTCACTTTCTTTGGAATGAAGGTCATTGGGGACTCCAATGTCTTTAGGTTATATGGTTTTACTTAGACATCTATACAACCTGAGCAAAAGATAGAAAGGCTCACAGTATTAACACTCCAACAGATCTTGCTTCCCCATTAGGTTTCTAGGAGGGTCCCAAACTCATAGCTTTTGATTCAGCACAGAGAGCAAGTCAAACCTCTGTCTCTTTTCAGCTCCCAGCTTCAAACCAGACTAACGTAAAACAAAACAAAACCTAGCTCCTTAATGTTTTCCCACCCATAAGATGACATGACATCCAGCCAGATGAGGAGGGAGGATGCTTATCCACTCCTGAAAGAGCATCAAAGGAAACTTTGATTTTGCTTCTGATTCAGTGACAACTCTAGAGATGATTTGCTCTATGCTTTTGGTACTGTTACAGGGAGCTAGCAATTGCTGTATTTTACTCACATGCCTTGAGTCTCACCTTCCTGGAACCCAAGAGGAAATTCCATTCTGGAATCCTGCAGGACGATAACAACTGATTTCCAAAAGCCCTTTCTGCCAACAGCAGGCCCATCATGTTCCATCTTGTTCTCCATGTCAGACAAAATGAAAATAATGCATATTGACCTTGTGACACAATTATGGGAACAACAAGTATGTAAGACAGATTGCCCATTTGCAGCACAACCAGACTCTCTAGGTCTGGTGAACAAAAATACAATTTCTAGCTTTCTGAAAGCCTTGCAGGGCAGCATTTTTGAGCCATACATCATCTTATTTGCAGTGTTGGTGAAAATAAAATGATATACTATGAGCTCAGTCACTTGAAACCTCACATGACCCTTGTGGTCCCTTCCAACTCTACAATTCTATGATTCGATGAAACGATTAACTATTGCATTGTATTTTTCCACATTAGGAAAAAATACAATGCAACGAATGCTTATGAGTTAGCAGAACCTAGATCAAACGCCTAGAACATATGCATAGGAAAATTAGATAGCTGACATTTTACGGCCCTACATGCTAGCATACCCTACTTTTATAGAATTCAATTATCCAAATCAGTGAATATAAAATTATTTAATGCATGTTTATGCCCCTTCTACTGATAAGCAGAAATTGCTATGAGTCTACACATACCTACACATACCTTGGGTGTTGCCCATCTTTCGAGGAAAATATGATTGCTGACTTTCAAAACTCCACATGCCACTGTCACTTGTCTGTAGAGCCTTTTGTTCTCCACACTGGAGAAAAAGGTGAATAAAACTGATTTAACTAGCTTTCCTCAAACTTCCTGTGGCATCAAGTACTGTATTGTGGGCAGGCTTCTAAATAAATGGTGAGGCAGGTGTTTGTCAGTTGCGAACATTAAAGATCCTTAGCAACACTCTTTAAATCTAAAGAGAAACAGATGTCAACAGACTGCTTTAGATGTGGAATAAATTGAGTTAGAAGTAAAATGCACCACTTATAGTTACTTTGCCAGTCACTAAGTTCCAAGCATGTAAAGAAGGATCTTTGCTTAGGTATGTTGCTTTCTGGATGGCATTAAAAGAGTGCGGCACATGTACATCGCCAACCAAAATGAATAGCCAAAAAAGAAAGCTGGAATTCTTGGAGTCAGTAATATTAGAGAGGGAGGCTGGCTCTGGTTTCCCTAGACTGCAGGCAGCTTCCATTAAAGGACAATGTGTGAGCAGTTGTTATTTTTATATTTGCACACATCTGGACTGAGGCCAGTGATTTCAGCCACATGTTCTGCAGCTGAAGAGCTGATCCTAGTCACCTTTTAAACATTAAAGCTGCATGAATAGATCTACATTTTGCTGGTAGGTGGAGCTGAAAGAATTGAGCTTACATGCATATAAGTCTGTATTAGATCGGGGTGTTATTTAGAATCACAGAACTGTACAGTTGGAAGGGACCCCAGGGGTCATCTAGTCCAACCCCCTGCAATGCAGGAATATCGACTCACACATTCATGGCAGATGGCCGATGGAAAGAAAGTCCATCATTTTTGGGATAGCAAGTCACCTTAGCAGCAGTGAAATTTATTACAGAATAAACCTGGTTAGGAATATGCTGCAAGCCTAAGAATATTTAATGCATGTTAATGTGTCTGAAATCAATAGGATGAACTACTAAGAAAACTTACATAAGGCCATACAGCTTAAGTTTGGAACGTGCTTTCAAAATTCCAAAGCGGTAAATGGAATTGAAGCCAGAACTACTAGCTATCTGCCAATCTTGTGTACTAAACAAAGGACATAATTATAGACTGGCTTGGTTAGACTGGAGGTGTCAGTTCTCACCTTCCATATAAGCAGTAGCAACCAATTCCTTTTTGCTAAGCCGAAAAAACCCATCAAGTTTCCCCCACCCCATCTGAGTGATGACTGAAACCTTTTTAGTTCCATATAGTAGTTCCCTAGGAGAAGGTGGAAAGGCCTTTGATCAGTGCAGCCTTGGGGCAGATCAGCTCCTCCTCACTGGGCTCACACTCAAGAGATGATCTTGTACATATAAATATGCAAGAGTACCAGGGTGGGACTGCTGAACTTGTTTTGCAAGAGCTAAGATTGTTTTGTTGTAGCATTAATAAATCCGTGCTCACTCCACAGTGAAAATGAGCAACCAGAACCTTTGCCAAACTCAACAAGAAATCATCACATCATTGAATTGTAGAGTTGGAAGCGACCCCAACTGTCATCTAGCCCAATTCCCTGCAATGCAGAAATGTCAAGCTGAAGTTACTTTCAGAAAGTATAGTCAGGATAGTACCCTCTAGATGTAGACTACAACTCCCATAATTCCCAACCATCATCAATGTTGGATGGGGCTGATGGATTTGTATTCCAGCAACACCTGGAGGGAACTATATTGCTATTCCTACAATATTTAGAGGATGCAGGTGGCTAAAAGTAAAATGCCTGTTAGCACAGTACAAAGATGCCCCCATGGATAAGATGCCCCCTATTTTGAGGTACTCAGATTTAAGAAAATGGGTAGAGATGTATCCGTGTATAAGACGCCCCCTAATTTTTGACATCATTTTTTAGGAAAAAACCCTAGTCTTATACATGGGAAAATATGGTAATTCTCGTGCAGAACTCACAATTTTTGAATGAGTGCCTAGGCAGGTGTGTGTGTGTGTGTGTGTGTGTGTGTGTGTGTGTGTGTGTATTTGTGTTTGGCATTCATGTGCATTACGTTTTGTCTGCAGCTGCTTGTATCTCCTCAAATAACAATGTAATCATTCTGCCATTTCTGGTTTTACAGTTTCATTCTCTTTTGCTAGTTTGGTCCTCTTTAAAGACACATTGTATGAACTGAAAGAGCTTTTAATGTTTCTGTTGCTTTTATTTCAACAGCTTCCTTTAAGGAAACCTCTAATTTATGTTGCCAAACTGACAGAGTGAGCCAACTCTCTTTCTGTTGTAACTTGTACTACTGAGATGTGGGACTCTTTCTGCAAAGCAACACTCACCTCTGCCTTACTGGGCAGGGCCTCTAAGCACACCATTGGCTCTCGGTGTGACTGATTAAGAAAGCCAACTTGCAGCCAACAGTAGGAAGTGCTTGGGAGTTGAGTACAATACTTGAGCTTGTTTGCTGCTCAGAGTGCTCTGCTGAAGGACTTTGCAGGTTACATTTTCATCAAATCGAAGGACAATACAAAGTCAAGAACCTGCTAATCCACGAAGGAGCAGAGGATTCCAGCCAGAATCTCAATATACAAAAAAGCCATGGGGATATTATACTCACAGGTAGGTAAGGCGTTTCCTAGTCTGCAAGAATACATCAGAAGTCTAACAGGTCTGTTTCAAAGGATTTACAAAATCTTATTTAAGTACCTCAAGTGTAACTTTAAAAGTGACCTGAGGGTCTAAGGCATAATCATAGTAAATGTAATAACCAGTTTTTCGTACAGTGAATTAGATTACGGATATCAAGGGTAGGTATTTGAAGGAATATTGTGGTTTATGGCAGCTAAACAGCATGAACTGGGCATTCTTTCCCAGAGTCCTCAACATGGATATTTCTGTAGATGTTTGTTACTGAGAGGGGCAAAAAATGGTGAAAAGCAATGCTTTATCCTCATGTGCACCTCACATTAGACCCATCCTGTAGCTTAGTTCAAGTCCTGGCCTGTGAACCTTAATGAAACAAGCCACACACAAAAAAAATATTTGCCCTTATTTAAAAAAGAAGAAAAAACTGTAATAAATTATAGTTATTTTATTTTATAAAATGTATAGAATGCTTGATTAGGAGGGGGGAATTCGCTGTTGTTGTTTTTAAAAAACCAAACTATATATTTGAACAATTGTGTAATTTTGCGTCAACTATCTGTATACATTTGTAAAAATGTTTCCCCCTATTAATGAACTTAGACAGTTGAGTGCTGATAGACAGGGTGTCATTAAGAAACAGCAGATGGTGTATTCTTTGGAGAACCCCAAAATATGCAGAGACATTAAATGTTTAAAACAAAAATCAGAGGAGGGAAACCCTCCCAAACAGTAAACTCAGTGACAGGGATTGAGTAAGCTCAGTGACGTCCAGGAGCCCTGGAATGTTGAGTATCATTTGGAAAAGAAAACCAGAAAACTGTGGAGCAGCAGCAATGAATGGGCTTGCTTGAACCTCTTTCAGCTTGTAATATCCTGGAGGAGAGCATGCCTGTCTGCCTGGGACCCTGAACCGAAGCATTCCTGTTAGAGGGTGTGAGATTTAGAGGAAAACTTTTTGGTGTTTGTGATTTTGGGGTGTAGCACTACTGCACTGCTCAAGAAAAACCTGTTTCTATGTTTTAAAGGATCATTATCTAAATGTACAGCATGTGGAGAAAATGTGAATGGGAATGGGAAGAAGACATTTCTGACGTACACACAGATGAGCCAGTTGTCATGTCTGGTTGGTTAGCATTCCATTTCAGGGAATGATCTGGGTCTTTTTAATCTGGCCTCTGTGTTCTTTGTTTTACTCACACATTTTATTGCAATGCAAAAGGCAGAGGGCCAGGTTTGTTTGCTTTTGCTGGAGGTGCATAACGCATGCATTCCTGTATAAGGCATTACTGCCTTACTTCCTTGTGGGTCACAACTGCCTTCAGAACCCCAGCATGTGTCTCTTATGTTCAGGACCAGCTGGTGAGGTTAGAGCTCTTCTGATCAGTAGATCCACTCTTATTGTTTGTTTAGACTCCTGCTCCCAACTTTACAAACCTCCTTCTTCCCATATCTGTTTCCTCCATCTTTGATAATGCTTACCCTTCACTTTTATTCAGCTACAATCTTGCCCCTCTTAACATTGCAGCTGATGGTATTTCTCCTTATTCATGCTTTTAGTCAAATCCTTGGGCCTGTCTCTTGTTAATTTTCTAGGGTTGTTGGTGTTTGTTGTTTTGCCTCTGCTTGTCACCCCACCTTCTCCATTTCACACTCTTTCACACATACGCATTCCCTTTCTGTCCTCCATTCTTCCACTTTTGCACTCTCGTATTCATTCTCTCCTTCATGTCAGACTACCACTCTACCCAGAGACATACCTAGGGATTGGTGAAATTGGTCCCTGCTGGGGGTACAGGCCCAGTAAGGGTGCAAAAATCACCCCAGAAATCTGTCTCCAGTTGTCTGTGCAAGGTTGTGAGTTTAGACAAGAGCTGGGAGCTAAGTAGTAAGTGAAATGGCAGGGTAGACCACTGGAGACTATGGAGTGTTTGACATATAGGAGTTTGGTGATGTGCTGCCATTGCTGCAGTGAGATCAAACACGAGAGAAGTTTCCCATCCTTCTTGCAGCATGGCCCAAAGGCATGTGAATGTTTTCACTCTTCCTCCTTGCCTGTCTCTTACTCTGGATGCCTTGCGTACTTGGGCCATGTAAAATGTAGGAATTTCTAATGTGGCTATTGTGGTGAAGTGATTCTCTCCCCCTCCCTCCCAGGGGACTGTGCCAATACAGTTGCTTGCCAAGGGTGCAAGGGACCCTATGTATGCCTCTGACCCTACCTTCACACTAGGGATGTGAGAAGGCCACAGTTTCCATTCTGACCTGTATTTGTCACTATCAGCACTGTCTCCTTTCTACTGCAGTTCAGCTTCCACAAAATACTACATTATTCATCTCACAGTGTGCATGGAGTGTTAGGGGAGGGGTAGTACCTCTGATGGAGGGCATGTCCTGCTCCTTCTTAGGTAGTTTGTCCACCTTTGGTTCCCACTCTGAACTCAGCTCTCACCTGTGACTCCTAGACATCTGAAGGCAACCCTATCAGGAAGTTTTTAATGTTTGATGCTTTAGTATGTTTTATATATTCTGTACGCCACCCAGAGTGGCTGGGGAAACCCAGTCAGATGGGCAGGGTATAAATAATAAAGTTTATTATTATTATTATTATTATTATTATTATTATTGAAGCTGTCAGCATGCGACAGCATCTACTCCCTAGGAAACTGCTTTGACTGGCCAGCTAAACCAGGTGAGGGTAGCCAATGGGTCTCAAACACTCAGTGAGTTAGAGACTTCCCCTGCATGCGAAGACAAGCTCTGGCAGATTGAGTGGCCAAGACACTCAACAACCAAGAAGGCAGTTTCTGCATGTGCTGGAGAGGGAAGTGATGGGCAGATGGGGCTCCTGAACCTGGGAAGGTAGCCCATCCAGGAGAAGGAAAGTTCTGATTCTAAATCTCTGCTGCCTTGCCAGATATCTTCGGGAGAAGAAAAAGCTGAGGAGTAAAACCTATACAAATGTTATGTACTGAGTTGAATAGGATCCAAATTGCAGCAGTCTGATTGGTCCTAGAACAAAAGGATTCAGAATGCAGGAGTTTGATTGGTCCGCAGGAGCCACCCAATCCAACTCCAGGTGGAAGTGAATCTGCAACCTGATTGGCCTACAGGAGAATCCCAGAATTAGCCAATCACATGGGGCCCATTGTGTAAATAATGTATATAAAGCAGACAGTTCGGGGAAAATCCCATTCCTCACTACTATGAGCTGAATAAAGAGCATGAAATCCACACTCGACTCCGAGTATATTTCAACAAATCTGGAATGGAGTCCTAACAGAGTTGGATGGCACCTTCTACACTTCCATCTGGCGACTCCTGCAGCCAAACTGGTGCCTAATGTATTGCTCTGCTTTCCTTTGGACCACATCAGCAAGCCTGAGGGGGGGGGGGTTCTTGTCGTTTGGGAAGCCCAGGATCTCTACACACACTGCCCAGGCTTGTGTCACAGGGAGGCCACTTTGGTGCTGCTATATAACACAGTGGTTTGACTTCACCCCTGGAGGTACACTCCATTGTCTCTCGAGACAGACGGATGCCAGCAACAACATCTTGCCATCCACTATTCAATGTAAGTTACATAACCTCTTATGTAACTTACCTTGATTTCAATGTAAAGGAAATGTCAAAACAGTGTGTAAAAGAATTACATCTCCTAAAAATAATTTGTTTGGCTGATTTCCATTCATGACCACAGATGAACATGCGAACTGCAGCAATTTCAGCTCCCTTTTCCATTTTCACCAGAATGGTCTGACTTCCCTACTTCATTCACATGCTGCCTTTTGCTTTTCTTCTCTCTCATGAGCTTCCATTCATCCTCATTATTTCTGCTGCCGACTCTTTTGCTGACTTATCCTTGCCTGTATTTTGGTTCACGAGTTTCCCCTTTTCTTCCTTGGTAGTTGGGACCTACACCCGTTGTGTTTTTCACCCCACTTTTTTTTTAATAAATAATTTTTATTTCATTTTACAAATTCATTCACACTCAAAATCAAAAATAATAAAAATTACACAAGATTCTTTCAAATCTCTAGACTTACCTCTGCCCCTTTGTGGGTTCTTTAGTTAACTTTTTCAACTGCATACTATAAGCCCTCCTAATTTTCCAGTCCTCCATTATGTCCAAAGTCTATGTAACATTACAAGAGTTATTTAAGACCAGCCAAAGAGTTCAAGTGTTTAAAGTGGTCTGTCAAATATAATATAAATTTCTCCCATTCTTTGCTGAAGTTCTGGTCCTCCTGGTTTCTGATTTTCCCAGTCATTCTTGCCATCTTGCATAATCCACCCCACCTTTATCCTTATCAGGCTGAGTAGTGGCGCATCCCCAGTGCCCCACAATGTCACATTCAAATGGACTGCCAGCGCCACACTGCCATTTAGGGAAACCTCTGTAGGGGCAACCCCACATAAAGTGTTTAAATCATTACTATAGCATATAAAATAGTGACCATGACAAATGTTCATAAGAATGCCCTTTTTTGTATTTTAATCTTAAACCTATGCAAGAGCAGAATATTGAAGCTTGCTGGCAGCTAAATGATTCCAAGTGAGCTACAAATCAGCTCTCATATCCTCCAACATTTTTTTCAATGAAAATAGGTACATCCCATTCCATAGTAATAATAACTGTATTAATAATAATTTTATTATTTATACCCCATCTATCTGACTAGGTAGTCCCAGCCATTCTGGGTGGCTTCCAACATATATAAAAACATTATATATATATATAGTACACACACACACACACACACACACACACACACACACACACTTCCCCCAAACAGGACTGCCTTCAGATGTCTTCTAAAGGTTGTACAGTTACTTATCTCCTTGGCTCGGGGTTCGCATAGCTATATACCCTCCAACAATTCTCCAATGAAAATAGGGATGTCCCAAGAAAAAGGGGGACATTCCAGGATCAGTAAGAAACTGGGACGGTTTCTGTAAATCTGGGACTGTCCCTGGAAAAAGGGACACGTTGAGGGTCTGAGCTCTGACTAGTGTAATAAATATCCTTTAAAAATGCTCTTTTAGTAAATTCCCTTCAACTAAGATTGAAGACAGATGACTCCATAGTTTGTCAGTGACCAGCAGTGAAGCCTGTTGAGTTGCCTAAGGTCTTGTACTACTTTTGGTTCACTGGCCTTACTGCTTCTCTGATGCAACCCTGCTGCCCTTCCAGATTTGGACATGAGTGTAATATGTATTACACATGTGAGGAAAGAGGGTGTCCTGCTGCTGTTGCTGTTACTGAACAGCATGAACAGCACTGAACAGAGATGAGGGGTGATCGGGGAATCTGATCTTTGCAAATTCTGAAAGGAAGCCTGAGTCTCAGCTCCCAGCCCATTTGGAACATCTGGGATCTGCAAAAGCCAGTGTATAAATGACTTTCAGTTGATTCCAGTCTGGGACAGTGTAGTGCTCTGCTGCTGTCTTGGAACTTCAGCTCCCATCAGCCCCAGCCGGAAGCCCCAATGATAAGGCATGATGGGAGTTGTAGTTCACCACATTTGGAGGGTCACAACATTGGCTACCCTTGTCCCAGACTAATGTGCCAGGAATGGCTCCCCCCCCCCCCCGCCACGAGGTTCTGGAATTCCCAAATGTCTCCCAAAGAGTTTTCATCTCAAAATTTCTTTTGAAATGCCTGTTTCAAAACTATCCTAAAGCTATCCTATCTTTAAAAGACATCTGAAGGCAGCCTTGTTTAGGGACGTTTTTAATATTTAATGCTGTATTGTTTTTAACACTTGATTGGGAGCCGCCCAGAGTAGCTGGGGAAAGGCAGCCAGATGGGCGGGGTATAAATAAATTATTATTATTATTATTATTATTATTATTATTATTAAAGACATTTGCAAATGGACAATGATTTAAATAAACACTTTAATGCATTTAAAAAAATATGTCACAGCTTAATACAGGGCATGGCAGAGGATAGATGTGAAAGCGAGAGAGACAAAAAATAGACTGATGCTACTTCAGCCCCCGTTCCCTGAGCTACTCTCAATCCTTCTTTCTCCAGACTTCCATATGTATGGTTTTTGTGCTTGCACAGGGAGCTCAGGTGGCTTTTGAATCCAGTCCATCTGAATACGTAGTATGCATTCTCTCACTACTTTCTCAGTCTTCTTACTGCTTGTGAAAGTTAATGATAAACTAGTTTGTCTGTAAAATGCCACAGCACTCCTCCTCTTCCTGCTGCTACATACAAAGGTCTGTTTCAGGTGCCACATGGGTGCCAGAATTCTTGTATGTGAGATGAACAAGGAAGCACGCGGCATGTTTTAGCGTCAGGTGTTTCAGCTGTGACTCTTGCACGTTTCCTTTGGATTGAGCCAATGGTGACTAATCTGCTAGCACCACTCTGTGGATTTAAACTGTGACTGCAGTTTTGAATGCCACATGACTCTTTCTTTAGCTTTTCGTCACTTAGAAACATTAGGCAGGGTGGGAGACTTTTGCTTTATATTTTGCTTTATAGGAGTTGAGTATACAGTATCATCTGATTTCATGGCACTCAGAATATTCTGCACTCCCTCCATCAAAACTCAGGTGTCAATACATGTAAATGTGGAGTCTTTACGAAGTAAGCCATATTTCACAAAGACACCACAGACTCCTCCATGATAAACAACAAGAACAAAGGGTTGGGGCTCCAGATAAATATTACTGTGTACCTCATGTGGAATGCCCTCCCACCAGATGTCAAGGAGATAAAGAACCACATGACTTTTAGAAGACATCCGAAGGCACTCCTGTATTGGGACGTTTTTGATGTTTGGCGTTTTATTATGTTTTTATATATGAGGGAAGCTGCCCAGAGTGACTGGGAAAAACCCAGCCAGATGGAGGGGGTATAAATAACAAAATAGTTGTTGTTGTTTATTACTATTAACTGTTGAGGATTATGCCTAAAGACCAGAGAATGTACAAAATCTGCTGATATATGCACATTCACTAGCACATGTGCTTTAAATGTACAGTGTACAGCCTTGGCAGACACAAAAAACAACAACAGAACTCTATTTGTTTTTGGGGTAGGCATTGCTGTTGAAACAGGAATTCAGAAGGAAGCAAGTCTGACACATATCCCCCAAATCCCCAAATGAGACTATGTCACTTTTCCTTTGAACGGAGGCTATAAAGAGTAATCTGCTAGCCCCACTCTGTGGATTTCAATTGCAACTGCAAGTTAAACTGTGTGGGCAGATCTAGCCCAAACATTTCTATCAAGAAGTGGTGGTAGTGGGGTTGCATTTGTGTTTTTGCTTTACTTGCATTGATTATGCAATCTAAGGTAGCAGTTTCTCATCTGGTTTTGCTCTCTACTCCGCTATATTTAAGTTTTCTTGCATTCCCAAAACTTGTGTGGTGGTAAGGGTGTATGCTCTGTAACAATTTTCTTTCATGTGGGGCAGTTCACACTGTGGCGCTGTGGTCTAAGCCACTGAGCCTAGGGCTTGCCGATCAGAAGGTCGGAGGTTGGAATCCCCGTGACATGGTGCGCTCCCGTTGCTCGGTCCCAGCTCCTGCTAACCTAGCAGTTCTAAAGTATGCCAGTGCAAGTAGACAAATAGGTATTACTGCAGCGGGAACGTAAACGGCATTTCCGTGCGCTCTGGCTTCCGTCAAGGTGTTCCATTGCACCAGAAGTGGTTAAGCTAGGCTGGCCACATGACCCAGAAAACTGTCTCCGGACAAACGCTGGCTCCCTTGGCCTGAAAGCGAGGTGAGTGCTGCACCCTACAGTCGCCTTTGACTGAACTTAACCACCCAGGGGTCTTTTACCTTTACCTTTTTTTATTACACTGTAGTGAAGGTGAGTTTCAGCTGCCAGTGAAGTGTTCATTTGTCTACTCTGCTGCACACCCAGACTCCTCTTAAGCTTGGCCATGTTGGAAATCTTACACAGCTACATTCATGGTGATGGACTCTCCTTCCTTGGATGTTTTTAAGAAGAGGCTGGATGATCATTTGTCATGTGTGATCTAGTTGAGATTCCTGCATTGCAGGGAGTTGGACTAGTTGACCCTCAGGGTTCCTTCCAACACTTCAATTCTATGAAGGATCTAGATGTGCGGTTTTGTAGTAATCTGGTTAGGGTAGATGGAAAGCTCTCTGCATGCTCATGTCTAGTCAGCAAAACACCACAAGTCTAAGTCTAAGTTTGTTAACCTAAGACACTTTGTTGAACTGTCTTCATTTCCCACCTCTTATTCTTCTGCAGCCCATTTGTCAGGCAGCTTATAATAATGACTTCAATCAACTGCAGCTCCTTCTGGAAGAAGACAGTAATTATTTGAATGTCCAGGACAGCTTTGGAGGAGACACACCATTGATTTGTGCCTGCAAAAAGGGGCACAACAGAATTGTCAGTTATCTTCTGAAAATGAATGCTGATGTAAACATAAAAAATAAGGCAAGTCTCAGCAAACGTATACCCATTGAGGTCTTCCTTTATGTTACTAAAGTCATAATGTGATCTATACTTTGAAGTGGAGGGGGTAAGTTTCTCACTCATTATTTGATTAGCTTAAAATCCTCAGATATCCAGAAAAAGATAGATGCTGTTATTCACTTTTCCCATACATAAATATTTTATGCCCAGACACAGCTTAGACATTTAGAAGGTATGTCTCAGCAAAATCTTTCCCACGTGCACAGTTCTTATTCACAGAATAAAATCAAACTATAAAACCACAAAATATATAATCAAAATAACAACAACCCAATACCCCCCCCCACAAAGAGCCACATTTTAAAAGGGCATAGGATGTCAATCAAATCAACCAAAGGCCTGGCGCCTAAAGGTGTATAATGAAGGCGCCAGGCAAACTTCCCTGGGGAGAGCATTCCACAGATAAGGAGCCACTGCAGAGAAGGCCCATTCTTGTGTTGCCATCCTCTGGACCTCTCAAATAGGAGACACATGAAGAAGGGTCTCAGAAGACAACCTCAGAGTCCAGGTAGGTTCATATGGAAAGAGGCAGTCCTTGAAGTATTGCAGTCCTGAACCCTTTAAGGCTTTATAGGTCAAAACCAGCACATTGAATTGGGCCCGGAAACTAAATGGTAGCCAGTGCAATCAGACCAGGATCCGTGTAATATGTTCAAACCATCTTGGTCTGGTGAGCAACCTGGCCTCTGAATTCTGCACTAGCTGAAGCTTCTGAACTGTCTTCAGAGGCAGTCCCATGTATAATGCATTGCAGTAATCTAACCTTGAGGTTACCAGAGCATAGACAACAGTATTTAGGCTATCCCTGGCCAGATAGGGGCGTAGCTGGGTCACCAGCTGAATCTCATGGAAGGCACTCCAGGCCACTGAGGCCACCTGAGCCTCGAGCAACAGCAAAAGATCCAGGAGTACCCCCAAGCTACGAACATGCACCTTCAGAGGAAGTGTAATCCCTTCAAGAGCAGGTTAAATCCCACCCAGCTTGTCTAGGGGACCACTTATCTGGATTGAGTTTCAGTTTGTTGGCTCTCATTCAGTCCATTACTGAGGCATATTTCTCATAGGCAATTTCTAATAGAGAAAAAGAAGGAAAATGTGCCCCAAATATGTCTAACATAAAGGTAAAGGTAAAGGTACCCCTGCCCGTACGGGCTAGTCGTGACCGACTCTGGGATTGCGTGCTCATCTCACTTAAGAGGCCGGGAGCCAGCACTGTCCAAAGACACTTCCGGGTCACGTGGCCAGCGTGACAAAGCTGCTCTGGCGAACCAGCACCAGCACAGCGCACAGAAACACCGTTTACCTTCCCGCTATAAAGCGGTACCTATTTATCTACTTGCACTTAGGGGTGCTTTCGAACTGCTAGGTGGGCAGGAGCTGGGACCGAATGATGGGAGCTCACCCCGCCATGGGGATTCGAACCACCGACCATACGATCAGCAAGTCCTAGGCACTGAGGTTTTACCCACAGCGCCACCCGCGTCCCAACATGTCTAACATACTCTGTGTATAAAATGGAAGGGAATTGGAGCTATTTGCCTAATATAATGCGAGTTCTTCTGCTTCTCTCTAGAAAGAACGAACATGTTTACATTACGCTGTCAAAAAACGGTTCAGCTTCCTTGATTACCTGCTCATTATCATCTTAATGCCTGTTATGCTTCTTGGGTATCTTCTCATGGTAAGTTCAGCAAAAGAATGAAAATAGCATCTTTATATACCAGCCTTCACAAAGCTTCACCAACCTGGTGACATTCAAGCAGCATGGCCACCTTGTCTGGGATTGATGAGAGTTGTAGTCCAAAATATCTAGAGGACAGCAGGTTGGTGAAATCTGTAAGATATCAGCAGATCTAGCGAAGCATGACGGGTTTGGTCGCACCAGGCACAGAACTTCTGGGCTGCCACAATTATGACATCCAATAGAAGGCGAGAAGCAGAATGCTGGATTTTGGCATTGCACATGGTGCCACTGAAACTTGAGGTGCCAAGGTTCCTCACTGGCCCCATACCCCATTTTCTGGACATATTTTCTCTCACAACATACTTTATGGGCCCAACTATTACTTGTGCTCCCTTGCTCTAAAAGGTAAATCAACTCAACTGGGTAATCCCATTGTCTCACTCTCAGAACAGAAAGTACAGTGATACCTCGGGTTACATACGCTTCAGGTTACATACGCTTCAGGTTACAGACTCGGCTAACCCAGAAATAGTGCTTCAGGTTAAGAACTTTGCTTCAGGATAAGAACAGAAATCGTGCTCTGGCAGCACAGCAGCAGCAGGAGGCCCCATTAGCTAAAGTGGTGCTTAAGGTTAAGAACAGTTTCAGGTTAAGAACGGACCTTCAGAACGAATTAAGTACTTAACCCGAGGTACCACTGTATACATATATTGGTTTGTAGCCATTAGATATCAACCTTGGCTTGTGTGCCAAAGATAGCAACCTTGACCTAAGTGACCCTCATCCTTTGCATACCAGGGCCCGTTCAAATATTTCCAAAAGCCAGTGTGCACCCATAGGCCTTGAGTGATTGTCACATGTAGAAGAAGAAGAAGAAGAGTTTGGATTTGATATCCCGCCTTTCACTCCCTTTAAGGAGTCTCAAAGCGGCTAACATTCTCCTTTCCCTTCCTCCCCCACAACAAACACTCTGTGAGGTGAGTGGGGCTGAGAGACTTCAAAGAAGTGTGACTGGCCCAAGGTCACCCAGCAGCTGCATGTGGAGGAGCAGAGACGCAAACCCGGTTCCCCAGATTACGAGACTACCGCTCTTAACCACTACACCACACTGGCACCACACCACACATGTGACAATAGAACTTGTTTTCTATGGTTGCCTATGCATACTAGAAAGCCACAAAGCCAATTACAGCTTCCTAGCAAATAGGCATGCACATGACATTTTTTTTAAAAAAAATGTGCATGCTTCTCACACAGAATTTATATAACATGATGTAGTGCATTCTTGTAACTGCAAGTACAATGCACAGAAATGAATGGAGCCCACTTCACAGTATACCTGCATAGGATGGTGACATTGCATATTAAACTTTGATCACTACAGACTGCATTCACTAAATAACTGCTTATTTCAGTGGTGAAGGCTAGGGGGAAAACAAACATTTTGATACAATCTTGCCGATAAAATGTTTAAAAAGTTCCACATCATGAATAGAAGTAAGTTTTCTTTGTTGTACAACCCAGTATGAGAGTTTTCTCATTGTGAATATAAACTGTCTTTCTAACAATGCCCCATTGCCCATCTGTGGAACAGGTATCCAGAAGTAAGCAGAATGAAAATCTTATCAAGATGCTACTTAGAGCTGGTGTCGATGTTAATGTTACAGATGATGTAAGTGGACATATATATCTTTGGAGGGTTCTAGGACAATGATATAGTGGAATCCCCAGCTCTTTGCATTGGGAGTGATCAAAAAGTCATCTTCTTTTTTGGCAATCACTTGTAGCTGAGTAAGATTGTCTTCTATGGATATGGTCTTAACGGTGTGTCTGTAAGCAACTGTGGAGGCCAAAAGTATAACCATACCCAAAGAAGAGAGGGATGTGTGTGGAAATATCCAGAGCAGGAAAAAACACATGTGGGGCATCCTCTGCAAATGTGTAGTTTGGACTCACAGAGGCCATTAATTTAAATCATTTGTTTTCTATAGCACTTGTGGCACCCTACTCTGTTTCAGCAGCCCTCACTTACTAGTTGTAGGACAGTAACATGCATTCCTAATCATCACCACCATTCCATCAGGGTGCAAGTTGTTTTAGAAAGTGTAAGAGGACAGGTCCACGTCCTAAGAAAGCTGAAGGATAAACTTTGACACAGGGAAAACTGCAGAGGTTAGAGTAAACTGTTAGGGGTTTATTGTGTGTGGGGGGGGGGGGAGAGACCAAATCATTAGAAGCATAACACAGCTACAAAGTTACAAGGCTCACAGCTCTCCTTTCCTCTAGAAATAAAGGATGCGTTAACAGAGAAGCATTAGGACATGACTGAAATGTCTGCTTCTATAATAATGCATATCTTTCCAAGGGTAATTGTTTGGTTCTTTTCAGTCAGGAAGGACAGCTCTCCACTATGCCTGTGAAATGAAGAACCCATCCATTGTTCCTCTGCTTGTAGGAGCAGGTTCTGATCTCTCTATAAAGGACAAGGTAAGAAAGTCAGAGCTTAATACAGCTATAGTTTTGACTGACTTTGACTAGGCTTCTGGTTCATCCTCTCTTCTGGATGGTACCAACTATCGTTGAGGGAGAACCTGCTGTCCCAAGTAGTTGTCCATTTCTAGAATGAAGGCCAGCACTGCTTTGTCCCTCTGGAAGACCCAGGCTGTTCATCATTTGTTTCTCATGTAATTGATTGAGGAAAGCCTTGATGTTTGTATAGTTCCCCATATATCAGGTATATCACTAGTTGTTGTTTTATAATAAATAATATTTATTAAAATTTCAAAGGATACAAAAATTACACAAAAACAAAAAGTAGAAATACAAAAAGTAAAAATACAAGAAAATAGAAAATACAGAAAAAAGAATAAAGGAAAAAACAAAACATTATTTTCAGACCCTTAACTGTCATTGCCTTCTTTCTTAGACCTCCTCCTCCCTTCCTTTGTATTCTAGTTATTAATTATCCCAGCAAATCCTTTCCTTTCCATGTTTCATAAAATTCTATCATTACATTGCCCTCGACTAATTTAATCCTATCTTTCTATAATAAAATAAACCTTAAAGTTTAAAACTTAAGTCTTAACCTTACCAGCTTCTTGTAATCATAATATTCTTTCATAAATCTTTATGCATCTTTACTAGAGCCAGGTAATTTCTTCCAACATTTTTCTATCATTCGTCAACTTTGTAAAACATTCTAATAATAAAGAAAAAGAAAAAGAGAAAGCAAGATATAGACAAGTCCAATCTCTATCCAGCGTCCCTTCCTCCTGGTTCCGGGATTTGTCAGTCCTTTCCCATCCGTCTAACCCGGTAACCTTATGTCCGAGGCCCTCAGGTCACTTCCATGGCCCTTCCGCGGCTCTTCTTCATACTTGTAGCTGTAATTTCCCTTATCTCCTCGTGATAACTCCAGCTTAACAATGTCTCTTGCTCGTGGTAACTCCAACTTAGTAATGTTTTTAACCCTTCTCGTCAGATCAGACCCTTTTCCGTATTCATCGCTGCATTCCATGTAGTATTTAAAAGCATGTTTCAAGGGCCCTCCAAAGTTGAGAGCCCCCACAGTCCCAAACATATCGCAGCCCATTACCATATTTAAAAAGTCCAGACATCCCAACATAGGGGGGTCAATCCAGCCCCCCATTTCCAAGCCACACCGAACTCTCCCTTTCTAGATCTGGCTTTTTCCAAATTCATTTGTCCAGTCCGAAGGATCATACTCCTGTTGGGTCTGTTCTGTCACAACACACTCCTGATTTAATGCCACAAACTCCTGTTCTGTCAAAACACACTCCTGGTTTGAATCCTGAGTGGGCTCCACATGTTTTCCCACAGTCTGGTCTAAACATTCCACTGCCTGTTTAAGATTTCTAGTCGAAATGGCCATCCGGTTCACCTTATCGTGTAATTCTTCCAGTAGAGCATTTGTTTTGTAAAGAACACACACCAAGGCTTCTGAAAACATTGTCCTGCACAGTCAAACACTTTCCCACGGTTATTTTATAACAGCTGTCAATTCCCTGGAGTTAGCTACAGTTTCGGAAGCTCCCCCTAGGGGGAAGACTTATATTTATTTTTGCTACAAAGTTTCCTTTTCCCCCAAAAAATACTTAAGATACTTTGTCCATATATATTCCTTTAGAATGCGAAAGGGAACAGTGGAATCACAAAGTTTCTCTTCTTTTAGCTGTCTGTCAAAAAACAATTATCTTGGTAAACTCATGTCAGTCCTGACACCCCCGCTCCAGGATCAGGACGGAGGAAAATAACTTCCTTTTGCGATTGCTTCAAATAGTCAAAAAAAAAAAAAAAGATTCCCAATTTAAAATGTTGAAATCCACTCTTTCAAAGACAATTTTCTGAGCTCTAGTGTAAATTGCCTTTGCTTTGTTCTATTTACAAAAGAACGGAAGGGTGACTTCCTGTTTAGCCCTTCCCGCTCCGTACCAAATTCAATAGATTTTTTTTTTATAGTCCGATTCTGTCCTTTTCACAAATCTTTATTTGATATCCCATTTGTTCAAATTCTAAGTACTCACGGGTGCTTGTTTTAAAGTCCAAATTGTCCCAGGAAAGAAGGCAGCGCTCTCCGGCAGCAGCTATGCGGCTTTGCTCCACGGAAATAGCGATTGACTCACAGCACCACGCCGCTTCCCCCTCCTCACTTCGGAGCCCGTTCGTGGGTTCCTTAGCGGATTGGGGGGGGGCGCTAAAGGTGCCCGCTGAGTCCCACGGTTTTAGTATATGTGCTGCCGAAGCGAGCACACTAGTTGTTGGATTCCCATCACCCCTGAGTCCTATCTACTGGCTATGCAGCTTGAAGTCCAACAATATCTAGAGAGCTTTATGTTTCTCATCCCTGATTTACATCTTGCAAACAATCTCAACCCTTGGGCATTCTAATTTAATTTTTACCATCTAAAAACATTCCACTGTAAACTGAAATGTGCAGCTGATTATGGGAGAGATGTAAGAGCTGGACCATGCAGGATTATACTATTCATTTTGAATGATTTTTTTTTTTCACACACTGTATCTGCTCTCAAGAGCACCTGCACCAGCTGAATTGGAGCCCTCAGAAATCCTTTTGTAAATTCACATAAAAATGACCATTCTCTCTTGGCCATGAATAATCTCAAATCTTCTGCAAGGTGAGCAATATTGCATTGCAGTATGAAGACACCAAATATGCTTTTTCCATGTTCAGAGACCCACAATACTAAGCTGTGCCTTTGTTGAAGAAAAGCATTTGACTTGTTTCCTTTTTGTGTGTGTTGTTTCTGTCATTAGCTTTTGTAACAGCGGAAGTATTTTATTCCTTTGCACAAAGAATTAAGTGTTCATATTAGCAAGACTGGGAATATTTTGGTCAAAATTGCTTCCTCCAGTGGCAATTCTTTTGTACTGATCTCAAAATGGATAAACAATTGGCATTTATTAAGAGAAATCCCATTAATTTCAGTGGAGAAATTCTCCTTCACTCTAGAACCCACAGCTGGCGACAGCTGGCACAATCTGAAGTAGGAATAGGGGAGAAGATTGATTCTGTTCATTATTGAAGGTAAATCTATCCAATCTGCACTTTCTGAAAAAATGTGAGAGCTGAAATACAGCCACCCTTCAAAATTCTCACTAATCCATCTTTCATTATTTCATTCTCCATTATTTACAGAGATGCATATATTAGGGGAAAGTGTATCTAAAAGTGTACCTAAAAGTTAATACAAGTGAAAATAACATACAAAAATGAATTATATTAGGAGAAATTGCTGGCAAAAATATGCATATTAAGTCAAAGCTGCATACAAACAAGTGTTTATGAGGAGAGATTCGTACTGAAATGCTGGTGGAGTTTCATGAAGATTTTCCAAATAAATGTACAAATTGCCAAGCAATGTGGAGAACTGAATACAAGACTCAAAAACTTGAGAGAACTGAAACGGGGAAATCTTTCCATCCCTAATCTGAAGGAATTGCATTTCACACAAGAAGCCATATTCAAAGATTAGCCCTGTTGCCCAGCAATATCTATTCACACACACACACACACACACACACAAATACAAATCATTGCTTATTTTATCTCTTTTTTTTCCAGGAAGGAGAGACTCCACTTGACATAGCAAGAAGATTAAAGTTCACCAACATAGAAAACATGTTAAGGAAGGATACTTAGCCCATAATGTGATGTTGTCAAGCCCGAGTCAGGGGAGGAATCTATGAGGGCAATAATAAGTCCCACAGCACTGACATGTTATAGTAACCTCATGTTTACAGCAGCTACCAAGTTTATACAGCATAGATGGACTGTGTTAAACTCTGCCGCTCCGTATGAATAGCTGATGTGACTTGACCAGAAGCACACGGTTAACATTATGAACATTAAGAGCTATTCATTATTTTCATTCCCCCTGTACCAAAGAATGTTTGTAAAGAGTATGAACAAACAATACTATTTATTTGATGTATACTATCTGTAACAGTTGCAACTGGAAACAGATTAATCAGTAAAGATCTTTTTTTTTTTTTTTTACACAAGGTGTACATTCTCAACTACATAGAATTAGAAAGAGCTGCCAATTTATGACATGGGCATCATAAATGGCAGAACAAAGGGCTGTGTGGGCATGCCTCGGCAGGAGCAGAAAGCTTGGGAAGCTGAATATCTCTGTCTCTTCTACATTGTACTGTTCCCACTCCCAGTAGAAACAAAACCACACCGAGGACCTGGGAAGTAGGGTGATAAAGGAAGAGGGAATGCAGACAGGGTGGTTGACAGGTTGAAAGTAGACAGAAGACTGAACAGCAGAGATCTACAAAATGATAATAGAAGATATCATTTTCTTTTCAATGTTTATTAAAAGATAATCTGGGAAGTATTTGCTGCTAGCTGTCTTGACAGGCCATTCTTTTCTTCGGAAGACTGAAGGAGCCAAGAAGCGAGCAATTTTAGATTCAAATCCAAATGTCATAGACCAAATGGACCAAATGGAGCAAACAGCACACAGACCTAGTGGTGGGAGGAAAAACTCCTTAAATAAGAGTCACGGGGGAATGATTAATGGACTTCATTGTCTGTACACTAACGCGCAAAGCATGGGAAATAAACAAGATGAGCTTGAGCTCTTGGTACAGCAAACTAAATATGACATAATAGGCATCACTGAAACCTGGTGGGATAAGTCCCACGATTGGAATGTAATAATGGGGGGATACAATCTATTTCAGAGAAACAGACCAGACAAGAAAGGAGGAGGAGTGGCGTTATATGTCAGGGATGTGTATACCTGTGAAGAGATCCAAGATTTAGAACCTCAAAGCCAAAGTGAGAGCATTTGGGTCAAAATTAAGGGAGAGAAGAATAACAGTGACCTCATTGTGGGAGTTTACTATAGATCCCCAAGCCAAACATAGGATATAGATGATGCCTTCCTGGAACAGATGGCCAAGCATGCAAAAGGAAGGGAGATAGTAGTAATGGGGGACTTCAATTACCCGGATATTTGTTGGATGTCAAACTCAGCCAAGAGCATAAGGTCAAACAGATTCCTCACTGGCCTTGCAGACAACTTCATTGTCCAGAAAGTGGGAGAAGCAACAAGAGGAACAGCCATTTTAGATCTGGTCCTAACCAATGTTGATGACCTGGTTAGTGGGGTAGAAGTGGAAGGATCATTAGGCGCGAGTGATCATGCTCTTCTGAAGTTTACTATACAGCGGAAAGGAGCAGCCAAGCATACTAGGATTCAATTTCTTGACTTTAAGAAAGCCGACTTCATAAAACTTAGGGAAGTGCTGGGTGAGATCCCATGGACAGTAATACTAAAAGGAAAGGGAGTTCATGATGGCTGGGAGTTTGTTAAGAGGGAGATACTAAAAGCACAACTTCAGGCAATACCAATGAGACGGAAACATGGAAGGTGCCTAAAGAAGCCAGGGTGGCTATCTAAAGAACTTTTAACTGAGTGAAGATTTTAAAAGGATGTGTACAAAAAATGGAAAAGGGGGGAAACCACCAAAGAGGAATTCAAACAAATAGCCAGCACGTGTAGACACAAAGTCAGAAAAGCTAAAGCACAGAATGAACTCAGGCTTGCTAGAGAGGTTAAAAGCAACAAAAAAGGCTTTTATGGGTATGTCCGTAGCAAAAGGAAGAACAAAGAAACAGTGGGGTCACTCAGAGGAGAAGATGGTGAAATGCAAACAGGGGACACAGAAAGAGCTGAACTCCTCAATGCCTTCTTTGCCTCAGTCTTCTCCGATAAAGAAAACAATGCCCGACCTGAAGAATTTGGAGCAAATGATTCAGCAAAGGAAACACAGCCCAGAATAACTAAGGAGATAGTACAAGAATACTTGGCTAGTTTAGATGTATTCAAGTCTCCAGGGCCAGATGAACTGCATCCAAGAGTATTAAAAGAACTGGCAGATGTGATCTCAGAACCGCTGGGAGTCATCTTTGAGAATTCCTGGAGAACAGGCGAAGTCCCGGCAGACTGGAGGAGGGCAAATGTTGTCCTATTTTCAAAAAGGGGAAAAGAGAGGACCCAAATAATTACCGCCCAGTCAGCCTGACATCAATACCAGGGAAGATTCTGGAGCAGATCATTAAGCAAACAGTCTGTGAGCACCTAGAAAGGAATGCTGTGATCACCAATAGTCAGCATGGATTTCTGAAAAATAAGTCATGTCAGACTAACCTGATCTCGTTTTTGACAGAATTACAAGCCTGGTAGATGAAGGGAATGCAGTGGATGTAGCCTACCTTGATTTCAGCAGGGCATTTGACAAGGTGCCTCATGATATTCTTGTAAAGAAGCTGGTAAAATGTGGTCTTGACTATGCTACCACTCAGTGGATTTGTAACTGGCTGACTGACCGAACCCAAAGGGTGCTCATCAATGCTTCCTCTTCATCCTGGAGAAGAGTGACTAGTGGGGTGCCACAGGGTTCTGTCTTGGGCCCGGTCTTATTCAACATCTTTATCAACAACCTGGATGATGGACTCAAGGGCATCCTGATCAAATTTGCAGATGACACCAAACTGGGAGGGGTGGCTAACACCCCAGAGGACAGGATCACACTTCAAAACGACCTTGACAGATTAGAGAACTGGGCCAAAACAAACAAGATGAATTTTAACAGGGAGAAATGTAAAGTATTGCACTTGGGCAAAAAAATGAGAGGCACAAATATAAGATGGGGACACCTGGCTTGAGAGCAGTACATGTGAAAAGGATCTAGGAGTCTTGGTTGACCACAAACTTGACATGAGCCAACAGTGTGACGCGGCAGCTAAAAAGCCAATGCAATTCTGGGCTGCATCAATAGGAGTATAGCATCTAGATCAAGGGAAGTAATAGTGCCACTGTATTCTGCTCTGGTCAGACCTCACCTGGAGTACTGTGTCCAGTTCTGGGCACCACAGTTCAAGAAGGACACTGACAAACTGGAACGTGTCCAGAGGAGGGCAACCAAAATGGTCAAAGGCCTGGAAACGATGCCTTATGAGGAACGGCTAAGGGAGCTGGGCATGTTTAGCCTGGAGAAGAGGAGGTTAAGGGGTGATATGATAGCCATGTTCAAATATATAAAAGGATGTCACATAGAGGAGGGAGAAAGGTTGTTTTCTGCTGCTCCAGAGAAGCGGACACGGAGCAATGGATCCAAACTACAAGAAAGAAGATTCCACCTAAACATTAGGAAGAACTTCCTGACAGTAAGAGCTGTTCGACAGTGGAATTTGCTGCCAAGGAGTGTGGTGGAGTCTCCTTCTTTGGAGGTCTTTAAGCAGAGGCTTGACAACCATATGTCAGGAGTGCTCTGATGGTGTTTCCTGCTTGGCAGGGGGTTGGACTCGATGGCCCTTGTGGTCTCTTCCAACTCTATGATTCTGTGATTCTGTGATAGATGCCCAGAGATTATTTAGATTGTGCTGTTTGGATTTTTTTCTCTCTCCCTGTGCATTTCAAATGTCAAACAGATATATCTTCCCATCTACAGCTGTACTACAACTACCATTATCCCTAGCTAGCAGAACCAGTAGTCAGGGATGAGGGGAACTGTAGTCCAAAAAACAGCAGGCAACCCAAGTTTGGGAAGAAACCCAGGAAACAGCTAATTAAGCTTGTTTTCTTCTCTGACCAACAACACAATAGTAAAGTAGAAAGCAGTGGGTTCCCCTCTTGGGGGTACTCAAGGGTATGTAGTACCAGAACCTTTTTTCTAGAAGAAAAGCACTAATAAAAAGAAATCCCAAGATTATTTATGTCAGTGTTTCCCAAACTTGGGTCTCCAGCTGTTTTGGACTACAACTCCCATCATCCCTAGCTAGCAGAACCCAGTGGTCAGGGATGAGGGGAACTGTAGTCCAAAAAACAGCAGGCAACCCAAGTTTGGGAAGCACTGTGCTGTTTTGCCATATATGTAACTTGTTACAACAACATACCGTATTTTTCGCACCATAGGACGCACCGGCCCATAGGACGCATCAAGTTTTTTTGGGGGGGAAATAAAGGGAAAAAAATTATTTCCCCCCCAGGCGCTTGTGGGGCCGGCAGCGGGGAGAAGCGCTCTTCTCCCCGCAGTCCGCCTTCAGATCAGGTCCGGGGACAGCGGGAAGACGCGCTGCGTCTCCCAGCTATCCCCGGAGCTTGCGGGGCAGGCAGCGGGGAGAAGCGCTCTTCTCCCCACCGCCCGCCTTGATATCAAGTCCGGGGACAGCGGGAAGACGCGCTGCGTCTCCCTGCTGTCCCCGGAGCGTGGGGGCAGGCAGCGGGGAGAAGTGCTCTTCTCCCCGCCGCCCGCCTTCAGATCAGGTCCGGGAACAGCAGGAAGACGCGCTGCGTCTCCCAGCTGTCCCCGGAGCTTGGGGGCAGGCAGCGGGGAGAAGCGCTCTTCTCCCCGCCGCCCGCCTTGATATCAAGTCCGGGGACAGCGGGAAGACGCGCTGCGTCTCCCAGCTGTCCCCGGAGCTTGGGGGCAGGCAGCGGGGAGAAGCGCTCTTCTCCCCGCCGCCCGCCTTCAGATCAGGTCCGGGAACAGCAGGAAGACGCGCTGCGTCTCCCAGCTGTCCCCGGAGCTTGCGGGGCCGGCGGCGGGGTCTCCCCGCCGTCAGCCTCCAAACCACTTCGGGAGACAGCGGGATGGCGGCGTTCCGCCTCCCTCTGTCCCCCGACCTTGTGGGGCTGGCGCTGGGGCTCTCCTGAAGCCTGGAGAGCGAGAGGGGTCGGTGCGCACCGACCCTCTCGCTCTCCAGGCTTCAGTGAAAGCCTGCATTCGCACCATAGGACGCACACACATTTCCCCTTCATTTTTGGAGGGGAAAAAGTGCGTCCTATAGTGCGAAAAATACGGTAGTTGCATCAAGGGCAAAATAACTAAATATCTCTCAGCTCACACCTTTATTAAACGCTTGCCAAATTACAAAGGTATTGCAAAGAAAAGAGGTTGCGAAAGAGGGATTAATTTCTTCATCTCCAAAGCAGCATTGAGTGTAGTATATAGATTTTTCTTCATCATCATCATCTCAGTTATTTCTATGTACAGTTGCATCAAAGATTATGGATATCCCCTGAACAAGAATATGAATATTCTCAGTGGTCAACTCAATTACAGCAGTTCTAATTGCTTTATCCATGATTTCTGTGTACATGTCCTCCTTCCCTAAGACTTCCGAACATCAGTGACAAGCACTATGGATAATTCTTCATTATCTCTATGATCTCCATATACATGCGCTCAGTTGCATCAATTCCCCAGATAAAATCTAGGTGGTTCCATTCGGGAATATACTTTTCATAAATGAGGTTAGTAATCCGTGGGCGTAATAGTTTTACATCATTTGGGTGTGCAAACAAGTCTTGCCCTCCAGTCCATATTGCGATCGGTATTTGAATATCTTCTATCCTGTATACAGGAGGGGTTGTCTGAGGATAAAACAACAACAGTAATGACCACTAAAAACTTCCTTCCAAGCAGATGATGTAAAAAACAAGGCAACCTATAAAACAAAATAGGACTATACACAGGTTGCTCGTAACTTCCCTCTGGCCAGGAATCTTGAAGCAATATAGCAGAGGTCAGCAAACCTTTGCAGCAGGGGGCCGGTCTACCGTCTCTCAGACCTTTTGGGGGGGCTGGACTATATTTTGGGGGGAAAATAATGAGCGAATTCCTATGCCCCACAAATAACCAAGAGATGCATTTTAAATAAAAGGACATATTCTACTCATGTAAAAACACGCTGATTCCTGGACTGTCCGCGGGCCAGATTGATAAGGTGATTGGGCCTGATCTGGCCCCCGGGCCTTAGTTTGCCTACCGGTGCAATATAGTATAATATATCCAAAGGCAAGATTACTGGGGTATTATATATGTAACTGAACCATTTTCACAACCAAAATCCATTTGTCAGTGGCGTATAAACTGTGTCTCAGCACACTGTATTTCTGAAAACATATATAGTTTTTCATAATCTACCTCTCAATTATTACACTTGTAAATTACAATTCCAGCCAGACGTTATTCCACATTATGTATAGTAATGTAAAAACTAGGGAAATGAAACCTATTTTAAACTACACTTAAAAACATTCAGTCAACTAGCAAGCAAACTACAAAAAACCCTGTAAAATACCTCCAAATTGCACACAACAGAATGTTTGCTAAAATAGTGTGTAAATTTGAACACATCCAAGATAATAAAATGGACTTTAGATAACAGTAAAAAATATGCGAGGATGGGGGCTGAGCTCAGCTCCCTGACATAGGCATGCCTTTAAACATAAATCTAATGTGGTCCCTCTCTAACCTGTATTAAGTGGGAAATAGTATCAAAAAAGTTTCCATGTGAAATATACCTATCAGAGATGTTATTCTGATTTCAAACACTGCCCTACCTGATTGTACTTCTCCATATTCTTTTCCTCCGAACCATGGTCATATCCTTCAAATTGTTTTCTCAGACGCAGCTAGAAATAAATTGTGCATTTTTGTAAAATGTATAATTTCCAAAGATGCAAAAAGTGTCATATGTAGGATTTCAGCAATCTTGACAAAACAGCCCTATAAGATAGGCTGCTGTTATTTATCCCTGTTCTTTGGATAGATTGCTATAATGGTCTCATTATGAATATCCGTCTATAATCATTTAATAGTTCCAGAAAACATTTTTTAAATCAACTACAGTGGTACCTCGGGTTACGTATGCTTCAGGTTACATACGCTTCAGGTTACAGACTCCGCTAACCCAGAAATATTACCTTGGGTTAAGAACTTTGCTTCAGGATGAGTACAGAAATCGTGCAGCAGCGGCGCAGCGGGAGCAGGAGGCCCCATTAGCTAAAGTGGTGCTTCAGGTTAAGAACAGTTTCAGGTTAAGAACAAACCTCCAGAACGAATTAAGTTCTTAACCCGAGGTACCACTGTATGGATTAATACACTGCTTCTTTAAAATGTTGCTTTATTTCCACATGAGTACATGGATGGAATCCCATTGCATTATTTTCTGGGAAGTACTAGATAGAGTCAGATTTCATGTGCCACATGATCCTTTCCTTGATTCCAAACATCGGAGGAAGCTGCTTCCAGCCATTCTGTAGATAACTACAAAATCTGCAGACGCAAATAATAAACATCCTGCTGTGACAGAAAAGCTAGAATGATTGGCAGCAGGGAAGTGGAATAGGATGTTCGGCACAGTTTAAAACAAGTAGAAAGCATGGGTTGAAAAATGACAGAGATAAGAGACTCTAGTTGTGTGTGGGAAAGTCAGAGCCCAAGGGAAAGTGAGATGGGAGAAATACAGAAAGTGAATGGGGAAGAGTTGGGTTAACTGTTTCGAAACATGGAATAGAAAAGTTAGATAAGAAAACCAGACTTCAAAGAACTGACCTGCCAAATTAGCTACCAGGCTAAGTTCAAGGTGCTGGTTTGGTGCATAAGACCCTACACAGCCTTCTCCAAAATGTTGCAAAAGACAATCAGATAAAGAAAATGCCATGGTGGGAGGAGGAGATCTGGACTTGGCTGATACAGAGCTGCAGGGCTAGAATCTCAGCAACACTCTCCAGTTGCAGGGCTCACACTGTTTCTTAGAAAAAGTTGGTCCAGCCTCTGTTTTGTCCAACCTTTGATTTCTCTCTCTCCTCCCCCATTCCCAATTAATCCCAGATTCCTGTGTCTGTGTGTATGTGAAGTTTGATGTGTTTGTCTTAGCCTTATGGTTACATAGGTGGTGTCACGCTTCCCTTACGACTATCCCTCATTTTGGTCCTACTTTTTAAGGTAAGGTTTATTTATAGCTGCATTCTGCTTCATGTACTTCTCCTTATTAGTACTTCTATCTTGTATGCATGCATGTGCAGCGGTGTAGCTAGCCGCTCGGGTGCCTGGTGAGGGGTGTGTGTCCTGCAGCTGGGGGTGGGGCGATCCACCCATAAGGGCGGGGCGAGCCTCTCCACCGCATGGAGCCTCTCCACCGCCTCCCCCTCAGCTGTAGGGCAGCTGAGGGAGAGGCGGTAGGCAGAAGCAAGTCCCACGCTGCCATTTCAGGCAGCGTGGAACCTGCAGGCACCTAAGCCACCATGGTCACTCCTTAAAAGTTTCGTGAGGCCATTTTTAAAAACAAAAAAGCCCTCATTTTGTCACACACACCCTCAGTAATGACACCCGGGGTGGTGTGCACACACCCCGCACCCCCTTCCTCCACCACTGTGCATGTGTGAGTAAGTCTTGTGAGCAAACTGCACACAGTCCAATACATATACAGAACAGAACAGGGGTGCAGGTGGCACTGTGATCTAAACCACTGTGCCTCCTTGGGCTTGCCAATCAGAAGGTTGGTGGTTCAAATCTCCGCAACGGAGTGAGCTCCTGTTGCTCTGTCCCAGCTCCTGCCAACCTAGCAGTTTGAAAGCACATCAAAGTGCAAGTAGATAAATGGGTACTGCTGCAGCGGGAAGCTAAACGGCCTTTCCGTGCCCTCTGGCTTCCATCACGGTGTCCCGTTGTGCCAGAAGCAGTTTAGTCATGCTGACCACATGACTCGGAAAACTGTCTGTGGATAAATGCCGGCTCCCTTGGCCTGAAAGCAAGATGAGTGCTGCAACCCCATAGTTTTGTGTGTGTGTGTGTGTGTGTGTGTGTGTGCGCGCGCGCGCACGCTTCAGTCATTAAAAAATATATAATCTTTTTTTTGGGGGGGGAAGGGAATTGTAAAGCTGGCTAGCACGAAAGTCCTTGCATGGAACTACCTTTCTGAAATTTCAATTACACATGGGGAGGAAACTCCCAAACAGGGGTATTTCCCCCCTGCATGCCTCCACCTTCCTCTCAAGTTGGCTCAGGGTGTGTGTGTGTGTCAAGAGGACCCATGGAACCGCTTGGGGGGAGGAGGAGAGTGGGGATCATTTTGTCTGGTAAACCAAAATGCTTGTCTTGCCAGATCAATTGACATAGCACTATGATGAATTTCTTCAATGGCATTTTAATAAATATCGAAGAAACATAATATTTGAAAATTCAATATACCTGTTTCCAATGAAACATATTTTGCACAGATGTTCCAGCAGGAGAATGGCTTGCATACACGTCCATTCGGCTCTGAAATAGAACAGTCTACATGGCTTACGCTGCTATGATGCTCTGTTCTGGAAGCCTCACCTGATATTTGCACTTTTCCCTTTTCAACAGCATGCAAAGACCTTTCTTTTTCCCAGAGAAATGAATATACAACAGTCATGATGTCTGAAGATGAGGTACAGATAGAGTCCAACAACAACTAGAGGACCACAGGTTTGCCAGCCCAGTCTGACTGTAGGACTAGAATTCAAAGGGGACTTGTTGGAATCTAGTGGTTCAGACATGCTGCAGGAAGCTCACAGTCCATTAGGACTTCCTGCCTATCCATTTCAGCTTCTCATCCATACCGCTAGAGTGCATGTGTACCTACAGGAAGCCTCTTGGATTGACAGGGGTCAACAAAATTGCCATCCTGGATTAGATGCATTTGCATGACTTCTCCATGAATACATAATACGTAACAATACTTTGTGCACAGAATTAGAGGGAAAGTGATGCAGATCTGTGTTCCTTCCTGAGAACTTGTGTGATGAAACAAATGTTCATCATAAAGGTGGAATGGGAATTCTTTGCTACCCCTAGACAGAGGAGAGAACTGGTAATCCATTTCCACATTTCAATAATTTCAACCTGGAAGCTTTTACATAACAAAGCTTAAGCACTCATTAAGCTTAGATATAATATATCCTCAACTCCAGCAACCCCGAACAATCTATATGTTATAGATGTTTTTAATTATTTACAATATGCTTTTAATTTATTTTAAATTCTATTGTTCTACCATTGATGTGCTCCCTCTAGGGAGGAAGGATGAGGTAGAAATTTTTATTTATTTATTCGTTGTTGTTGTTGTTGTTGTTGTTTCTAATCCAACAACAGGAAGTACCTCAAAGTCACATGTGCCCAAGCTTAAGCCTATGCATGTTTGCTCATCATAAACTCACCTAGGATTGCAGGGCTAGTTTTCAAGAGAAAGAATCACCCTTCAGGGGCAGAAGGTCTTGCCCTGCCCTTGCCATTTGGACTACAACTCACTTCAGGGGATTGGGTGTGTAACATATAAGCAATGACAACAGTATAGTGACTGTGCATAAAGCTCCAGAACCAGGTCCGTGTTGTCTGTCTGGTATCTACCCAGCTCACTGCGAACCCATTTTAGTGGTTAGTGAGTGGTAGCGCCACGTTTGAATGGGAGCCAAGCTTTGCCCCCGCCCCCAGTGGCCACCTGCCATTTTGATTTACCTAAAATTTAATTCCCATAAATCTATGAAATTGCTTTGTGTGTGTTCTGGGGACCATCAATAACACTGAGCCAAGAGCAATCTGGTGCTGTCCCTGCCCGCAACTCTTTTGTTGTTGTTTTTGGTATGTGTCATGGTTCCAGCTTGACTTCCAGGGTCATCAGTCTCTTTCCCTTATACCTAACCTACTTAAACACAAGCTCCCCTAAAATTTCCATTAAGTGTTACAAAGACAAGAATATAACTTACCAGGTTGAAATTGGGGGTGTTATATCCAGCCACAAAGGAAAGAACTTTGACACAATATTTAGGCTGATAAGTGCAAAACCAAGAGACTGGCTTTTTCCAATGTATAGCATAATCAAAAACATTTTTCTGGCCAAATATTGCCTGAAAAATAATATATTTGAAATTAGCTACCACTAAACCAAATAAAGATCAACACCCTATTCCCACAGAGTCCCACTGTTGTGGAATGTGTATGGAGGCAGGAGGGAAGGAAGTCTATAGTGGTTTCTCAGGCTGCTGCGCCCGCCAAAATCTCAGCAGATCTACCTTTGCCTCTAAGCTAGCAGCAGCAGCAGTCTGGGTGGCCAGTAGATGCCCATTTTGCAACTGGCACTGCCAGGATGTGGAAGAGGAGCCAGCCAAGCTGCATCATTCCATAGCACTTAAGTGCCTTTCCTGCTTCCTATGTCATTATGTAGCATAGCTCATTTCCTATTTTCTATTAGCATCATTTTCAAATAGACAGAAGGCTGCTTAAAATCCTGATGCCACAAGTCCAGTCCTGCTGCCAATGAGCAGAGGGAGGGAGGGAAGGAGGGAGGCAGCTCCAAAGCCCTCGAAGGAGAGCCCAGATGTGCTTCAAGCACCTCCTGCTCTCCAGCTCAGGTTCCTCTCAGGGCATTTCCGCTGCTTCCAGATGACACCTCAGCTGGAGCTGCTTCACAATTCCCTCAGTGGTACTGTGCTTGGGAGGAAGAGCATTTGCTATGCAAACTCTCCTGCCCACACTGGATAGGGGAGAGCTCCCGACATGCAACACAAACCGGGCTGCATGCCTTTTTCTTCATTGCAAATGTCAATGAGACTGCAGTAGGACCAGCAAATATGGCAGGTTGGGTTGGACAGGAGAATAACTGCTGTGACTGGGGATAGTGGCCAGAGTGCTGAAGGGGCCCAAGAGAGCCCCCGTACCTGACAGTGCCACTTCCTGCTTTGCCTCCCCCCACCATAGATCTAATGGGACACTCCTTAGTAAATTATAAGAAACTGTTACAGCACTCTTAGGGCCTTAGGGAAGAATAGCGGGGCACGCTGAGTTTGGCAAACAAATGAGAGCAGGGTGATGGCACTAGCATATACGTGTGTGTGTGTGTGCGCGCGCGCGCACACACACACACACACGGACTATGAATATAGATCTTTACTCAACTCTGTGCCTAATCTGTGCTCATATAAATAGTGCCCAGAAAGACTTACGTGCAGGAACATGTCAGGAATATCCGCTAGTTTTATGAGTGGGGTTGTGGAAAATGTCACTGTGGCTATAGGTGCCAAAGCAAAAAATACTTTGATTCTTTCAGCCAGTTTTGGCCAAGTAGAGAATCCTATGAAACCTGAGAAAATAAAATTTATCCTAAATCAGCAAGCTGTCAGTTTCTTCACCTTTCTAGAATACTCACAGCCCTTACAGTTGATAAAAATGTAATTGTCTTCCTTCGTGTTGAGTGCCTTTAGCTTTATATTCCATTCCTGTTGGGCCTTTCAATGGCTAGTTGGTGTCTTGGGGGGTTGGAATGGTCATGTTAGTTTATGCTGGTTTTCATAATATTTTGTACTGTCTAAAATGGAATTCAATGCCTGTTTTTAATCTGGTTTTTAAAATGTATTATGATTTATTTGTGTTCATTTTTGTAAGTCACTTTGGGAAGCATTTTGATTGTAAAGCAAAATATAAATCTTTTAAATAAAGAAGGGGAGCCTTGCTGAATGCAAGGGGGTGGATAGCTCAGTTCCACTTGCTGCTCTGCCCTTTTTAACTAGGATGATGTACATTGGTCCATGTGAGATACCTGTCCAAGAATGTGGAGAGAAGCTCCTATCCAGTATAGATTGGGGATAGGGAACCTGTTGCCTTCCAGAACATGTTGGACCCCCAGCCTGGATGACTAATGGTCAAGTATAATGGGAGTGACAGTGTAACAACAAACATTATGAGGGCCACAAGTTCTCCATCCCTGGTGTGAACAGTACTGAGCTATGTGCATCCACGGTTTGTATCAGGCAATTTCCTACTGAACCAGGGGTGGGAAAGTGGATTCTGCTGACAAGTTAGAGACTCAACATTCTCACTCCCCGATACGGCACATTTGAATGCCAGTGATACCGAGTTGAAACCTGCAGCTGCAAAGAAGAATCAGGAGCACAGATTTTCCCTTTCTTCCTCTACAGCCCTGCATTTAAACCAAGCCATGGCTGTAGGGGAAGATTCTCTCTTTGCAGCCACAATTTGAAATCAAGTTGTGGCTCTGGCTTCAAAGAACAAACTGGGAGTTCCTTCCAAGCGCAGTGGTTCTTCCATCCCAGGACTGCACTTTTTGAATCTGGCACCTTTTTGGCCTCAGAAAAAGGCACCCAATTCAAAAAACAAACACCCAAATCATAGCAGAAGCTGGCTGTATGCTGTGCTTCCCCCTGACAGCCTTGTTTCTTTCTAGACCTGGTTTTTCTCAGTGTGTCATTGGAACAATATCTCCACATCCCATTGTGATGCTCATGTGAAAACAGCCTGCATTCTGTAACATACCGCTTGTGGAGCCTTGAGAATGGCCTATGTAATATAGTTGTTCCTGCCCGGTTTTATTCAGAATGAAGTGTATAACAGCTGGAAGGTCATAGTATCCCATCTCATGAAAACTAGAGAGAGAAATGCACACAATAATGCATGAGCAAGCATTGGTGATGTATTAGCATTAGTAATGGATAAACAAGAGGCAAGGATTAGCACAAACCAAAGGAAAATATCTACATGGATAATGTGATGACATAATCCACCATCTTTGTTTTCTTACCTAAACTCCCAGAATTTCTTTTTGTTTCTTCTCATTTTTTTATGATTTGAAGACCAAGGATTTCCTCTGCTGTTTCCAAGCCAAACATCATACCCAGTGTCTGCCAATATGAAACCCAAACTGTTGCTGGGCAAGTTCGAAATCCAGTGGGTAGCATCTCCAAGCAAAGCATGTTGCAAAAACACACTGGGCCGTGGACCTGTAAAATAGTAAGAGATGCTTTGTTAATGGCCCGTTATATTCTATATAAGGGACTCCAATTTTCAGTGTGGGAAGGAAACAATTTGATGTATTCTTCTTATTAACTTATTTATTTATACCCCACCTTTTCCCATGATGGGTCTCAAGGCAACTTACAGATAAAACCAAGAACTGCTTAAAACATAGAAAAATCAACCATTACTATACAATTAAATATTGATAGAATTATAAACTATATAAATATATAAAATCTGTTTAAAACATATCAGCCATTACAAGAAAAACGGCACGGCACCAGCCCTTTCATTAAAAGCAGCCGATTCCCAATTGCCTGTTGGAACAAGATTAACTTCACCGGCTGGCAGAAGGACAGCAAGGATGGAGCCAGTCTAGCTTCCCTAGGGAGTTCCGAGCCTGGGAGCAGTCACCAAGAAGGCCCTCTCCCAGGTCACCACCAAACATGCCTGTCAGGGTGGTGGGATGGAGAGAAAGTCCTCTCCAAAAAATTTCAAAACCTGGGCACGTTAATATGAGGGAATACCATTTTTTTCAGATAGCTTGGATCTAAGCTGTGTAGGGCTTTATAGGTCATATACAGTACATTGCATTGCTGTCCTTCTGCTAGCGTGTGTCACTGAGGCCAAATCAGACATCTCAAGGAATGGGCACACTTGGCGCACTAGCTTTAACTGTGCAAATGCACTCCTGGCCACCACAGAGACCTGAGAATCCATGCTTCCAGGAGCATTCCCGAATTGCGAATCTGTGTCTTCACAGGTTGAATCCCTATTCCCTGTTCTGCCTTCTGACTGACTAAAAGTACCCCTGTTTTGTCTGGATTAAGTTTCAGTTTGTTCACCCTCATCTATTACTGATGACAGACACTGGTTTAGAACCAAGATTGCTTCCTTGGATTTAGGTGGAAAGTCAAAATAGAGCTGGGTGTCATCAGCATACTGGTAACACTGAGCGCCCAAATGCCGGACACCCTCTCCTGGCAGTTTCATGTAAATGTTTCAATAGCATGGGGGACAGAAGAAAACCCTGAGGGACACTGAAGGCCAATGGCCATCGTGTCAAACAGGAATCCCCAGCACCATCTCTTGGGTTTGCCCCTTCAGGAAGGAACAGAGCCATTGTAAAACATTGCCTCCCAATCTCATCCTTGCAAAGCAACCCAGAAGGATATCATGGTCAATGGGACTGAAAGGCACTGAGAGCTGTTTTTGTCCCATAACCAGGCCTGAAACCAGATTGAAATGGATCTGGATCATCCAATTAACTGTCAATAGAAGTTAGTCCAATTCACATCTTTACTTGTTCTGCCCAAGACACTTCATTTGAAATGTGTAGATCACAATGTTCAAGAGGCTTTGCTTCACATATGGCACGACAATGCATTTTTCCTGTGTTGCCCTTGCATACCAATGTCCATTATTAACTTGTTTGCAAATGTCAACATTACTCTAGCATTGAGCTGCAAACCTTCACTTACCAGATAATCAATGAAGGGACTAATTAATGGACTCAACACTTATTTCCTATTTAATTAAACAGTGCTTAATTAGTTGGGATTAGGATTATGGCCAAAAATTGCAAAACTGAGGGTGGGATGGGGTAGGGCTTGTCAGTGTTATGGTGTTACCCTTTCCCATGGCATTACCTTTGTCTGCATCACAGTATCTTCCACAAGGTATTCTGTTGATTGTAAGTATATATCCGTCTTCTGTCTCAACATGGTGTTCCTCACTTGGGTATCCATGATAACGGATAATCTCACTCTGGGGAGAAAACAGAATGGGTTTGCTTGAAGGCATCTCGTTTGTAATTAAGTGCTGTCCATCCATCCGTCCATCCTTCCTTCTGCCCATCTGTCTCTGTTAGCAAGTAGGTGCACCATCAGTAGGGAAATTCACCACAGCTGAGTTTCCAGCTTCACCCAAGCAGATAGAAAGCAGCTACAAGGAGCTCTGCCATGAGCTAGAGGGAGCCCTGGCCGGCAAAGCATCAAGGGAAGTTTTAGCCTCAACCATGACATACGCTCCCACATTTCTCCAATTAAAATAGATATCCTATTTATATTTATATTTATATTTATATTTATATTTACATTTATATTTATATTTATATTTATATTTATATCACACCCATCTGACTGGGTTGCCCCAGTCACTCTGGGCAGCTTCCAACCTATATAAAAACGTAATAAAACATTAATAGTTCATCAAATTAATAGTCAAATTCATCCTCCAGGGATCCACTGCCATCCCCACTTAACTCACCAGCAGGAACAGGAACAGGCAGGAGCCCAAGGTGTTGGGGGACATGTGGGCAGAGGAAGCAACTGGGGAGGAGAAGGAGGATCCAAAAGAAGGGGCCAGTGACTTGTGAGGTGCTGTGCCCCTTGTGGTGGAGGAAGAGGGGAGTCAGAAGGAAGAGACCTGGCAGCCAGAGACAGGGGAGACAAGGAGAAGGAGGAGAAAGCGCTGCAGGAGGCCTCAGATCCTGTAGATACTGAGAGTCATGGCTTTGGAAACCTCTAGGTCAGGCTTCCTCAACCTCGGCCGTCCAGATGTTTTGAGACTACAGTTCCCAGCATCCCTGACCACTGGTCCTGCTAGCTAGGGATCATGGGAGTTGTAGGCCAAAAACATCTGGAGGGCCGAGCTTGAGGAAGCCTTCTCTAGCTTCTCTCCTCTGCTGTCTCCATCCTCAAGGAAGGTGCTGAAGGACTGGAAACAGCAAGAGCTGCTATTGAGGAGGTGATTGAGCAAGCTATAGCAGGAAAGGCGGGAAGGAAGCATGCAGTAGTAGGTGTCATGACAGCTGTGTAGCAGGGAGTGTTTTTGTATTTATTTGAATGTTAGTAGCTGAGGTAACCAAGTGCTTTGCCAATGAAGAACTAAAGATCCTGTTGCTCATCCTCATAGAATCTTAGAGCTGGAAGTGATTTATTTTCAAATTCAAAATTCTTTTGCCTCAATCCTTTTATTTTCCTCTCTATTTAATTTCTTGTAATATAATGTTACAAGTGATTAAATTACGACAAACACAATAGAATATTGTGTTTGTAGTAATTTAATTTCTTGTAATATTTCTTTTTTTGAATTATGGTGCTAGAGGAGACTCTTGAGAGTCCCATGGACTGTAAGAAGATCAAACCTATCCATTCTGAAGGAAATCAGCCCTGAGTGCTCACTGGAAGGGCAGATCATGAAGCTGAGGCTCCAATACTTTGGCCACCTCATGAGAAGAGAAGACTCCCTGGAAAAGACCCTGATGTTGGGAAAGGTTGAGGGCACAAGGAGAAGGGGACGACAGAGGACGAGATGGTTGGACAGTATTCTCGATGCTACCAGCATGAGTTTGACTAAACTGCGGGAGGCAGTGGAAGACAGAAGTGCGTGGCGTGCTCTGGTCCATGGGGTCACGAAGAGTCGGACACGACTAAACAACTAAACAACAACAACAACAACACAATATTTCTTTATTTCTAGGTTTTTGTAATAAATCTTTTTCTTTCCTTACTAACTCATTTACTTTTTCCAGTTTTTTAATTTCATTTGAATTTTTCAAATATGCATTTTGCTTTATTAGGTAGCTGCTTAGGACTGCCTGACTTGTGTCCCAGACCCTCTTCGAAGTAGAAGAAAGAGAGGAAGGTGAAGAAGTAGATAGTTAGAGATGGAGAGGAGCAAGAAGGAGAGGAGGAGGAGGGAAGAAAGGAAGGAAAGGAAAAGAGAAGATTTGGGGGGGGGGAGGTTTAAAAGTTGACATTCTACTAGTTCTCCAAAGTCTTTTTTATATTTTCTCACAAATGATGCGGCTTTCATTACTTCCACACATTGTTGTTTCTTTCCCTTGTAAAGAGAATTCCCTCTGGATGTTCCCACCGGAATGAAAGAGCTTCTGTCAAGAATTTGTGTTCACTCCTTTTTTTAAAAAGAATCTTATCGGGATTTCATTCAAGTTGATAATTCTTTGTTCCTCAATTACCAGTCCTTTCTGAAAGTGCACCTGCAGTACATTATTTTTGAAGCTTCTGGAATTGAATACCACTAAACAGCTGGTGATTTCTTACTTTTAGCATAGGGTGATTCACTCTGAAAATCATGTGGCAACTGTAGTACTGCCGATTCCACCAATCAAAGTGATTGAGTGGGCACATCTAGTAGGTAAACTGTTCCCAAGTTCTGTTGGGCTTTATATACTAATTGTAACACCTTGAACTTGGCCCAGTAGCAAATTGGTGACCAGTGCAGATTTCTGAGCACAGGTGTTATATGCTGGTATAGCCTCACTCCTGCCAGCAATCGTGTTGCAGCTTCTAGGTCAAGCGCAAGGCAAGCCCCACTTAGCGTGCATTGCAGTAATCCAGTATTGAAGTAACCATTGCATGAACCACTGTGGCAAGGCTTTCCCAGCCCAGGAATGGCCACAGCTGTCAAACCAGTTGCAGTTGGTGAAAAGCAGTTCTAGCCACTGAGGCTACTTGAGCCTCCAGTGACAGAGCTGGATCCAGAAGCATCCCCAAACAGTGAACCCACTCCTTCAGGGTGAGTGCAGCCTCATTCACAGTAGGCAACTGGTTAAATTTTCAGACATGGGAGCTTCTTACCCATGGTGCCTCCTTCTTGCCAGGATTCAAGTTCAGCTTGTTTTTTTCTCATCCATTTCACCTCTACCAATGGCTTCATGTAGATAGCCACCAGCGGGCTGAAAGGCCCTCTCCCAATGCTACTGTCTGGACTTGGTCATGAAGCTAGGATTGGAGCCACTGTAATGCAGTGCCCCAAATTTGAGTGCCCTTGAGACTGACCCAGAAACTCCAGCGGGTGCAGAATGCCGCAGCGAGACTCCTTATGGGGTCTTCGCTGCGAGATCACATTCATCCGGTACTATACCAGCTGCACTGGCTCCTGGTGGAGTACAGGATCAGGTTTAAGGTGCTGGTTTTAACCTTTAAAGCCCTATACAGCCTAGGACCCTCGTACCTACGGGACCGCCTCTCCTGGTATGCCCCACAGAGGAACCTACAGTCTGCAAATAAAAACATATTGAAGGTCCCAGGCCACAGAGAGGTTAGGCTGGCCTCAACTAGAGCCAGGGCTTTCTTGGCTGCGGCTCCAATCTGGTGGAATGCTCTGTCACAAGAGACTAGGGCCCTGCGGGACCTGACATCTTTCTGCAGGGCCTGCAAGACAGAGTTGTTCCACCAGGCCTTTGGTCAGGGCACAACCTGACTCCCTCCTCTGGCAACCTGCACAGAATTTTGCTTAACGGTTGCCATCAATTTGATTTTAATTAATTTTTATAATGAAATGTTTTTAGAATGTTGGATTATTTGATTGTTCGATTATTTGATTGTTGTTAGCCGCCCTGAGCCTGGCTTCGGCTGGGGAGGGCGGGATATAAATAAAATTTATTATTATTATTATTATTCCTTGGAGCTGGTCCACGAGGATACCATAATCAATGGTATCAAGTGCCAACATGAGATCAAAAAGGAGCAAGGTCACTTTCCTCCATCCCACTCTCTGCAAAGGTCATCCATCAGGGTGACCAAGGCCAGTCCTGAACTCACCTGTGTCCTCCAAGAATGTCTTCAGTTGCTCCACCACTTTTCCCCAAAAGGGGATATTGACCACTGACTGGTAGCTGTTCTAATCCAAAGCATCTAGACCATTTCTCCTTAGGAGAAGTCACACTACTACCTCTTTCAATGCAGCAAGGACCTCCCTCTCATGCTGTGAAGCATTAACCACACTCTCGACCCAACCAACCAACCAGTCCCCCTCTGCTAGATTTAGGAGGGACAGGGGGCAAGGGGGCATGTGGTTGGATGCAACTGAGATCTAAGAATAATTTCACCTGCATCAGGTGAAATTGATCCCACAAAACAGGAGTTGCAACAAGTGCCGAGTCAACATTACTCTGGAGTTGAGAAACCTGATGCTCAAAGTGCATAAGCCAGTTGATCACAGTGGGTCTTTGAGGGCTCCAGAGGTCCCTCCCTCACACTGGGTCTCAGTAAGCCCCAGATCATACAAAATAACTCCAATACGAGGGTGCAAAATGAGCATTTTCGCTGCCTGTATTGCCACACAGTAGGCAGGATTATGTGTTCTTTTTGGCAGCAGAGCAAGAATTGTGCTACTTTAGTCTCTGTCTGGCTAGTTTCGTAGCTTGGAGCTCCTCGGCGTACTAAGGAGCTGCTCGAACTCTAAACTGCTGGAGAGGACACTCAGGAGCCTAACCTGTCAACTGCCTGTTTTATCTCCTGGTTCCATAGGAATATCAGGGCTTCAAAGCTAGATCCCCAGCTTTTTCCCTGGAAAGTATCCCACAGCATCCAGGAACATTTCAGGTTCCACTCACTCTCTGACAGCAGGTCATCTGAGCTGAAGATTTCTGAGTATGCATGTTAAACATTTTTTTTCCATGGGTTAAACTGAAAAGCAAATAGGCAACCAAGCAAATATAACTAAGTGGCTGGGAGCTGAGTAATTTACCAAAGGATGGTTGACAAATTTACAAAAACAAAAAACCAAAAAACCAAGGTTTCCTTTTCATTGGAAAAATATGAGAATAGCAGTTTTGTGCCAGAAGTTCAACTGTAACTTCTAATGATCCATTGCTGTGCTGCTAGAGATTCTGGAAGCTGTGATGGGACTGTGGGGAGTTACTGTACAGAAGCAGGAGGAAAAAGGATTTTGAGATTACTGTAGTAGATTGTGTGCATGTGTGGCAGACCAGCTGAGGATTTGGCAACCAAAAAGGCAACCTGGGCTACTCTCCCCACCCCCATTTTAAAAACTTGGACATAAGTCTATACTGCAGCAATCCAGGCACTGATTGCATAATTTTGGCAGCTCCCTAAGGGGCATTATGTACCCAACAGAGGCATTATCTTAAATCCTTGACAGATTTCCTTGTTGCTTGGCAGAAAATCCTACTGCTTAAGACAGAACTAGTCATTTCCCCCAAAATCTCAGTATGTGTATTTTCCCAGCACAGAATCATCTCCTATCCAAAAACCTCTCCTTTGACATGGATTTGGTGAGAACAAAGTGTATTTAAGAGCTGAGTTTTAGACAGAAAGATGGTGTTCCAACCAGGTACCTATGCTCCTGATGATTCAAGTCTGGATCTGGAGCACAGGCCTGAAGGGGGTTTCTGTTGCTTCAGGGTAAAAGCAGGTATTGCCTTCCTGCTTTTTGGTCAGAGTTCCTTTACACATGCAGCTGTATTTCTCACACTACTCTTAGAGAGTCTCATGATCTACTGACTGAGCCATCCCTTATTTGATGCCCAATACCCCTGGACCTGTGTCCCCAAAGCCCTGGATGGTGTCTCCTCTGTTACTAAGCCTTTCCTCAGAACCTACCTAGGTTAATCCCCTAATTTCTATGCACTACCTTTGTAGGTCAGTCTGTAAACAAGCCTGGGCAAATGTGCCTGATGGCATCACCCTTCCCTGTTTATTACTACCCATAGATACTTACTAGTAGTATCTGAAATAGCCCCTAGTACTTTGGCACAAGCCAAAGTTTAATGACAAAGAAATAGCAGTCAAAAGTATGTCTTACTTACAACATTCATAAAACACTCAGGATCCACTGTATCTGCAGTCACACGTTTTTCTGAAGCTTTGAATTCTTCTGAACTGTAAATTCCTTGGCACAAACATGCTACTATAATAAAGCCCCACATCTTCAACCTGTATGGAACAATGCTGTTGCATAACAATAACAATAACAATAACAATAACAATAACAATAACAACAACAGTAGTAGTAGTAGTAGTAGTAGTAGTAGTAGTATCATATGTGGTTCCTGCAGATTTAAAGCAGGAATGATGTGTCCAAAACTTTTGGTTAACATGAAAGAAAATTCTGAAACCAATGTAATTCCCTGGTGGATCCTTTTTGACATAAAGGAGGAGATGTAAGAATGTGTTGGGAATGGGAGTGGGGATGTAAAACAGATAGGAAAACTATGACCTTGGATAACATGTGATCAGAGCATCATTTAAAACATTTTTTTCTCTCTGAGATTCATGCTGAAATAATTAAAAAATAAATATCAGTTGGACTCTTATGTTGTTTCCCAGCATTTTCTTTCCTTGCTCAAATTTGGGAACAATGGGGAAAACCACACCAGTTCCTGGTAGCTTTATCTGTGGTTAGGGGGATGTGTTGAGGGACTGGTAAAGTTTTGGATCCTTCAGATCCAAGTCTTCCTCTGGTTTGCCCTCAGCATGTTGCAAATCTCTCACCAGGCACCAGCTCCCTCTTCTTTTAAGGTCCTTCTGATACTACAGCTCCAAAATTTGTAGTCCAAGGGCCATGGAAGTTTCTGTGGTGGTGTGTAGGGGAGCTACAGCATCTGATCTCGCTCTTCTAGATCAACTATCTCTATCTCTCTCTGCTCTTGGGGAGGGAGATCCAGTGATTTTTAAGTCCCCTGGAATTTCAGGGATGTAGCACTACAAGTCTCTGTTTTCAAGACCTGTGTGGTTCCACTAACAAAACTTCCCAATGATCTTCATGCATTGTATGCATACAGTGGTTCTGTAAAATACACTCCCCATTGGGGGAGAAGTCATCCGTTCACCATTCCCAGAGCACTGCCTCATCATCTAAAATATTTCAAAAGCCTGAACTATTATTTTTGTTGATCAGAGTAGCTTCCTTTCTCCAAGCCTAGAACTATATTTCCCGGAGTTAACATCCCCCCCCCCCAAATGGAAGGAAGTCTATATATACAAACAGACTACTCACCTAAAGCAGGATTCTCACCCTTCTTTGTTACAGTTGCAATTTTTTATTTTGGGCTAGAGTTCCTAAAGTGCAATTGCTGACGTTATTTGGACAGCTTAAGTTATTAGGCGAGTTTGTCGTCCTCTCTCAAAAGAAGTGCAGAGACCCGACTGAGCTTCGCAGAAGCGTTTATAAACGGGAGTGTGCTAAAAGTTCTGGATGAATAGCAGTCCTCCAGAAGGTACATCGGAGGGTTGCTCTCTTATGCCGGGCAGCGTCGCCGCCCACTCTCCTGTCTCCCAGATTGACTCAGGAGCGGAGCTGCAACCAGGCACGCTCCTTCTGGCGCGGAGCCCGGCTCAGTTGAAGGAGCCTGCTGTGACGCCACCACAAAACTGCGGCCGGGGCCACGCCACCCCCGCTATCATCGCAGCCTTTTGAAGAGACCAAAAGCAGTTCTTCAAATCCCAGCTAGCGACTCATTATTACCTCCTTCATTACTGTTTGTAAAGAGTTCGGTACAGCCCACAGAGACTGCGTGCGAATGTCGATACATGGCTGAGAGAGCCTTAAGTGGATTTCATGATGTCCGTCTAAAAATACAACATGCGTTTGATCGCAGCCGGCAAGCAGGACAAAGCGAAGCAAATGGAAAGGCTGCCTCTCCCCTTTGCAGCTCACGATGCTAATATCACATGAAACTGTTGAATGACGTAAACTATCTCTTCCGCTTTGTGTTGGCATCCTTCTGCCTCGGAGGCTGAAGTGCGCCTCGGGGGCTGAAGTCAAGCCACTGCGTTAGCAGCACCGAAGTAAGGCGCAGGCCTGGAGAGAGTGTGTGGAGGTCCTGGGCTGCCCAGACCACAAGACCCAACTCTCAGTCTCTCACGGATGTGGTCCAAAGGAAAGCAGAGCAACCCATTAGACACCAACTTGGCTGCAGGTGTTGCCAGATGGAAGCGTAGAAGGTGGCATCCAATTGTCTTAGGGACTCCACTCTTGTGTAGGGTTTGCTCCTTAGCCTTTTCTTCTCCCAAAGAAATCTTGCAAGGCAGCAGAGCTTTAGGACCAGAGTTTTCCTTCTCCTGGATGGGGGGCAGATGGGGCTCAGGCTGGTGAGCCCCATCTTCCCCTCTTTTCTCTCTATAGCACATACAGCAGTCAAGAGGCTTCGGAGATCCCTTTCTGTACTTCCTAGAATTGACCCGTTCTCCCATCCCCATCCCCACCCCCCACCCCTCACTAGAAGGCTTGAGATCTGCCAGGCTCGACAAGAACCTTCACAGAAGTGACGCAAATCAGTGTGGCCTTTTCAGAATGCTAAGAGATTTATTCTGTAAAGGATGTGGCTTTAGATTCATGCTCATTATTCAATAATAATTAATTCTGCGGAGGAATTGAGGACACCTGGTAGCAGATTTGTTTGCGATGACTCAAAAATAAATTGAGTCAGTGCTGACACATTTGGGCACTGGGTTAAGCATGTTGCTTCATCAGATCGGAGATTTCATTATACATCCATTGACATGCATCCAAGCCCCAGACAAAATCCAGATGAATTGGGAATGAATTGGGTAGAAACAAGGTTCTTGGTTTGGCTGTCGGGTCTGAGAGCAGGTCTTTTCCTCCAGACCAAACTGCGGTAGGTACAGACATATCTTCCACTTTATATAAAGGAGGGGTAAACTAGAAGGTGGAGGAAGGTAAATGAATTGGAAACAGAATTGCTAGATTCCAAAATTAAGAATTTGTCAAAAATGTACAACTTGCTGTTGAAATGGAACACTCAGGATGAAACGGTGAAATCAGCTATGATTAAATGGGCACAAGATGTTGGACATAACATAATGATGGCTGACTGGGCACAGTTATGGACCACAGGTATGAAATTTACGGCATGTAATGCCTTAAGAGAGAATATTATGAAAATGATATACAGGTGGTACATGACACCAGTCAAGCTTGCAAAAATTTACCATTTGCCCGAAAATAAATGTTGGAAATGTAATGAGACTGAAGGCACATTTTTTCACCTTTGGTGGACATGCCCAAGGATTAAGACATTCTGGGAGATGATTTATAATGAAATGAAAAAGGTATTTAAATATACCTTCCTGAAGAAACCAGAGGCCTTTCTCCTGGGCATGGTCGGCCAATTGGTGTTAAAGAAGGATAGAACTTTTTATATATATGCAACAACAGCAGCAAGAATACTCATCGCGAAGTATTGGAAGACACAAGATTTGCCCACCCGGGAAGAATGGCAGATGAAGTTGATGGACTACATGGAACTGGCGGAAATGACTGGCAGAATCCGAGACCAGGGAGAAGAGTCGGTGGAAGAAGATTGGAAAAAGTTTGAAGACTATCTACAGAAATATTGTAAAATTAATGAATGTTAGAAAAATGTTGAAATGAAGTTATATGGCTTTAGTAGAAATATTATAAGGAATTAAGTACAGATAGGTTAATAGAGCATTAAAGGAAAAAATAAGGTTAGAATGAGTTAAGATAATTATAGGATAGAAAACAAGGAAGATGGAAAGGAATTGCTGAAATAATTAACAGAAGTGGAATACAAAAAGGGAGGTGTGAGGAGGTCGTGGAAATAAGTGAATGAAAGATGGGATAATGAAATTGTTTGATTTATTTTATTGTCTTTGTCTTGTTTTGTTAATTTGATGTGTTGTATTGTATTTTTTTTTCTTTTTAGTGTTTAAGTTTTTGGAAAAATAATAAATATTATTTAAAAACAAACAAACACAGAAGTACCAAATTCGCATTCTGAATTACGTAATTACCAAGATTTGGTAGCATTACCGCTTTCCATCAGAAGTGAAATCTTTTAACTATCAACTTGGAAGAAGGTCTTTCTTCCTGGGAAAACATAGCGAACCTCCGTAAGATTATGATGAAGGGTGGTATATAAAACTAATAAATAAAAATATTAAGTAATAGTCAGCTTCAGCCTATACAGATAAAGGGTGTACTTCCTTCCCCCACAAATTGTGGCGCTGGTGATATTTTGACAGATGTCATAGCCTGGCTGGATTATTTTTTTAATTGACCTATAAGCTACTCTGAGAACCTTTCTATCTGAAAAGTTGGGTAAATAGGCTTTAAACACACACACACCCACACACACACACACACACACACACACACAAGCCCCCATTTTTGTGTGTCTGACAGTCAGATTTTGGTGCCTTGTGGACCGTGTGCTTCCTCTGCTGTTTCCAATCCAAGCATCATAGCTAGCATCCACAATGATGAAGCCCAGACAGTTGTGGGCAAAATGAGTGACCCAGTTGCTTCCATCTCCCAACAAAACACGCTGGCGAAACACCACAGGTTTCAAAACTAGAGAAGGAACAGAATGCTTTTCTTAGTCATTAAGCATTAAGCATTAAGCATAACATGTTGTAATAATATGCTACAGCTTGAACTATTTGTAGTCTAGGAGAAGCATAATGAAGGGGTGAAGTAGCACCCGTCCCTTTGAAGCAGTAGCACTGCAGTGGGAATGGAGCGAGCTAAGGAGGCAGCAAGTGTGGGGAAATGTGGGTTGGTGGCAGCCTGTAGGTGCACATGCAGTTGCTGGGATACTGCCATCACCAAGCCAAAGTGGATTTCACCACTGCTTTGTTCCTGGTTTAACTCAGCAATTACAGCAACACCATTCCTGGGAGGGTGGTTTTAATCTACCCCATTTCTACACCACTGCTGGTGTACTCTACAGACGGGGGATCTCAACAAAAATCCTTCAGATTTTGAGAATTTTATTTCAAAATATATGTAATAACTCCACTCCCTCCTACCACAACATGGGTGTGTAACAGTATTCAAATTAATGTAATAAAATGTGGGTTTCATCACTAACACATCCTTAAAACATCCCCTTCAAGCATCAAATGTCATTATGAAATCTGCCTCATTGGATGCCAACCAATGAAATCCTGGTTGAAGGCCATCAAGTCTTGCACTTTCCCATCAACTCCCTTCTCTGTTTTCTCCTTGGGAAAGCTTAACAATGCACCACACAGCTGGATGTCTCAAGCAAATGTCATGTTAGCTTTTATTAGTGATTGAGAGAGGGGGTGAGAAGGCGGAAATAAAAGTGGGAGAGAGAAGGGAGTGGGTGGAAAGGAATTGGAGCATCCTTTGTTACACACCCTGCTAGATTGGTGGGGTGAGCAGCAGTGGGTGGCTATTTACATTTTCTGGAATGCCTTGCAGCAGAATGGAGGAAGAATCAATTTTAAATAGGCTGGTGTTTCCAACCTGATCAAATCTTGCTCGCGTCAAGCACCCACTTATATCAAAGTTGCTAGTATAACTCTTGCTTCTCATCAAGATTAAGGAGGGGGTCAGGAATTTAGTAGGAAGATTGCTATAGAGATTTGCATCCTTGGCGGTAACAATGTATTTGGATTACTGTGGGAAATTTTAAGGGTGGATCAAATCAATATTGATCAGGTCAGGTGTAAGCATGGGAAGGTCTTGCCTAGTAATTGCCCAAGAGTGTCAAGTGTTGGCATTGCCCTAGAAAGTGCCAAAAGTGTTTGCTTTCAACCAGCATTAGATTTGTTAGCATGCTTGTCCATCAATTCAGTTGTGACTGCAGACTTGCAATGTGGCTGAAGAAGGTGCATTGAATTCACTTTTTACATTACAACTGACGTTTCTCATATTCCACAGCATACAAATTAATCATACCTGAATTCCGCTGACTCTCAATGCCAAATGGTATTCTGTTTATGCTCTGAATATAGCCATTTTCTGTCACCTTCTGTAGCCTTTGTGGATGATAAGTTCATTCTGAAAGAGGGATTTTAGTCCCTCCTTGAAAGATTTATATTGTAACACATCTTATCTGGATTTCTGAAGTGATATCTTCCTTTTCAAGTTGGACTGGGTAGATAAATAAACTAGACTAGAGCCAGGGATGTGGAGAAGCATGAGTTAAAGAAGACAGGGGAAAGCAGGGTGCATCTGTCAGGAATTTATTTAATATCCTTTGATTTTTATTGGCAGATCCTTGTACACAATGGCCAGGTTTTCTTCATCTGCCACAATGGCCAGGTTTTCAACTTGCTCATGAGATGGATAGTTGGTAGTTGGTTTGGATGTCCTAGGACATGGGTCATCAAACTAAGGCCCATGGGCTGAATCAGGCCCAATTGCCTTCTAGATCCAGCCCACAGATGGTCCGGGAATCGCCGCATGGATCGCCAGCGCATGTGACCTTTCCCTCTCCCTCCCTCTCCCTCACATGGTGGTGCTTTTCTCCTCAGGGACGGAGCAATCTTGTTCCACACCAGGCGCCGTCGATGGCGAGAGTCAGCTTGCCTGCCTGCCCACTCCAGCAAGGCAGTGCTGTGAAGGGCTGCTGCTGCATTTTTCTCCTGCTCCTCCCCCCCCCTCTGCCTTAGTCTGCCCTTCCTTCCTTCTTGGCACCCCTTTTCCGAGCCGCTTTCTCGCGCGCCTTCTTTGCCGCCACCTGCCTGCCTCCCTCCTTCATTCCTCCCATGGCATTCAGGCAGATTGTTGCGGTGGCTGCGGCCGCCGCTTGCGGGTTGGCGTGCGGCTCTGTCTTCTTCGCCGCAGTGCCTCTCAGGAAGCAGCAGCAGGTGGTGGGTAAAAGCTCCAGCGACGCCCCAGTTCCCCTAGCTCCGTCCACGGCTCCTCCGCCAGGGCTGCTGCTTCTGTCTTCACTGGCCAATGCAGCCTCCTACCCCACCACAGTGCCTGGCTGGCTGGAGAAGCCCATCTGCGGCTATTGGGATGACAACTGGGACAGGTAAAGTGAAGCATCTTCAGGCCTCTTTGCAGGCAGGCAAAAATTGTTCCTCCCCCCCTTCAAAATATAGTCTGGCCCCCCACAAGGTCTGAGGGACAGTGGACCGGCCCCCTGCTGAAAAAGTTTGCTGATTCCTGTTCTAGGAGATAGAATGAATGTAGAAGAGGACTTTAAAAGGATGGTTTTTGTGTTTTTTTTACTTGAAGAAGTGTGCTAGTGACAATGATGATGTATCCTATTAATTTTGAACAATTATCACTAGGCAACTTACAGTATTCATGAATGCTTCAGGATCCACAGCTCTCTTTTATCTCACTTGCTCTTTTGAATGTGCAAGTCCTTGGGACACACATATAAAATCGATAAATGGCCACATCCTGCTCCTGGGTAACAATAAGAGCATAGATTTGTGAATAGTGGTGCTCTGTATTAGTCAATTAGTACTGAGAAGAATGATTCTAGTGGGTACAGAAATCCTTTTAAAAGCCCTGCGAATGAAAGACACATTGGGGGAAATGCAAATAGTATCTACAGGTATAGTCACTATACTTGTGTCCCTGTAATATACTCAGATCTGAGTGTGGGCTTTTGCATTTATTTATTTAAAATATGTATAAACTGGTGTTCCTCCAAAGGATCCCAGGGCAAACATTTAAATATGGTAACACAAACAGTAAAATTATATGGCCAGATTCAACTAAATAATTGTGCCCACAGGAGGCAGCACAGATGGCTTGTTCTCAAAACAGAATTGCAAGTTAATACTGATGTCCATACCTGTGGCAATGAAGCCATAAAATAGTAAACGTCTTGCCACAGTACAGAAATCCAAGCTATTCAGTCATGCTTTGATTTCAGTGGACCTAAAAAGTGACTTATTTCCTGTAGATCCAACTTATAAATACACACCTTAGAATAGATTTCTGTGCTCAAGGTCTACATAAACACACATCACATTCTGTTCTACGCTGTTATTAAGGTTATTCTGAATCCAAACACATGGCATTCTGAAGCCCTTCTCATTCTTTTCTCACATTACTTTAAAGATGAATAAGGGGGGGGGGGAGGAAACAAGTTATAACATTTCTCAATTTGTTCATCTCAGTTTGTTCATCTTGAAAATTCACACAAGCATTCATCTCCACATGTGGCTCCATGCAGCTCTAAAACAAATAAAATAAAGGTTAGTGAACCTTTCGCAAAAGTCACTTGCTCTGCTGAAAAGTTCAAATACTTTGATGATGGACATTCTTGGCTCCTCTTTTATACCAAAAACATAAGGTAAAGATGATAGATAAGTGACGCCAGTCACATATGACCTTTTCTTTGTAATCATTAGCTGCATGGGCAGTGAACATCCCCTTAGCTACTACTTACCTGTAACCTGAGGAATGTCTTTTGCTCGACAGTTATCTCTGCTATTGTACATTACAAGGGAAATAATCTGTGTCATAAGACTCGTAGCATGTAATCCAGAGACATAGGATCATTGCTAAAAGATCTGAAAGGGCCAAAGGATTCTGTTGTCGGAAGGCATCTGAAACACATTCCCATTTATGTTTGGAGTCAAAGAAAGGCTGTATTTCAGTTTTGATAATTTGGCTAAGATGCCCTGATGAGTTTCAGGGAAATATATCAATTATCACGATTGCTTGGCTAGCATATAAGGACATAAAAAGAGCTTGCTGGACCAGGCTGCTGGTCCTTCTACTCTAGCATCCTGTTCTCACAGTGGCCATCCAGATACTTGTCAGAAGCCTGCAAACAGGACATTGGCACAACTGTACTCTGCCCACCTGAGATTTCCAGTTACCGAAGGCACTTTTTATCATATGTGGTGAACATGTAAAGTAGTAAAAGAATTTTGGGAAATGATATCTAACGAATTGAAAAAAAATGTTTAAAATAGGGGTCAGCAAACTACAGCCCATGGGCTGGATCAGACCCACCTGGGTCCTAAATCTGGCTCATGCCACGAAGCCGGAACTCTCTGCAAAGCTGGGATGGAGATGGGAGAAAGAGGCTGCCAATCAAATGCCGCATTGATGGATTATGCCAAATGGCAAAAAATGACCAGAAGAATCAGAAATCAGGAAGACCAAAATTTTAATAAGGAATGGGGAAAATATATAATTTATCTTAAAAACCATTGTAAACAGCTAGAATCATTAGTAGGATTGGAATAACACCTGTCGTTTATTGTTGAATTTGCATATAATGGAGATGATAGTTGCTGATAGCTTTCAAATGCAAAGCAAAAGTGGGGAGAATCTAAGCTCACTCTGTGGATGAAAGCAATAAACCCTCTTTTAAAGTGCATCTTTATGAATTGACAAAGTCTCTTTATCTTTAAGAAATGACTTGAATGTTCCAAGGAATTTAGCTTGAAATGTGATGTATCCAAATGCCTTGGCTCCCAAAGAGGTGCAGGTTCAAGCCAGTTTTGTTCTCTCTAGGGAATATGAATTCTAATGCCATGCAAAGAATACATCATTAAAAGAAATAGATAAGTCTATATAGATATGTCTACAGGTATATTATTCTCACTTAGGCCTAGAACATTCCCTCTTGGAAGTAGTTTGCCCTGACAAGCCTCCATTGTCTTCTAAGACTTGAATTAAGCTCTCCTTGAATTTCTCACTGACATGCCCCCCCTGCAAATTCCTATTGCAATTCCTTTATGAAGAACAAGCAACTCTAGTGACAGGGTTGTGCTTGACTCATGACAGTTTTATTTCAAAGTGTGTCAGTGAATCTTGATTGCTGGTTTTAGCATTGAAACTTTTTGATAAGACATGGAAAATTGGAATGTCTGCTGATATCACCTGACCTTTGCCAAACAAACGACAGTTGTACCTCGGAAGTCGAACAGAATCTGTTCCAGAAGTCCTTTCAACTTCCAAAATGTTCAGAAACTAAGGTGTGACTTCCAATTGGAATGTCCGTGTTGGACATTCGGGTTACAAAGAATGTTTGCAAACCGGAACACTCACTTTTGCGGTGTTCAGGAGCCAAAATGTTTGAGTTGCAAGGCGTTTGACTTCCAATCTGTTTTGCCATTATCTTTCATACCTCAATGTTTTGTTTTGAAATCTTTAAGATGATAATAATAATAATAATTTATTATTTATACCCCGCCCATCTGGCTGGGCTTCCCCAGCCACTCTGGGCGGCTTCCAAAAAAATATTAAAATACTATAATATATCAAACATTAAAAGCTTTCTGAAACAGGGCTGCCTTCAGATGTCTTCTAAAAGTCTGGTAGTTGTTCTTCTCTTTGACTTCTGGTGGGAGTGTGTTCCACAGGGAAGGTGCCACTACCGAGAAGGCCCTCTGCCTGGTTCTCTGTAACTTGGCTTCTCGCAGTGAGGGAACCGCCAGAAGGCCCTTGATGTTGGCCCTCAGTGTCCGGGTAGAATGATGGGGGTGGAGACGCTCCTTCAGGTATACTGGACCAAGGCCGTTTAGGGCTTTAAAGGTGAGCACCAACACTTTGAATTGTGCTCGGAAACGTACTGGGAGCCAATGTAGGTCTTTCAAGACCAGTGTTATATGGTCTCGGCGGCCGCTCCCAGTCACCAGTCTAGCTGCCGCGTTCTGGATTAGTTGTAGTTTCCGGGTCACCTTCAAAGGTAGCCCCACATAGAGCGCATTGCAGTAGTCCAAGCAGGAGATAACCAGAGCATGCACCACTCTGGCGAGACAGTCTGCAGGCAGATAGGGTCTCAGCCTGCGTACCAGATGGAGCTGGTAAACAGCTGCCCTGGACACAGATTTGACCTGTGCCTCCATAGACAGCTGTGAGTCCAAAATGACTCCCAGGCTACACACCTGGTCCTTCAGGGGCACAGTTACCCCATTCAGGACCAGGGGATCCTCCACACCTGCCCGCCTCCTGTCCCCCCAAAACAGTACTTCTGTCTTGTCAGGATTCAACCTCAATCTGTTATCCGCCATCCAACCTCCAACCGCCTCCATTGCTTCATTTTTCCTGTTAACTACATTGCTTTGAATGTATACTTTATGTTTGACTTTCTTCAGTAATGTTTTATTATGGATTGTTTTGTTTGATGTTATAATGTGTTGCAAATGGCTCTGAGATTTTTTTCCTGGAAAATATAAAGTGGTATAGAAATGAAATGAAAATTTAAAAAGAATTATATGAAAGAAATAAAATACTTAAGCTTCTTAATGAAAAGGTAGTCATCACAATTTGTTGGCTCCTAAGGTGTATTCCTGAACAAATACCTGAGTCATCAGTCGAAGGGCAAGAGAATAAACTTCTAGTAAGATTTTTAAAAACACTTTGGACCAAAATAAGAGGCAAACTTCAGTGCTATTTTGGTTCATTTAGAAAAATGAAAGACAGGAGAATGACTTAAGGAAACTGGTTTTTGTGATCTTTAGTCCTGAAAAATGCCTGTCAGGATTGAGACTGTGTTGTATTTTGGGGGAGAATTAGAACTGTATGGGTTTCAATTGTTACCCCACTTAGAGTAACAGTTAAAAGTAGACCTGTTGTGATGGCCTATGACATAGATCAATTACTGGCTGGCCCTTGCTTGCTTGTTATACAGTATTTGTCTTTTTCAGCCTTCCTCCATTTTCTCCTGCCCCCCCCCTTTTGAAAGTAGGGTTGCCATATTTTAGAAAGTGAAAATCCAGACATGAAAGTTGTTGAGCTCCCACCCACCCCCGAGATGGGTTGCCATACCTCCAGAGTTTCCCATACATCTCAGGGATTTATGCCCAGACACTATTTCCGATGGCCAAATCCCAGTTATGTCCAGGACCTATGGCAACCCTATGAAAATAAATATTTTATTATTGGTCACAGAAATTGCTGGTGTGCCTAGAAGGTTAGAACCAATGTGTATTCAGTTGAAGCAAGCTCCCACTACGAGTCACAGTATGGCAGCTTGTATTCTTCCGGCCCATCAGGCTTCAGTGAGACTTCCTCCAGCACTCATGCTTTATATGGTCATAGTTCCAGACATAGCTGACGAACACATTGGCAGTTATCATCTTTTCTTCACATCAATGTACTTCTTGACAAATCTGTTATAGTCTCCCCAGACACATATAACAAGCCCAACTGGGGTGCCATCTCGCATTGCTAACCAGGTTGGCAACTGTCCCACTTTTATATCCAGCAGCCTCATATCTTTTACTGCAACAGGTTGGTTTGCCATCTTGAAGCTGCCGGTATCCCTCTCCCTCATTTTCTTTTCAATCATAGTGAGTTGAAGGTTCGTTGTTGCAGATGGTCCTCAAAATGTGTAATATCACTCTCCAAAGCTCACACTGAAATGTCCAGGATACTATGTTGTACTGTTGAAGCACTCAAAAGAAACAACTGTTGACCATTTGCGCTAAACTAGATTTCAAACGAGTCCATCAGAGGATGTGGGTGGGTGCATGGAGCCTTTAAAATGTATGTTTTAAAGAAAAGAAAAGAAAAGTAAGTAAAAACCTCCAGCTATAATATTTCTCCCAGAATTTGATGCAGGTATGTTTATCCCTTTGAGGACATGAAAGCTGCCAAATGTCAGAAAGATATATTTAATGGGAAATAGAAATCACCCTAGGGTGGGTTTTTTTGGGGAGGTGATCTTGAAGACTGGGGACACTGGAGTGAGGTGCCCATGGGTAATATGCCTGCCGACGTTCAAACAACGTTCAGTCCAGTAGCTATTGTAGTATGTAATTTTATTTTGTTAGATAAAGATAGAAAGTCGCAGTTTCTATTTAAAAATCCTTAAATAAGAGACACGGGGGAATGATTAATGGACTTCAATGTCCGTACACTAATGCGCAAAGCATGGAAAATAAATAAGATGAGCTTGAGCTCTTGGTACAGCAAACTAAATATGACATAATAGGCATCACTGAAACCTGGTGGGATAAGTCCCACGATTGGAATGTAATAATGGAGGGATACAATCTATTTCAGAGAAACAGACCAGACAAGAAAGGAGGAGGAGTGGCGTTATATGTCAGGGATGTGTATACCTGTGAAGAGATCCAAGATTTAGAACCTCAAAGCCAAAGTGAGAGCATTTGGGTCAAAATTAAGGGAGAGAAGAATAACAGTGACCTCATTGTGGGAGTTTACTATAGATCCCCAAGCCAAACGGAGGACATAGATGATGCCTTCCTGGAACAGATGGCCAAGCATGCAAAAGGAAGGAAATAGTAGTAATGGGGGACTTCAATTACCCGGATAATTGTTGGATGTCAAACTCAGCCAAGAGCATAAGGTCAAACAGATTCCTCACTGGCCTTGCAGACAACCTCATTGTCCAGAAAGTGGGAGAAGCAACAAGAGGAACAGCCATTTTAGATCTGGTCCTAACCAATGTTGATGACCTGGTTAGTGGGGTAGAAGTGGAAGGATCATTAGGCGCAAGTGATCATGCTCTTCTGAAGTTTACTATACAGCGGAAAGGAGCAGCCAAGCATACTAGGACTCAATTTCTTGACTTTAAGAAAGCTGACTTCATAAAACTTAGGGAAGTGCTGGGTGAGATCCCATGGACAGTAATACTAAAAGGAAAGGGAGTTCATGATGGCTGGGAGTTTGTTAAGAGGGAGATAGTAAAAGCACAACGTCAGGCAATACCAATGAGACGGAAACATGGAAGGTGCCTAAAGAAGCCAGGGTGGCTATCTAAAGAACTTTTAACTGAGTTAAGATTTTAAAAGGATGTGTACAAAAAATGGAAAAGGGGAAACCACCAAAGAGGAATTCAAACAAATAGCCAGCACGTGTAGACACAAAGTCAGAAAAGCTAAAGCACAGAATGAACTCAGGCTTGCTAGAGAGGTTAAAAGCAACAAAAAGGCTTTTATGGGTATGTTCGTAGCAAAAGGAAGAACAAAGAAACAGTGGGGTCACTCAGAGGAGAAGATGGTGAAATGCAAACAGGGGACACAGAAAGGGCTGAACTCCTCAATGCCTTCTTTGCCTCAGTCTTCTCCGATAAAGAAAACAACGCCCGACCTGAAGAATTTGGAGCAAATGATTCAGCAAAGGAAACACAGCCCAGAATAACTAAGGAGATAGTACAAGAATACTTGGCTAGTTTAGATGTATTCAAGTCTCCAGGGCCAGATGAACTGCATCCAAGAGTATTAAAAGAACTGACAGATGTGATCTCAGAACCACTGGCAGTCATCTTTGAGAATTCCTGGAGAACAGGCGAAGTCCCGGCAGACTGGAGGAGGGCAAATGTTGTCCCTATTTTCAAAAAGGGGGAAAGAGAGGACCCAAATAATTACCGCCCAGCCAGTCTGACATCAATACCAGGGAAGATTCTGGAACAGATCATTAAGCAAACAGTCTGTGAGCACCTAGAAAGGAAAGCTGTGATCACCAATAGTCAGCATGGATTTCTGAAAAATAAGTCATGTCAGACTAACCTGATCTCGTTTTTTGACAGAATTACAAGCCTGGTAGATGAAGAGAATGCAGTGGATGTAGCCTACCTTGATTTCAGCAAGGCATTTGACAAGGTGCCCCATGATATTCTTGTAAAGAAGCTGGTAAAATGCGGTCTTGACTATGCTACCACTCAGTGGATTTGTAACTGGCTGACTGACCGAACCCAAAGGGTGCTCATCAATGGTTCCTCTTCATCCTGGAGAAGAGTGACTAGTGGGGTGCCACAGGGTTCTGTCTTGGGCCCGATCTTATTCAACATCTTTATCAACGACTTGGATGATGGACTCAAGGGCATCCTGATCAAATTTGCAGATGACACCAAACTGGGAGGGGTGGCTAACACCCCAGAGGACAGGATCAAACTTCAAAACGACCTTGACAGATTAGAGAACTGGGCCAAAACAAACAAGATGAATTTTAACAGGGAGAAATGTAAAGTATTGCACTTGGGCAAAAAAAAACGAGAGGCACAAATACAAGATGGGTGACACCTGGCTTGAGAGCAGTACATGTGAAAAGGATCTAGGAGTCTTGGTTGACCACAAACTTGACATGAGCCAACAGTGTGACGCGGCAGCTAAAAAAGCCAATGCAATTTTGGGCTGCATCAATAGAAGTATAGCATCTAGATCAAGGGAAGTAATAGTGCCACTGTATTCTGCTCTGGTCAGACCTCACCTGGAGTACTGTGTCCAGTTCTGGGCACCACAGTTCAAGAAGGACACTGACAAACTGGACCGTGTCCAGAGGAGGGCAACCAAAATGGTCAAAGGCCTGGAAACGATGCCTTATGAGGAACGGCTAAGGGAGCTGGGCATGTTTAGCCTGGAGAAGAGGAGGTTAAGGGGTGATATGATAGCCATGTTCAAATATATAAAAGGATGTCACATAGAGGAGGGAGAAAGGTTGTTTTCTGCTGCTCCAGAGAAGCAGACACGGAGCAATGGATCCAAACTACAAGAAAGAAGATTCCACCTAAACATTAGGAAGAACTTCCTGACAGTAAGAGCTGTTTGACAGTGGAATTTGCTGCCAAGGAGTGTGGTGGAGTCTCCTTCTTTGGAGGTCTTTAAGCAGAGGCTTGACAACCATATGTCAGAAGTGCTCTGATGGTGTTTCCTGCTTGGCAGGGGGTTGGACTTGATGGCCCTTGTGGTCTCTTCCAACTCTATGATTCTATGATTCTATGATTCTTCACTGCCCCTCTGTTCCTGTTGTGGGTAATGTGACCAATTTTGTAGATGTGCTAATAGATAAAACTCCCCTTGTTATCCCTAGGAGAGCTCTAGAATCAACTATTTGTAGTAGTGATGGTCAAGACAGCAACAAGGTTTGTATTTCTGTGAAGGCTGCCCAGTGCCTACTCATTCCCTACCCTGAAGTTCAAAGTATAAGGAGTCACTTCTGGAACAAAATTCAATGTTTATTTAATTACATTCTCTGAAGGTTTAAAGCATGATGATTTCAACTGTGAGACACAAAACTAAAGTTTAAGACATAACCTTTTGCAGATAATTTTACACTCTTTTCTAAACCGAGTCTCAGGGAGACTTTACTCACCTAGAATGGCTGTCACTGTTCCTTACCAGAAACACCCACTCAATATCTTCTATTTAGTTTTACTCTCAGGGAATCAAAACTGAATTGCGCCGCCTAGTGCATCCCACTCAGATAGTCCAGGCCTTAACTGCCCACCCTGGCAGCCACATTCATTCAGCACCATACATTTTAAACACTCTGGAAGTGTAGTATGCAGGGAATCAGTTGTGTGGTGAGGTGGTAATTCTTTTATCACATTTGTATCCTGGCCTTTTTCCTGGGGTCTGATGCAGCAAGGCAATTCTTATATTCTTAATCATGTGGTTAAGGATACACAAACCAGTGGTGAGGAAACTGATACACTTAAAATAAAATAAAAAGCACTCTTAAAACACTAAGTCATGAATTACTCCAAATAATTCTGGGAACTGTAGTTTATTAAGGATGCAGAGAGCTGTTAGAAGACCACTATTCCCTTCAGAGAGCTATAAGTAGAGGGATGATTGTTAAACCACTCTGAAATTGTAGCTCTGTGAGTTCCCAGGAAGCCATGACTGTTAAAGTGGTATAAGAGTGCTTTAAACATATGTCAATGGACTTTTAAATACTGTGGATTTCAGTGGCCTACATGGCTGTCAATGCAAGTATAGTGTTTGTTGTGATTGGTGTAAAAGGAAAGAAATGAAATTTATCATAGGAATGTATTGCTTTACAGAGACATTCTCATGGAATCATAGAATTGTAGAGCTGGAATGCAGGAATCTCAGCTAAAGCAACCATGACTCAGCTAAGGCATCCCATCTCAGCTAAAGCATCTCATCAACTTAATGATTTTGTAGTACATGAGCTCGGGGGCACTGAGGCCCCAGATGAAATCCCAGTGGTTCCAGTATGTCATATTTTTGTGGTAAACTAGGTTAGTGATACGAGGAAGTAAGACGGCTACATCTCTGGGGCTTGCAATCAGGTCATTTCCGCCAGTCCACACTGCAGTTGGCACAGTCATGTCCTCTATTTTATACAAAGGGGGAAAGCTCTGGAAAGTAAATGACAATGAATCATTATTTTTATAAAAAAATGTTGTTAGTGACAGCATCTTTACACAATTCAGACCAACTGTGGACAGTCCACAGGCTTGTATAGATGGGTGATTTTTCCTTCTTTCTACCTAGAACACTTATAGTCTGCTAACATGTTTTAAATATGGTTGGGTGGATCCTCTGCGGTTCTCCACAGATTTGCTCCTGGTTTTTCAAAGTTTTGCACAACAAGCCCAGGAACTGTAGGCACTGATTTATTGCTTTCTGGAGTTTGTATTTTTTTTGTATTCTATCTTATTTCTTTTAGCTTGTTGTACACTACTTTGATGGCCTCAGCCCATGAAGTGGCCTACACATTTACAAAACAAACAAGCAGGGGGCAGGGAGAACCCAAGGCAACCTGACTGACAATTGAAAGCTTCCCTGAAAGAGCTACACTCTCTGTAATTCATCACACAGATAACATGATGATGTGGGAAGAAGATGGGAATTCTCCTCACATTTCTTTGCTGCCAATGCCATTGTTCCTGCAAGGAAAGTGGGGAGTGGTTTGGGTGGTGGGAATGGCTTTGAGGACCCTCCAACTATTTGCTGCTTGGTCTGAGGAAAAGGAGATTGGGAGTCAGGAGATTCACACCACATTTAAGGAGGTGGAAAAGAACCTGCTCTGAATGCAGAAGGTCCCATATTAAATCCCTGGCAGGGGTACGAGAAATCCCTGGAGACAAACTGGACACATCTAGACTCCTCCTCTAGACTTTGTCAAATGTGTGGTCTGAGGTTGGATCTAATGTACATAGCCATGCTCCACCCACCCACCACACATTCTCTGAGCATGTGGAGGCAAACACTTGATGAGATCACATTCACATTAACTGTGAACTAGTGTGGTATACTGGTTAGATTGTTAATTAGTACTTGGAGAGCCATGTTTACATCCCCCTTAACCATGAAGTTCACTGACTGACCCTGGATCAATCACAATCATTCTAGACTACCTCACAGGGTTGTTATGTGGATAAAATGAGGGGACAATGACCCATTCCAGCTTGAACTGCATGGATCAATGGTGGGAGGTATATAGGGCTACCATACATCCCGGAATTGGACTGTCAAAATGGGGTCTGGGCAAATTTTCACCGAATTGGCAAAATGTCTGGGAAAACCTAGATGTATGGCAACTAGGGCATTTTTTTAAAGAAAAAAATGTTTTAGAAATCCAATTCCCCCCATCCCCCCAAAAAACTCAACAACTTTGACAAAAAACAAAACAAAACCCAACTTTGTCCTGATTTGGAAATATGTCGATATATATATATATATGTATCGATATACATCGATATATATATATAAGCTTGTGTCACCAAATCACTTTTGCAAATCCATGTTAAGAACATCAGAAAATTAGGCGAATTCTTAACTCTTATATTGACACTGATGAGAACTCCAAGCAGTTAATATCATCTGGGTTGTGCTGATAGTCAGAACCATTGTAAATGCATGTCCTTGATGCAGATTTCTATTTTCACCATATTTACTGAACAAAAATTGTTCGCTCTTACCTGGTTATATCTTGCCTGATTCTCATTCCCGTAGTCAAAGTATCTGAATAAGCCTGAATCTCTTATCTATCAAAATAATAGGAAAGCCATAGCATTGGATATTAGCATTAGATATTATGTGATACATATTACAAATAATAAAATTACTATTTTTGATCCAACCTATTCTTTTCTGTAAAATCCTTGTTTGACTAATTATGAACGTTGCCTGTTCCTTTTGGAATTTATCTCTATGGCAGTAAATATCCCTTGGGGTAAATATATTTTATGTGAGAAATCCCTTTCTGAAATGAAGGGATTTGCAGAACACTCATTTTTCATAAGACGAAAAGAGCTCCCTACTCTGCCTAAATAAACAAAAGTAGGTTTTAGCCATGTCAGTTCAGAAAGCTCATATTAGAACAATAGCACCAACTTAAATTGGCTTAAAAAATTGTCCAGTAGCACCTTAGAGACCAACTAAGTTTGTTCTGGGTATAAGCTTTTGTGTGCATGCACACTTCTTCAGATACACTGAAACAGAAGTCACTGGACCACTGTTTCAGATGTATCTGAAGAAGTGTGCATACACACGAAAGCTTATACCCAGAACAAACTTAGTTGGTCTCTAAGGTGCTACTGGACAGGTTTTTTATTTATTGTGACTGTGTCAGACCAACACGGCTACCTACCTGAATCTTAAATTGGCTTAATTATTGTAGTGGCTTCCCAGGGAAAGTTAAGTACACTAATAGTTGCAGGATTCTTTGGTGGAGGCTCAGAAAGTTTGTAATTTTTGAGTGAGCATATAAGCATGGAACTCTCTTGACCATCACAGCTGCTAAAAAGTATACAACACTCTACCTGTTTCCAGTGTACAATAGATTTAGCTGATGTTCCATCCATAAAGCGAGCTCCATACAAATCTATTCGACTCTGCAGGAAAAGTTTGGAAAATAAACAACAATCTGAAAAATCAGTGAAATTAAAAAAAAAAGGGGGAGTTGTAGTCCAGCAATGGTAGGGGACCCAAATATGAGAAACCCAGGGCTTTTCTTATGTTGCTAAATTCCAGCTTTTTAGTAGCAACTATTGTTAAGGCAACAAGGTGCATTAAAGTTGATTCACCCTTTGAGATGAATTGGCCACATCCTGCTTATCGCTCGGCAGGCAGTGCATGCATTCTGTCTTTAAGGCCATAGGCTGGACAGAACCAAAAGTCTAATGGTCATTTTTCTTCAGGAGACATGTCTCCGATGCCAGCTGCACCTTAACTTTAAAGCAGTATCACATCACTTAAAACAGGCATGGCTTCCCCCAAAGAATCCTGGGGGCTGTAGTTTGATAGGGGTGCTGAAAGTTGTTTGGTGACACCTATAATTCCCCTCACAGGCTCTTATTATTTCCCACACACTGATTGTTAACTACTCTGAGGGAAGCCATGACTGTTTAAAGTGGTAAGTTGCTGTATGGTGCAGATGGAGACTCACTTTCTGGCACCTAAACCCATTTTCCTGGGAGTAAGTCCCATTCAACTCTATGAGAATTGTTTCTGATTAGACATATATAAAATTGGGCTGTTCTAGTGCAACCATAGGCATATCTACTCACAAAGTAAGCCATATTCTGTTCACTGAGACTTATTTAAAGTTTGTACAAGATTCCCATCTTATTCTGAGTCTTCAGTTTTTCGCAGGGCTTTTTGCACCCTTTGGATGCTCAGCTTTTGCTGCAAAAACGAAGCTTTGTGAAGATTCAGAGCATGTAGCAAACCAATCATAGTAGCAAACTACTATGTTTTCTTTACACAATCTACACACCATATTTAGATTTGTTGCATTAAATCCGCCTGGTGAGAATATGAGTTGAGCACAGAATTGCTGCATCAATGTAACGCTGCACAATTTCCTGAAAAAGTCTGCCACGGGTTTGCGAAACAGTACAAATTCTCCTCTGACAAAGATGCTCTGGGAAGATACAAAAGGTGTTACAATTTAACCTTAAAAAAATATTTACGGGATTAGCTATGTTCCTCTAGAATTCTTTTGTGGCTGGTTGCAGCTTCTTAAAGCAGGCTCGGCCCTCCAGATGTTTTTGGCCTACAACTCCCATGATCCATAGCTAGCAGGACAAACGGTCAGGGGTGATGGGAATTGTAGTCTCAAAACATCTGGAGGGCCGAGTTTGAGGAAGCCTGTCTTAAAGGTTTCAGTTGGAGAGTGGGAACAGAGACCCATATGCTGATCGTACCTGGTCCACCTTCCCGTGGGAAGGTCTGAAAGGGATTTAGAAGGGCACCCAGCTGGTCATACTTACAAGCCTCTTCTCAATCAGGAACAATGATAACACCCGGTTCCAATTAGAGGGAGGCTTGTAACCATGTTCCACCAAATCTATTCATAAGACCCCTTCAGATCTTCCAACTCAGGTGGAATCTCGACACATATAAATGTGTCTCTGAAAATGCTTTAAAAAAAAATGCTTTGAAAAATATATTGAATCTGCCATAAGCTCAACATCACCACTTAGTGTCACAGCTGTGTAATGCACTTAAAATGATATATTTGCAGCTGGATATCTGAGTCCTCAGTGCAGGAAGTTTGGAGTGCGAATTAGTGAATCTGTTGATTCTATTTCTCTCAGTTTTTCATATTCCACTCTTAAGTTCAATTTTCCACATTTCTAAATCAGTTTGCATTTTTTTTAAGCACAAGTCCTCTTGAAATTTCTTCAGTGTGACTTTTTTTTAATACATACATTTTTGGTACATTTTTGCCTAGCACACACATTTTTGCAAATAAATTTCCCCTAATATAACCATTTTTGTCTGCTATTTTTGCTAACATGTGGAATAATATACACATTTTACCCTAGTATATGCATTTTTGTATTCATAACCTGCTTGGAGAACCAAATTTTAGAGATGAGTAAATTTTGAACGGCAGCTGAGCTTCTTTTTTTGTGTATTGTGCAAATGAGGTAGGTTCTCCTACAATGCAAACTGATTTTTTTAAAAAAAACACCAAAAACCCCACAACCTATTCCTAGTTTGGATGTGGACCAAAAACACAAAGTACACATACATTTCTCACCCAGATTGAAATATTTAATCCTTAGGGCTTTTTTCTTGGTTTATTCTCTTTATGTTGTTCAGCACTGTAAGAGCAATCCACAGCTCACTGAAATGTATAGTAAAGCCTGTGTTGGTTTTTCAAAACTTTTTTTAAAAAAAAAACACCGAAATTTTGCTATGCATAGCAACTCAAATTTAGGTTGTATTTCTTATATTTCTAAACAGCCCTTCATTCAGTATGCTCTCCGAGCAACACTACAGTTATGTAAAATGTGAACTTGTTATATAGAATCATAGAGTTTATAGACTTTTTCTTTTATAGCATAATCTCTATGAGGGTGAAAGGTACAATTGTCTATCTTAGTTATGAAGTTAAGGGAAAGGTTACTCTTAAATTCCTGCTGGCCTAGTATTCTTTGATTTCCCAGTAATAAAATAGAGATTAATGTGTACCTTGGATGAGTAGTCAGGAAGTAGGAAGGAAAATTTGGAAGCAGGGCTTGTCACATGCTTAAGAGAAATCACAGGAGCCAAGGCGGTAAATAGTTTGATTTTTTGAGACAGCTCTGGTATGGCTGAAAATGCTATGAAGCCTAAAGGATAGGGGAGAAAAACACAGTGAGCATTTAGGACTGCTCATAGTACGAAATTCATTTGCCAATTTACCAAAGGCCTACTCCTAGACTCTAAAGCAGAGATGGGGATTCTGTGGCCCTCCTGATATGGCTGGTCCACAACTCCCTCTATTGCTGTTCATTTGCCATGCTGGCTGGGGCTGATGGGAGCTGGAGTCCAAGCGCATCTGTAGGGCCACTGGTTCCCTATATCTGCCCTATGTGATCAATGGATCAATTGAGGCTAAGCAATAGATCTGCCATGGGTGGCAAAACCTGACCATCTCCCCTCTCTACTTATCAAGTTAAAACCAGTTGCCAGTAAAGTAAGGCAATTGAGATTATTCTGTTATTCTTGTAATGATTTTCTCTTTTAAATATAAACTGTAAAAGTCTAAAATGAATCTAAATAGGGCAAACCCTGGATCACAGCTGTATGTAAAGCAAGGCTGAATTCTTATGATAGATCATGGGGCACATGGTAAGGTTTTATTCTGTAACGTCAAAGCCTCTTTTTCTCCCCAGTGAGAAGCTGCTGATTGGAGGCGGGCAGAGGACCAGTTGAAACTGGTTGTGGGGTGCATCTGGCCCAAGGGCTGGCAATTTCTGGCCCATGGGCTGGTCAACAGGACAGCTTACCACTTTCTCCACCCTTACAGCTATCTTCTCATTTCCCCCTGAAAACTCACAGGGACATAGCATAGTCACAAAGGGAAAGCAGGCCCATAGATACTGACTGGTTCACAATTCAGCACCAGTGTTGGGGCAAGGCTGACTCCCAACACAAAAGGATCAGCAGTATAAGGTCAAACTGGAATCTTTACAGCTGGCTCTAGGATCCAGAATAGCAGAACATAAACCCCTTTTTCCCCTTAGAAAGAGAGAGAGAGAGAGAGAGAGAACAAGAGAATAAAAAAACATGGGTTAGCCCAATTTAGCATACCAATGGTTGTGCCTTGAGAGTAGCCTACGTAATACAGTTGCTTCTGCCCAGTTTTCTTCAGAATGAAGTTGATCATTGCTGGAAGGTCATACAGGGCCATTTCATGGAAACTGAAGGAAATATTTAAATGTTATGGCAAAATTAGTGACACCTCTTCATCTGAACTCCTAGATGTTCACCCAGAGTTGCCTTCTGGAAGGTTTTGCTTGAAATGTGGGTGCAGAACCAGGTGATGGCGCCACCATCCCTATTCTCCACTTTAATTTTGCAGCGATGGCTTCCAGCAACAGAACATCACTAAACATATCTCTCTCTCTCTCTCTCTCTCTCTCTCGCTCTCTCTCTCTCTCACACACACACACACACATTTTTTCATTTCATACATGAATCTCATGAAGAACCATCACACATAAAAGCAGGCTGTAAGATGTGAAGATGCTCAGTGTGTGGACTTCTACTTCTTTCCACACATTCTGGAATTGTGCAGGCCACAGTACATATGTGGAAATCCAACATGCATAGAGATCTATAGTTTTTAGTTACCGTCCTGCTCAGTGTAACCATTCAGTGTTTGATGGGGGGGGGGAATTTGATTCAGATTGCATTGAAACCTAAATTTTTCAAATTCACACTTTCTAAAATGAAATGACAACTGAAGCACAGTTGTCCTTCGAAATTCATATTAATTCATATGTTGTGATGCCATCCTCCAGCCAATCAAGAGTTTACAAAAATACATATATTATGCAAACTGTGAATAAAAATTAGTGAAAATGACATGATAAAATGTGCACACCAAAGTATATCAAGAGAAATTTGCACTAAAGTACGGAGGAATTTCCATGAAGACTTGTCAAACAAAAATTTTTCAAATTGATGCAGATATGTGGAGAACCAGATTTAAGTTTGGGGGGAAATGACAGACTGTGAGAACCAAAACCAACAGATCCTTCCATCCCTAACTAGGAGTAGCAGGTTCACCCAGCCACAATGGTCCTCTCACATATGAATCAGGGGAAAGGGGCATTGTGAGGAATAAAAATGTTGCCTTTTCAAAAGGCCACAAGGCTGCAACGGTTAGATGACCGCAGACAGCAGAAACTTGCTTACACATATCTTGTGGTTAGGAGGCTTATAGATAGGGCTGTTTGCAGCCGTTATGCGATTTATCTGTACTCAGTTACACCCACTAGTGGTTGGGATGTGGCTTTATTGCTTGAGTCAATGTGTAAAAACATAAGAAACATGGACCAAATAAGGAGAAAGGTAAACAGGAGTAGTGGTCGTTGGAACTAGAGTAATGGGAGATGTCAACAAAGGTGGGGATTTTAGTATGTTAACTAGGTGGTCATGATAGGCTATAAACCTTGCATGTATCCAGCCAATGAGGAAACAAGGGAAACCTGTGCTTCAGGTATAAAGAATATAAACTTGTGCCTTGCCAATTTGGGGTGTGCCTACTTTGGACACCCGCTCTTGCAAGAATGTATTGTACTCAATAAACTCTTTGCTGCTTCACCAATTTTGTTCAGAATTTATTTTGAGTGTCTTAGGACCCACGTTTTACTTCTAACAGGCATCAGACATAGAAAATCACACATAGGGCTGTAGGATGTGAAAAACCCCTGCGTGTAGACTTCTGCTTTTTCCCACACATTCTGGAATTGTGCAGGGATCCAAAATTTTGTAGTCCTTATTTCAAAGGGTTATGTTTCTACAGTTCATTTCTTAGGATAGCTACATGCATAGAAGCCTATAGATTGTAGCCATAGTCTTGCTCAGTGCAAATCTATTGACATAAAGGGATATGAATAGGGATAGGGAGAAATTCAATTCAGTCTACATTTAAGGCTGAATTTATCAAATTTGTTGATTTGAGAACCAAAACTCAGCCATCCTTAAAATTTTTGAGTGATTAAGTTCGGCAACCACTCAGTGTTTACAAAAATGTGTATATTTGGTAAAATTGTGCATAAAATGTATATTATTAGTGAAAATAACATTTAAAATGTACCATATTGGGAGATACTACTTGCAAAAATGTGTACATTAGTCAAAACTGCATACAAAAATGTGCTGATCTGGAGAAAGTGCACTAAAATGCTGAAGATCAGCAGAGTTAATGTGTGAAATAATATTGTTTATGGCTGTTTATTTTACAGTTCAAAATACCTGAAATCCCAAAATTCATCTTGGTCAGTTGACAAATTCTGGTGTCTCCGAGACCACCTTGATCCTCTGTTGTTCCCCAGCCAAACATCATAGCCAGCATCAGCTAATATAAATCCAAAACTGTTGTTTGCCAGATTTTCGACCCAGAAGCTAGCTTCCGCAAATATCCCATGCTGCAGGAACACAACAGGCCTGGGACCTGGTTTAAAAAACAAATCATTATAACAAAGCAGGTGAGAATCTCTGTGCCATGATAACAAATATGTTTTTGACAAATATCCCTTGTTTATATTATTAGATTATAGTTTATATTACAGTACATTATCTCAGTATGTTTGTTAGGCTCTAGTCCCGGGGTCGGCAAGGTTTACCTTGCCTGGGTCGGATCGGTCCCATAGAGATCCCTTCATGGGCTGGATCTCTTTCTCACGTGAGCGCATGCGCCTGTGATTTCCGGTATCTGCGTATGCGCAGATGCGATTTCCAGCACCACGGAAGCAAGTCCCCATGCTGCGCTGCAATGGTTTAGCGCAGCATGTGAGCAGGCGGCTCGTGGGCTGGTCAAACAATCTCCGCGGGCCCCTTCCAGCCCATGGGCCTTAGGTTGGTGACCCCTGCTCTAGTCTCATTCAGTGGCATGGATCTGAATTTTAACTGTAGAGGAGGCTTGTCAACAAAGCCCTATTCAAGAATTCAGAAAAAATCTGTGGGCACTGAAACTGGGGAAGGGGAATAGGCAGGCAAATGCCAAACCATGCTCCCAAGGCCCTGATATGAAGTGGACTTGCCCATCCCATCATTGACCTTCCTGTGTAGCACCCTGCTTGTGGTTAACGCTTAGCTGGAATGAAATATTCAACGCAGCAATAGAGAAATTAAAATAATAATTTATTTGTCAGACAAATAAATGATAGGCACAGTGGTATATGGTTACCAAAGCTCTGCCCCCCCTTCCAGCCCTGATGGCCAGCACTTATATTTCCTCAGCCCAGCCCCCTTGCTCCTCCTTTGGCTGCCTCTGTCCAATCAGCCTGGTTGAAATTCCTATTGGCTGTTTGCTAGAACCAATCATAAAAGATACACCCATTTCCTATTACCTTTTATGGGAGACAAAGAGCTATATTTCCTTCTATCCATAAATGGCAGACAAGTAGCCATATATCTTACATTTGCCTCGACAAGGCACCTTAATTACCAGATCACCTTTTGCCCCTGTTGCCCCTGCATTCCAAAACAAATGGCTGAAACAAATGGCTCATGGTATTAAATTCTATCTAAACAGAGATCTTGGGTTCACATTCTCACACACCATCAATGAAATAAGAATCTAACATAAGAATCTAACATTTCTTACTTTCTAAATCCTTTGCATAATTACATTAAGCCAACAAATCTCATACATAACATAGATAGCTTTTAGAAGAAAAGGCCTTTGCAAAGTAAAAAGGAACTCAGTAAAAACAGCTTCAAAAGAAGCCTCTTCAGTTTACACCCTCTTTCCCAGCCAGCTGCTTTTCCCATTAGCTCTTCCCAAAATTTATTGCCCTTTAACTCTCTCAGTATACCTTAAACCTTAGGAAAATATGGCTAGAGTCTGATGGGAGGCACATGGTACTATTTTCTGTTAAACAATAAATCTTACTATTTACCAACTCTTAATTAGTGTTTTTGCAGCTTGATTGTATTCTGTAATATGTAGGGTCAGTGTAACATTTGCTCCCAGCCTGTAATTCCCTTTTACAACTTTGAGAAACTTGTCTCCTGCTACTGCTATAAATCGGGGGGGGGGCTTGTTCAGAAGAGCAGGAAGATAAACAACTGCCAAAGTACTTAGCCAGCTGGTTTCTGCCTGGCATGAAACATACAAACATTTGCAAAAATATCTTTAAGCTCATTTTAAAATGCAGGCCTTGATCAGATGCCTCACCTGGGAGGTCTGAAGGGAATTTATAAGGATGCTTTCTCAAGACATTTCCATGTGCTTCCAAGAGGACATCTCCGTGTGATCCTGATAAGGCCGGGCTCTCATTTGAGGAGAGACTTTTTAGGGTGTTCAGTCCCTTTCTGACCTTCCTGCTCAATACAAGACAGTTGAGGAATGAAGCTGTTGTACCTGCCCCTTCACCCATACAGTTTAAGGCTGCATATGCTCTTCTGAGCACTTCAATGGGGCTCCAGAGGGTCATGCAACAACCTTCTGGGCCCAGTCGCTTTGGGTCTTGACTGAGGGTCTGATAGCTTCGTGTAAAGCTCTAGTAATTACATAATTCTGCACTGTATTAAGGCTTTTAATATGCAACTGTGATAGGCCAGCAATTTGTTTTGAACTATAAATAAGGAAAAAAATATTTTCAGATACCTCCAGGGGTAAGATTTTCTCTTCCAAAGGGAATTCGGTTTACTGTCAAATAATAGCCATCATCTGTTAAGACTTCATACTCTTCACTCGGGTATCCTTTGTAGCGAATCACCTCGCTCTAAAAGAAGAAGAAATAAACTCCTGAGATGTTTGAATTCAGAATGTTTTAATCTGTCACAGAGGAGACCTTTAGCTAACAACTGTACATTGATAGTGTCAGTATATAGGTCAGTCACTATATGGCAATGGAAGCAGTTGTTTCTATGTGAAGTGAGGCCCTTCCTGTGTCTGCTCTGTGTTTGTTTAAAAGACACCATAAACAGATGTCACCACAAGTGTACATTCCATATATTTGCATACACCAATAGTTGAATAGCACAATCATAGTGTTATTCACATGTAATGTTCAACAAGTTTACAACCTGAGTACAAAGCAGTTGAGCTGTGTAGACACTTTCAACAAGTGTAGACTCTGTCACACAAGACCCTTTCACTCTTTGCTTTAAAATTAGTTTGCAATAAGCTCCTGTTCAGTATGAAATGAAGCTGTACCAACACATCACCACCACCATCTAATTTCATTGCCTTTGTGTACTGTCTTTCTGCAAAGGCACCCAAAACAGTTTACTGTTTTAAAGTACTAAGACAAATGATAAAACATCTAAAAGCAGGGAGGAAGTCTGACTGGAGAAGGTTGTGATGTTGTCTGTGCCTCCTTCATACTCACTCAACCTACACTCAGAATTGAGAAATGTTCCTGAACTGCTTTCAGTATTATGGAACAGAAGTCCTGGCTCTCACTCTTGGACACTATACTCAGATTCTCAGCCAGATTGTTACCAAACATTTAATCCCACAATTCACCACATAGATTATGTTACAATGAGTCCATTGTACAATGAGTCCATTAATGCTGAGCTCCAAGGAGCACGGGGTAGGTGTAAGCAAGGCTTTCTTTCTGCCGGAACTCACCAACTCAGTTCTGGCACCTCTCAGGTGGGCTCCATTGCCATTCTAAGGGAATGAGGGAGGTGTTTGTGCTGGTGTCCCATCCTTAGAGAAGGAGGCTCACTGTCTGATTCAGACTCAGGCACATCCCCAGAGATGGGGAGTGTTTTGTTGGCAGAAGGAGACACCTGGGTCAAATCAGCAGCCCTCCCTTGGTGCTTGGGACATCCAATAGTACTGAGGTGGGGCTTTCTCCCGCCAACCAGCATCCAGCACAGCACCTCACAGGCCACTGAGTCCCTCCCCAGGATCAAACTCCCCACTCTCGTCCCATTCCTCCTCCCCGCTCTGGCCAACTCTGCCAAGAAGTCTTTACATAATCTATGTGGTGAATTGTGGGATTAAATGTTTGGTAACAATCTGGCTGAGAATCTGAGTACCTCTGGTTACGTACTTAATTCGTTCTGAAGGTCCGTTCTTAACTTGAAACTGTTCTTAACCTGAAGCACCACTTTAGCTAATGGGGACTCCTGCTGCCACCGCACCGCACTGCCAGAGCACAATTTCTGTTCTCATCCTGAAGCAAAGTTCTTAACCCGAGGTACTATTTCTGGGTTAGCTGAGTCTGTAACCTGAAGCGTATGTAACCTGAAGCGTATGTAACCCGAGGTACCACTGTATTGGGTTCACTACACTAAGAGGCAGTGCTTTTTTTTCTGGGGGGGATGCGGGGGGACACATACACCTAAACTTTCTGTTAATCTAAGTTTTGCCACATTGAGGGGCAGTATTTCAATATGAGTAGGAAAATAAGAGTACCACTAAACATTTTCAAAGAAAAAAAGCACTGCTAAGAGGGAAACAGAAAGTGCTGTTGTTCGTCTTTCCTTGCTGTTCTACATACTCCTCTGTATCACCAGAAATAAGTTTTGCATTTCCCCATGGCTTGTTTGTCATCACTCCCAATTGCATATCCCCACCCCATTAACCAATAGTTATGCTTTTGATGTTCCAGACCTGGGATTGCCAACACGGCGCCCCTGCAGATGTTATTGGGCTAGAACTCCCATTAGGTAAAGGTAAAGGGACCCCTGACCATTAGGTCCAGTCATGGCCAACTCTGGGGTTGCGGTGCTCATCTTGCTTTATTGGCCAAGGGAGCTGGCGTACAGCTTCTGGGTCATGTGGTCAGCATGACGAAGCCGCTTCTGGCAAACCAGAGCAGCGCACGGAAACGCCGTTTACCTTCCCGCCTGAGCGGTACCTATTTATCTACTTGCACTTTGATGTGCTTTCAAACTGCTAGGTGGGCAGGAGCTGGGACCGAGCAACAGGAGCTCACCCCGTCGTGGGGATTTGAACTGCCGACCTTCTGATCGGCAAGTCCTAGGCTCTGTGGTTTAACCCACAGCGCCACCCGTGTCCCTTGGGCTAGAACTCCCATTAGGCCCTGATAAATAGTCATGCAGTCTGGGGCTCATGGGAACTGGAGCAGCACAACAGCAGCTTGAGGGCACCTTGTTGGCTACCCCTGTTCTAGACTGGAGGAAGGAAGACAGAAGGAACAAGAGCTGCTCTTCAGCTCCCTCAGATTTGAATTCTAGGCCCATCTCAGGCCTGCCACTGCCGTAAGATTTATAAAGGAGTACATAGCTTACAACATTCATGTGAACTTCAGGATTTGAACCTCTGCTCCCACTCAGTTCTTCTGCGCTCCCAGTTGCTTGTATTAGACAAGCGATGGCAAGATACCACCACATCTTCTTTCTATATATGAATTTTTTTAAAAAGAAAAAAGTGGTGTGGAAGAGGAGGAGGGGAAAAGTGGGGTATTCTACATCAATTACTTCATAAACAATGCAGACATAATATATACATTTTAATCAAATATTCCAGAATGTCTGAAATCCAAATTCAATACATGAGTAGCATACAAAAATAAACGATCAAACCTAATAGAAAACATAAAATTGTGTTAAATGCATGAAGTCTAAGCTGCATAAACCAAGTAAACTAATAAGGGAAGAAAAGAAGAGTTTTCAACCATGCCAGGGCTTGCTTTCCTTCCAGGAGAAGAGAATATCAGGGAACTGGGGCTGCAGGCCAAAAACACCTGCCTGAGTCACAGCATGTTATACTCACAGGGGCAGATGGAAAAAAATCTTTCTCTACAAATCTTCATTCTGTTCTGTTTTTAAAATTCTGTTTTAAAAATTCCAGGCTACACTGTACCTTGCCTTCCCCCTTATTTTTTGCTTATCAATACCCCATGCCCCTCAAAATGCAGACAAATATATACAAAAAAGCCCAGAGTAAATGAAAATATTACCACTCAGAGTCCTCTTGCTGTGTTTAGGCAGGAACAGAATTTCCAAATGATGCCTCCTCCAACATTGCCAGCATTATCTATTACCAGAGAAATTCCTTTTCCATGTTTCACAAGACATTTGTTTTTACAATTGCCAGTTCCTTCTAATCGGTTTTCTTTCTTCTTGATACCAAAGTATCTGCAGCATAGCAGTAATACTGTGGGCGGCTTCCTTAGTTATATGACTTGAATGGCACAACATTCTTGGTTAGCTCCATCGGGAACACCTAATTAAAACTGGTGACCAGTGTAAAGGAAATAAATGCACGTGACTGATGATCTGTAGCAGTGCACTTGACCTGACCACTCACAATCACTGCAAAACACATGCACAGCTCTGTTTTGGAAATTGGGGCATTTTTTGCCCTGAGAATCTATTCTCCCCTAAATTACTAACAAGGGATATGATGCACAAATATGCAGAAAGAGTGGAATCAAGGTTATGGAAATGAATCCTGAATAGGCGACCCATGACTAAAGTGATGTACTTAATAAACCTTTTATTTTCATGCCTATGCCATTCATTTTAAAGCCACCCTACATTTTAGTGCACAGTTCCTTTTGCATTCCTGCATGTAGGCATGTGACATAAGATACCTGTGCTTCCTTCTAGGCTCCTATTTAATATAATAGGTTTATGGTACATTCATAGAGACAGCATCAATTAAATCAATTTCATCCTACCTGTATGAATGACTTTCTGGCAGCACCACTGTCATATGCGCGAGTGCCCAGGTCTGTAGGTGTAGCGCTGACCAGGAAAGGTGTTATGCTCAAATATTTTGGTTACTCCACCACTGCAGAGGCAACAAGGCCATTTCTTTTCCTCCACTGTAAATACATACCCTGTGACATTCTATAATTATATCCAGTGCCGCACTTTCCATACTGTGTTCTCCTTCTGACTCCTCCTACGAACACACAGTAAAACATATACCACTCTCTGTGTTCCCCTTCTCACCTCTTAACTGTCATTACATATCACGGGATGCTTTTCTTCATTTATAAACTCTTGCAAAAACTGTCCTAACTGGTTTCTGAAAAAGATGTTTCAGTAGATTGGCAAGATCCATGTGTGCAAGGGTGTCTGTGTATGAGTGCCATTCGAAAGAATCTCATCCTAGATTCAGTTTAATCTCGCTTATTTGTGAGCAATGCAATCACTTTTGGATGGAGCCCCTCAGGGACCCAAGCCTATTCTATTTCTACATAGTTCATTCATCAAATCCATTCGTTTTCATTTCATCACCAGCCGTATCCTGGTGACACCCAGCTTTACTATTCTAGCCTGGAGATCTTTATCTCCATCCAGTCTTGCAACTCTCGCTGCCTGCAACAACATTCCTGCTTGGATGGTCACCATTTAAAACTCAGCACAACAGAGAGCAAACTTCTCATCTCTCCTTCCAAATCCTCACCTCCTCCTAGATGATGTGCTAACACAGAGATGGACTTTTTCACTGCTGGTGCCAGTGTTGTGGAATGCCCTCCCTGCTAAAATACAAGACGTCCAATCTGTGTTGGGTTTCTGCTGGCTTCTGAAAACACACCTGTTTAGGCAAGCAATCTCCTGCGTGTGTTATTGTTCCTCCTGGTGTGTTATTGTTTTTGTTTGTGTGCTTTTAATTATATATTTATTACTGTGCATTATAATTAAGGGTGCCTCAATGTCCCAGTGGATTGTTTGTTTTAATTATGCATTGATTTTACAATTGCAAACCACTTGCTAAATAAATAAATAAACTGCTGCCCATTTTCATTCATAGACAAGGGTCCCAATGTAACTTGTTGATAAGGCTCAAAGTCTGAATATTTTGATGGATCTTGCTTTCTTCTTCTTTTTTTGGTTTCCATATTTCATCCATTACCAAATTGTGTGACAACTCTGCTTCACATGTCTGTGTGCACGTGTGCACAATCATTTACTTTTGACTACAGTAACCTCTTCCTCCTCTGCCCCCTTTCTCATTCCTTGGGCCTCTTTCTTGAATGTTACGACTAAAACCATCTGTGTCACATGACTCAGAGACTGTAACAGCCATTCTTTGTTCCTTATATGAACTTCCTGTTTGCTCATATTCCTGAGCCCTTTCCAGGCATTCCGATGACACATGAGACAGAGGTGCCCCAACATTGCCCCAAGAGCAGATGCTACAGGGCAAGAGGGCAGGTAATATAGGAGCAAGAGTGAGGCAGCTGGAAGCTCACAAGTGAGAGGGAACATAGCTCATCCCAATCCTGGCTGGGCACATATCAGGATCCATATTGCCTCAGGAAAAATCCTGAGCCATAAAGGATTCTTTTATACTGCTATAGGTTTGTTATTGTTTGAGCACATGCCAGGGGCCAAATTGAATAAGATAGAACAAACCTGAGCCCCAAAAGTGGACCTTACTGCCCATCTACAAATATCCCCTTTGGGGGCAAAGTGCTTGAGGCACGGATGGCTGTGTAGCTTCAGCTGTACAGTGGAACCTTGGTTCTTGAACTTAATCCGATCTGGAAGTCCATTCAACTCCGAAACAATTTGAAAACCAAGGCATGGCTTCCAGTTGACTGCAGGAGCTTCTTGCACTCAAGCAAAAGCCACATCGGACGTTCGGCTTCCAAAAAACATTTGAAAATCAGAACACTTACTTCCGGGTTTTCAGTGATTTGTTCGTCAACTAAGCTGTTCTAAACCAAGGTCCCACTGTACTTGCATGAAACAGACTACAGTGGTACCCTGGCTTATGAACTTAATCTGTTCCTGAAGTCCATTCTTAAAACAAATCTGTTCTTAAACTGATGAACGCTTTCCCTAATGAGGCCTCCCACCACCAGTGCCCTTCCACTGTTAGGCTTCCATTTGTAGACCGAGGTAAAGTTCGCAAACTGGAACACTGCTTCCGGTTTTGCAGATTTCAAAAACTGAATAGTTTGTTAACAGGGCTGCTCGTAAACCAAGGTACCACTATATCTTGACCCATTTCTATTTGACTTGTGTTATTCACAGGTAATGTTCAATAAGCATACAGTCTGTGTACACAGTAGTTGAACTGTATATAGAAGCTAAGGACTTCTTCACACAAACACAAATTTGAAAGAGACAGCTTCTACCTGTGTTCATTGTGTGAAGAAGCCTATGAATGATCTTGTATAGTTTTATCACTGGTGTACCATCTAAGCCATTTATGAAAAATGCCTCTTATCTTGTCATTTCTTTCCTTTAATATTTGGTTTGTAAAGGTAAAGGTAAAGGTAAAGGGACCCCTGACTATTAGGTCCAGTCATGACCGACTGGGGTTGCGGCGCTCATCTCGCTTTATTGGCCAAGGGAGCCGGCGTACAGCTTCCGGGTCATGTGGCCAGCATGACTAAGCTGCTTCTGGCAAACCAGAGCAGCGCACAGAAACGCCGTTTACCTTTCCGCTGGAGCGGTACCTATTTCTCTACTTGCACTTTGATGTGCTTTCAGACTGCTAGGTTGGCAGGAGCAGGGACCAAAAAATGGGAACTCACCCCGTCGCGGGGATTCGAACTGCCGGAGACAGCTGAACAGTGGATTATTTACACTATTACAAATAGGAACTGGCTTTCTGTAGAAGGTTCTGAATGAGTAGGTCATGCATTTATAAAGACCATGACACAAGGTGAAAATTCTCCCATGGAAGAAAACAGCAGGCCATATTTTATGTGTTTGTAACCTGCCTGGGAACCATATGGTGATAACTAGGCTATAAATGCATACAAATATAGTAATAGTCATTTCCCTCAAGATCACATGTCAAACCAGTTAGACCTTGTTAGCATATGCATAGTACTAATTATGTTGCAAACTATATGATATAGACAATGCCTGCATCTATTTTTACGTTGTTAAAAACTACTCTGAAAATTCCAGTCCTCCACAGGATTCTCATCTTCATAGTTCCTTACAAAACATAAAGATATATGGAAGACTGTGGAAGCAGACAAGAAGTGTGAATAGATGAAGCACAACTCACACTATTTGCATTGTTTCTAGTTTCTAGAGCTATCTTCACCTTAAATCAGAGATATTAGCTCTCCACTGCTGGTTCCCACTACCCCTGACCATTGGCCATGCTGGCTGGGGCTGATAGGAGCCAGAGTCCAACATCATCCAGATGGCCACAGGTTTCCCACTGCTTTAAGATATATATATGTGTGTGTATTTAAATGCTAGCCACAGCGTATTTTACTTGTCTTCTATTACTTTCTGAGCTCTGAGCACAGTACAGAGAAGCCAAGTCAATGTAGCCTTCCTGCATTCCATTTAATTCTGTCTCCTTTGGGAATAGCAAGGAAAGACCAACACCACACATATTAACTGTTTCTTGGAACTGATGAATAATTCCTTTACTGTCAAGGCTATCAACATCTTTGATGAGACTCGCCTAATATATTGAAGACAAGAGTTTTGCTTACTGATATTCTGCACCCCTAAAACATAGAATAAGTAAATATATTACCTTCCAGAGTCGTCTTGCTCTGTTTAGACAGGAGCAGGATCTTCAAATGATGCCTCCGTAAACAACGCCACCACTACCAATTGCCACAGTGATTCCTTTTGTGTGTTTCACAAGAGACTATTTGTTTCTGCGATTGTTTTGTTTATTGTAAAGACTCGTGTAGCACTAATATTGTAGGCAGCTTCTTGATTCATAGGTCTTGAATGGCACTTGGTTTATAGGTCTTGAGTGGCTTGGGAAACCCAGCCAGATGGGCGGAGTATAATTAATAAATTATTATTTAAAATTACTATGTTATAGTAAGTTCCACGGGAAACACCCAGTGAATACAGACAATGCACCCACAGGGCTTTTGGAAAATTGTCATCATTCCATCCCATGGGAAAGTGTGCAATTTGCTTTTTCTTCCCTGAAAAGGACTTGATAGACATCTATGTTCTCCCAATTTACTAATGAGGGATATTATGCACAAATATTCAGAAACAGTGGAGTTAATGTTATGGAAATGAATCCTGAATAGACGATCCATGACCTTAAAGTGATTTGCTTAATAAACTTTATTATGCAATTCCTATGCCAATAGTTTTTAAGCCACCCTTCATTTTACTGTGCAGTTCCTTTTAACATTCCTGCAACAATATATTTTTAAAAAGCTATAATATAAAAAATACAAATTATTTTTAAAATGAAAACCATACCTACAAACCCTAAAAACTATTAAAACCATTCAAACGGGTGTACATTAATGTACTTTTTATTGGGCTTTGGGTGGAAAATGGCCACTTATGTGGACAGCGCTTGTGGCCCTGTTAAGAAGCCCCTCCCTTCCTCCCTCAAGAGGGTGAAATGACTTCATCATGGTGGCTGGCCACTGGAACATCTTCCTGACTGGCCACCTTCGTGAAGTTTGAAATTACCCTATCAGGATCAAGCAGAGGGGTGGAGCCAGGATGGGGATAAAGTCCAACTGCACCCAAGCTGGGCGCCACAGTCAGCCGGAGGGCAATGAAGATAAAAGAAGTGGTGGGAGTCAAGTGGAGAAGACTCAACAGCAGCATATGGGAAGGGAGAAGCCCAGCAGAGAGTGGAGTGGCGAGAGTTAACTTTGCAGCACACGGAGACAAAAGCATAAAAAAGAGAGAAGCTGGAATCCTTGCAGGAGCTAATCTGAGGAGAACCTCAGAGGATTCACTACCCCTAGCTAAAGCCTCTTAGCGAACCATGAGTCTTCTAGTTAAAAGAAAGGGGGGAAAACACCCTCCATATAAGCCTGCGAATAGCCTGTAGATGGTCTAAATTGTGTCAATGTGCTGTCGTTAAGAACAATGTGTAGTATTTTTCCCCAAAAAATAAAATATGATTCACTGTCTATTACTTTCTAGGAATTTCTTCCTTCATATAAAGTATGACGTTACATGTAATGCTCATAAAACACTTACCATCCCACCCTTTCCGTTTTAAATTTTGTTATTTTAAAAGTTTAAGTTTTAAAATTAAGATGTGTTTTTAACGGAACTTGGTTGCACCCATCACTGTGCAGCCTGCATTCCTGAGGGAGTGATTTGCCATTCCCTCTTCTTCCTGTGAACCCTCAAAATCTCCACCCAACCTTCTGCAGCAGGTTTGTAGGGTACATAGGTTGGGGCTGGGGCTGCAGGAAAGATGATATTTCCTGGGTCCTGCTCAGTAATATTCAAAAGTGACTAGCCGGCCTCAAACTGCCTTCATCACCCTCCATTCCTACCTATTTGCCCTCTCACCTTGTGGCATCTGCTCTTGTGGCAATGACAGGGGCACATCTGATTCATGCTTCATAGGAATGCCTGAAAAGGGCTTAGGAGTATGAGCAAACAGGAAGTTCACATTAGGATCTAAGGGTGTCTGTCACATTCTCTGATAAACATGGCATTGATGGTTTTAATGGCCATAGTCAGGATAGAGGCCTGAGCCATAACAGAAGGACAGGAAAGAGAGGTTGCTGTAGTCAAAGTCGTAAGATGACTACTAGGCTCACCTGTGCAGAAACATGTGAACCAGAGTTGTCAAACAATTTATTTCAGGATCAAATATGGCAAGAAAAAGAGAAGGAAGGATGCATCACAATGCTCCTACATCAATAAGGTGGATGGAGACACTGTCCATGAATGAAAATGAGCATTATTTTATTTGTTTATTTAGCAAATAGTTTCTAAGTGGTTTGCAACTGCAAAATCAGTGCATAATTAAACGAAACAATGGGCAATCCCTTGGGGCATTAAGGCACCCTTAATTAGAATACACACACACACACACACACACAGCATAAAACTAATACAATAAAATCAGGAGTTCATTTCAGGAGAATGCCTGCCTTAACAGGTGTGTTTACATGATCCAATGGAATACCAACACAGATTGGGCCTCTTGTATTTTAGCCAGGAGGGAATTCCACAACGCTGGCACCAGCAGTGGAAAAGCCCATTTCTGTGTTACCATGTCTTCTGTGAGGAGGCAAAGACTTGGAAGGATAGATGAGAAGTTTGCTCTGTGTTGTGCTGAGTTTTAAATGGTGATGAAACATCCAAGCCGAATGTTGCTGCAGGCAGCAGGAGCTGCAAGACCGGATGGAGATGAAGATTTCTGAAGAGAGAGCTGGGTGCCACCAGGATATGGATCCTGCTGAAATGGAAACTAGTGAGAGAGGCTTGGAAATGGATCCCTGAGGAACTCCATCCAAAAGTGATGGTGCTGCTCATAAGTGAGATTAAACCAAACCTAGGATGAGATTCATTTGAGTGTCGTTCATACACAGACACTGTCACATACATGTTGTTGTTGTTGTTTAGTCGTTTAGTCGTGTCCGACTCTTCGTGACCCCATGGACCAGAGCACGCCAGGCACTCCCTTTTTTTTTTTTTTTAATGTAATATTTATTGGTTTTACAAAAATTCCAAAACATACAAAAATACAGGATTTCAAGGACAAAAAACAACAATAACAGTGACAAAAGGAAAACAAAAAATAACAATAACCATAAAAGAGAGAAACAAAGGAGAAAAAGAAAAAGAAACAGAAAAATTTAAAAATTTATACTTTCATTTAACCTTCTTATCTTTCCTTGGTTCTTTGACTTCCCCGCACCTCCCCACTTGTATTTCCTTTTAAAAACTCCTTTCAGCAAATCCTTACCCTCCTTCCTTTATCTTAACTCAAGAAACTTAATCTATTTATATATAGATGTCAAGGCTGCCTCAAGTCTTAGCTCACAAAAGACCAACGCCTCTGTCTTCTTATATACAAAAGTGTTTATTGCAGTTCATGGTTTGCTTGACATCCTAGGCGCGCAGCCTTACGTCTTTTACGCTAGACCGCCGAAGTCCCCTCTGAGTCAGTTCCTCCCCTGCACCAATTTAAGAGACTTGCGCTGCTCCACCTCTTTCTCTCCTTCCTTTTCCGCAGGGTCCTTCTGCCCACTGGGGTTTCGCCCCTCCTGGATTCCTCTGATGCGGAATCCCCAGACTGCTCTTCCCCCCTCCTGCGGGCTTTGGGACCTGGCCCCTCCTCCGGGCTCCCTGCACTTCCGCGCGCCTCTACATTTGAACTAGGCGCGCGCGCCAAACCTCTAACTTTCCTTTTGACAGTTACACTACTCCCTTCACTGCTCCCTCCCCTTCCGGGAGGGCGGCTTGCTCTGACCCCCCTCCTTTCTCTGCTGCTGGAGCTGCTTCCTCTGACACACTGGAAACTCCACCCCCTTCGCTGCACTCTGGTGGGGAGGCTGGTCCTGACGCCCAGCTGCCACTTTGGGATCTTCCGCTGGCACCCTGCTCCTGACACTTCCCCCCTGGGGCTCCCCTGGCCTTGACCACCGGCGCCCCCTTCTGGGAATCCTCTGATTCGCTGGAAAGACTCATGGAATCTCTTGAGTCATTGTCATCCTCTTCCTCGCTGGCTTGGAATTCCCCCCATCGCTCTCCATCTCCTGCCTACCCTGTGCCTCTCTCCCTGAACCCCTGACATCCATCCCCCCCTCGAAGCCCCCCCTTCCCCCCTCCCGCTGCTCGGGCGCAGGTTCCGGGAGCTTCGTTGTAGCGGGGGTAGATGCTGGATACAGTTCGTCGACGTCGATCTCCTCTGCTTCCAGTTCAGTGTAGGAGTGCTCGAAACCAGGGTCCTCCCCAACACCTCCAAACCCTTCCCTCCCCCTGTTACTTCAGGCGAAGCTGCTTGCCAAGGCCCCCTTCGCCACCCCACTTCTGGTTGATCGTCCCACCAATAAGAGCGGTCCGTGTCTACCCCCGAGCACGATCCCCTTGGAGGGCTCGATTGCGGCGTGGTCTCCTCTGCGGAGGAGAACCCCCGGAAGGTGCTGCCTGAAAGTGTGGGGGTAAAAGCCAGTCGTCAAAATACTCCTCTGGCATGGGCCTGTGTGGGAAGAGTGCATGGAACTCGTCCTTAAGAAAAGGTTCCTCCAGAGCATAATCTGGCACCCAACTGTTGGCGCTGGCCGGGGTACCTTCCCTGGCGAGGAGGTATTCCACTCCCTCCTCCCCCCATCTCGAGTCCAGAATTTCCGTGGCCTCGTTGAGTGTCGGGGTCCTCGGTGGCTTCCCCCTGGTGACTTCCTACGTGGGTCTGGTGCCGTCCCTGGCTCCTGAAATCGGTGTGGGGCCTTGTAGGGTGTAAGCACCGACCTATGAAAGACCGGGTGCATTCGGGAATCCTCTGGGAGGGTCAACCGAAAGCTACGGGATTGATCCTGCCCTCAACTTGGTATGGCCCTAGCTGTTTGTGTCCTAGCTTCTTCTTAGCTAACGACTTGGCCGGCACCGCCTGGGCTGCTAACCATACCCAGTCCCCCACCTGGATGTCTTCTCCTGCCCTCCTGTGCCTGTCTGCCTGCACTTTGTAGGCGTGTTTAGCCAGTTCCAAGTGCCGTCGTAGCTCCTCGTGGACCTCCTGCAATTCTGCTGCTAAATGTTCCGCTCCCTGCGACTCCCCCTGTGTCGTTGTCTCCAACGCCGGGAATGTTCTGGGATGTCGCCCATTGTTGGCGAAGAACGGTGTCACCCCGTTGACGCGTGCTTCGTGTTGTTGTAGGCAAACTCGGCCATCGGTAAGTAGTCCACCCAAGTTGCCGGCTTCTGATTGGCGTAACAGCGCAGGTACTGCTGCATGATGGCGTTGACCCTCTCCGCTTGGCCGTTGGTTTGCGGGTGTCTCGCCGACGCTAAGTTGATCTTGACATTCAGGATGCCCAGGAGCTTCTGCCAGAAACTGGAAATGAATTGGCGACCCCGGTCGGACAAAATGGACCGTGGTAAGCCGTGCACCCGGAACACGTGGTCTATGAATAGCCTGGCGGTCTGCTCCGCTGTTGCCACCTTCGCGCAAGGAATGAAATGCGCCATCTTGGTGAACAGATCTACAACCACAAGCACCGCCGTCTTGCCCCGCGAACTGGGCAGATCAGTGACAAAGTCCAGCGCCACCCTTTCCCACGGCTGCAGTGGCGTCTCCAACGGTTCCAGCAATCCCGCTGGCTTCTTGTGCACTGGCTTGGACCTCTGACAAGTGTCACACCTGGCGACGTAATCCGCGACTTCTCCCCGCATCTGGGGCCACCAAAAGTCCCTGGCTACTAAGTCCGCCGTCTTCTCCTTGCCGAAGTGACCCGCGCTGGGGGCGTCGTGTAACTGCTGTAAAACCTTCGCTCGGAGATCGTCTCCCGGGACGTAGAGAGCACCTTTGCGGGTCAGCAGGCCGTCGCGTATCTGGAATTCGCCGTCCTTTGCTGTCCCTCTTCGCACCTCCTCCATCTTGGATTGTGCAAACGGATCCGTCTGTAACGCGCGTCGTACCGCGTCCAGGTCCACGGCGGCAGAAGCGCACGCCCACGCTTGCGGTGCAAAAATGTGCCTGGCTGCCACTGGTGCCGCTTCCTCAAGATACTGCGGTTTCCTGGAGAGCGCATCCGCTATGACGTTGTTGTCTCCCGGGATATACTCTATCCGGAAATCGAAATCAGCAAAGAACTCCGCCCATCTCATGTGCCTCTGGCTCTGGAGCTTCGCCGTGCGCCAATACTCTAGGTTCTTGTGGTCCGTGCGGACCTGCACGGTGTGCTTGGCTCCGATGAGGAAGTGCCGCCACGCCTTGAAAGCCGCGTGGATGGCCAACAACTCCCTGTCCCAGATGGTGTAGTTCTGTTCCGACTTGCTGAGCTTCCGGGAATAGAAAGCGCAGGGCCTCCAGTTCTCTTGCGAATCTTCCTGCAAGAGGACGGCCCCCACTGCTCTGTCAGATGCGTCAGTCTCAACCCGCATGGGCCTGCCGGGATTCACGTGTAGCAGCTGGTCTTCGGACGCGAAGAGACTCTTAAGTCTCCTGAAGGACTGCTCCGCCTGGTCCGTCCAGGTGAACTTTTTCTTCTTGGAACTGAGGGTGTCCGTGATAGCTGCCGTCTCTTTCGCGAAACCCCTGATGAACTTGCGGTAAAAGTTGGCGAAGCCGACGAACCTCTGGACCTCCTTCCGATTGCGCGGGCTATTCCAGTCCAACACCGCGCGGACCTTGGCGCTGTCCATGGCTAATCCCTTGTCGGACAGCCGGTAGCCCAGGAAATCCACCTCCGTCACGTCGAACTGGCACTTCTCCAGCTTGGCGTAGAGTCTGTGCTCCCGTAGCCTCTGCAGGACCTCCTTTACGTCTCTTTCGTGAGTCTCCTGCGATTCCGAGAAGATCAGAATATCGTCGAGAAAACATACGCACTTCTTGTAGAGGAGTCCTGCTAGCACGTGGTGCATGAATGCTTGAAAGCAGTGGGAGCCACCTTGGAGACCAAACGGCATAACTCTGTATTCATAGGTGCCCAGCGGCGTGAACATGGCCGTCTTCCACTCGTCACCTTCCCTCATGCGTATGAGATTGTAGGCTCCGCGTAGATCCAACTTGGTGAAGATCCTCCCCTTCCTTACCGTCGCGAGCAGGTCGTCAATCTTGGGCATGGGGAAAGCCTTGGGTTTTGTCATCGAGTTTATGGCCCTATAGTCCACAATGAGCCGTTTTTGGGGCGTGTCCTTCTTCTTCACGAAAAACACAGGACTGCCCCCCCACTGCCTTGGATTCTCGGATGAATCCCCGCTTCAAATTGTGATCTATGAACTCCCTGAGCTCCTGCATCTCATCTTCAGACATGGAATACAGCTTCGCAGTCGGCAGCGTCGCCCCTGGTAAGAGGTCAATTGCACAGTCGTAGGGCCGGTGGGGTGGTAATTGGTCAGCTTCCTTCTCGCAGAAGACCTCCAAAAACCCCTTGTACTTGTGGGGCACTGCCTGCACCATGCCTAGATGCAGCTGTTGCCCTTCCTCCTGGTCCTCCTGGTCCTGGCCGATCTGGATGCAATGTTGTGCACAGTAGGACGAGCCAAAGGTGAGCTGCCGCTGGTACCACGCCAAGGATGGGCTGTGTCTATCCAGCCAACTCATGCCTAACACTATGGGCGTGTCTGACAGTTGGGTGACATTGAAACTGATGACCTCGCGATGATTTCCAATTTTCAGCAGCATGGGTGGCGTCTGTTGTACCACTTGCCCACCCAGCAACTTCCTGCCATCTACAGTGACCACATTCAGAGGCAGCGTGGCTGGTAGTAAGGCTATGCGATGCTGCTTGACGAACTGCACCCCCACGAAGTCTGCGTTGCTCCCTGAGTCAATCGTAATGGGGACTTCCAGGGTGAGTCCATTAGGCAGCTGGAGAGTAGCAGTGAGCTGCACCACTGGCTTAGGTGGTAAGGGGTCTGTAGGCTGCAAAAGCGCTGGGGACTGCTTCACTGACTTGCCTGGCGGAGCCCCAGCGTCTCTCCCTCCAACCAGGCATTCTCGTTTCCCTGAAACTGCTCCCCTTGGAAAGCTTCCCCTGTTACTGTTGCTAAGGCTGCAGTGTGCTTCTGGAGCCTCTGGGGACACTCTTTAGCCATGTGCCGTGCACTGTCACAGATGTAACACTTCCTGGTCCCTCTAGGAGGCTTCGCTTTGACTGCTCCTGACGCTGAGGCTCCGGCAGCTGTCTGAGCCTTTGCACCACCCAGTTCCATCAGTTCTCTCCCGCTGCCAGCACAGGCGAAAGGCTTGAACGTTCCAAGTCCCTGGAAGGAAAAGGAGGCGCTCTAGCTGGTGGGCGGACGTGACGCCCCTCCTCCCTGTGCCAAGGGCGTTCTTCTTGGCGCACCCCTATCGTGAGTGCCCTCTGCACGACTTCTGCTAGGGTTTGAGGTCTGTCTCCCTAGCCAGCTCATCTTTCACTGAGCCATGAAGCCCTTCCCAAAACAAGTCCCTCACTGCCAGGGAGTCCTTTTCCCAGCCCAGCACATTCAGCAATGCAAAAAAGCGAGAATGGTACTGACGCACTGTAGCCTTGCCCTGCCGCAATCCATGCATCTCCTGGCGTGCCACATCAACGTCAACAGTAGATTGGAAGCAAGCGTCCATGGCTTTGAGAAATTCATCAGAGTCCCTGCGTGCAAGACCATCTTCGCGCCACAAATTGCGTAACCAGTTTCTTGCTTCCCCATGCAGATGAGACACGATAAACCCCACTTTTTCCTCCTCATCTTTGAAGTCTTTTCGAAGTAAATGCAGTGCGTATACGACGTCTGCTCTGAAATTGGGATAATGCTTCAGGTTCCCATCGAAGTGGGCTACTAAATTGCCCCCTCCGTCCGAGTCCGATTCCCTCTGATCTGGACCCCGGGAACCCCTCTCTGCACGCCCGATCCCACCTGGCTTGCAGATCCTGGCATCGCGCTTCTGCTTCAGCAACTGTCTTCTGAGAAACCACGACAGCAGTGGAGAGCTCGGTGACTGCGGTTTGCAGGGACGCTATCTGCTCCTCAGTAGTCATTGCTGCCAAACTTCGTGAGCTGTGCAAAAAAAAATTTTGCGGTTTTTTTGTTGTGAGAGGGGACTTACTGTCAAGGCTGCCTCAAGTCTTAGCTCACAAAAGACCAACGCCTCTGTCTTCTTATATACAAAAGTGTTTATTGCAGTTCATGGTTTGCTTGACATCCTAGGCGCGCAGCCTTACGTCTTTTACGCTAGACCGCCGAAGTCCCCTCTGAGTCAGTTCCTCCCCTGCACCAATTTAAGAGACTTGCGCTGCTCCACCTCTTTCTCTCCTTCCTTTTCCGCAGGGTCCTTCTGCCCACTGGGGTTTCGCCCCTCCTGGATTCCTCTGATGCGGAATCCCCAGACTGCTCTTCCCCCCTCCTGCGGGCTTTGGGACCTGGCCCCTCCTCCGGGCTCCCTGCACTTCCGCGCGCCTCTACATTTGAACTAGGCGCGCGCGCCAAACCTCTAACTTTCCTTTTGACAGTTACACTACTCCCTTCACTGCCCTCCCCTTCCGGGAGGGCGGCTTGCTCTGACCACCCTCCTTTCTCTGCTGCTGGAGCTGCTTCCTCTGACACACTGGAAACTCCACCCCCTTCGCTGCACTCTGGTGGGGAGGCTGGTCCTGACGCCCAGCTGCCACTTTGGGATCTTCCGCTAGCACCCTGCTCCTGACACTTCCCCCCTGGGGCTCCCCTGGCCTTGACCACCGGCGCCCCCTTCTGGGAATCCTCTGATTCGCTGGAAAGACTCATGGAATCTCTTGAGTCATTGTCATCCTCTTCCTCGCTGGCTTGGAATTCCTCCCCCTCGCTCTCCATCTCCTGCCTACCCTGTGCCTCTCTCCCTGAACCCCTGACAATAGATATTTTTACAACCTTATCAATCAAATATTCCATGCTCTTAAACGCTAGGTTTTTGCCAATACCAATTATTTTCAATCAGACCTCAATTTAACATTCATTAATTTTATAGTATTTCTGTAAATAGTCTTTAAATTTCTTCCAATCTTCTTCCACCGACTCTTCTCCCTGGTCACGGATTCTGCCAGTCATTTCCGCCAATTCCATATAATCGATTACCTTCATCTGCCATTCTTCCAGAGTGGGTAAGTCTTGTGTCTTCCAATACTTTGCGATAAGTATCCTTGCTGCTGCTGTTGCATACATAAAGAAAGTTCTATCTTTCTTTGGCACCAATTGGCCAACAATGCCCAGGAGAAAGGCCTCTGGTTTCTTTAAAAAGGTATACTTAAATACCTTTTTCAACTCATTATATATCCTTTCCCAGAAGGCCTTAATCTTTGGGCACGTCCACCAAAGGTGAAAGAATGTACCTTCAGTTTCTTTACATTTCCAACATTTATTATCGGGCAAATGGTAGATTTTTGCAAGCTTGACTGGGGTCATGTACCACCTGTACACCATTTTCATTATATTCTCTTTTAAAGCATTACATGCTGTAAACTTCGTACCTGTGGTCCATAACCATTCCCAGTCAGCAAACATAATGTTATGTCCAACATCCTGTGCCCATTTAATCATAGCAGATTTTACCGTTTCATCCTGAGTATTCCATTTTAGCAGCAAGTTATACATTCTTGAAAGTGTTTTAGTTTTGGAATCTAACAGTTCTGTTTCCAACTTTGATTTTTCCACCTGGAAGCCAATTTTTCTATCCAAATTATAGACCTCTCTTATTTGGTAGTAATGCAACCAGTCTCGCACTCTATCTTTTAGTTTTTCAAAACTCTGCAATTTGAATTTATCTCCTTCTTGTTCCAAGATCTCCCAATATTTTGGCCACTTGGCCTCCATATTGGACTTTTTCAGGGCCTTTGCCTCCATTGGTGATAGCCACCTTGGGGTTTTATTCTCCAATAAGTCTTTATATCTTATCCAGACATTGAACAATGCTTTCCTGACAATATGGTTTTTAAATATTTTGTGAGCTTTAACCTTGTCATACCACAAATATGCATGCCACCCAAACACATTATTGAAACCTTCTAAGTCCAAAACATCAGTATTTTCCAGAAGTAACCAATCCTTCAACCAGCAGAAAGCTGCTGATTCATAATAAAGTTTAAGGTCTGGCAGGGCAAATCCCCTCTTTCTTTAGCATCAGTCAATATTTTAAATTTTATCCTGGGCCTCTTGCCCTGCCAGACAAACTTAGAGATATCTCTCTGCCACTTCTTAAAACAATCCATTTTGTCTATTATTTGTATCGATTGAAACAAAAACAGCATTCTTGGCAATACATTCATCTTGATGACAGCAATTCGACCTAACAAGGAAAGCTTCAAATTTGTCCATATTTCTAAATCCTTTTTAATGTCCGACCAACACTTTTCATAATTGTCTTTAAATAAATTCCCATTTTTAGCTGTCATATGAATCCCCAAGTATTTCACTTTTTTTACCACTGTTAAACCTGTCTCATTCTGAAACCTCTCTTTTTCAATCGGTGTTAAATTCTTCTCAAGTACTTTAGTTTTAAACTTATTCAGCTTAAAACCTGCCACCTGACCAAACTCTTGAATCAGTTCTAATGCTCTTTTCGTACTAGATTCTGGCTCCTGTAATGTCAATACAAGGTCATCTGCAAATGCTTTCAGTTTGTATTGTTTCGCTCCGACCGTTATACCCTTAATCAAATGGTCCCTTCTTATCATATTTAACAAAACCTCCAGGACAGAAATAAAAGCAATGGGGAAATTGGGCAGCCTTGTCGTGTCCCTTTCTCTATCTTAATTTCCTCTGTTATCACATTATTAACTATTAATTTAGCTTTTTGTTCTGAATAAATTGCATTTATACCATTTTCAAACTCTTGGCCTACCCCCATCCCCTGGAGATTTTTCTTCATAAAGCTCCAAGAAATATTATCAAAGGCTTTCTCTGCGTCCACAAAAATCAAAACTGCTTTAGTATTAATCTCCTCTTGCAGCTTCTCCAGAATATCAATTATATTCCTTGTATTGTCAGAAAGATGTCTATCTGGAAGAAAGCCAGCTTGGTCCTTATGAATCACTCCTTTTAGCACTTTTTAAGCCTTTTTGCTAAAATATCAGCAAAAATTTTGTAATCCACATTTAACAGGGATATGGGCCGATAGTTCTTAAGCTGTGTCTTTTCAGTCTCAGACTTTGGTATAAGTGTAATAAATGCGTCTTTCCACGACTCCTTGTGTCCTCAACCTTTCCCAACATCAGGGTCTTTTCCAGGGAGTCTTCACTTCTCATGAGGTGGCCAAAGTATTGGATCCTCAGCTTCATGGTCTCTCCTTCCAGTGAGCACTCAGGGCTGATTTCCTTAAGAATGGATAGGTTTGATCTTCTTGCAGCCCATGGGACTCTCAAAAGTCTCCTCCAGCACCATAATTCAAAAGAATCAATTCTTCGGTGATCAGCCTTCTTTATGGTCCAGCTCTCACTTCCATACATCACTACTGGGGAAACCATGGCTTTAACTATACGGACCTACAGAACTTCTCTTTTAAAAAAAATTTTTTTTTATTAAATTTCACTTAGATAACCAAAAGAAAAAAAACAAAACAACAGTTACAGAAAAAAGAAAAAAGGAAAAAAGGAAAAAATATCCATACATAACACAAAAATATCATAATAACAATTTCCGTTACAGTTCCTTGTCTTATTCCTTGAATCTTTATATCTTTACATGATTAGGTTTTTTCTCTCCACACCTATTGACCTCCTTCCCTCCTGATTTCAGGCTTCTTAATCAAAAATTCTTTCTTTTTCTGCAGCTAAGAGTTGTTATGGTTTGCGCGTCATAAGATTTATATCAGACCTACAGTAGTTTGTAAGTTTCTATAGTTTCCTTCAATATATGCCATAAATTTATTCCAATCACTAATAAACTTTTTATCACTAATGTATTTTTTTGGTTTCTAATTTTTTGCGTCATTTTTGCTAGTTCAACATATTCGAATAATTTTGTTTGCCAATCTCTGACCGTTGGGGTATTTGGACTTTTCCAATTTTGTGCAATTAATATTCTGGCCGCTGCTGTCGAATATTGGAATAGTGTTTTATCCTCTTTTTTAATTTCATCCCCAATTATACCTAATAGAAAGGCCTCTGGTCTTTTAGGGAAAGTGTATTTAAATATTTTCTTTAACTCATTGTAAATCAGATCCCAAAATTTCTTCATTTCCTCACAAGTCCACCACATATGGTAGAAATTGCCCTCTTTAATTTTACACTTCCAGCAGGCCTTATTTCCTGTTTTGTACATTTTTCCTAATTTTACTGGTGTGATGTACCACCTATACATCATCTTTTCTAAATTTTCTCTAAGTGTGACGCATGCCGTAAATTTCATTCCACAACTCCATAATTTCGACCACTTTTCATATTCTATATTGTATCCCAGGTCCATTGCCCATTTTGTCATAACCTCCTTTATTTCTTCATCTTTAGTGTCCCATTCCAATAATATATCATATATTTTGGATAATAACTTGGTTTTGCCTTCAATTATTTCAGTCTGAAATTTAGATTTTTCTCACTTATCCCTACTTTTTTGTCTTCCATCCATATTGCGTTTATTTGATGATACTGCAGCCAGCCTGTTAATTTGTCTTTCAACTCTTCATATGTTCTCAATTTCCAGCCACTTTCTGATCTTATCAGTAGGTCTTCGTAGGTCAATCTTTCTCCCTCCATATTTGCTTTTTTGGTTGTTAAAATGTCGATTGGTGATAACCACCAGGGTGTCTTCCATTCTAAAAGTTTTTTATTTTTCTCCCAAACTTCATATAGTGGCCCTCTAATAATATGACTTGAAAACCCTTTATGTACCTTTTCTTTATTTAGCCACAAGTAGGCATGCCAACCGAACCTATTGTTGAAACTTTCTAAGTCTAACAGGTCAGTGTTTTCCAAATTAATCCAATCTTTAATCCAGCAAAGACAGGAGGCCTCGAAGTATAATTTCAAATTTGGCACCGAGAATCCCCCTCTTTCTTTTCGATCTGTAAGTAATTTGAATCTAATTCTCGGTCTTTTCCCTTGCCATATAAATTTCGGAAGAGTTTTCTGCCAATTCTTAAACATTGTGGAACCTCTAATCACAGGGATGTTTTGAAACAAGAATAACATTCTTGGGAGCACGTTCATTTTTACTGCCGCCATCCTTCCCGACCACGAAAGTTTCACTCTATTCCACGTATCTAGATCTTTTTTAATTTCCTTCCAAGTTGTCAAATAGTTGTCCTGAATTAAATTTATATTTTTTGTAGTTAACCAGATTCCCAGATATTTTTTTTTTTTGCCACCTTGATTCCATTCTGTATCTCTAATTTTTCTCTTTCGTCTTTTCCCAGATTTTTAGTCAGCATTTTTGTCTTTGATTTATTCAATTTAAAACCGGATAGTTTGCTATATTCTTCTAATGTTTCCAGGGCCTTACTGACACTTTTTTGCGGCTCTTCTAGGGATAGCATCAAGTCGTCTGCATACGCTTTTAGTTTGTATTCTTTTGTTCCTACTTTAATCCCTCAAATCTCTGGGGTTGCTCTTATTTTGTTCGTAATTACCTCTAATACCATAATAAATAAAAGCGGGGATAGAGGGCAACCTTGTCTTGTTCCTTTTTCAATTTTAAATGAATTTGTTAAATTGTTATTTATAATCAATTTAGCAGATTGATTCGAATAGATTGCTTTTATTCCTTCCATAAATTCGCCCTCTAGCCCTGCTTTCTCCATGCTTTTTAGTAGGAACGGCCATGAGACATTGTCAAATGCCGACTTCCGGGGTGGCGCCACCGGCAATGGCGGACTCCCTCTGAACTGGAGGGACTAGCTCTGCGGAAAACGGGTCTTCTCCGCTACGGCGAAGCGGGGACCCACTTAAAAATCACAGGCGGATGAAGCCAGTGACCATGGGACTCGGCGGGCACCTTTAGCGCCCCCCCAACCCGCTAAGGAACCCACTAACGGGCTCCGAAGTGAAGAGGGGGAAGTGGCGCGGTGCTGTGAGTCAACTGCTATTTCCGTGGAGCGAAGCCGCCTAGCTGTTGCCGGAGAGCGCTGCCTTTTTCCTGGGACAATTTGGACTTTAAAATAAGCACCCGTGAGTACTTAGACTTTGAACAATTGGACATCAAATAAGGACTTGCGAGTAGAAAAGAATTGGACTTTAAAAATTTACTTGAATTTGGTACGGAACGGGAAGGTCTAAACAGGAAGTCATCCTTCCGTTCTTTTGTAAACAGAATAAAGCAAAGGCAACTTAAACTAGAGCTCAGAACTAGCTTTTTCTCCGTGTGGATTTCACTCTGTTTGAATTCCTCCTTTATTTTTAGCCATAAGATATCTAGGTCCTTAATTTCTTCTTGTCGACAGAACTTCTCAATTCACTAAATTCACTACAGAACTTCTCAATTCACTAAAACACCTTGCTTGAGAAACCAGTTAGGACAGGTTTTGCATGAATGCAAGAAAGCTTTAACATATCCGCCAACATTTCTTCAATGAAATGCTATTACATGATAATTATAATAATAATTTTATTATTTATACCCCACCCATCTGATTGTGTTGCCCCAGGCACTCTGGGCATCTTCCAACATATATAAAAACATAATAACACATTAAACTTTCCCTGGGAAGAGGGATTGATTGTTAAGCTACTCTGACAACTGTAGCTCTGTGAGAGGAACAGGGCTTTCTTAGCAACTCTCAGCACCCTTAACAAACTACACTTCCCAGCATTCTTTGGGGAAATGATAACTGTTAAAACGGTATCACATAGTGCTTCAAATGTATGGGGCAAATGTGACCAAAACAATGGACATGATCCAGGAAAAAAAATGAAGCACCTTTAAATACTAGAAAGGCTTTCCACACCAGCGTAGCTTACTGCACAGGGTTTGTTGTGACAGGTGTTAAAGAAAGATGTGTCAATAAAGGAAATGAAGTTAAAGCCATCTTAGCAAAGTATTTATTTACAGAGACTTCCCCATCAACTCTATGATTTTGCTGTACAGGAGTCTGGGGGCACTGAGGCCCCAGAGAAAATCCCAGTGGTTCCAGTGTGATATATTTTCATAATAAATCAGGTTAGTGATACGAGGAAGTAAGAAGTCTATATCTCCTGGGGGGGCAATTATGTCATTCCCCCCAAACCACACTGCAGTAGGCACAGTCATGTCCTCTATTTTATATTCAGGAGGAAAGCTCTGGAAAGTAAAAGACAGAGGATCATTAAACACCCATAAACACACAAGTGCTCTTAGTGACAGCATCTTGACACAATTCAGACTGCCTGTGGGCTGTTCACAGGCTTATATGAAGGATGGGTTTTTCTTGATTCTGACTGGAACACTCATGGTTTTCTAACATGCTTTGAATAGGGTTGGCGCTCACATATTTCTAAGCTTCTAGTCATGTGAGAGAAACCACAATCACACAACTACACACATCCAGGACCTCCCTTCATACTTTGGCCAAATGTGTGGAGGTCTGAGGTTGGATCCAGCAGAAGGGTGGGGTTGAAGGGGGGGCTAATACACACATCCCTGTGCCCACCATGCTCTCAGCTTGTGGAGGAAAACACCTTTCGTGATCATATTCACATTAACTCAGAGCTATTGCATTATTGTGGTTAGATTGTTGAACTAGGACTTGGAGACCAAAGTTTACATCCCCACTCATTCATGAAGTTCATGGAGTGACCCTGGATCAGTCACAATCATTCTAGGCTTCACCATAGGGTGGTTATCAAGAAATAATGGGGAGGAGGAGAACCATGTGTGCTGCCTTGAACTCTGCCGAGAAAAAGTGGGATGTATATAAACAAATGAATAAAATAACTGAGCTTTCATCTGGGAAGAAATCTAAATGGTTAATATTATCTGGATTGTGCTGGTACGCAACAAGTCTCATTTCAGACCCAATCTAAATAAGTGTCCTTGATGCAGCATTCTATTTTACTGTAAAAAAATAATAATAATGTTCTCTCTTACCTGGTTATATATTGCTTGATTCTCATCCCCATAGTCAAAACACCTGAATCTTCCCGTTTGTTTTACCTATCAAAATAATAGGAAAGCCATAGATATTATATGATACGTATTACTGAGGATTGTGAAAACCCTGCCATTGAGAAAACTAAATCTACAATATTGTGGGAAATGTAAAGGCAGCTTACAAAGAGGTTTACAGGGATATATATATATCCTCATTAGCAAAGACCTGTCAGCTCTTGTCTACATAAAGAAAACCAGGATTTAAACTCCTATTAGAACAACAGTACAAACATAAAATGGCTTAATTTTTGTAGCGACTTCCCAGGGAATGTTAAGTGTACTAACTCTTCCGTAATTCTTAGGTGTGAACTTTGAAAGTTTAGTGCTATATAAAACCTATATGAATTTGTGATTTTGAGTGTACATGCAAGCATAGAACTCTATTCTTCAAAGTGTAAAACTCTCTACCTGTTTCCAGTGTACAATGTTTTTAGATGATGTTCGATCTGGAAAGTGAGCTGCATATACATCCAGTCGACTCTGCAAGTAAGGTTTGAAAAACAACACATTTTTTTTAAAAAAAGAAAAGAAAACAGAAAAGCTAGTGGAAAGAAGAAGGAAAACATCAGTTACCCTACAAATTAGTGCTACAACAACTGCTGGGGCAGCTTAGTTGAGAAAAAGGGTGAGCTAGAAAGTATACAATTATGCATAGTTTGCACAGAATGGAGAGAAGAGGGACATTATGCTCCCCCTTGCATTACAAGAACAAGATTGGCTTTAAAAGGGGTTAAAACAAATTCATGGGTGACAAAACTACATGGCTATGTAATGTCTCTACTGACAGAGGCAATATACCTCTGAGTAGCAGTTGCTGGAGAAAAGGACTAGGGAGATTGAGGCCCTGCTTGTGGATTTCCTATAGGAATCAGGTTGGCCACTATGAAAACAGGATTAGGCATGCCAACTCCATGAGGAATCCCAAAGTAAGTAGAACAAAATTGGGGTGAAACACACCAGACGTGCATGGCTTCAAATGTATGTGATCACTCCATGTTTCTTTTCTTTGCAGTTGTTGGCATCTGTTTGTCTTGAGAAGTGGGTAGAGTGCACCCCCGCAGTGCGTTAGCTACTGCTAAAGTCACCTCCTTGGAGTGCAAGTCTGGGCAATGTGCATAGAGGCTGCCCAAATAACAAGACCCCTCTCTCGGCCTTGCTGATGTGGTCCAAAGGAAAGCAGAGCAATACATTTGGCACCAGTTTGGCTGCAGGAGTTGCTGGAAGGAGGTGTACAAGGCACCATCCAAACTGTCTTCGGATTTGCGTAGGGCTTACTCAGCCTTTTCTTCTTCTGAAGATATCCCACATGGCACAGATGTTTAGGATCAGAGTCTTCCTTTTCCTAGAGGGGCTACTTTCCCAGGTTGATGAGCCCCATCTGCCCCTCACTTCTCTCTGGAGCATGTGCAAAAAAATACCTTCTTGACTGCTGGACCCACTATTGGTCTGCTCACATGCAAGGGAAGCCCCTAACTCACTGAGGGTTTGAGACCCATCAACTACCCTCACCTGGTTTAAACAGCCAGTCGAAGCTGTTCCTGGAGTGTGGCCACTGGCAAAGCTGACAGCTTCTAGGAGCCACAAGTAAGAGATCAGTGCGGGGGGGGGGGCAAAGGTGGACAAACTACCCCAGAAGGAACATGACATGTCCCCATCAGAGGTACTACCCCTCCCCATACACCCCCACACCCCTCTTTCCAGTACAGAACATTTATTGTTTTATTTATGCTAATTTCCCGGGTCTTGTGTCACATGAAATATCAGTTGGCAGCTGCTCCATCTACTTCTCTCGCATGCCAAAGACAGAAACAAGCACCTGGGATAGCACCACCTTGTGGTGGTAATAGGGAACTAGGGAGATACATCTGATTGAAAAAGGGACCAGAATAAGAACTTGAGCCGTTTTACAAAGTGAAATTTGGGCAAGCAATTCCAGAAAACATTGGAAGTATAGTAGAAATGAAGGCATATTTGTTTTGGTTGGTTGGTTGGTTTTTTAAAAAACGCTTTCTGATCTAAAATCAGATCATATCAGGGCTCCAGTAATGTGCAACCCCAACCCCCAAACCAGTAAAAGTCAGTGGCTGCAATGCTACACCCATTTCCATGACAATAAATCCCATTGAACTGAATGCGACTTGCATCTGAATAGACATGTGTAGGAGGGTGCTGTAATAGGGCAATGCTAGGCACATCTACTCAGAAGTAAGTTCCCTTCTGCTCAGTGAGACTTGCTTTCAATGTATACCTGACTTCAGTCTTCCTCTAAGTGAGCTTTCAATTTTCCATGGGGCTTTTCACCCCTGAAAAATGGAACCTCATGAAAATTCAGCAAACCAGTAATTAGCTACTGTGACTTCTTCACACGTCTACATACCATATTTATATTTGTAAAATTGATTCCACCCGGAAGGAAAATGCTATATGCACAGCCTGTATGCAGTAGTGCAACACTGCACATTGTGTTGATGAAGTATTTCAAAGCCTTGTAAGGCAGGTAAAATTCTCCTCTGACAAGCAGCCCCTGCAAAGATATAAAAGGTGTTACTTATATTGAACTTTAATTGTTTTTGTCCGACTGCCCTGCGCATCCTCAGCCCCTGTAGGGTATGAGAGGGATCCCTTCCAAGGCCTAAGCCAAGGTTCCTACATCTGAAATTCAATAAAGGTGTGGCCTAATTTTAAACCCATACACTCTTGTCATGTCTCATTTTTGGGGGGTAGGCTCCAGGGACAGGGTTTAGCACGTGGGCTCGCAAAAAGTGTTACTTATATTGAACTTCAATTGTTTTCATTTGCAGAATTAGCTGTGTCTCTAGAGATTTCCTTGTTGCTGTTTGCACCTCTTAAAAGGTTAAAATTGGAGAGTGGGAGGGGGCACCTATATTGTGACCCCAATGTCCCTGCATGCACCAGGGGCACCTATTCCATCTCCAACCCTGCTACATTCAGTGAGAAAGCTGAAAGGGGATTGTAAGACCATTCAGCTGAACATGCCTGGTTCTAATTGTGAGGAAGCTTGCAAGGATAATCTGTCTGATCTACTTAACAAAGGAAGGTTGGAATAATAATAATAATAATAATAATAATAATAATAATAATAATAATTTATTAATACCCCGCCCATCTGGCTGGGTTTCCCCAGCCACTCTGGGCAGCTTCCAACAGAATATTAAAATACAATAGTCTATTAAACATTAAAAGCTTCCCTAAATGTATTCAGATGTCTTCTAAAAGTCTGGTAGTTGTTGTTCTCTTTGACATCTGGTGGGAGGGCATTCCACAGGGCAGGTGCCACTACCGAGAAGGCCCTCTGCCTGGTTCCCTGTAACTTGGCTTCTTGCAGAGAGGGAACCGCCAGAAGGCCCTCAGCGCTGGACCTCAGTGTCTGGGCAGAACGATGGGGGTGGAGACGCTCCTTCAGATATACTGGACCGAGGCCATTTGGAGCTTTAAAGGTCAGCAACAACACTTAGAATTGTGCTCGGAAACATGTGGATGGATGAATCTGACAATTACATTTCTCTCGGTTTCTCAATTTCCCACTCTTAAGTTCAGTTCTTCACACTTCCATGTTAGTTTGCAAATTTTTTATTAAAAAAGTCCACATGAAAATTGTCAATGTCCATTTCCCAGATAAACACTTTTTAAATATGTAATTCTGTCTAGCACATACAATTTTTTATAGCATTTCTCCCTTTATAATGCATTCCAGAAGCTATTTTAATTAATGTACACATTTATTTGCACATTTTACTTCAGATTAGGAATTTTTGAGAAATGAGCAATTGCGTGCCAAGGCACCTGAGCCACAAAGTGCCCAGGAGAACAATAAAGCACACTGACACAAAATATATAGGTTTATGGGTTCAAATAGGTCACAACTTAATTGGTTACGGATGTGAGTGGTTTGGCTTAGGGCCTGGGGTGAAACCAGGCTGTATCTTGACTCCTGCCCACCTGCAGGGAGTCCACTTAAGGGTAAACCATAATTAGGGGCACCGCGAGGGCAGGGGCATCGCAAGGTGGGTGCAGTGGGTGTGGTCCGCCCTGGGTGTCACCACTGAGGGGGGTTACAAACTGGCGTGCAGGGTCTCTGAGATGCGTGGCTCAGCACGCTGCAGGCCCCGCAGTGAGTGCCGCCCGCCAGTTTGTCACCCCCCTCAGTGGAGAAAGACTGGGAGAAACGCTGTGGCTTGGGTGCCTGCAGGCTCCACGCTGCCCCAAACTGTCCACCCGCCATTTCCCTCTCAGCTGTAGGGTGGCTGAGGGGGAGGAGGCAGGCAAACTTGGAGGCCCTGCGGAGTGTCCTGCCCCTGCTGCCCCCCCACGAGCCAACCCAGGCGTCCAATCGGCTTGCTCTGCTGCTGCCCAAGGGGTCCCTGTAAGGGCTGTGACATGGCTCTAGCCCACGCCTAGGCTTTGGACAGGATTCACACCCTGGATCCCTTTAACATGATAACCTTCCTGAGGGGGACAGGCGAAGGCTACAACCTCCCTTCCATCCAAACAAAGTCTCACCCAATGCCTAACCTCAGAAAAGCTGTGACGATTGCTACTAGGTGGGCGAAAACCAATTGGCTGGTGCCAACTTGCCAAGTGAAAAAATTCCTACCTAGCCCCAACAATATAGCAACCGACAATTGTCCATCGCAAGGTCATATCTGAGCATAGCATGAAAAGAGGGTGGGTGGGTCAGGTGATCCGGCGATGGGGCGAGAGAGAGGGTAACGGCTGGCTGTGTCGTGGTTAACTCGCCCGTGGCCACACTCATACTGAGAGCTGATTGGCTGGTGCTGTCCCATGAGGGCAGAACCCCAGCAACAACAATGCAGCTGGCATGATGTAGGTAAGAGGTGGCAACCTTCCACCCCCTAAGCGACTGTTGTGACCCGGCTGCCCGGCTGCAATGCCACCCACTGGGGAAAGGTGAGCAGACTTTTTGCAGGGATGCTGAATTTGTTTGTATATTGTTTTCGAAAGTGCGTATTTGGTACATTTGCTTATAAATGCAAGTTGTATTAAATTTCTCCTCCATCCCGTTCTGGGTGTGCAGCAGACACACCTGACACATGCACATCCCTCCCAAGAACTGATCTATTTAAACTTTAGTTTCTTTGTATTTCAGTTTACTTTCTTCGTTTCATTGACAGTGCAATCGACAGCTCGCTGAAATTACCGTATTTTTTGCTCTGTAAGACTCACTTTTTCCCTCCTAAAAAGTAAGGGGAAGTGTGTGTGCGTCTTATGGAGCGAATGCAGGCTGCGCAGCTATCACAGAAGCCAGAACAACAAGAGGGATTGCTGCTTTCACTGCGCAGCGATCCCTCTTGCTGTTCTGGCTTCTGAGATTCAGAATATTTTTTTTCTTGTTTTCCTCCTCCAAAAACTAGGTGCGTCTTGTGGTCTGGTGCGTCTTATAGAGCGAAAAATACGGTAATAGTAAAGGCAATTGATGTGATTGGTTCTCGAACACATTTTATTGTAGATGAAATTTTGCAGTGCATGAATTGCGTGTAAATCAAATTTACCTTTTATCTAGCATATTTCTAACTTGCCCTGCATTCAGAATTATCTCAGGGGAACACAACATTTCTGCAAAAATTGTAGTCTGTTATATTCTTCTATAGATACATGCAGTTTATAGAATCTTTCTTTTCTTGCACACAGTAACCTAGATGAGTAACTAGAAATATTTGTCACCGATTTATGGTAGAAGTGACTTTTAGGGTCCCATTAGCTTTGCATTTCTTGATTTCATTAGTCATGAAATAGTGACTGACCAGTACCTTGGATGAATATTCAGGAAGAAAGACACCAAGTTCGAAAGGAAGACTTGTTGCATACCTAAGAGAAATCACAGGAGCCAGGGCAAAGAATGTTTTGATTTTTTGAGACAGCTCTGGTATGGCTGAAAATGCTATGAGGCCTAAGGAGAAAGAGGGAGGGAGAAAAACACAGTGAGCATTTAGAATCATGTTAAGTGATTCTCCAGTTTACCAAAAGGGTATTCCCTGACCTGAAAGCAGAGATGCAGAGCCTGTGGCTGGCCTGATATTATTGACTGGGGCTGATGGAAGCTGGAGTCTGACAGCAATCTGGAGGGCTACAGATTCCCCATATGTATTCTAAATGATCACTGCAGCTGCTGGGAGGAAATTGAGGGATAGCAATAGATCTACCAAGGATGGAGAAACCCGGGTGCCACCTCTACCACTGCAACTTTCAAGCCACTTGCCAGGAAAGTGGCATGTGATTGTTCTGTTCTCGAAATAAGTTTCCCTCTTAATTATATGCTCATCAGGTGAATGAGCAGATGAACTCTGCCCCTTGAGCTACCAAAAACTACATAGTCGTAGCCGTTCTAGACTGCACTCAGATCCTGTAGGTCTTTCTTGATATAAGAACTGGCACCACTGTACTGCAATGGAAAGATAGTCTAAGGTAAATGGTGCAAGCACATTTTCTTGTTACCGAAAAGCCTTTAAATCAATCTCACTCTGAGAAATTGTGAACTCTAGGTGTACGTATGCAGCAGGGCCAGAGCTCTTATGGTAGATGATGGGGCACGTTTTAAGGTTCCGTCACCTAACTTCAGAACCACTTTCCTCCCCTCTTTTGAAGCTGATGGGTGGTGGAGACAAGAGGACTAGTTGAAGACAGGCCATTGGATGTATCTTACGTTCAGGCTGGTGATTTCTGTCCCCTATCTATATCTACCATCTATCTATCATCTATCTATCTATCTATCTATCTATCTATCTATCTATCTATCTATCATCTATCTATTTTCATCATCATTTATTTAAATATCCTGCCCTTTTCTCTGATGGGACTCAATGTGGCTTGACACCATACAACTTTCTCTATCCAAACAGCTGTCTTCCCACTTTTCCTGAAAAGCCCTATGTACTCCATAGTGGAGTCAAGCAAGGCCACAAAGGGAATGCAGACACAACAATGCCAGGGTTGGTGCAAGACTGACTCCCAACAAAGAAAAAGGGGATGAGCAGCATATAGTGGAACAGCTGCCTCTAGAATCCAAAACAGCAGAACACAGGACAAAGTGAGCAACAGAGAGAGGGGGGAGAGAAGAGAGAAAGGGAGAAAGAGATGGGATTGTTCAATTTTAACATACCAATGCTAGCACCTTCAGAGTAGCCTACATAATACAGTTGCTTCTGCCCAGTTTTCTTCAAAATAAAGTTGATCACTGCTGGAAGGTCATACATGCCCATTTCATGGAAACTGAAATAGTAATTGGGAAATAAGATTGGGCTTTTAAAATTTTATTGCAAAATTTGTGACTCCTATGAGCTCACAAATATTTCACCTTTGGGCCGGTCCACTCATGAAGTGAGGTGAAGCAGCTGCCTCAGGTGGTGGAAGCCCCTGAGGCAGCAGCCTTGCAAGTACCCCTCACACCTTGCCACCTCCACCACTGGTGGAGAAGTGGTGTCAGCATTGGCCACTCATTTATGGTGAGATCTCATGGAGCATGAGAGATCAGGTGAGATTTCAGTGAGATCTGGCGAGATTGCACCATAAACCAGTGCCAATGCCGCTTCTCCTCCAGTGGCGAAGAGTGTGTGGAGGGTGGGCAGAGGTGGTGCCAGTGGAAGTGGGATCATGGTGGTGGTGCCAATGGAAGTGGGTACATAGTGGGGCACCACTTCCCGTTTCAAGTGGTGAAATGGGATGCACCACCCCTGTTTTCTCTAGAGTTGCCTTCTGGGAAGTTTTGTTTGAAATGTGTGCGTGGAATGAGATGATGGAGCCACCATCTCTACTCTCCACTTTAATTTTTTTAGCTATGGGTTCCAGCAACAGAACATCACTAAAAATCACACACACCCCACACACAAGAAAAGAGTTTCCTTCATACCTGAAACTCATGAAGGGGAATCACACATAGAAAAAGCCTGTAAAGTGTGAAGATCCCCAGTGACTGCCAGTCAGTGTAGACAATACTCAGGTAAATGAACCATGTTTGCTTGAACCATGCCATCAGAATAAATACATTCCAACAACGTAATCTGTACCGGAAGCCCGTTCAGCTTCCAAAATTTTCGACAACCGAGGCACGGCTTCTGATTGACTGCAGGAGCTTCTTGCACTCAAGCAGAAGCCGCGTCAGATGTTTGGCTTATGAAAAAGTTCAAAAACCAGAACACTTACTTTCAGGTTTTCGGTGTTCAGGAGCCAAAATGTTCCAAAACAGAGGTGTTTGGGAACCGAGATTTGACTATGCTTGGAAATTTCATTAATATTACCTACCTTCTTAATTGGGATGTGGGTAGCGCTGTGGTCTAAAGCACAGAGCCTAGGGCTTGCTGATCAGAAGGCCGGCAGTTCAAATCCCCGTGATGGGGTGAGCTCCCATTGCTCTGTCCCAGCTCTTGCCAACCTAGCAGTTCAAAAGCACATCAAAGTGCAAGTAGATAACTAGGTAAATGGTGTTTCCGTGCACTGCTCTGGTTCGCCAGAAGTAGCTTAGTCATGCTGACCTCATGACCCGGAAGCTGTCTGCTGACAAACGCCAGCTCCCTTGGCCTATAGAACAGGACGAGTGCGCAACCCCAGAGTCAACTGGACCTAACAGTCAGGGGTACCTTTACCTTTTTACCTTCATAATTTGGTACTGTATCACAGCTGATTGGCTAACAACCTATGTCCCAACAGTGATGAATAGGTCAGCATAGTTGAAGTGTGAGATAACATTGTCAGTGGCTGTAAAGCTGTTTCTTTTTTGTTCAAACTACCTGAAATCCCAAAATTCATCTTGGTCAGTTGACAAATTCTGGTGTCTCTGAGACCAGCTTGACCCTCTGCTGTTTCCCAGCCAAACATCATAGCCAGCATCCGCTAATATGAATCCAAAGCTGTTGTTGGCCAAATTTTCAACCCAGTAGCTAGCTTCTGAAAGCAATCCATGTTGCAACAACACAACAGCCTTGGAACCTGTTTTGAAAACAAAGTCTTTGTTTTAACAAAGCAGACGAGAATTTCTGTGCCCTGGTAATAAAGATGTTTTTGCTGAATCTCCCATATTCCTAAAACATTCTTTATATTACGGTACATTACATCCATAAGTTGGTTGGGCTGTGGCCTCATCCAATGGCATGGAATTGAGCCTTGATTGTAGAGGAGGCTTGTTAGCAAAGCGCTATTCAAGCATTCAAAATATTTGTGAGGGATTAAACTGGGAATGGGAGACAGGCAGGCACCCACCAGCTGTGCTCCCAAAGCCCCAGCCAACACTGGACATGTCTGCCCTCTAACTGTCTTTCCTGGAAAGTCTCATGGGAGCTTGGAAGCATGCCCTGCTCAATGTGCTTCCATGTGCATCCATGAGGATGCCTCCATGTGGTCCTGGAAAGTCAGGGTTCTCACTTATGGGGAGGACTATATGGTAAGTATGTTCAGCTGATAGACTATGGATTTTGTTGTTGTTGTTGCTGCTGTTGTTAAACACACATAACAAGATACCTCCCACTGGAAGATTTTTTTGCCCAAAGGGTATTCTGTTAATTGTCAAATAATAGCCATCATCCGTTAACACTTCGTACTCTTCGCTGGGGTATCCATTGTAGGAAATCACCTCACTCTGAAAAGAAAAAAAATAAAATAAAATGCTGAGAGCTTTTGATTCGGAATGGTTTAATCTATCTGCCAGGGAGGAGACATTTAAGCAGTATGTGAACAGTGTCATTATATGGTTTAGTCACCAGATGGCACAGGAGATGGTTGAGTTTCTTCTGTCTGTTCTCTTCTTGTTTAAGAGCTACAGATATCTTCATACACTACATTCAACAAGTGTACCATCTGTGCACTTTTGTACACAAATTGTTGAGTTGTACATAGTGATATTCACATGTAAATTTCATCAAAGGTGTGCCTTTGTTTACAGCAGTTGAGCTGTGCAACTGATGTTGAATCCTCAGAGACAGATGTGGGTTGATGCTGCTAATTTTGGTTTACTGTCAGATTTAGACTCAGGTCTTAGCGACACTTCTTCTTGTCCCACCACTTCTCCCTATGGAAAACAGCTCTTTAGCATTCAATAAGAGCGGACGGCAATTCGGATTTTATCCAGATTGACGTTTGCTCCAATTTAGGGCTAAAGAGTTGTTTTTCCATGGGAAAGGAGCGAGGCAAGGGGAAAATCCATTGGACCAATTCCTAGAAGGTTAGGGCCAAGCAGAAAACCACTCAGACCCATGTTTTCAAGGCACAGGACAAGCAGAAGTGTGGATGAGCCCTCAGGCATGACCCCAGAGGCAGGTAGTGCTTCGCTGGCAGGAGGCAGCGCTGAGATCAAGTCAGACAGCTCTTCTTTGGCATTTGGGATGTCTTGGCAGGACAGAGGCTCGGGCCTTCCCTCATTCCAGGCCTCACAGGAGTGGCGTAGCAAGGACAGGTGGTACCCGGTGTGGAAAATTATTTGTCACCCCCCACACACACAAAGGACTTCCTCCCAAATTCTGGATTCCTTCAAGCCTGCTGACATCTCCCTCTTTATGCATGGATGGTACTGTTTTAGCTACAATAAGAATCACCACTCGGTTAATAAGCATAGAACAGGGGTGGCCAACTCTCAAGAAACTGTGATCTACTCATAGTTATCATTTATATCCTAGCCATTCTGGGCAGCTTCCAACAAAATATTAAAATACAATAGTCTGTTAAACATTAAAAGCTTCCCTAAACAGGGCTGCCTTCAGATGTCTGCTAAAAGTCCGGTAGTTGTTTTTCTCTTTGACATCTGGTGGGAGGGCATTCCACAGGGTGGGTGCCACCACCAAGAAGGCCCTCTGCCTGGACCTCAGTGTCCAGGCAGAACGATGGGGGTGGAGATGTTCCTTCAGGTATACTGGACCGAGACCATTTAGGGCTTTAAAGGACAGCACCTTTAAAGGTGCTTCAGAGGAAGTAGCCATAAAATCAGTGGACCATGCTTATTTGTCTTACATTTTCTGCTATTTTTATTCAGGTTTGACAGAATATAAATACACTGTATAAATACATAAGCCAGGGCATATGAACTATATAAGTCTTGGTAAAAATATGGGTGGTACGGTATGTGGTCTAAACCACTGAGCCCAGGGCTTGCCGATCGGAAGGTCGGCGGTTCGAATCCCCACAACGGGGTGAGCTCCCAAAAAGTGCCAAAAAGTGCAAGTAGATCAACAGGTACCGCTCCAGCGGGAAGGTAAATGGCGCTTCCATGTGCTGCTCTGGTGTTGGTGTTCCATTGTGCCAGAACCAGCTTTGTCATGCTGGCCACATGACCTGGAAAAACTGTTTGCGGAGCGGACAAACGCCGGCTCCCTTGGCCTGTAAAGCAAGATGAGCGCCGAAACCCCAGAGTCATTCACAACTGGACTTAACTGTCAGGGGTCCCTTTACCTTTACCTTTACCTGTACTACTTTAAACATGCAGTTTATGTACTTATGCATGTGTGTTTACCTTGTGCAATTATCAACATTTATTATGTATTTGAGACCCTAGAATTTCTGTAACAATATGAAACACACAAAATATCTCATGAGGGGCAAGGTGAATTGTCAGAGCAAACACACCACAACTAAAAGCAGAAGCTGGAAATACCGTATGGGAAGCCTCCAACTTGGGGACATTCTTCTCACATTGTATTATGTGTATGCATCCCTTTTTTTTTCTGGCTTGGGAAAAACACTGATGATGCAGTCCAAGTAACAGTATGCAGCTTTCTGTCTCTGATGAAGCTCCTGCGTTTTTAAAGAACTTTATGACTAGCTGAAATTCAGCAAATGGCACTTTTCTCTACCTTGCATCTTCATGCTGGTATGTAGACAACGCTGATCAAGTGGTGCCATTTTTGTTCAACAGAGTGTTTTCTCTCTACTATGACCTAATGCTGTGTGCTATTGAATTTTCCAAAATACATCCATGCTTCCCTTGGGCAGAGGTAAGGTGTAGGAGTTGATGACTAACAAGGGTATTATAGATCAGAATTGATTCACCTTATTTGGTTAAAACAAAGGAACAACATTGTGTCAGCAGTGCAAATATCCTCTCATCAAATGACGCAATATAATTTGATTAGTCAAATAAATAACCAGCTATGTGCAGACATATAGGTCACCTACTTGCAAATTAGATTACTCTCCTTACTTACAGGCAGCACATTGATTAGTTCCTTTTCCTTTCCTTTTCCGTATCTTCTATCCTTCCTGGCTATTAAGGCAGAACTTCTAATTTTTAGAAGTTTAACACTTGTAAAGGTAAAGGTAAAGGACCCTTGACAGTTAAGTCCAGTCGCGAACGACTTCCGGGTCATGTGGCCAGCATGACTAAGCCGCTTCTGGCGAAACCAGAGCAGCGCACAGAAATGCCGTTTACCTTCCCACTGAAGCAGTACCTATTTATCTACTTACAGTCTGAGGTGCTTTCGAACTGCTAGGTTGGGACCGAGCAACGGGAGCTCACCCCGTCGCGGGGATTCGAACCGTCAAACTTTTGATCGGTAAGCTCAAGGCTCAGTGGCTTAGACCACAACGCCACCCGCAACCCAAAAACCATTTTGGCTCTCCTAAAGACTCTAAATATTTCCTCTGCCTCCTTAATCCCCCTTGCCTGAGAACAGGTAGGCAGAGAGCAATCAGGGGAAGTTATTGAAGGGATTCCTCTCCTATATCTATGAACCTCCTTTGTATGTATTGTCATTGTTTGCCCAGATGCTCTGCATTGAGTGGCATGGGCATAGCCAGGATTTATGTTGGGGGGTCAGAACTGAGTTGTCTGCAATGCAATTGGTTGGTTTGTTAAGTATTTTTATTTATTTACTTGATTGCAGGGGGCAGCTACACCCCCTGGCTACACCCATGGTGAGTGGGGAGAAAATCCTTTGTATCCTTGCAGGATGCTGGTGCAAGTCAGGCGGAAGGTTTCCTCCCCACAGCAGAGAGTTGGAATTTGGGGTGGGAGGGGGCACGCCCCCTAACATAAAGGCTAGCCCCCCCAATAAAGCCTGGCTACGCCCATGGAAGGGGGGGAGTGTCTCTGAGTGCAAAGATAAGGAGGGGAGGGGTGAAAAGCTGTGCAATCTTCATCCATCATAGAACAGGGAAAGAAGGGAGGATGGAAAGGATGGGGGGGGGTGACAGAATGAAAGGAAAGCAGGAAGAGTCTTCCCCCCACCCCATCCTACCTTCTCACTCACAAGGAGCTGCAGTGAGAGCTGCTCTGCCTGAAGCCCATACAGTCAAATGACTGGCAGTTTAGTGATACCTGGATGTTGTAACCAGTGGAGGAGGAAGGGGGGGGCAGCGTCGTAGAGAAGCACCTTTGCAAAAATAAAAATAAAAAATCCTGGGGCCCCGATCCTGTCTTCCCTTGCTTTTCTGCTCCCTGATCTCCAGGGAGGTAAGATTTTTTTGGGGGGGAGGCCTCTCCAAGCGGGGAGATCTCCGTGGGTCTCCATGTGCCAGAGGTAACCAGGGAGCTCTGCGAAGTTGGCCAGGAAGTTGGTGGCGAGGAGGAGGAGTTCTGAAGAAGAGGGGACTGAGTGACTGGAAAGCTGCCTGCTTCTGAGACTGGAAGCTATTCTCCTTTTCAGTGCCTGCTTTGGAGAAGAGAGGTCCTTCACAGAACATGATTTCCCTAAACCCTTCTGTTCAGTTTGAGCTGACGTCACAGTTGTTCTCTCTGCATCTGCTTTCGTTCTCTTTTCTTCCCCTTCTCCTTCCTTTCGTTCAAAAAAACTTTCTCACAGACCAAACGCTGGCATTTTGCTGGTCTCCCACCCCTGCCTTATTCCTTGATTGGAGGGACGGAGGAAATTTTATGTCACATCATTTGATGAATTGAGCAAGAACAGGAAGAGCTGTTTGACATTGGAACGGTAGCTGGGGGGGGGGGGGGGAACATGCTTGCCGCGGCTAGAGAAGGAAAGGCAAAGCCAGGTGGGGACAGAGGCTGAGGAGGGATCAAGCGCTTGGAGAGGAAAGGGAGCCAGGAGAGAGAGAGAGAGGCAGGCGGGCAGGAGGGACACGGCTGGCAAGGTGGTTGCCTGCGAGAGGAGTGCTTCCCAAGTGAGGGTGGTGCATGGACAGGCAGGGAGAGCAGGGCCTGGCCAACTGCGCATGCACCTGGCCACAGAGGTGGGAAGGGGACGCATCAGCATCACGATGAAACTCAACCCCACTCGGTTCCACTATACAGGTAGCATCGAGTTCAGCCGGCATTTTGTCACACCCCCCCTCATGACGGCACCCGGTGCAATCTGCCCCCCCCCCCCACCCCTTCCTCCGCCACTGCTCACAGGCCACTGGCCCAGGATCAAACTCTCTCCCCCCCCCCCCCCGTTATCCCTCCCTCCTCCCTCCTGGCCAGCCCTGTCAAGAAGTCTCCACAAGGCTCATGATACTAGGAAGGAAATCGGAAGCAGTGTTGGTACTCTCTGCCTCCTGTTTTCCAGGCTCATTGGTATCACTTCAAGGAATAGTTTTGCATTTCCCCTTAGCTTGTTCCGCATTCCCCAATGGCTTGTATGTCATCACTCTCAATTGCATCTCCCCACCCCATGATGTTCTAGACCTGGGATTGCCAACACGGTGCCCTGTGGATGTTGTTGGACTAGAACTCCCATTAAGCCCTGACCATTGGTCCTGCGGGCTGAGGTTCATGGGAATTGGAGTCCCATAACAGTTGCTTGAGGGGACCTTCTTGGCTACCCCTGTTCTAGACTGGGGAAGGAAAGACAGAAGGAACAAACGCTGCTCTTCTGCATTTCAGGCCCATCTCAGGCCTGCCTCTAATAAGATTAATAAAAGATTACGTAGCTTACGACATTCATGTGAACTTCAGGATTTGCAACTCTTCCTCTCCTACTCAGGTCTTCTAGGATACCAAATAGGCAAGCAAGTGCAAGAAACCACAACTTCTTTCCATAAATCTATTTTATAAATGGGGTGGAAGAGGAGACAACAAAGTAAGGGGGGAGGATCTTACATCAATCAATTATGTTAGCAAAATATATACACTTTATTCATATATTCCAAAATGTATAAACTGCTCTACATTCAAAGAAGACCTGTGTAGCATACAAAAATACACTATATAGATGGTCATTTTAAACCTAGTACAAATCATGAAACAACCTTAAAAACATGATGCCAAAGCTGCAAAAACCAAGGAGGCTAATTTGGGAAGAAAAGTTTTCAACCAACATCAAAATATAGAACTTGCTTCATTTCTAGGGCAGGAAATTCCAAGGAACTGGAGTGGCAGTGCTTAAGAACACATACTCAAGTCACAACATGCTCTGTGAACAGGTGCATGTGTCACCATGAACAAATCTTCATCCACAGATCTCAGCGACTGAGGTAGGCTGCCCTGGGAGAGACGGCTTCTCAGACCTCTTAGTCCATAAATGTCTATAAGTTTTTACAAAAATAGTCAAACCTTGAATCTAGCTAAGTAGCAAACTGGCAGCCAGTGCAATACTTTCAAGTAAAGGTTTTCCTAAATAACTTTTTTTTGTACTAGTCGCAGCCGCACATAAAGCACGTTACAGAAATCATGGTTAGAAGTTATTCTGTGGCTCACTGTTGGCAAGCTCTCTCTATCAAGGAACAGTAGCAGCTGGCATTTCAGTCAAAAATGGGAAAGGGACTCCTAGACAGACCAGTGGGTCATTTGCACATGCACCAATAGTACCTGACCATTGGTTGGGAGTGATGGAAACTGGAGTCCAACAACATCATAACATCTGGATGGTCACAGCTTCCACACTCCTGCTTTAAAGCATCTTCTTTAAAAAAGTTGCTAGCTACACCATACCTTGTTTGACCGCTGTTGCCTTTTAAACTCTGACCCCAATAAGCCCACTTGCTGTTCCCACTTTCCATTTAAGTCTGTCTCCTTTGAGAGCACTAAGGAAGGGCCAACATCAAACTACTTAGACATTTATAGGAGATGCTGACTGTTTCCCTAACTGTCAAAGCTATGAACATCTTTGATGAGAGCCAAACATATTAAGAACTAAAGATTTGCCAGAAATAGAATAAGTGACCATATTACCATTCTGAGTCCTCTTGCTGTGCTTTGACAGGAGCAGGATTTTCAAATAGTGCTTCCTTATAAAGCACCAACTTTAGTAACCACTAGCAATACGCCTTCTTCATGTTGCACAAGAAGGGATTTGTTTATCTGCTAGCCAGTTCTTCAGCATCCATTCTCAGCCTCCGCAACATGGCAGTAATGCTGTGGCAACTATTTTAGCTATTAGACATCTTCAGGGAAAACAATGGCTCAATGTTCTTAGTAGAGAATTACATACCTCTTAACTCCCGATTCATACACACCTCAGAAATTCCACTAATGAGGTCACATGGGCGGCAAGTGGATCCCCATGGTTTCTTTTGATATTTATTTGTAACATTGTGACATTTAAAAATGTTGTTATTTGGTCGTCAGTAGTCACTGCCACGTAAAGGTCATGGCCTCTTCTCAGCTGGTAGGGGAAGGCCACGGTTGAGGTCCAACACAGATTCCCGTGGTGGGCACAGATCCAGCATGGGCGTGGTCATGGAAGGCTGGCCATTTTGCAGCCATAGCGGGTGACCTTGTAGACATGGCTTGGGGGGTGGACTGGAAAGAAGACTGAGGGTGGAGGTTGTTCCTCTGGTCCACTCCTGGGCATAAAAGCCAGCTGCACGCAGGCCCCAACCTGGACTCTGATGAAGACAGGCGTTGCTGGAGGCTCTTGAAAAAGCTGAAAAGCTTTGAAGATCCTGGGCCATGGAAGCAGATGAAACAGAGATTTAAAGGGCCTCTGAAATGGCCAAAGAGGTTTTTCTTTGGCATCGGCAGCAGCAGCAGCAGCAGGCTGGGAGAGCTACTGAAGAGCAGCAGCGGCAGGTCATGGTGGCAAGCAGAGACCAGGCACTGGAGTGAGGGCTGCAGACATGGGTTCTACCCTTCTTCCCTCCTTTTTGGGGGGGCCTGTGCTGAACCTTTTATTTGTCCTAGCTAGAGGCCTTTCTGTATCAGGCTTATGCTATACCCAGTTCTAAACCTCTTCCGCATATATTGCTTCACCAAATCACACGGCTTTAATTTCAACAGCACCCAAATCCAGCTTTACCTCTTGCACTCTGATTAATTTTTTAAAAAACTGTTTTATTATGCTTCTAATTATTTTCTGGTGTAGCTTAATTAAGGATTATTTAATGCCCTAATGGGTTTGCTATTCTATGTGCACATGCCAGGGTTCTGATTTGGATCAGAGAGAATAAACCTGAGCCAGAAAAAGATTTTACTGCCAGTCACAAATATCCCATTTGGGTGCAAGGTTCTTGTGGCAGTGATGGTTGTGTAGCATAAGCTGCACTTTCATGAAACAGACTATCTAGACTCATGGTTCCCAACATGGGGCACACGCCCCACAGAGGGGCAATTTGATTTTTAAGGGGCGAGTTGGAGAATGAGTTATTAGCAGTTAATGGCCCTTTAGGCTTCCTCCACATGAATAGGAGTTCACTTTTTGAATAATAAGAATTGTAGGTCATGGGGGAGGGGAGGGATCAGGATTTTAGAGATGCTTAGGTGGGGCATGGCCAAAAAAAGCTTGGGACCCACTGATCTGAATGCATTTCCATTTGACTTCAGAATGGATTTTGGTGCCAAAGCAGCTTTGGTCACCCGGATCAAAGACCTGTATTGGGAGGACGGGGAAGTGTAATCCTTAATCCCTTAAAGGCTTTTGATACAGTGGTGCCTCGGGTTAAGAATTTAATTCATTCCGGAGGTCCGTTCTAAACCTGAAGCACCACTTTAACTAATGGGGCCTCGCGCTGCTGTTCTCATCCTGAAGCAAAGTTCTTAACCTGAGGTACTATTTCTGAGTTAGCGGAATCTGTAACCTGAAGCTTCTGTAACCTGAAGTGCCTGTAACCCGAGGTACCACTGTACTATTGGTTATAGTATGCTCCTGGACCAGTTCTGCAAGGTGGGAGTGGGACACACTCAAGTGCTGCAATGCTTCCACACCTACCTGAAGGACTGGTTCCAGAAAAAAGCAGTGGGAGTCTTGTGTTTGTTGAATGGTTTCTTTAAATGTAAAGGTTCATCATTGTTCCACCCGATGTGTATGTCTTTAAGGGGCCAGAGCAAGGGCCAGAGCAAGATAACAAGACCCAGTCTTGCAGCTGTGAAACATAGCAGGTGCTGCTGAGTTGTATTGATTAAGCTGTGTCAGCAATTGGATATAGTATATAAGGAGCAGCACCTAGCTCACCCATTACCCTGGGGGATGGGTTGGTGGTTGGGTCTGGTTTGTTGATGTATTTAGTGTAAAAGGAGTTTTTGTTTTTGTAATTAAAACCTTGTTTAAGTACTTTTTGATGCATGGTCTCCCCAGCAAGCTCTCTGCAGCGCTACCATGCTGCAAATAGCCAACATCTTTGGTTATGGGCCCAGCTGCTGAGTGGATGACTGCATGTTTTTGGACTCTGAGAAAGGTTTGAAAACTCCTTCTCCTGTTGGCGTAGTTCTGTGGGTCTGGAAGAGTTCCAGAATGGTTGATCGGGTTACAGAAGCTGAGAAGGCTCTGGTCTTCCCACAGCTGACAGATGAGAACTATAGTTTATGGTCTTTTCGTGTGGAGGCACTTTTGACCTCTAGAGAAGTATGGACCTATGTAACTGATGACCCTCCTAACCCTGTGACTAATGCTTGGTCGAAAGGAGATGCAAAAGCCAGGGCAATAATTAATTTGGCAGTCAGCGACCAGCAAGTAGCCTATATAAGAAATAAGAAAACTGCCAAAGAAATGTGAGACAGTCTTGCAGCAGTGCATGTTAGAAAAGAGTCAGCTTCTGCATTGACGTTTTTCAAGCAGTTGTACCAGATGAAGTTGCAGCCTGGTGGTGATTTGGCAGCACACTTGAGACGTCTGGAGGCAATACGCAGCGAATTAATTCGAAGGGATATGGACATACCTGATATTCAGTATGTTTTTATCATTCTTTGTTCCCTTAATGAGGACTTTGATGGTATAGCTAGCCAGATATCTGCCGTTCCACCAGCACAATTAACTGTGGAAGGGGTAACGGCCAGATGAATGGGAGAGTTGGATAGAAGGGAGGCTTGTGCCATAAGCACTCCTATTTCCAGAAATAATGAGGAACGCCATATGCAAACTCGTGGTGATACAACTGCATTTAAAGCTGCCAAGCGTTGTTGGTTCTGCAATAAGCAAGGACATTTTGCAAAGGACTGCAGAGCCAAAAGAAAGCAAAGTACTCCCAAGTCTGTTTCTGTTCGTCAGTCACGGTCGTCAGCCCAGCAGCTGACATCGTATCGTAAAGACAGAAACCAGCCGCGAGCTTTTCACGCTCGGACAACAGATCGTAAAAGACTTAAAGGCGCCAAGTGGAATTCTTTTATTGTGGACTCAGGAGCATCTCAGCATATTTGCAACGATCGAAGTTTGTTTATTTCTTTCGAAGAGGAAATTGGTAATGTACATTTAGCCAATTCACAAGTCTTGCAGTCACTTGGCAGGGGTACTGTTAAACTTGACTCTTTAAACATTACTATAGCGAACTGCATTTACTGCCCGTCAGTGGACAATTTATTGTCAGTAAGGTGTTTTGCTCGTCAAGGCATAACTGTGCATTTCTTAAAGTCAATGTGTAAGTTTTTCGATGGGACCAAACGTCTATTGTATGCCCGGGACTCTGATGGTTTATATAGACTGTATTTTCGCACCTACTCCCAATCACCTATAAATTGCAGACCAGCAGTCAAGGTCTGCAAAAACTTGCAGATACCATTCCACATCACGAGTGGACTGAACGCACGCACATAATTCACTCTCTGTTGTGGAGAGACAAATAATGGTTTGTGTCTGGGACTTCCATTCAAATGGACAACCATTATAACAGAACACCATACCAGACACACCCCTGCAATTATTTTGTTCCACTGCATGAGATGCATCGCAGAAAATTTCAAAACCTCTGTCAATACTTGATGTAAACTGCAACCTATAATGTTTGGTATGTTTAAGGTACATTACCACTCTCTTAAGAGCAGAGAAACATTGTGTAGTGGGCTTTTCCACAAATTTTGCCAGAAAGTGAAAAGCATAAGTTATATCTGGTCTTGAGATTCTTTGAATGAAATTTAGCTTGCCTATAGCAGAACGATACAAAGTTTTGTTAGGAAATGGCTTATCTTCACCTGTAAAGGTGAAACCACACACCACAGGTGTTTCCTTTCCATTTGCATTTTCTAAACATAGCATTTCTACTAGATCATCAATTTTTGCAGTTTGATGAACTAGAAAAGATCCATTTTTGCCTTTCTCAATTTGCATGGATAAGTAATTTTTAGCTATGCCTAATTCTACCACATCAAATTTCTTCTGTAACTGTGTTACTACCTGTTCATATTCCTGTTTAGTTTTTGTAGAAATTAACACATCATCTACATACGCACATATTTTTACTACAGAGTTTGCCCTTTCCTTTATAAACACACAATGGTCTGCCCTTCCTTGTGAAAAACCAATATCCAGCAATTCTTTTGCTAAAGTTTGGTGCCAATTCCTTCCACTTTGGTGCAAACCATAAAGGGATTTATTTAATTTGCATACCAAACCTTCAGCGGCGTCTATGCCTTCAGGAACACGCATAAAAATTTGGTCTTTTAAATCTGCAAACAAATCTGCAGTTTTTATATCTAAATGATAAATAGAATGTCCACGTTGTGATGCATCTTTTAACAAAAGCTTAACTGTTTCATATTTTACACTTGGTGAATAGCACAAATCATAATCTTTGCCTGGAATTTGTTGAAAACGCCTAGCAACTAATCTTGCTTTGTACCTTACAACTTCATTTTTGTCATTCATTTTAACTCTATAAACCCATTTTGAATCAATAAGTCTCATATCTGGGGTTTGTGGTACAAGAGACCAAGTGTTATGCTCTTTTAAAGAAGCTATCTCAGAGTTCATAGCTTTATACCAATTTACAGCTTGGTGCTTAGGTAAATTCTGAACATCATTGTAGCTTTTTGGCTCAAAAACCACCTTATTGGCATACACAGTATTAAAATGTTCATCTGCAAAACGTTGCGGCTTCTGTCTCTTTCTATCTGAACGTCTCAGTCCGGAAGGAGAGTCAGACTCCTCAGACTTAATGGGACTAAGTGAACCACTAGTTTCAGGTTGTAAATCATCATTGTCAGGCTGAAGAGATGCCTGTGGGCTAAGTTCATGGTCAGAAAACTCAAGAGAATCTAACCTCCCCTCGGGTGCCTGTGACTTTAAATCTTCAAACAAATTATCAGATTCAACAGGCTTTTTGTTGTCTTCCATTAATTCAGAAGCACCATTTCCTGCTGCTTCTGCTTCTTCCTCTTCTTCCTCAGTATCATCTATACCGTTAGTATCTTGGAAAACAGCAACACCATTCCAATTTACAGTTTGTATCATGCTTCTGGTAATATGAAATTTGCCAGTTGCTGGTATATAAATTCTATACGCCCCCTGCTGGTAGCCCATTACTTTTCCCTGAACACTACGCTCACCCAATTTCTGCTTAGCGGGATAATGCATAATTACATCTGAACCCCAAATGCGTAGGTATTTCAGATTAGGGCGTTTTTTAAACAGCTTCTCATAGGGGGTGACTTCTAAACCAGAATGATAACTGCGATTTCTAACATAACAAAACACATTAAGCGCTTCAGCCCAAAAGTCTTTGGGCAGATTAGCATCGTGCAGATAAGTTTTAACCCCTGCCTGCAAGTCACGCTGCACAACTTCAACAAGCCCATTTTGCCAGGGACTTCGGGGGCAAGATAACTCATGAGTAGTCCCCTGCGCTTCCAGGAAATTCTCAAAATCCTCAGAAACAAATTCCCCGCCCCGGTCAGAAAACAGGTTCTTAATAGGTTTGTTAAAGTGCATTTTTACCCAGTTGCAAAAAACTTTGTACTTCTCAAATGCTTGGGACTTCTCAGCTATTGCATAAGTCCAACAATATCTACTATACTGGTCTATGAGAGTAAGCCAGTACTTAGAACCTCCTAATGATGGTGGGAGTGGCCCCACTAAATCACAATGTAGACGCTCAAATGGCTCAGTTACTTTCCTATCTGAGAACCTACCTTTTAATGCATGGTCTCCCCAGCAAGCTCTCTGCAGCGCTACCATACTGCAAATAGCCAACAGTGTTTGGCCGCATGGTGGTTATGCTGTGATGTACCTTAGGTTTCCCATGCTTTATAATATATCTACAAAGCTATTGCTAAGTTGAAATCTGGGGTTACAGGGTATTGTGTCATCAATACACAGATGAAACCCAACCCTATTTCTCTATGTTACTGGAAGTTGGTCAAGTTGTGCAAATGTTGGAGTGATTTCTAGGGTTGCAATGCATTGGATGATGGCTTAATCAGAATCTTGACAAGACATACTTTATGATTGCATAACCACGTCAGATGCAACTTATTCCAATCTAAAGGAGGCTTCACTATCCCTTATCACACATGGTGGGGCAGAGCCACCCTCCCAACCAGCTGCTTTCTTGGACCAGGCTGGGGTGAGGTAGCAGTGAGGTTTGGGCCCAAGCACCAGCCTAGTATAAGTAAGCAGCAGTGATATCAGTATTAGCTGGGTGGTTCCACAGTTCAGCTCCACCACATGCAACACCACTACTGATCACTTCTGTGCATTACCCCCTTTGTAAGAGGAATTTATTTTATTTTCTCAGGAAGGAGGAGGAGAGATTCATAGGGACAGGAGGGGAATCAAAATTTGTGACCTATTTTTGATAATGCAGTAGGGGAGGGAAAGTATGTTTTATGAGCAATCCTTGCAAAAACTATATTTTTAATTAAAACAAACAAACTCCTGCAATCTTGCTAAGCACTTGCAAGGAATGTTTGCAATACCCAGCTGAGTTTTGGGGTGGGGAGGCAGGATGGTGCTTAACCATTAATACTCTCCTATACACCTCTTTCTGCATCTTCTTATAAATTGCACCAAAGAGAATGTCTCATTATGGAAATATGGCAAGCAACTGGATTTCATTCATCATTACCCCAATCATAAGTTACCATATTTGAGTTGAGGGCAGTTCCATGTTGAAGCAATGGAGGAACCACACTTCTAGTCCCACTCCAGCATCACATCTCCTTACCCAACATCAATGCATCTTTCTTAAGAAGTATTTCCTGAGTTTTCAAAACAATGTGCGAACAAGATAAACAATGAAGAAACATAGAATAAGAATTGTGTGGAGCACGTTATTGCAATTAGGATGAAATAGACAACAGTACACTGTTGCAGATATCACGATGAAATAGATCCTGCAAAGGGACACTTTATAAATAAGAGTCACATAACAATAAGTTAGCTTCGCCGCATAGAGGACACTGAGGACATATGCAGTGTATAAAGCATATAAATGGAGACCATACAACATCTAAATGGTCTTGTTTCCTAACCCCTCTTAGAGCAGAGCAACAAATACCAAAAACTGTCCCTAGCAGTTGCAGTGCTCTGTGGGAGTCCTCATAAGGGAGCTGGTCCTGGAGGAAGAACTGTGAGGGGAGAGACTTCATCAGGCAAGGCCTCCTTCCACCTGCCTTCGTCCACCCTCTAGTCTCTGCTTCTCAATTTGTATTGTATTATTTTATGTACTGTGGCTTGCTGTTTTAGTGATTATAGTTTAGAAATTATTTATTGTAACTGTTGAGTGGATTTCTGTTTAACTTTTATATGTTGATAATATTCTTATTTTATGCTATTCTAATGATTGTTGAATGTTACTTTTATGATGTAGATTGCTTGTTTTAAAGTTTTGTTTTGTTTTCACATTTTTGTACTGCATTAGATTGTTATAAGATGTACATTGCTTCAGCTTGTAAACCGCCTTGGGTATTGTAAGCTAGAAAGACGGTATACAAATTAAAAATGATGATGTTGATGAAATGGTCCTTAAGTGTCTCGTTGCTCAGCCCTGGTGCCCCTAAATTCTTCTGGTGAAAATTCACAATTTGTTTTTTCTCTGTTTAGAAAAAAATATTGCAGGATAGGCCTCAGCTCTTTCTTTGGGGTGTGCAGGTTCCTCGTCCTCCCTTCTCCAACCCTCCTTGTCTCAGTTGCCAAAGAGGGTTTCTAGATGGTCTGTTTCAGAATCATTCCAGGCCTTTGATTGGTCTGGTCAGTCTGAAAGGCCTGACAATGAAAGGGAGGTGTCTGCTGAGCAAAGTCAAAATATATGACTAAATCAGTGGGATTTCTCTGGACTAGTTCACTCACTGGATATCCTCTGCCTCTCATGCTATGTCCTTACAGTGATAATTCAATGGTAGTTGTCTCTGTTTAGCGAAATGTCACAAGACAGGCCCCAGCTCCTATTCACCTCAGTTATGTGGGCAGAGGGATTGATTCTCTGTGTAATAATTTTATTAGTTTTCAATTACAATAACCCAATAAAAGCCTCATTGTCAATACCAAATTATAATACTGAATTATAATACAATTATTAATGCCAAATGTTCAGATGCCAAATTATATTATTTTGTTGGCTCCCTGCATGCCAGAATTGATGATTGACGGAAGCCAGCCGTCACAAATGGCGCTGCATAGCATTTGAAAAAAGGCACAGAGAGCCAGCAATATTTTCAGGGTGATATGAGCAGCTCCTTCGACCGCTCTCCTCCGATTTTATTCTCCTTTTCTCTCTCCTGTCGCATGGCCATTTGCCAATGTCTCACGTCACCTCATCCGGTCATGGCTTTTACCCACCCATCGCCATATAAGGTATGCCCAGAGGGGGAATATAACTCCATATAAGGTTATGCACTTTATACACTGCAAGGCACGGACATGCAGGTCACTGAGGTCAGCGAGGCACCAGGTGGCGCTACAAGCCTTTGCCATGACTTCATGGCTCCCACAGATGATTTGATAATTTACTTAAACTCTGCATTCGAAAAACTTATAAATTCAAATGACACACCAGTCATAATAACAAACCCTTATACCGCAGCTGCAATTTTAATGACTTCCATTTGCATTAACACATCAAATAATTTACAGTCCTTCAGGTGAAGCCTTCAAATTCTCTTTTTGCTCTTCTTGTGTGTGGCTATTATTCTGTCCTTATACTTTATTATGTCTATCTTTTGTCATTTGTTGCTGTTATCCATCATACCTTGGGCGGAGCTAGTATTCCATTTCTGTTTCTTAAGTTTTCCATTGCACAGTTCCAAGCTTCATTGTTTTGCAACTCAAGCAAACTGTGGGTTTCAGTGGCCTAGAAGGGCTCTCCATGTTAGCAGGGCACAGGGGTTGTTGTGACAGGTGTAAAATAAAGAATGGTTAATAAAATATAGTGAATTAAATCTATTATAGCAAAATATCGATTTACAGAGACTTCCCCATCCACTCTATGATTTTGCAGTACACCAGTTTGGGGGCATTGAGGCCCCAGATGAAATCCCAGTGGTTCCAGTATGATATATTTTTGTAGTAAACTAGGTTAGAGATGCGAGAAACTAAGATGGCTGTATCTCCTGGGCTTGCAATGATGTCATTCCCACCAGACCACACTGCAGTTGGGACACTCATGTCTTCTACTTTATACAAAGGTGGAACGCTCTGGAGAGTAAAAGAAAGAGGATCAATAAACACCCATAAACACACAAGTGTTCTTCATGACAGCACCTTGACACAATTCAGACTACCTATGGGCTGTTCACAGGTTTATATGGAGGATAGATTTTCCTTCTTCCTAACTAGAACACTCATGGACTGCTAGCATGATTTAAATTGGGATGAGTGAATCCACTGAGGCTCTCCTCGGATTAGCTGCTGTCTCCCCCCCCCCCCATTTTGCAACCAAAACCCATATAAAAATACAGTAAGTGTACCTCTGTCCTCTGTAGAAATGATTTAAACCACTTTTAGAATTTGTGGTTTATAAAATTGCAAAAAAGTGAATTAAAAAAACCCCTAACCAATGGTGGGGGGAAACCCTGAGGCAATCTGAGTGGCAGTACAAGCTCCCCTGAAGAGCTACCCCTGTGGTCTGTGGCCCATCATGCAGCTAGAATGATGATGAGAGGAGAAAGAGGAGAGTTCTCCTCATTTCTTTGCTGCCAGCACCATGTCCCCTTCATGGGAATGGGCAGAGTGTTTGAGGTGATGGAAATGGCTCTGGGACCCCCTCCAAGCACACAGAGCTTGATCTGAGTGAGGAAAAGGAGTTTGGGAGTTGGGAGATTCACCCCACATTTTGAGGAGGTGGTAGAGTGCCTGCTTTGCACTCTGAAATCATGGAGAGCTGCTGCCTTGGTGTGACAACTCTGAGCTAGATGGACCAGTGGTCTGAATCACTGTAAGGCCACTTCCTGTGGGGGCCTCTCTTACTGCAGAGTTTGTTTCCAAGCCAGGCTTCTGCATCACCCCTGCTTATATTAAAAATAAAAATAAAACTCAGGATCGGAACTGTCGTATTTGGACTAACTAAGAGTATTGGAGCTGAACGAAATAAGAATATCATTCCCTGAAATCTAGAGCACGGATTGTTTAATTTGGTATTGGATAATTGGCTTTTTTAATTGTATTATAATTTGGTATTGTATTAATGTGGCTTGTATTGGATTGTTATAAATGAAAATTAATTAAAAATTGTTTTGTTTTGTTTTTTAAAAAGAACATATTGTGGAATGTGGCGTAATTAATTTCTAGTCTATGGTAAGTGATACTGAGTTTGCACTCTTCTTTAAGGGCTTAAGAACTTGTCTTCCACATCACATTCATTTAGTCTAGGATTCTTGACCCCACAATGGCCAACTGGTTATCCCCACAAGCTGTAATGATCACTGGCTGCTGTGGTCTCTCCATAGTAACTATGTAATCAGAGATATTCTGCTTCTGCTTACATGGAGAATTGTAGTCCTAATCTGAGTAAACCTATTGAAGCTATACATGGCTAACTCAAGTTCGTCCATTTCAATGGGTCTACACTGAATAGATCTAAGTTGGATACAACCCATTTGAGGGTTGTTATGAGAATATGACAGGGAGGAGGAGAACCACTTATGAGCTCCATGGAGGAAAAATGGAATACATATAAATTAGTGAAGAAACTTATTTTTTCACCTAAAAGTTGTTCTCTCTTACCTGGTTATATCTTGCCTCATTCTTGTTCCCATAGTCAAAATACCCGAATAACCTCGAATCTCTTATCTATCAAAATAATAGGAGAGCCATAGAATTAGATAATGCATTATACATATTACTGAACATTGTGAAAACTCTGCCACTGCTGGTATTATCAGCAGACAGCTTGAAGCAGAACAATAGTACCAACTTAAAATGGTTTAATTGTGGTTAAGGGCTTCCCAGGGAATGTTACGCACGCTAACAATTCCAGTATTTTCTTTGGTGGAAGCTCTAACAGTTAAGTGTTATATCGGGTCCTCCCTTAAAGAGGGCACGTATTGCAGTGAGACCTGGACAACCGACTCCCTGTGTTGTGGGTAGGTATGATTGGTCAGCCACAACACCCTATTGGTAGGTCCCTCATAGCTGGGTGCAATCTGGCCAATGGGACGCAGTCCAAACGGTTCAAGGGACCTATTTATACCCATGCAAGCTTCCCCTTTCGGCACGTTCATTCGGAACACCAGTCCACCTCTCCCTACTTTTAGGGCTTTGTGCTTGACCTTGTTATGCTGTCGTGTGTCGTCTGTCGTTGGGATAGGGGCACGGCAGGAGTTTTTCCCACTTGGCTGATTGGCTGTTGCCATTTGGGTTTCGCCTGCCACTTAGCAAATCTTCACAATTTGTAAGGTTGCGGATAGGCTCTGGTTCAAGTGATAGGGATGGGAGAACGCTCTCGCCATCCCTATGTAAGGGTATTCCGTTAAAGGAATCCAGGGACTCAATGGTTTGGTCAGCCCCTGAGAGGGGGTTGTGCCTGTGCCTGATTCCAGCGGGACATTTGGGTGGCGGAGATAGCTTGTTCCCAGCTTTCCGCTTATCCAGGTGTTCACCCTTGGCTGACCTATGCTGGAACCCTGGGGTCAGTGCTAATAGTGCTAAACAACTATTTTACTTTTAAAAGACAACTGAAGGCAGCCCTCTTTAGGGAAGTTTTTAATGTCTGGTGCTGTACCGTTTTTAATATTCAGTTGGATGCTTCCCAGAGTGGCTGGGGAAACCCAGCCGGATGGGCAGGGTATAAATAATAAATTATTATTATTATTATTATTATTATTATTATTATTATTATTATACCTGCACGGCAGGGAGCTAGTTGAACCAGAACCTATGCAACCATTCACTTTCTGTAATCAATAACGTTGTGGCCTAAATTCTGCCAAAAACCAAAACCAAAATTTGAGGCCAGTGTGAATTTATTTAGGGGGGAGGTTTCTGGGTCTGAACACACAAATGCAGTCAATATGAGTTTGCAATTTTTGACAGACCATAGAACCATAGAACCCTCTTGACCACCACATCTGCTTAAAAGTGCACAACTCTACCTGTTTCCAGTGTAGAATGTTTTTAGATGATGTTGCATCTGGAAAATGAGCTGCATACACATCTGCACGGCTCTGTGAGAAACATTTGATTTGAAAAGCAAACACATTTTTAAAATAAGGTGAGTAGGATAGCATACAACATGGGTAGGCAAACTAAAGCCCAGGGGCCGGATCCGGCCCAATCGCCTTCTAAATCCGGCCTGCAGGCGGTCCGGGAATCAGCATGTTTTTACATGAGTAGAATGTGTCCTTTTATTTAAAATGCACAGCTGGGTTATATGTGGGGCCTGCCTGGTGTTTTTACATGAGCAGAATGTGTGCTTTTATTTAAAATGCATCTCTGGGTTATTTGTGGGCATAGGAATTCGTTCATTTCCAACCCCCCCCCCAAAAATAATCCGGCCCCCCACAAGGTCTGAGGGACAGTGGACCGGCCCCCTGCTGAAAACGTTTGCTGACCCTTGGCATACAATTATGCATGGTGCAGAGGGAGAGGGTTTGGGGTTTCACCCTCTTGTATTTCAATAACCTGAAGCCACCCAGTGAAGCTTTTGGTTGGCAGATTCAGGACAGACAAAACAAACGATCTTTGCCACCCAGTGCATAGCTCAGCTGGAAATTGGCTTCTGCAAGATGCAATGCTGGCTTTGAAAGGCGTCGAGAAAAAATCACGGAAGACAGATCAGTCAGTGGCTGCTTGTCAAGGTAATGTCCAACCCCATGCTGTGCTTTTGAAAGTATTAAAAGCAGCGCCATTTTTTCTAGAAAAAGAGGTGCCGGACCTCACCATGATCGCCTCCCTCTTTCTCTTAGAATGGCAACAGTGCCCACCTAAGAGGTGCCAGTGAGTTCCAGCTGGAAAAAAAGGCCCTGACTTAAAGTATTTTAGAAGCCCAGTCATACTGCTACTCCTTTGATTATATCTGAATTTCTTGTTGTATGGTATTTTGTGTTTGCATAGTACTTAGGGGATTGGTTTACATGAAATGCTAAGCTAAAAACCTTGGCTTAGTTCCAAGTGTGAAGATTCCTGGAAAGGAGTTTGCTTCGTTCCTCTCGGGGTCCTCCTGCTCTTGCCCTGCTGTGAGCTAAGCCATGATTTGGCTTAGCTTGTCACGCAAACACAAGTTCATGGTTTGTTTCCAGTCTAGACAAACCCTGAGCTGTAAACCCAGGAACTCTAATCTCTCTGGGATCCCATTTGCTCACCTTTCATGTTTAGCAATGGTCACCCGAGCTGCTCCACATCTGCCTCTCTCAGGTTTCCAATACTGAGATAGCACCACCTTGTGGTGGTAGTGGGGAATAGAGGGGACACATTGCAACGAGAAAAGGACTGGAGCAGGAAGCTATGCAGTTTCAGTGAGAATGAGGAATTTGGGCAAACACCAGTGATTTCAGAAAACGTTTGAAGTGTAGTAGAAATGACTGGCTGACAGCTGTGTGTTTTTTCCCATCAGAGCCTTTTTGTGCGGATAAGGGAGGGAATATGGGAGTAATTAGCCTCCCCAAAACTCCTCCAGGGTTGTAGAGGAGGCAGATTCAGCCGCAGTTGCCCAATATCTGACACCCATCCCAAGGGATTGTGGGGGCAGAGGGCATTGAGTGGAAAACACACACGCCTAGGTAACTCTCCGAATGTCGTCGTCATGAGCATAGGGCTCCTGCTTATTTTTAAAGATAAAATTCAGACTTATTTAGCAGGCTTACTTTGAACTAGCGGAGAGAAAATAACTTGCAAATTTAACCAGCCACTGAGAAGGATTAGATCTGGAGAAAGACTTTTGCTACAACTTAAGACGCTGCTTGGGATATGTGAGTAGACTTTAAACCTAACAAATGAAAAGGATGGTGTGGAATCTGACTATGAGTTAATTAAGAGGAGGATGAAAGGACGCCCCGGTTTGATTTATTGTATCAGCGTAGAAGCAACATTTCATTAACAGCTGGAGAGACGCCAAACAACTTTGGATGTTTGCCTGAGATTTATGGCAGAGTGGAGTGACACAGTTTAAAATCTGCAAGCAGCCACAGAGAACTGAAAGTAACTTTGCTAAATCCATCAACATATGGATTACCGGTAATTATATAGTCCCAGGGGGAGGTAAGCCTTTAATGTTCTATTTCTTGATATCTGTATTCCCAGTTATATTTGGTAAAACCTCCCCCAGAAAGGCTACTACTTAAAAAACAGCTGGTTTGGAAAAGCATTTGGTAGCCACTTTGATTTGTTTATATGTGGTCTGAGTGTGGACTTGGCAGCTACCTTCAGTGGGAAAAATCCTGAACTGAGTTGTTAAGATCTGGCAGAAATATCAGCTTGCAAAGAGATGCTGCGAACGCGCAGAGGGGAACCCAGGAGAGTTGCCAAGGGCTGCTGGCATCTCTTTGTTTGAGACTTGGAATATTACGGCCCTTGAGAGCAGAAATATAATATGGATTTCAACAAGGAAGATTCCACACAGATTTATAAAAGCGAAAGTTGAACAGACCAGTGGCTGAAGGAATAAAAATAAATAAAAGACAGAAGGATTAACATTGGAGTGGTTCACTGAAGAATTATGAAATGCAATGCAACATTGGTTGATCAGCACTCCGTGAACTTCAGAGCATGGGAAGACACTCAAAAAGATAGATAATTCAGCATTTGTATTTGGCTTTTTTATGATTAATTGTAATTTGGAATGTTTTAATGTGGTTTTAATTGGTTTAAAATGGAAAATTTAATAAATATTATTTCGAAGAAGAAGAAGAAGGGGAAGAACAAAAAATGTGCACAGATTTGTTTCATTGAAAACACATTCTGATCTGAAATCATATCATGTGCAATCTGGACATATGCAAACATGCCAACCCATGAAGGCTGCAAAGCTGTACACGTTTTCCAGAAATTAAGTTCCATTGAAGTCAGTGAGACTTGCTTCTGAGTAGGCCTGTATAGGATTGTGGTGTAATGGTGCAATTCTAGGTGTATGTACTCAGGAGTAAGTCCTCTTATGTTTCCAAGCACAATTCAAAGTGTTGGTGCTGATCTTTAAATCTCTAAATGGCCTCAGGCCAGTATACCTGAAAGAACGTCTCCACCACAATCGTTCTGCCTGGACATTGAGATCCAGCACCGAGGGCATTCTGGTGGTTCCCTCACTGCAAGAAGAGTAATTGCAGGGAACCAGGCAGAGGGCCTTCTCGGTAGTGGCGCCCTCCCTGTGGAACGCCCTCCCATCAGATGTCAAGGAAATAAACAGCTATCTGACTTTTAGAAGACAGCTGGTCAGCCTTGTTTAGGGAAGTTTTTAATGTTTGATGTTTTATTGTGTTTTTAATATCCTGTTGGAAGCCGCCCAGAGTGGCTGGGGTATAAGTAATAAATTATTATTATTATTATTATTATTATTATTATTATTATTATTTCTGTTCAACAGGACTTTTCCAGTGTGTAAAGCATTTTCATCTGACTCTAACCAAGATTTCAATTAGCCATGGAATTTTTGCTCCCTTTGGAAGCTTTTTGCCTCAAAAACGAAAGCTTGTGAAAAGTAGAACATATAGCTAAACCAGTAATCAACTACTATGCCTTCCTCACACATCTACATACCATGTTTAGATTTGTTGCATTGAATCCACCCGAAATAGTGAAAATGAGGCGCACACATAATTTCTGCATAAAAGAAGCGCGGCATAATTTCTGCATAAAGTCTCTCGCAGGCTTGCGAGACAAAACAAATTTTCCTCTGGTAAGCATGCTCTGTAAAGATATAAAGACCTTACATATAATGAAGCTTTCATAAAGTGGCAAAATAAGCTACACACCTCTAGGGATTTCCTTCTCCCTGGCTGCACCTCCTAAAAGGTTTAAATTGGAGACCAGGAGGAGGAAACCATGTGGTGATCCTGCCCTCAGTGTGCCTACATGTGCCAGCTGCACCTGCTCCATCTCCAACCTTCCCACATTCGCTGATAACACCCAGATCCAGTTACAGGGAGGTTTGTATGCCTGTCCAACCAAATCTACTTAAAAGTCCCCTTCAGACCTTCCAGTTCAATGCAGGAAGGTTGGGGTGTGGACAGTGACAAAGCTGCATACTCCGGCACCAGGGATAGAGAGTAGGTGGGGGAGTGGTTGGCGCGCATCCCAGGGGCGTGGCACACCACTTGTGGGGGCGTGGCGCACCGCCCGCAGGGGCATGGTGCGCATCCAGTGGGCTTAGAATCTTAGAATCTTAGAATCATAGAATCATAGAACTGTAGAGTTGTAAGGGACCCTGAGGATCATCTAGTCCAACCCCCTGCAATGCAGGAACATGCAGGGATCCATACAGGGATCGAACCTGCAACCTTGGTGTTATCAGCACCATGGTCTTACCAACTGAGCTATCCAGCTTGACGCATTGCTCACGGAGGCGTAGGCCCTGGCATGGTGGGGGGTGCGTGGCATGTGTCCGGGGGTGGCCACGATTGTAGCCCCCTCCTCAATGGTGCCTGGGCTGGTGCGCTCTCCCCACGCCCCCCCTTCCTCTGCCAGTGGGTGTGGATAGGCTCATCTATTTCATTTTTCTCCGTTTCTCATTCTCCCATGCTTAAGCTCAGTTCTGCATAATTCCCACATCAAGTTTGTGATTAAAAACAAAACAAAACAAAACAAAACAAAACAAAAAAGTCTGCATGAAAATTTCTGAGCAATGCACATTTTTGTATGCAATGTTGCCGAGCACACATAATTTTTGCAGAGCAATTTTCCCTATTATAATGCATTTTGTATGTTATTTTCACTATTTACTGTATATGAATATTTTACCCTGGTTTATGCATTTTTTGTACATATTACTTGGCCAGAGAACCATAATTTGGAGATGAGCAAATTTTGAAAGGGGGGTTGAGTTTCCATTTGCAAATTCTTGATTTCCGCGGTCATAAAATAGTGATTGACGGGTACCTTGGATGAGTATTCAGGAAACATGGGGCTTATTTTCAACATAGGGCTTGTTGCACGCTGAAGAGAAATCACAGGAGCCAGGGCAAAAAACATGTTGACTTTCTGAGACAGTTCTGGTATGACTGAAAATGCGATGAAACCTGAAAGGGAGAGGAGGGCGAACGAGAAAAACACAGTGGGCGTTTGGAGCTGCTGATAACCATGTTAAAAAATTCATTCACCAGTTTAAAGGGTACTCCCTGCAGAGGCAGACTTAGGGTAGCACAACCGGCTTGGTCACACTAGGTGCAGATCCTTGGGAGCTCTGCTACTATAATTAAAGGCATTGAATTTTGGCATTTCACAGGGCACCACTGAAATGAGTTCCCCCTTGCTCCCTGGCCCTATAGCAGAGGAGAACCTGTGGTCCCCCTGATGTTGCTGCAACACAACTCCCATCATTCCTGGCTGGAGCTGATGGGAGTTGGAGTCCAACAGCGTCTAGAGGACCACAGGTTCCCTATATCTGCCTTATATGGACACTGGAGCTGCTGTTAGGAAACTGAGGGGCAGTGAAGAGTGGAAAAACCCAACCCTCACCCCTCTTCACTTTAGGTTGAAGCCAGTTGCCAGTAAAGTAATGTAGGTGATTCTTTAAAAGTTTCTCTTTTACAGATATACTCATTAGGTGAATGAACAGATTTACAATGAATACCTATTCTAGACTTCAGGTCATATAGGCATTTTTTAAAAGGTATCACTACACAGCAACTGTAATATAATCTAAGTTATATGGGACAAGCACTGAGCTCTGTTTGCCTTGTTACTGTAAAGCCCTAAAATGGACCTCACACTGGGAAGGTCTGGACCATAGCTGTGTGAGCAGCAGGGTCAGAGTTGTCACGATAACTGTGGGACTTATTGTAAGGTTTTATTCTGTAACATAACAGGTTATTTTCATTCCCACTGAATAGCTGATGGTTGCAGGGCGGGGGGGACCCAGAAGGCCAATTGAAAACTGGATCTGGGATGCATCTAGCCTGGGGGGTGGTTATTTCTGATCCCTGGTCTACTAGAAACCATATCCACCCGATATTCCCTCGAGAGTCCAATGTAACCTATAGGTGAGTCAAGCAAGAGCATGAAGGGAATGCAGGCAAAACAGTGCTGACAGATTCACAAAATCATTGCCAGTGCTGGGGGCAAGACTTGAATCCTTACAGCTGGCTCCAGGATCCAGAAGGGCAGAACATAGGACATTTTTTTTGAAAGAGAGAGAACAAGAGAAAGAGACAAAAATGGACCAGTCCACTTTAGCATACCAATGGTAGCGCCTTGAGAGTAGCCTATGTAATACAGTTGCTTCTGCCCAGTTTTCTTCAGAATGAAGTTGATCATTGCTGGAAGATCATAGATGGCCATTTCATGGAAACTGAAGAAAAGGTTTAAATGTTATGGCAAAATTAGTGACACCTCTTCATCTGAACTCCTAGATGTTCACCCAGAGTTGCCTTCTGGAAGGTTTTGCTTGAAATGTGGGTGCAGAACCAGGTGATGGCGCCACCATCCCTATTCTCCACTTTAATTTTGCAGCGGTTGCTTCCAGCAACAGAACATCACTAAACATCACACCCACACCCCGTTTTTTCACTTCACACATGAATCTCATGAAGAACCATCACACATAAAAGCAGGCTGTAGGATGTGAAGATGTTCAGTATGTAGACTTCTACTTCTTTCCACACATTCAGGTCACAGTATGTATGTGGAAATCCAACATGCGTAGAGATCTATAGCTTTTAGTTACTGTCCTGCTCAGTGTAACCCTATTGAAATTAAGGGTATGATGAGGGGAGGGGAAGGGATTTGATTCAGATTGCATTGAAACCTGAATTTTTCAAATTCGCACTTTCTAAGACAATATGACAACTGAAACACGGCCGTCTTTCAAAATTCATATTTATCCATATGTTGTGATGTCATCCTCCAACCAATCAAAAGTTTGCAAAAATACACATATTATGCAAAACTGTGAATAAAAATTAGTGAAAATGACATGATAAAATGTGCACACCAAAATATATCAAGAGAAATCTGCACTAAAGCACTGAATAATTTTCCTGAAGACTTGTTAAAAAGAAAATTTTCAAATTGCTGCAGATATGTGGAGAACCAAATTTAAGTTTGGGGGGAAATGACAAACTGAGAGAACCAAAACAGACAGATCCTTCCATCCCTAACTAGGAGTAGCAGGTTCACCCAGCCACAATGGTCCCCTCACATATGAATCAGGGGAAAGGGGCATTGTGAGGAATAAAAATGTTGCCTTTTCAAAAGGCCACAAGGCTGCAACGGTTAGATGACCGCAGACAGCAGAAACTTGCTTACACATATCTTGTGGTTAGGAGGCTTATAGATAGGGCTGTTTGCAGCCGTTTGCGATTTATCTGTACGTTTCAACTAATATGGGACTCGGTTACACCCACTAGTGGTTGGGATGTGGATTTATTGCTTGAGTCAATGTGTAAAACCATAAGAAACATGGACCAAATAAGGAGAAAGGTAAACAGGAGTAGCAGTCGTTGGAACTAGAGTAATGGGAGATGTCAACAAAGGCGGGGATTTTAGTATTTTAATTAGGTGGTCATGATAGGCTGTAAACCCTGCATGTACCCAGCCAGTGGGGAAACAAGGGAGGGAACCTGTGCTTTGGGTATAAAGAATATAAGATTGTGCCTTGCCAATTTGGGCTGTTCCTACTTTGGACACCTGCTCTTGCATGAACGCATTGTACTCAATAGACTCTTTGCTGCTTCACCAATTTTGTTCAGAATTCATTTTGAGGGTCTTGGCATCCACGTTTTACTTCTAACAGGCATCAGACATAGAAAATCACACATAGATCTGTAGGATGTGAAAAACCTCCAGCTTGTAGACTTCTACAGACAGATCCTTCCATCCCTAACGAGGACTAACTATTATGATCAACAACAGCACTCTGATTTTGCTGGATATAAGTTTATGCTGTGCAGATCTCTCCCGCTAAAGCCCATGCCTAACATGTAGATGCTGCTGGTAGGGATGAGAAGAGAGAAGAGTTCCATGACTTTGTGGTCAAAAAGTCTTTCAAAAAGGCAGGGAATATCTTAATTGTTTCAGCAAAATTATATCATTGCACTGGTTAATAGCCACCACTACCCCAAGACACACAAAATTCTTCTCACACATTGAGCATTACCTCTGGTATGTAGCCTACCTACCAGCATCTCTTTAGAGAAGATGATAGGTGCATAATCTGAAAGTTCATGGAATGTTTATCATCAGTTTGTGTATATCTGAATAACTGATGGCATGGGGCCAGTAGTGCAATAGTAGGAGTCCATTATTTACATGGATAAGGTCCCTAGTTTGATCTCTGACATCAGCCCTGGAGAGGCACTGCCAATCACTGTTGACATTACTCAGGCCATGCTTGCTTTTGTAATGTGAATAATCTGAGTGAATAATAGGTGTTTGCAAATTTCATGAATATTTATATTATCTTCATAATTTAATAGTTAATGTGCAAGATAATACCGTCAATTGCTATGATATTGTTACTTTTTTCCATCCAAACTACCTGAAATCCCAAAATTCATCTTGGTCAGTTGACAGATTCTGGTGTCTCTGAGACCAGCTCGTTCCTCTGCTGTTCCCCATCCAAACATCATAGCCGGCGTCTGCTAATATGAATCCGAAGCTGTTGTTGGCCATGTTTTCGACCCAGAAGCTAGCTTCTGCAAGTATTCCATGTTGCAGTAACACAACAGGCTTGGGACCTAGTTTAAAAAAGAAAATTTTAAAACAAAGCAGATAAGAATTTCCGTGCCATGATAACAAAGATGATTTTAAGAAATATCTCTCATGTTCCGAAACCATCATTTATATTTCAGTCCATTATGTCAATAACTTTGTTAGGCACATGAATCGGAGCCTTGACTGTAGAAGAGGCTTCTTAGCAAAGCCCTATTCAAGCATTCAAAAGAACATGTGAACACTGAAACAGGCGTGTGTGCAGCCAACAGCCCTGCTCCCAAAGCCCCCACATGCACTAGGGATGCGCACCCCACCACTGACTTTCCTGGAAGGTTTGAAGCGACCTTGAAAGCATGCTCTTCTCAATACCTTTCCATGTGCTTCTATGGGGATGCTTCCATGTGATTCTGACCAAGCGAGCTGCTTCTCACTTACAGAGAGGCTGGGAACTGCATTCAGCTGAAAGCACTTATAAGCCCCCTTCAGGCCTTCCTGCTCAACATAGGACAGTTGCAGTGGCAGATTTTGGACCTGTGATTCTGAATGCTTTTGTGGGGCTCTAGGGGTCATGCAATGGCCTTCTGGGACCAGTCACTTCTGGGCTTGACTGAGGCTTTGATAGCTTAAGTAAAGCTTTAGTATTTTCAAAACACGGCACTGGTTTAGCGATTAAGGCTTTTCTTATACCACTTTCATAGACTTAGGATTTGTTAAAATATAAATATATACCAGATACCTCTGACTGTAAGATTTTTTCTTCCAAAAGGTATTCTGTTTATTGTCAAATAATAGCCATCATCTGTTAAGACTTCATACTCTTCACTGGGGTATCCTTTGTAACAGATCAGCTCACTCTGAAAAAGAAATAAAATAAATTGCTGAGATGTTTTAATTCATGTTTTAATCTGTCTGCCAGAGAGGAGACCACCTTGGGTGAATCCTGGTAGACCTACTCCATACCCCTCAAGTCTCCCAATTTAGCTGGGACATCCTGGATTGACAGAAGCTGCCCTAGGAATCGACATAGGCATATCTGCAGCCGCCACCCTGAGCTATGGAACTGGGTAAGTGGGCTGTGTCCGCTCACACTGCTTCAGCCACATCACATCCTGTCTGATTAAGACTCAGGCACATCCCCAGAAGCGAGAAGTGCTTCAGTAGCAGGAAGCCAAGTCAGGCAGCTCTTCTTGGGCACTGACAGCGCTGAAGCAGGGCGTTCTCATGACTACCCACTCAGCCCTTCTCCCGCATCCAGCTCAGCACCTCCATACCCTCCAATGTTTCTCTGATGGAAATAGGGACATCTTATTCCATACCCTCCAACATTTCTCCAATGGAAACAGGGATGTCCTAAGTAAAAGCGGGGCATTCTGGGATCAAAACAGAAATTGGGACAGGTTCTGTAAATCCGGGACTGTTTCTGAAAAATAGGGACACTTGAAGGATCTGCACCTCTCAGGCCACTGGGCTACTCCCAAAGATCAACTCTCTTGTCCAGTTCTTCCTCCCCCCTTTGAGCCACTCTGCCAAGAAGTCTGCGCAGAGTTCATGACAGTAGGAGGGAAACTGGAAGCAGCATTGCTTTGTGTTTCCCAGGCTCCTCAGTATCACTTCAAGGAAAAGTTCCGCATTCCCCAATGGGTTGTTTGTCATTGCTCCTAATTGCATATCCCCACCCCATTAATCAATAGTTATGTTTTTGATGTTCTAGATCTGGGATTTCCAACACCGTGCCCTGCGGATGTTGTTGGGCTAAAACTCCCATTAGGCCCTGACCTTTGGCCATGCAGGCTGAGGCTCATGGGAACTGGAGCGCCACAACAGCAGCTTGAGGCACCTTGTTGGCTATCCCTGTTCTAGACTGGGGGAAGGAAGAGAGAAGGAACAAGTGCTGCTTTTTGGCTCCCTCAGATCTGCATTCCAGGCCTATCTCAGGCCTGCATCTGTGATAACATTGATAAAAAGATTATGTAGCTTACGACATTCATGTGAACCTCAGGATTTGCATCTCTTCTCCTCCTACTCAATTCTTCTGAGCCTCCAGTTGCTTGTATTAGGCAAGCGATGGCAACAAACCACCACATCTTCTGTCTATGTATTGTTTGTAAAGGTGGTGTGGAAGAGGAGAAAACAAGACGGGGTGAGGAAAACTCACAGCTATCACTTCACAAGTAATGCTGACAAAATATATACACTTTAATAATTTATTCCAAAATATATGAACTGCTCTACATTCAAAGAATACCTTAGTACCATACAAAAAAAACCCCCCCAAAACTTTTAAACCTTGTGCAAATGATAAAACAGTATTAAAAACACGAATCCAACATTGCAGAACCTGAGCAGACTAATTGGAGGATAAAAGTTTTCAGCCAACATCTAAATATATAGAAATGTTGAAGCATGTTTCCATTCAAGGAGAAGATGATTCCAGGGATCTGGAGCCACAGTGCCTAAAGGCACCAGTTTACTTACGATATCACCTTACGCCACATGTGCCTACTTGACCACTTCACATAATACCCACACATCTGTAAGAACTCGATCTTTCTGTGTGGCAGCACCAACACTTTAGAATTCCCTGCCTCTTGATATTAGGCAGGTGCCTTCAATGTGTTCCTTTCAGCGCCTGCTGAATACATTCTTATTTAGACAAGCCTACCCAGATTTTTAGAAAATTTGTATGAGTTTCAGTTGATTTCACTGTAGTTTTTACTTTCTATATGTTTTAAATTATGGTGTAATTTGGGGGGGATAATTTTATTTTTAAAAATATTTTTTAGCAAACCGTTTTGAAGTTTTTCTATATAAACAAGCAGTACTTAGATTTTATGAACTAACTAAATAAAACACATGCCTGAGTTGCAGCATGTTCTACCTACAGGGTAGGCAGCAGTGTAGTAGTTAGCCGCTCAGGTGCCCGGGGTGGCACGTGCAGCCTGCAGCCGGGGACAGAGCAAGCCAACCATGGGGGCAGGGCAAGCTGCCATGGGGGCAGGGTGAGCCAAGATCCAGTGCCAAGGGCCTTCTGGCAGTTCCTTCATTGCGAGAAGTGAGGTTACAGGGAACCAGACAGAGGGCCTTCTCAGTAGAAGCACCCGCCCTGTGGAATGACCTTCCATCAGATGTGAAGGAAATAAGCAGCTATCTTATCTTTAGAAGACATCTGAAGGCAGCCCTGTTTAGGGAAGTTTTTAATATTTAATGCTTTATTGTTTTTAACACTTGATTGGGAGCTGCCCAGAGTGGCTTCTTTAAAAGAGCATAACACTTGGTCTCTTGTACTACAAACACTAGATATGAGACTTATTGATTCAAAATGGGTTTATAGAGTTAAAATGAATGACAAAAATGAAGTGGTAAGGTACAAGGCTAGATTAGTTGCTAGGCGTTTTCAACAAATTCCAGGCAAAGATTATGATTTGTGTTATTCACCAAGTGTAAAATATGAAACAGTTAAGCTTTTGTTAAAAGATGCATCACAACGTGGACATTCTATTTATCATTTAGATATAAAAACCGCAGATTTGTTTGCAGATTTAAAAGACCAAATTTTTATGCGTGTTCCTGAAGGCATAGACGTCGCTGAAGGTTTGGTATGCAAATTAAATAAATCCCTTTATGGTCTGCACCAAAGTGGAAGGAATTGGCACCAAACATTAGCAAAAGAATTGCTGGATATTGGTTTTTCACAAGGAAGGGCAGACCATTGTGTGTTTATAAAGGAAAGGGCAAACGCTGTAGCAAAAATATGTGCGTATGTAGATGATGTGTTAATTTCTACAAAAACTAAACAGGAATATGAACAGGTAGTATCACAGTTACAGAAGAAATTTGATGTGGTGGAATTAGGCATAACTAAAAATTATTTATCCATGCAAATTGAGAAAGGCAAAAATGGATCTTTTCTGGTTCATCAAACTGCAAAAATTGATGATCTTGTTGAAATGTTATGTTTAGAAAATGCGAATGGGAAGGAAACGCCTATGGTGTGTGGTTTCACCTTTACAGGTGAAGATAAGCCATTTCCTAACAAAACTTTGTATCGTTCTGCTATAGGCAAGCTAAATTTCATTCAAAGAATCTCAAGACCAGATATTCTTTGGTCCCCCCAGCAAGCTCTCTGCAGTGCAACTAGTCTGCAAATAGCCAACAGGGTGCAGTGGGTGTGGGAGTCGTTTTTTCAAAAACACATATTTTTGCCATTGTGCTAGTCCCGGGGGGAGGTTACCGTGGGGCGAGGTCCAGGACCTGAGTTGAGGGTTGGCAGACAGTCCTCCACGGGCGAAGCGGGGTCCGAAGCGAGGTGCCGGGCAAGGACAGGAACTCTGGAGGAACAGGACTGGGTGCTGGCCGAAACAGCTCTTCAACGATGTTGCTCCCGCAACCTGGGACCAGGCTGACTGGCCTTTATCTTCTCTGAGGCCAGGGGCGGTCCCGGCCCCCAGGTGACCTGCCTCTTCTGGCCTTAAGGCGAGCACTCCTCCTGGGAGAAACCAGTTCCCTCCACCTCTCTGCCCTGAGCCTCTGCAGCTCAGGAGAGGCTGGAGGGTTACTGGGCCCAGGGGGAGACTTGCCTTCCCCTGACAGGGCTGGGAGAGGTGCACCTATAGGCAATGTGTCCTCAATCCCCTCCAGAGCCAGAGTAGATTCACCTGGTGCCTGCTCCTGAGGATCTGGCACAGGTGCAGGTGCCTCAGAGTCAAGGCGCTGCCCCAGCTCAGCTGGCCCTGGAGGCGGGGACTCCTGTGCAGGCTGGAGTTCCTCCAATTCGGCTTCTGAATCGGATTCCCAGGCCATCACAGCCATTTTGTCACCTCCCTCAGTGATGACACCCGGGGCGGACCACACCCACCGCACCCCCTTCTTACACCACTAGGCAGAGGAGGAATAGTGGAGACCACCTCCCCAGCCTGACCCTTCCAGAGGAAGTCAATTTAGATTTACAACATGGGTTTGAGGGAGGTCACAGCTCAGAAGCAGATGAGGGGGAAAGTTGGGAAATAATGGAAGAGGGAGAGGCTGAGCCGGAGCAGCTGGCTGACACATGATCACTAGAAAGCATTCCAGACCCATCATCTCCCAGAACCCGGCGAGCCTTGAAAGTAGGGAGTTACTGGTAGCAGCTTGACAGGTAGATGGTATCATGAACAAATTTAACAGGCTGGGGGAGGCTGCAGGAGGAGAGGCTGTTTCTACACTGTTTATATAGTGTATAATCGTGAATCTAGCCTGGCAGTAAACTGGCAGCCAGAGCAATGCTTTCAGCAAAGGAATCACTTGTTGCCAATAGGCTGCCTCAAAGATCAACCATGCACTTACACTGTTTTGCAGCTTCTGCTCCAAAGTGAAGGGCAGCCTCAGGTAAAGCACACTGAAGAAATTAAATCTGGAAGATATCAATCTGTGGCTCACTGTTGCCAACTTATCTCTCTCGAAGAGCAGCCACAGCTGGCATACTAATCAAAGGTGGCAAAAGGGACCCCTAGGCACTGGAGAAAACCGGCAGTGCATCATTCATACATGCACAATTACTAATTTTGTGTGGCTGGTTCTGAATGATTGGGTCATATTTATAAAGAACGTAGCACAAGGTGAACATTCTCTGGTAGAAGGGAAACAGCAGAGCAACATTTTGCCACATGAAGCCACACAGTGACAGGCTACAAATTCATATAAGCAAATTAATATTCATTTTCCTAAACATTGCATATTAAACCAGTTAGCTATTGTTTGTGTATGCATAGTAAGAATTGCGTTGCAAATTATACAATAGAGTTAACAACTGCCAGCCCTACTGCATCCAGTTTTTGTTTTCATTTCTAGTTTCCATAGCTGCTTACAAAACATGAAAACATATGGGATTCTCTGCAAGATACAAGAAGTGAGAACAGAGTCAGCGCAGCTCACATTCTCTATGTGCACTTGTTTGTAATCTTTGGAGCTGCCTTTGTTTTAAGTCGGGGATGCTTAAGTTCCGCCTCTCTAGACAGTTCCCATCCTTGCTGACCACTGGCCTTGGGTGGCCATGAATTCCCCACACCTGCTTAAACTTTCTTTCAAAAAATATTAACAACTCCACCATACCTTGCTATTCCTTACTGAAACCCTCGAAATGGAGCCAAACAAAAAGCAAAAATAGAGTCAAGGAACATATTACCAACCAGAGTCCTCTTGCTGTGTTTCAACAGGAGTAGGTTTTTTGAATGAGTTCCAAAGCATATAATATTGTTGGTGCCTTCTTTAGCAATAAGACTTGATGGGCAGAGCCTTCTATATTTTGCTGGGAACACCCAACTAATACTTGCATCAGATGTTAAGGAAATAAATTCCCATGACAGGTGATGTGTAGTAATGCACTTGGCAACTCACAGTCATGGCAGAGGGAATGCATCCACAAGGCAGCTTTGGAATCTGGGGTCACTCCATTGCATGGAGGATAGCGAGCAATGGGATTTTGTGCCTTGAAAATGACATGATGCAAATCTATGCTTCCACAAATTACTAATATTCTGCACAAATGTTCATAAGCTGTAGAGCCCATGTTTTGGAAATGAATTCCCATGCCGTTAAAGTGATCTGCTTAATAAACGATTTCTTGTCATGCCTCTGCCATTATCCTTTTAGCAACCCTTAAGTTTTATGCCACAGTTCCTTTGTCATTACCACATGTACACATGTCATTACTACACGTACCACATGTCGGATACATATGCTTCAGCCAGGGGCAAACTTTGGTCTTTTAAATTTCACTGGCACCCTGTGTGAGACCAAAATTTGGTACCCCTTGACCTTCCATTCTGTGTGTGTGCTACATCATAGTTGTGGCACCCTGCGGCACCCCTCTTGGTCCAGCACCCAGTTGGGGGGGAATTGGTCATGCTTCCCTAAATCTGCCTCTGCTTCAGCCTAAGCTCATGTTTAATGTGCCATATTTATGGTACATTCATGACAGCAGGATCATTTATTTGACAGCCAATTTTCTTTGCAAATCAAATCCCTGCAAGTTAAGTTGAATGCATCATACCTACATCTTCACACTTTCCGGCACCACCATTGTCACATGTGTGTGCGCCCATGTCTGCAGGCATAGCGCTGGTGTCAGGAGTGAACAGGTCATAAATTACACCGTGGAAGTTTGTTAGCAAAACACTCCTCTCAGACTTACTGCACTGTCAGGCCTAATTAACACAGCAACTCATTCCTTGTAGGTCTTGCCTCCATGAAGCAGTTGCTGAGGCTGAAGTTCTCCTCCTCTCCAAGGCTTTACCCAAGCAATCAGAGACTGTATCTACATGGAACCTATCTGTCCTCCACCCTTTTCATGCCTCTTCTGATTCTGGGAGACCAGGGGGGAAGAGGGCTTATGCAACAGGAGGAGGGGACACCCATGACTCTTCACCAGTCTCTGCCTCTTGGCCTCCCTCCTCTCTTGCATTAGCTTCTGCCTCTGATTCTGGACTTTTCTCTCCCCAGACTATCCCAGCTCACTAAGCCCTGTTACCCCTTATGACACCACCTCATCCCAGTCTTCTCCCTCTGACCACTCATCGTTGTCCCATCATCCCTCCTCAAGCCCTGAGCTTTCTTTCCTTGGTGGTTCCCCAGCTGGTTCCTCCCACCATTCTTCTGTATCTCACCAATCCGGGACAGCTGGCCAGGTAAGGAGTTAGCTCAAATACTTCGGTTACTCCAACAGTGCAGAGGCAGCAAGGCCATTTTTTCCCCATTGCTAATTTCACACCATGTAACATTCTACAATTATAAACAAGAACACTGTTGTGCATGCACAAAACTGCAAAGATTACTCTCTGTGCTCCCTTTCTGACCTCTTAACTGTCATTACATATCACTTAAGGCCTTTCCCCATTCATGAACTCTTGTAAAACCTGTCCTAACTGGTTTCTAAAACAGTGTGTTTTAGTAAAATGAAGATCTCTGTGTGTTTGTATATGAATGTCATGCAAAAGAATCTCATCCTAGATTGCCACCCGCCCTGTGGAACGCCCTCCCATCAGATGTCAAGGAAATAATCAACTATCTGACTTTTAGAAGAAATCTGAAGACAGCCCTGTTTAGGAATGTTTTTATTGTTTTATGTTTTATTGTGTTTTTAATATCCTGTTGGAAGCCACCCAGAGTGGCTGGGAAAACCTAGCCAGATGGGCGGGGTATAAATTATTATTATTATTATTATTATTATTATTATTATTATTAGTGAGCAGCACAATCACTTTGGGATGGAGTTCCTCCAGGATCCATTTCCAAGTCCTTTCTATTTCTATATTGATCACTTCAACACATCTGATGGTTTTCATTTCAACACCACTCATATATTGGTAACACCCAGCTTTACCAAAACATCCCTTCTCCATTCTGTCCTGTGGCTCCTGCTGCTTGCGGCAACATTACTGCTTGGATGTTTCACGGGGTTGCACAAGTGAGCCTGGTCATTTACTACTTAAACTACAGAAACCTGTTCCTCCCTTCTGCTGTCATGCTTCAGGGTTCTATCTTGAATGCTACCACTAAAATCACCAGCGTCTGAGCATGTGAGAGCCATCCTTAGATTCTTATCTGAGCTTCCTGTTTGCTCATATGCCTTAGCCCTTTTCAGTCATTCCTCCTGCACGTGTGAGTCAAAAGTGCATGTTTTGGCCCTGCCCCCAACATCATCACAAGACCATAATAATAACCGTCAGGGACCCCTGACCATTAGGTCCAGTTGTGACTGACTCTGGGGTTGCGGCGCTCTTTATTGGCCGAAGGAGCCAGCGTACAGCTTCCTGGTCATGTGGCCAGCATGACTAAGCCGCTTCTGGTGAACCAGAGCAGCGCACGGAAATGCCGTTTACTTGGTGGGAGCCAGAGCGGTACCTATTTATCTACTTGCACTTTGACGTGCTTTTGAACTGCTAGGTTGGCAGGAGCAGGGACCGAGCAACGGGAGCTCACCCCGTCACGGGGATTCAAACTGCCGACCTTCTGATCGGCAAGTCCTAGGCTCTGTGGTTTAACCCACAGCGCCACCCACGTCCCAATAATAACTGTGTTGACCAGCAAAACTTAACTGTCACTGTCCAGTAAGCAGGAACTAGGCCTCACACATAACAATAAAATCTCTATCAAGCTGTATTTATTATCCTTGTAGTACTAAGATAAAGATGTGGTCTTCCCCAAACGAAGGTTGTGTATTCTTTACTTCAAACGTACCTTACGAAACTGAATAGTAAACCAGAAGAAACAGACATTATCAGGGTCAACAAACAAGTCCTTTTCACCATGCCATATAGTTGTTGGTATGCACATTTTTTCTATGTCATACGAGGGAGGCTAAATCTTAAAAAGGGGAAAGGAAATGGAGTATTTCCAAAACAGACCCACTGAAATGAGTGACTATGGCTAAGTTAGGGGCATTCAATGGTCTACTGCGAGCAAAATTTACTTGAATACAACCCCATGGAGAAATAGCATGGCCAGAACACTTTGGGCACATGAAGAGGGAAGATGCCCCACATTTTTAGTAAAAAATATCTGAAGCAGTGGAAATATTTGCAGGGTGGGTGGCCTCACATGTGCTGTGCATTTCTGTACGCCATGTCCTTGGTTTGCTGCAGGCACAGGAACTTTGATTTCAGTCGTACCTTGACTATACAGTCGTAACTTGGCTTTTGAACAGCTTAGCTCACGAACAACTTGGAACTCAAACACCGCAAACCTGGAAGTAGATGTTCCAGTTTGCGAACTTTGCCTCAGAAGCCGAACATCTGGCTTGGCTTCCGCAGCTTCCTGCAGCCAATCGGAAGCCGCGCCTTGGTTTCCTAACGTTTTGGAAGTTGAACAGACTTCCGGAACACATTCTGTTCGAAAACCAAGGTAGGACTGTAGTTCAGTGGTAGAGCACTTATTTTGAGGGCAGAGAGGCTCAGGTTCAGCCCTGAACCCTGATCGGTAAGATTGGGCCCAAAAAAGTCCCCTATTACTGCTAGTCCGTGTAGACCAGCAGTCTTCAACCTTTTCAGACCCAGGACCCATTTGTAACCCAAATATAAATTTGAGGACTCATTTCTTTAACCATACATTGGCATGGTGGTAGTGTTCCCCTTGCAACCTACCTTGGACCAGGCCGCCAGTTGAAGACCAGGGGTGCAGACGGTGAGTTAATTTGGTTTCTCTCAGTTTCTCATTTTCACAAACTTCAGTTCAGTTCTCCACATTTCCACATCTGGTTTTGATTTTTTTTTAAAGGTCCTCGTGAAAATTCACCAGCATCTTAGTGCTCGTTTCTCCTAATGTATGCTTTTAAAATATACTGTGTAATATAACATTTTTGCAAAGTAATTTCCCCTCATAGAATGTGCTTGTGCACTATTTTCACTAACAGATGCATTTTTTTTTACACATTACTTGACTGGATTAATGTGCAAATTGGAATTTAGCTTTTAAAATGGCACCTCCCTTGTTCTCTCATAATGGCAATAGCGCCCACTTCTTCTTATTTCTTATTCTTATTTCTTCTTGTTGTTTTCTTATGTTTCTGGAAACCCCAAGGCACCTTTTTCTGTAAGCATGGAATGGAGGGGAAGCGGCCTACCATGCATCTAACCACTGTTATTTTTAAGAAAATAAGAAGAGCCTTGCTGGACTCAGCCAAGGGCACATCTAGTTCAGAAGCAGAAAGTGACAAAGAAAGAGATGGAAGTTTTATTTTATTTTTAAAATGCAGAAATGTAGATACAAGACAAATCTTGGGGCCTGTGCACACTCCTACTATCCACACCATCTTGAACTCATTGGACGAAATGCAGAATATAAATGGACTAAATAAAATAACAATGAGCTGTATTTCAAAATCTGCATCTCCTACTTCTTGATCCCGTTTTTTTCCTTCTTCTTCAGAATATACAGAGTCACGCTGGCAAACACGATCATCTGCCAGATTTTCATTCTATGTTGAAAAACGTCTCTCTCTTTTTGGCTATGTAAACCTATGCAATACAATTATTTCTCTTTATCTATTTTTAAAAAACTGTTGCCATCTTGCCGCCTGACTCAGTTATCCTCCAGGCTTATCAAATTTATTTATTCATTATACAGAAGTTCCTCGTTTCAGATGGTGGTAATCATCTGGGAAACAATCACTGGTAATATATGCCTTGATTTGGTGTAATATTTATTCCTCTGGGGGATTTGAGTGAATTAATTATTTTTCCTGGTGGACAGCTGTCCCTCCCCCTTGAAAACACTATACAAATATTTATCATCATCATTTCTACAGATGAGCATACTAAGCCCATGGGCTTAGTCATGGGCATAGCCAGGGGGGCAGGGGGGCAGCTGCCCCCCAAATCAAGTAAATCAATACAAAATACTTAACTAACTGAGGTTCTGCCCTCGCAACATAAAGCCGGACCCCCAACATAAAACCTGGCTATGCCCGTGGGCTTAGTATGCTCATCTGTAGAAACGATGATGATAAATATTTGTATAGTGTTTTCAAGGGGGGGGCAGCTGTCCACCAGGGTAGTTTTTGCACACAGAAATTAACTCCTGTGCATGGATCCATCGAGCTTTCATGAGTGTATGTGTGGTACCACCGGGCACACATGAGCAGAGACACATATCAGCAGAGACTGTCAATGCCAATCAGATGTGAGCAGGGCGGTACTGATTTGTGACACATCCTCAGCTCAAAGGAGATAAACAATCACCTTAGGCAGCCTTTCTCAACCTGTGGGTCCCCAGATGTTGTTGAACTACAGCTCCCATCACCCCTAGCTAGCAAGGCCAGAGCTCAGGGATGATGGGAGTTGTAGTCCAACAACATCTGGGGACCCACAGGTTGAGAACCGCAGCCTTAAAGTGACAACTTTGTTTTGTGGTAGTTCTTCACTGACCCAGTTCTTCTTCCCTATCATAAAGGCAATGAGCAAGTAACAAGCAATAACCAAATTGCTTTGACTGCTCATATTTGATTAACTGTATTTTCACAAGTATCGTTGTAAGCAAATGTAAGAAAGACAGTAGCTGCTGCCATTTTACAGAAGATCCAGTGCTAAAACACAGCAGACATAATTTCATTTATTACAGCACTGTTATAGTGGGGGCAAACTGTTGAATTTCAGCCTAGCACAAAATAGGTAATGGCACAAGATAGTGCTTTAGTTGATATTCCCAACATTTCAGGAAGTTTGGACCAGATTCTCTTCCAACTCTACAATTCTATGATTCTGATATCAAGAAATAAATATGGAGTGATGAAATCAGATCCAAAGCCATCATCCATCACCATCAACAACAACAAAAGGAATCAACCATTGATGTTTAAGTTTTGAAATGCTAAGAAAACATTAATTAAACTCTACCTGGCCACAGTGGGCTACTGATTTTACAGAAGAAAAATAAGGAGAGATTATGAAAAATACATCTGCTTGACTGTGGGAAAAACAATATGTAAATAAACCTATCAGACAAAAACAGAATAGATACCAATTCCATCCTGTTTCCATCAGTAGGTCTACTGCCACCTGGTGACAAATTACACCATCCACACAGAAAAGAAATTAATTAAATGGTAAAACAACACTGAGGTGTGATAGACTGACAACCAAAAAAGGGGCTCCATTAAATTGACTACTTATCACCACTGGGTGCATATTTTGTACTGTATTGCCAACTGGTGCAACAATCATGAGTAGGAGAATCGCGTTCTCTTGTATTGTAGACTCATACATTCTTAAATAAAGGTGAATCTGCCCAGGGCATTTGTGTGTGTGTGCTGGGTCTGCCTAGTCTCTGCCACTGGAGCGACACCAGCCCCGAGCGGCAAGGCTGTTGCACCCCCCTCACACCCCCAATCTCAACCTTGCAAGGCTGCTTGGGGAAAGGTGGTGTGGGAACCCGGCAGCCATGCACCCCTCGATCCCAGCCTCGCCCAAACAATTTAGAGAATTAGGATTCTATTCAATATGAGAATACAGTAGCTAAACAACAAGCCCTAAATCCAGAGTACATTTCAGTTTGCAGTTAATTTTTTTATTGCATTTTACAGGGGGCAGGGAAATCTCAGATAGGAAGTTCCTTGAGGCAGGGGAGGAGGGGGGAGAAGGTTTGAACGTTATTTCCCTGAAAAAAGAGAGGAAGAGGAGACAAAAACCACCGCTTAAAACCTCAGAACGGGTTCCCAGTGACAGTAAGAAGCCGTATCGGAAACTGCGCTGTCTCTGAAAGTACTTTTTGACAGTTAACTCTGCATTTGAGATACAACTTGGTTACAATATTGCTGACAGGTATCTCCTGGTTCTAAAGTAACAGACTGAGATAGAAACTGTTGTCTTTCTGGTGAATTGGGGGTTTAAAGAGAGAAGTTAATTACTTTAAGACTTTTATGACTGTTACAGTGTCCCCCTAGAGGAAGTTTGAATTTGTTACAACTGCAGCTGGCCTGAGGGAATTTTCCACTACAATTTCCTAAGGGAATTTTCCATTTCAAAACAACTTTGATTCTGACTGTGAGTGACCTTGGGTTATATCTTGAGGGTTATGGCAGATGGGAAAGAGAAGATAGATTTGTTACAAGCAACGAGGTCTGGCAGAGTATTTCGCACAGACGGTGGATTGCAAAGAAGGGCTTCGACATCTGGCCCCCCTGGAGTACCAACAGCAACCACATCGGCACAACCTAAACCCAAAGGTATGGCAGCTGACGATGCCCTGGCTCAGGTATTAGCTAAAATTAATGAATCTTTGGAAAGAATAAGTAAACAAGTAGCCGAGGCATCGGATAAGATTGATCAAAATACGACAAGTATTAATCAAAATACGACAAGTATCAATAATTTGGGACAGAAAGTAAATACTAATACAGAAACTATTCAGAAACTATTACAGGAATCTGCTTCAACACGTAAGACAGCCGAAGAGGCTAAAGAAATTGCTACTGCTACAGCTACAATGGTTCAAGAGAAGTTTTTTTTTGACTGGCAGAATCCGTGACCAGGGAGAAGAGTTGGTGGAAGAAGATTGGAAGAAATTTAAAGACTACTTAGAGAAATATTGCAAAATAAATGAATGTTAGAATGATGTTGCTGTTGGGATTGAAGTTAAGTGGTTTCTAGCTGTATAGGTACAAAAGAATATGGAAAAATTGGTTTTTAATTAGTAAAAATCTAATGTTACAATATATCAAGATTGAGGATTAGGATTAAAAAGGAGGGAAAGGAATTGTTGGATTAACAAATTGAATTGGAATACAAAAGAGGGAGGTATGAGGAGGTCAGGGAAACAAGAAACAAGGCATGGAAAGATTGATTTACTTTTTTTTCCCTTTTATTCTGTATTTTGTATTTTGTATTTCTCTTGTATTTTTATTTCTGTCTTTTGTTTTTGCTTTTCTTGTTTTTTATGTAACTCTTTTTCTGAAATTTTAATAAATATCATTTTTTTTAAAAAAGGGAAAAAAGAAGAAACGTGAAACAAGAAACAAGGCATGGAAAGATTGATTTACTTTTTTTAAGTGTTTTTTATTCTTTTATTCTGTATTTTGTATTTTGTATTTCTCTTGTATTTTTATTTCTGTCTTTTGTTTTTGCTTTTCTTGTTTTTTATGTAACTCTTTTTCTGAAATTTTAATAAATATCATTTTTTTTAAAAAAAGGGAAAAAAAGAAGAAACGTGAAACACACAGAAAAAAATGAGATATACACGTTAAATTGCCATGTTGGCACTTTGCGATAAATAAGTGGGTTTGGGGTTGCAGTTTGGGCACCCGGTCTCCAGAAGGTTCACCATCACTGCCCTAGTTGGTTTTGTTCCACAGTTTGTGATCTCATCTCTTCTAGCACACGCCTGTACTTTAGTCCAATTAAGATCCAATTACAGTGGTACCTCTAGATACGCACACCTCTAGTTGTGCATATTTCAGGATGTGAACACAGCAAACCCGGAAGTATTTTTCCGAGTTTCACCGTGTGCGCATGTGCAGAAGCGCTCTATACACCACGCTCGTGCGTAGAAGCATTAAACTGCGCCACGCACATGCGCAGAATTCCAGTTGCTAATTCCTCGGGATGCGGCCAGAGCTCTGGAATGGATCCCGTTCACAACTGGAGGTACCACTGTATATGGAGAACCGCTGCTTCTTAATGGTGGCGTTGGAGGGTTACCAGCAAGCCTCCCTGCCCCCCCCGCCATTCCATGCTGGAGCAAGAGCCACGTACTGAGACAAACTGCAAATAACTGGACCTCAAAACTGAACCAACAAACACTGCCTAACTTGCCCCAGATCAGCCGCAAAGTCTCAACAGTAATAGGCTCCCTTGTGTCTGGCAAAGCCAGGTGTACACAATGCCAGCCAGCGATTGGCTTCTTTTACGTGGAAGGTATTACAGGGGCAAGCAGTTGAAAACATTTGCTAAAATAAGAGACAGCTGCCCTATGGAGGCTCATGGTCTTGATAGCCAAACCTGAGCAATGTGTGACATTTCCCTCACTGACCTCTGGTTGGGTGGGTTAGTCGGAATTGGAGTACCTTCCGCTGGAATACAAAAAGTTATTCCAAGCTGCATATTCTTTGGCCTTTTGGGCGTCCCTTCGTATTGGCAAAGAATTCCATGATTCACTGAAGAACAGAAGCAAGTTTATTCTATAATGCATGGTTACACAATATAATATGAATATATATTATAATAATAAGTAGTACTAGAGGCTGTGCCCCTGCATGTTGTTACATTTTTACCATCAATTTTGTTGTGTGTTTTTCTTCCGTAGATCCTTTTGTTATTGCTAGCCAACCTTTAATATTATTTGCGACAGAAAAGAAGAACATAAGTACAGAAAGAAATCAATGTAAAATTTCTTTAAAAATTGTCTGCATTAATATCAGATATATAGTTTGCCTCTCATATTAAGACATTATTTGAACTTTTGCATCAGAGAAAGCATATCCTTAAACAACTGGTCTGGTGTATCAAGACCCCAGATAAAATCCGAATGTTGCCATTCAGGAATATTCTTATAGAAAACTAAATGAGGGATTCGAGGGAGCAGCCGTTCAACAGCCTTTTTGGTTACAACAATGTCATTCCCACCACTCCACACAGCTGTTGGCACAGTAATGTCTTCTATCTTATAAAATGGGGGTGTACTCTGTTGAGAAAAAGAACAGAAAGATGAAAATTAGGTTCACTTTTATTTATTTTCCTCTTTTTAAAGACATCTTTTGCATCTTCAGATACATTGAATGCCTAACATCTGTCCCTTGAAAATCATTCTTTAACTATCTATTAAGTATCCAACTCCTTACTCTGGAGCAGTAAGAATAGCAAAAGGAATAAGAGTCCTCATGGTTCATGAGGAGGACGTGCTCTTCAGGACAGAGGGAGGGTCTCCTTGTGAGCCTGAGGGGCAGTAGGGCTTTGATGATGTTGCTCAGTCTCTCCCCCCCCCCAACAGCTGAAAGGTGGAGTAACTTAGCAGAGGCAGCCACTTCTGCACATATCAGCAGACTAGTCTCAGCTAAGCCCCGCTGCACATCTGGCCTGGAAGGAGGCTCTCAATGGATCCCAAAAGGCAAAATCTAGAGGGGAGTGGTAGTTCACTGGTAGAGCATCTGGTTTGTGTGTAGAAGGTCATATGTCCCTCAGGTTTTCTAGTAGGGCTTAGAATCAGAGCTGCTGCCAATCAGTATAGACAGATAGGTGGAACAATAGTCTGACTTGGGATAAGGCAGTTTTCTATGCCCTTACTCATTAAATGCATGCACTTTCATAGATAAACACATAATTACAACCAGTTCTTTGGTGTCTGGTGTTATCTCACCCAAAGGAATTATATAAGAACTCAGAAATCACAACACGGTTCACATTAAACATTTAACCTACCGCCAAAATCTCTCATTAGAATCCAAAACACTTACCATGTTATAGACAGCTTTGTTCTTTGATCCATAATCGAAATACTTAAATTGGTTGGTTTTATCAACCTAAAAAGATGGAAAAGACTTATACACAATTTGAAATTTGGTGCACGTTCAAAAAACAAAATCCTCTTGAAAGATGGAGGGCCACAAGAAAATTCAAACGCTAGGGATCTTGGTTACAGTCAAATTTCGCTTGTCGAACTCAAAGAAAAAGCCACGTCGGATGTTCGATTTCATAAAAGCATTCAAAAATTGGAACTTTTACTTCCAGGTTTTTGGCATTCGGGAGCCAAGGCGTTCCAAAATGGAGCTGTTTGGGAACCGAGGTTTGACGAGGTTTGACAGTATCAGAATTCCCACCATCCACCCTGGCCAATGATAGGACCATAAGCTCTGCTTAAAACAGTGGTGTCTCTAGAAAGTCAGGTAGAAGGTTATTAACATATCTATCATCCTCATTTCTGAGAAAATAGAAAAAAACTGAGCCCGGCCTCTCAAGATTGAGGGGCTTCAGCCCCATTCCTGCATATGTTGGGAGGGAGGAGCTATCCTCACCCCATAGAATTGGTCCCTGTGCGCACAATATTGACCTCTTCTTTTGCCCAGCCTTCACTAATCTTCAGCTGTCAAGACCACTGCAATATGTTTCACCTTCTGCGTAATGTGAGGATTCCCAGCACCAGTGGATGTTAGTGCACTCGGGTGCATGGGGCAGTACCCCACCAACCTCCATCTTCCCTCCTCCACCCCCTGCCTGCCTGTCAGCTTTCTACTCCTTAGTCTCATTGTTTCCCTTGTAGAACTCAGCAGCAAGGAGAATAAGCAATGGCGAAAGAACATAAGGAAGAATTATAATGTCAAAATTAAATATTCAGAAAGAGCCATAGATCAGTGATAGAGTCTCTGCCTTGAACTCAGAGGGGTCCGGATTTAATTCCTGGCAACTCCAGGTAGGGCTGGGAGATACTACAGTTTGCAACCCTGGACAGCTGCTCCCAGTGAGAGTAGACAATACTGAACTGAAAGGAGCAATGGGCAGATTCAATAAAGGGCAGCTTCCTATGTTCTTCCCATGAGATCCAAAGAGTTGTTACAGCTCATGTTTGAATATTGAAGTATCTAGAATATAACTTTTGAGTGGTCTGGTAATCTGGAAAACTACACTTTTATAAAATGAAATAGAAACCTTAGTACCAAAACAGAAACATGAGAAACTAAACAGGCAAGTCGAAACGTCAGACTTTTGACTCCCATTTTTTTGAGATGCTGAGAAGGTATTTGTTAGAATGTACCTGACTCCAGTGTGCAATAGTTTTTGCAGAAGTAAAATCAGGGTAAATTCCAAGATACACATCTGCTCGACTCTGGAAGAATAATAGAAAAGAAAATGCTTTTTATATTCACATTCTTGAAAAATTTTCAAGGAACATATTTATTTACAAAGCAATAGGTCATGGCAATCAAGGTAGCGCAGCATGTAGCACAAGGAAGCAGGTTTCTGATGAAGAGCTGTCTGGGTACCTAGATGTGTATCCCCCACCCATAGTGAATCCAGCTGATAAAGAGCCATAAGAAGGAAGAACAGGGGCCTTGAAGTTGCCTCTCAACAGTGAGCACCTGGACAGCACATGGAGCAGGCAGAGAGGTCACCTGGTCACAGCCTGCCCTACAGTAGTAATTCCTTCTACCTTTGCATCTGGAAATTAGCATAAGCAGATAAAATTAGTCACTCTGAAACTTCTTTGGTTTTTGTAGTGCTGTGCATTTCCTCTTCTATGGCTACGCGTAAATGACCAACTACCAACTAGACATGAAGTTAATTTTGAAAATAAATTTTAAAAGATAGATCAACATTTATTAAAAGAGGCCTCTAGAATTTCACCATGGAAGAACTGTGTAAAGGAACTCAAAATTATGGCAAATACTCTATTTTGTTTGATTGATTTTCTTTTGTTGTTTTGTATATGTACACAGCAAGTTCTTTCAAAAAGAAATAAATGAATAAATGATAGAGGAAAAAACTACCTACCACATTTAGGTTTTTCTCATTGCGTCCTTGGAATAAGGACATGATTTGGAGACAAAGTTTGTCAATCCCTGGATAGCTGCACCACTTGGCATTGTTGGCTTTTAGTTTGTTATTAAAAAAGCAGAGTTCATTACTGCCGCACATAAGCTGTAAAAATAAAATGTAAAAAATCTGAAGCATTACTAAATAATTGTCCTTTCTTGAAAGGAAACATTGAGGTTCCTGTTAGGAACAGATCTCCTTTATGTTGCAGTTATATACCACTTTTCTTCAAGCACTCTCAAGGTGAGATGCCTGGGCATTCTAGGCAATTTTGCTGCCAGGTTCTGATGTGGCCTGGCTCTGGATAGCTGAGGTGAGATTTCTAAGGGGTGCTCTCCAACAACTTGAACAACCACCTTCTTCCCACACAACCTCTCAGGTGTTAAGATTGACAGATGGGGCCTTCTTGATAGTTCCTTAAAAGTTTGGGAGTGGGGTCCTGGAAAAGGGCATTCTCAATAGTGGACAGTAAGATGAATAACAGAGTATTTGGCAGAAGCTGAACAGCAGCAGAATTCAAATGCTACTGGTTGTGTCGCATGCAGGTTGGAATGTCAATCATTCCTTTCTAGCATCCCTGACTGTGACAGAGCCTTCATCCTGTCTGGGAGCAGCCATCAAAAAGCATTGTGGAAGGACATGTGGATCCAGAATTGGCCTCCACAGTCACTTAGGGACTCACTGTTAAGACCGCGTTCTTGGAAGACAATCTTACTTGGTCACGAGTAATCGCCAAAGAAGAAGAATTTCCATTAACTATTTCTCTTTTCTTTGAAAGGCTTCCAGTGTTCAGATCCATAAGGGTATATTCACATATAACTTATGTTTATATATATTCCAGATTCTCAATATAATATGTCTGATGAAATTGTTTCTAAAGTTCACGGTGACTCTCACCTTATCATACTACAAATGTTCATGTGATCCAAACCTTCTAATTCTTCAAGCTCACACTCAACATAAAGAAATGAAGGGGATGGCAGGAAGACTAACTCTCCATAAAGATTCAGAAGAAAAATATATATTAGAATTATGGGCCTTGTACAATACCTACTCTTATCAATTCTTGAGGAAGGCGTAGAAGTAAGGAAAAGACTCCTTTGATGCCTTCCAATGTGTAGGCAGGAGCCAGGCCCATGAAGAGTTTAACCTTTTGAGCAAGCTGTGGCATGGTTGAAAAGGCAATAAAACCTGGAAAAAAGAAACAATTCTAAACATAGCACTTGCAAACAAACAAACAAACAAATAAGAGATTTAAAAAACCTGTGGCCCTCCAGGTGTTGCAGGAGCTGGGGCCCATCAGCCATGCTTGCTGGGGCTGATGGGAGCTGGAGTCTCAAATATCTGCAAGGGCAAAAGTTTCCCATCTCTCTTCTTTTGAAATGCCTATCATTCAACAAATTTATTTGCACCACAAATGGACATTCTTCATGGCTGTGGAACTGATAACAGCTGTATATGCTGCCTGATCCTGTATACTGAAGTTCTGATCCTGAAAAGACTTTCTCATGGAACGTATGTGAACTCTGCTTTTTCTTTTCTTTTTTAAAAGCTATGCTTTAATCTGTCTTTTTTCTTTTCTGAACTAGTCTTCCCAATAGTCCTGAGACTGGACCACACCCCCATAAGTCCCTGATAATGCAAAAAGGCAAGAAAATAAAAGGTATTTCATTCTTTTCTTATTAACTTACCCGTTGTACCTCCCTGGGAATGGCCAATATAATACAAGCTTTTTTGCTTAGTTTTCTGCAGAATAAAGTCTATGGCTGCTGGAATATCATAAATTGCCATTTCATGAAAGCTGAAAGACAAACACAGAATATAGCTGAAATTTTGCCTGTCTGCAATTGCATACAGTTGTGGACATTAATGTCTAAATACAAACAGTACCATACATTACATATGATACCCTTACATTTGGAGGATAACGTTGTAAGTTTATTGTCCTATGGAAAGAGTAAGGAGAGAAAGAGTAAATATATATTTATGATTTATTTAAATATTTATATCACCCTTAAACTTGCCCAATAGGTTCTCAGATATGTACATTGTCCACATGTTAAAGGATAATTTTAAAGAATTATATTAAATTATATAAAATCGCTCAACTGTGTTAAATTTAAATGGTAGTTCAGAAGTCCCTTTACACAGTCTAAAAGGTGTACATCCTGGAATGTCTGGGCAAAATGGTGTGTCTTCACAATATGCCTGGAGGAACTAACAGATCTGTACAAGAGCGGACCCTTTATCAGGTAATCTAAATGCCAAATTGTTCATGGTCTTATATGCTAGTTGTATTAGGACTGGCCTAAGATATTCTGGCACTGGAGGTGAACCACAAAACTGGACCACTTCCCTTCAGGGAGGAAGCAGTGAGTGAAGATCTACACCAGGGACAAGGTGGCAAGAAATGTCTTCATTACAACCAAGTGGAGAATGAAGATCTACATCAGGAACGATGTGCGGAATCACACTGATGATGCTTTACATATGGAAGACGGAAGGGCATTCCACAGTGCAGGGGCAAGAGCAGGAAATGCCTTTTGGGGGGTCACTACTGTCTGATATTATGTGGAGTGTGGTGCCATGCTTAAAATTCCCCAAAATTAAATTAAAATTCTGCTCTGGGTGGCTGAACTGATATTACCCTTGCTGGTACCTTTCCCAGGAAAATCAAAGGCTCACTATGTCAGGTTCCTACTGGAAGACCAGACAATCGCTAGAACATTAGCAGTGGCAAAGTTTTTATTGGTGGTTGCAAGAACCAATGATCCCTATCCTTAAGTCTGAACAAAAGAATAATAGTAATAATAATAATAATGGTAATTTATTATTTATACCCCGACCATCTGGCTGGGCTTCCCCAGCCACTCTGGGCGGCTTCCAACCAAATATTAAAATACAATAATACATCAAACATTAAATGCTTCCCTAAACAGGGCTGCCTTCAGATGTCGTCTAAAATTTTGGTAGTTGTTGTTCTCTTTGACATCTGGTGGGAGGGCGTTCCACAGGGCAGGCACCACTACTGAGAAGGCCTTCCGCCTGGTTCCCTGTAACTTGGCTTCTCGCAGTGAGGGAACTGTCAGAAGGCCCTGGGCGCTGGACCTCAGTATCCGGGTAGAACGATGGGGGTGGAGATGCTCCTGTTTAACCTGGAGGTAGGCTGTCTGAATTGTGTATTGCTTTGTAATGATTTGTTGGGTCTCTGGGCAATAATAAAGATTGATGATGATGATTATGATGATAAAAATAAATACATCTATGAAGCATTTCAGTTAAACGCATTGTAAAATCATATAGAGAAATCCAGTTGGGAAAGACAGAACTCCACAGTGCCATCTGGTTTCATAGTGTTATATTGCCTATACAATGCATCTAAAATGCTTTTTCTTTACTAATCCAGCTGAGTCCTGGGAAAGTTCTTAGGAAAAGCATCCCTTCCATCCAAGCAACAATAGCCCCTTGTACTTACCTGAAATTCCAAAATTCTTCTTGGTCTACTGAGAAGTTTTGATGTCTTCTAGACCAGGTTGTCCCCCTGTTATTTATTATCCAAACATCATAATCAGCATCTGCTAGAACAAATCCCAGACTATTGCTGGGAAGATTTGAAATCCAGCTCCTGCCTTCACAAAGGTTACCAGGTACCAATAACACAACTGACTTAGGCCCTGGAAAACAGAGACAACAGTAGATAGAGAATGGGCACTCACAGAGCACCAATATTTCCCACTGGTATCTAGCCTAAGGCCAAGCAGAGTAGGGTGAAGGGGGTACAAAGGAGGTGAGCCAGACGTTTCCTAGGACCTCAGAAAATGTTTCCATAGATTGTGTGAAGACTAGCAATGATGTTTTGTGTAAGCCTACGTAAAACGCTGTGACACTTCTTTCCCCGCCCACTTTCTCTTCTGCCAACATGTCCCCACCTACTTTTCCCAAGCAATCTAGAGAGGCGGTGCTGAAGTATTGGCAAAAGGTAGCAGAAGTAGGTGAGGTGAGAAGGTGGGCAGGTCTTGTCTCTCCTGTGGGTGAAACGCTGTGTCTCTGAGGTGATTGCTGCCTAGCGCTGAAGAGAGACCACAACTGCTGTGGCTGTTTCTGAACAACTCTCCTAAGAATCAGGAGATAGTTAATATTTGCACTGATTTTTGAAAAGACATAAAAAAGCCACTCAACCAAACTCCACGCCACTTAAGATATTTCATAGTGTTCTGCTATGAATAGAAGTCTGGATAATTATTCTAACTGTTGATAATTTGGAATTATTGATTAATCTGGGAAACCTTGTTGCTCAGATATAATGAAGAAGGAATCATCAAGTGTGTTTACAACTGAGCACAACTGAAGTGATTTCAGCCAACTTGCAACAATTTCTTCCAAATAAAGTTGAATGAAAGAAAAAAATAGTGAAGTCTGGGTAACATTTTTAAAGTTGAACATAGGGATATCAGGCATTGCAAGTGGAATTTTAATGCATTTACTGCTAAATTTCAAAATTACCTGTCTTCCCAGAACTATGTATTCCATGTGGAATTCTGTTTGCCTGCAGGTAATAGCCATCCTCTGTTAGGATTGTATACTCTTCACTGGGGTATCCCCAGTACTGGATAACTTCAGGCTGTGAGTGGAGAAGGATGGAAATAGAAATGCTAGATTAAGAAATAAATAAATCTGATCATTCGATTTCTGGGACAATTGCTTGAATATCCCAAAGAACAAAAACTTCTGAGGGCCAAGATTATTGTGAAATGACTTTGCTAGTCCTACACCAGGAATGGGAAATCTGTGGCTATAGCTGGGCTCCAGCTCCTATCAGTCCCAGCCAGCATGGCCAAGGGTCAAGGATTATGGGAGTTGTAGTGCAACAACACCGCATCGCTCCCCTAAACTCTCATAATGTATACATGATTGTATGCAAGTTTGCCCAAAACACACCTTTTTTTTTTGCCTAATAAAATGATTTTTTTGTATTCTATTTTCATTTGTATATGCATTTTTAAAAACACTTTACTCTGGTATATACATTTCTATTTCCATTACTTGGCTGGAGAACAGTACGCAAAAATTGGAGACGTGCCAATTTTGAAGGATGGCTTTGTTCCGGTTTGTGTATTGTTCCAGAAAATGCAAATTGTGTAGATTCAGCATGAAATGCGAACTGAATGAAATTTATTCCCCCTTTCCCCCATCTGGGTATATTTGTGTGTACATAACCACAGATTGATTGTGGTTTTCTCCATTCCACAACAAAAAGACAAAAAGGAAATCTGTACTGATATGATGCAAAACACCAAATCTGTATTGTAAGCAACTACAAAGAAATCTCTCACCATGAGAAATATAATGAATCTCCTGCCTAAGGCTTCAGCTAATGCATGTGCAGCAAATGTCAACATTTACACTGAGGAGCCAGTGTAAAACTCTGCTTCGAGAAGGAGTTATCAAAGCTAACTGTGTCTTTTAGATCAGTTTATCTAGCCAAGAGAGTATTGTTTCAAACACGATCAGATTAACTTGCAGTTTGAAATAACTCCTGCCAAGCATGGAGTTTCTTCCTGGAAATGCATGTGCTCTTGAAAACTGTTTTAAAAATGAAATTATAAGGAACATGGTCCACTGTTTTCAAGGCCATCTGAATTATTAACTTACAATAGTCATAAATTGTTGTGGATTCAGATGTCTTCTGCTACTGAATACATCAGATGTCAGAGCCTGTTGGACTAAGCAGGCCACTCCCCAAAACAGCCACATCTTGGACCTGTGTATAAAACAGAACTACAGTATCTCTAGTCTGAAAACATGAGTCCTTAATGAAAAAGATTTCAGGGGGGAAACTCAATATATTGAAGAAATATCTTGAGGAGACATGATGGGTGTTGAAAGGTGAGATAAAAGGGCTAGATGAACCTTTGGCCTGATCCAGCAGTGTTCTTCTTATACTAGCAGCAGGGAGGAGAACCTGTGGCATTACCCTAGAACAACACTGGTTGTTGTTGCTCAATATGCTCCAATTGCTTCCCGGGGGATTTTGATCCTTGAAGCCGAGCCCAAATGCCCTGGCTCCCATCCCAAAACATGTCCTCAGATTCTCTTTCTTTTAAGTAAGGAAATGGTACAGACTCGGCACAAGGAAAAGAGCTATTTCAGTCTCAGAGTTCCGACAGGACAAAGGGTTGACTGGGATGGGTCTGATCTATGAAGAGTGGCCAAGGCGCCTGGGTTGAGAGTCCATTCATTAAGCTCAAGACTGCTGAGTAGTTGTTTCAACCACTTCTCCATGTCCACTCATCCAGCTAAAAGCCATCATGAGTGCAGCCCTTACTCATGAGAGTCTCTGTTCCTGGATGAACCTGCAGGCATATGCTGTGTCTAAGCAGGCATAAATTGTCCCTTCTCCTGGTGTTCTAGGAGAGAGTGCTGTACCCACCTCCTCCCTACTCAGCCTGCTTTGCCTCCCCAAGTTCTGACAATACTCTCTCCCCCTCTGGAAGGAACGGAGCTGGAAGTCCTATCTCCACACAGAGCCAGGTGGGGTTGAGGTGGGGCCAGCCTACCACTTCCATTCCTTCTCATCTTCCTCCAGTATCTGCCATGCTAGAGCTAGACCCAACAGTGCCAAGTGAGTCATGACACCAAACAGCATGCCCTCCTAACCCAAGTACTTTTTAAAAGTCTTACTACATCCTTCAGACACCAATTCTAGCTGGAAATAGAGTTGTCTCCCAGTTTAAAATATTGAGTCTGGAGGTGCTGGGAATTCCTCTTCCCAGGACCACTGGCTCAGAAGGTGCTGTTGCTGACTGGGATACTGGGAAATGGGGTCTGCAACACCTCATGACTCAATCCATTAAACTCAATCCATTAAACTTAGCTAACATGTTTGCTTTGGTAATTTGTAGAACAGACCATTATTTACAATGGGATGCAAGTCTGCTAAAAAATTATTGATTGTACTTCAGCAGTGTATAACACTGTTAAAGGAACAACTTAAGAATGCAAGCTATTAAAATGCAAGACCATAGCTATGTCACTGAAAAATAAATTAAAAAGAGACATGGAAGAAAGTAATTTTGCTTACCTGTTGTTGTGCATCAGTAGCGACCAGATCTCAAATAGACACAGCAGAAGACCTTTGTGTCAGGGAGTGAGCAGAGGAGTGGTGGAGACTGCCTACACCTCCTGACCTTTCCAGGGAGGAGGAAGTGGAAGATAGTATTGATTTACAACAGGGGTTTGAGGGAGGTAGCAGCTCAGAGGCAGGTGAGGGGGAAAGTTGGGAAATAATGGGAGAGGAGGAGCAACACCTTGCTGACCTGTTATTAGAAAACATTCCAGACCTTCCATTTCCCAGAACCCAGCGAGCTTTAAAAGTAGGAGAGAAAGAACTCAAAGACAGAGGGCACTTAGCAGCCCCCGTACAGCAGGTGATGATGATGACGAATGAGGAAGTGGGAGAGAAGGGGGGGTGCAGATTAACAGAGGACAACACCATTATCCAAGAGGCTGGGTTCTAGAGCCTCTCTGTGTTTGAAATGAAAAAGGACTGTAAGAAACTTTTCCTTATCTTTATACTTTCCTGGGCAACCAGCCAGGAGCTTCTGGAAACAATGAAAACAGTTGAGAAAGAAAGCATCATCACACACCCAACATTTGCCTAATGATAAGTCTGTACAAAGCATTATACTGTATGGCAGATGATCTGGCCTGCCATTCGCTGGTTACCAAGAGCGGCTCAGAGCCCATCTGCAAAACCGCCTGCCTAGGAGGGCAAATGGACCTCTCAAACTTAAAACTTATTTTCTATGAAATGCAGGGGGAGAGGGAGGTATTTGTACAAAGACCATAGATAGTTTATCCTCCCCAGCTTTGGTACCAGAAATGTAAAGCCCCTCAAAATCTGCATAAACCCCAGCACAGCGGTTCCTCAAAATTACCAACCATGTGCTGCTTGTAAATTGCTGAGATTTCTGGTGGACCATATAATTATATTTTTCCTGCCTCTGACTGCAATTGTACTGTGCTGTGATAGTTGTTTGTTATATTTTGATAGCTTCGTTTATTCCTTATATTGCATTTTCATGTATTACAGCTGCATGCCATAGAATTCTGTAGAAATCAATTGATAAAGTGTTCTAGTCTGCTGCAGACCACCTAAATAAAGCTCACAGACCACAGGTTGAGAGAATCCTTGCCAAGGGGATGGATTGTTTTCATTTTCTCAAATCTCCAGGGCCTGATGAACTGCATCCAAGGGTACACAATAAGTTTTTGGATGTAATCTCAGAGTTGCTGGAGGAAATTGTGTGCCACCTCCCACCCCTAGCCTCATTATCTCCTTGTCAGGACAATGATTCACAGCAGGGGTTCTTGACCATGGACCCCTAGGCCATGGTCCCCTAGGCTTCCATGCATGAACTTTAGGGGCCCCATCAACCAGGCACCAAAAATTATTCTCCCTTCCTTTATTTCCTTCTCGTGCCTTAGAAAATTGTTTTTGTGAAAAGAATTCTGCAAAGGGGCTCCACTGCTTTCATCAGATTCTAAAAAGAGCCTATGAGCACTGTGCTCAAAGGTTAAGAACCACTGATCTACAAGGAACAGCAAGAAACATCTACGCTGTGGCTAAAAGATGAGGCCTTTGCAGAGAGAAGTATACTTTTGCAGTGCAAGGTCAGTGAATTCCACTACCAATTATGTCAATGCCAAAAGGTAGATTTTATTAGAAGACGAGCAATAGGTAATAGAAACAAAAATCAGTTAACAAATTGACCATAAATACAAGTCATACAGACCAATGCAGTGTCTACAATCACAGGGAATATAAGCAGTTAGTGACTTTCATAACATTTTACTTGTACTTCTGCATAAGATAGAATATATCAGGGTATAGTTTCTTTGGAGGATCCAGACCCCATAAAAAATCGCCATGTTGCCATTCAGGAATATACTTATGGAAAACTAAATTAGAGATTCGAGGAAGCAACAGCTGGATGTCCTTTCTGTTTATTACAATATCATGTCCACCATACCACACAGCAGTTGGCACAACAATGTCTTCGATTTGATAGAATGGAGGAGTGGTCTGTGGATGAAAATATCAGAATGATTAAAATGGTCTTCATCTGCCAATCTTAGATTTTAAATGTTTTCCTAGCGATCTGATGGTGATGCAGGACCATCAAAACTCTGGGATGTGTGACCTATGTTTCTGGAAAATGCTTCCTTGAGCATTAGTATCAGATTTCCTTCTCCATTGTATTAATGAATCTGTCACGTATTAATTGTTTACTGTGCATTCTTGATTTATGTGTAGGACAACTGCTTGACTGGATTGAGCATAGGATATACCAACATTGTGGGATGTTGACATTGAGGATGTGTATCAGGATTAATGTGCGTGTCTGCTAAAGTGAGCAATGGTTCAGCTTGGCACATTTAGGCTCTGGACTTAATCATCTTTCAGTTTTGAAGTTCTCAGAATATTTCTGTCCTACTGCCATTGCATGGCTTCACAGCTGCTTCTACAAACAAGATAACTGTTTTGAAGCTATATATATACACACACACAAACACACACACACACATGCTGAACATGTGCAGCTTTATATATTTAAAGCATTTCAAGCATAGCACCACCATGACTATAGGAATAAAACTGAGTTTGCTTCTGCTGCTCTGAGGTTAAACACATCTCCTTGGGAATAAGCAACATTCTGATGTAAGAAAAGGATAATATGATTTCAAAGTAAAAGAAAAGAAAAGAAGATCTCTAACCACATAAATGCCAGGGTGGTCACCCCTGACTATAAAATCTTCATTGGAATACTGCATGCTGGCCATGGTGCTGGAGTCAGGCTGGTTTGTCACTGCCAGTGCTATCTGGTGCTCTTTAGGTGATCATTTGGGCTGTGGAATCCAGGACCTCAGCCATGTGGTCCAGGCATGGTTGCACAAGGAATAGTGGGAAGCATCAAGGGTTTACCAGGAGAGGGTTTACAGTGTTGGTATCCATCTGTCTTGGGAGAGAATGGAGTGCGTTTCCAGGGGTGAAGTCCAACCACTGTGCTAGCAGCACCAAAGTGACCTGGGCTACCCAGACAATAAGACCACCATCTCGGCTGCACTGATGTGGTCCAAAGGAAGTAGAGCAATGTATTTGGCACCAGCTTGGCTGCAGAAGGTGCTGGAAGGAGGCATACAAGGCCCCACCCAACTGTCTCCGAATTTGTGCCTGGTTTACTCCTGAAACTTTTCTTTTCTTTAACTCTTTACCGTATTGTATATAGCTTTGTTCTTACTGCCATAGTCAAAATATTTCAGTTCTCTTGATTTAAAAACCTATAAAATAAAGGGGAAAGTACAGAATTTTGAAATTTTTAATGCAGGCATCTTTATAACATACAGAAAGAACCCTGTCCCTAATCCCTGCAAAAACTGTGAAAACTTTTCTTTAAATAGATAGTTTTAATAGATCTGTTTTTTTCAAATACAATCTGTTTTTAGCAATATTTTGCATACTTTGCAAATTAATAAGTAAATGATATTGGAACCCTTATACAATCATTTCAAAAATCAATCCTTAATGTTCGCTATCCTAGTAATGGCCAAACTGTGTAAGCTAATGAGAAACTGCAATGTGCAAATTAAAACTTAACTATCACTTCAGATATAATGAATAAAAAATCACTTGATGTTTGAAGTTTAAGAACTACTCTTTAGGCAACGAAATTGAAAAGTTTCTCTTTATTTCTTCTTTTGCATGATCCTATTTAAGAATATTTTCTTTTGGTTTCATTGGCATATTATGATTGTCAGTTTCTACACCTGTAGACGCATATCGCATGTAACTGGGCAACTACACCAGCAGTAACTCAGAGCGACAAAGCTCCTGTGAGTGGCAGCTTGTCATATACCATTTATTGCTATATTGTTTTTCATTTACTGTAACTTTCCTGTCACCTTCTGAAAATTTAAAAAAGAAAACCCTTAAATATTCACACACATTAAACATTCACTTGAACATTAAATGGCCTCTAAATTTTGAAATAAGGAAAAATATGCATTAAAGCTCACCTGGGCCAAGTGGATCATGTTTTTTACAGAACCATAATCAGGAATAATTCCAAAATACGCATCTATTCGGGTCTGTGGGGAGGAATAAGTATGGAAATGTTTTTAAGAATTGTCTCCTATCATTCAGAGGGAGGAATGGATGAATTGAACTAGCAAAAAGATCACAAGCATTAGAGCAATACAATATCCAAATACCTTGAGAAAGGTAAAGGGATATTGCATAGGAAAACATACATCTCAGGAAAGATGTAGTAATGAGTTTCATGCCGAAAGCGCAGGACACCTTTGCCCAGCAGCGCTGTGGCCCACAGATTGCGGAAAAACTTTGCTCAGTATCTTGTTTGTGTGGTGGGCTCATGGGGAAAAACTGTCCCATGAGCCCTTGCAAAGAAGAGTGGAAAGCCTATATAAGGCTGCTGCCTATGATACTCAAGGCCAATTTGCCATGAAAGCTTCCTACCCACCCACACTGGGGTTAGAGCATTCACTGAGCAATTTGGGTCACTGATTGAGAGGGCAAGGAAATAATTTTAAATAACTCAACCTGATTGGCACTTGCTTTACCTCTGTGAAATTATGGCCTTCCTTTGTTAGGTGAAGAATGTTGTTTGTATGAGGGCATGAATGTCACTGGGCAGAATCAACACAGTATAAGGGGGGGGGGCTATAAGGGACCTGAGGTGGTGATTGATCATGGCACCCACAAGCTTAGTGTTGGGGTATCTGCCCAGAAGGAATCTGCACCCTGGTCACCCAGTGAGACCTTACTTGCCTAGCTTGCACCTCAGGAAGAATCTGAACCACACTGGCTGACTCTCATGTAACAGGTTTGGGGTGGTCCAAACCCAGCAGATCCATTCTATCAACACGGGGCTTCTGGAATGATCCTGGGATCCAATGCCATGCCAACCCTTACCCTGTCTACTGCTGTCTGATGTTATCCCATCACCATTGTACAATCTTGTTATTTTGCTGCAATCTATGGGTCACATAATGCGCCTGTCTGGAAAATAGTTCAGACATTATTATTTTTTGTTTCTTGAGACCCATCTT